ATTGCGCATCGAATGATACCAAAATCAACGAAAAATATAATATCCATACAAAGTTGTTGGTTAAAAACCAAAACCCTCGCGCCAATTATGGGTTGCCAAAACCTTTTGCCTCATAACTTTGCATAGATATTATATTTTTCGTTGATTTTGGTATCATTCGATGCGCAATTTTATTCTCTATTAAATGATAGTTAAAAGGAACCAAATAGGAACTATAAAGGAGCTTTAAAGGAGCTTTGAAGAAGCTTTAGAGGAGCTTTAGAGGAGCTTTGAAGGAGCTTTGAAGGAGCTTTAAAGGAGCTTTAGAGGAGCTTTAAAAGAAGGAAATAGGGACTATAAAGGAGCTTTCAAGGAGCTTTAAAGGAACTAAATAGGAACTATAAAGTAACTATGAAGGAACTATAAAGGAACTAAGTAGGAACTATAGAGAAGTAGGTTCTATAGAGAATTTTATTCTCTATTAAATGATAGTTAAAATAGGCAAAATCGAAGGGTTTTTGCTGAGAAAAACACGAAAAACCTTAAATTCCAAAGAACAAAGAGAGTTTTGCAATGAAAAATGATGCAAAACAATCTAATCAATGTAAATTTTTGGTTTACATTGATAAGATGATGATAAAATCATATGAAATGATTGAGTAATTGCTAAAATTGCTAAAATTGCTCAAATTCTTCTTTTTCCCCCAAAATCAATGAGTTTCTCAATCATTTTCTTTAAGAATATCCCCATTATTTTTCGAGTGATAACAGTTAAAAGACACCCGTCGCCGTTCATTGAAAATGACCTTTTTTTCTTTTTCTTTTTCTTTAAAATTTTTGACCTTCACGGGGAATTTTTTTTTTAAAAATACGACATTTTCCCTAATCTTTATTGATTTTTTTGATTAATCATTGATTAATCAATTTTTCATTCTTTTTTTGGTTTATTTTGTGTTTATTTTGAAAAAGTTCCTTTAAAGCTCTTTTAAAGCTCCTTTAAAGCTCCATTAAAGCTCCTTTAAAGCTCCTTTAAAGCTCCATTAAAGCTCTTTTAAAGCTCTTTTAAAGCTCCTTTAAAGGTCTTTTAAAGCTCCTTTAAAGCTCCATTAAAGCTCTTTTAAAGCTCTTTTAAAGCTCTTTTAAAGCTCCTTTAAAGCTCCTTTAAAGCTCCTTTAAAGCTCCTTTCTAGTTCCTATTTACCGTATTTACTCTATTAGTGGGGTCCTCTCTAATAGTGGGGTCCTCTCTAATAGTGGGGTCGTCTGGAAGGGGATTGAAAAAATAGTGGGGGACCCCACTAATAGAGTAAATACGGTAATTCCTTTAAAGCTCCTACTTGAAATACTTGAAATTTCCCAAAATTAGCCCTACAATTCTCGCAATTCTCGGCTTTCTTCTCGAAATCCCCATCAATTCATGAATCTTTTCGATCAAATCCTTTGATTTTCTATTTTTGTCCCTCAAAAGACTAATCCTTTGATTTGTAACTTGGAATTTTCTCGTAATCTTTTCCTCTTTTAAGGATTCTTTACTTTTTCTGAAAGAGGGTGTCTAGAATTGATTGGGGAAATCGAGGGAAAGCCAGGAAAGCCAGGAATTCATTATGCAAAGCAAGCCAGTCACGTAGTCACGTATTTGAGCTTCTCGTAAACCCCACGTCTTCTGGCGCACTTTTGGCTCGTCTTCTGGCCTTGTGGTGCACTTTTGGCTCGTCTTCTCGCCTTCTGGCATAGTCAATTCCGGGGCAAAAGGGGCGGTTATAATGCAATTATTTATTTATTTGGTGGTGATCTTAAGGCATTTTTGAAAGCTTTTTCTAATAAAAATTCTGTAGACGAATTTTAATTGACAAATGCACTTTGAACAACAATTTTAATCCCAGAAATAAGGCTTAGATTTCTATTTTTAGATTCTTATTGTATTGACTGGTTTTTCCTTCATTTTCCTTCATTTTCTTAACAAAATGAGGGCTAGAAGAAGTGAATTGATTGAGGGGAAAGAGATGGGAAGAAGAGAAAGAGAAGAGAAAAGAGGGGGAAAGAAGGGGGAAAAGAGTCGAATTGAGAAGAGGAGACATTGATTATGCAAAACAGTCTCCCCTTTTCTCCTTTTTCCCCATTTTCCCCATTTCTTTTCCAATTTCTCTTCAATATTCTTCCAATCTAAAAATTCCCCTTCATCGTTTTTTCAATTTTTGATCGAGAAAACTTTTTCCTTCTTTCCTTCTTCCCTTCTTCCTTTCTTCCCTTCTTTCCTTCTTTCCTTCTTCCCTTCTTCCTTTCTTACCTTCTTTCCCTCTTTCCTTCTTTCCTTCTTCCCTTCTTCCTTTCTTTCCTTCTTTCCAATCATTTTGATGATTGGAAAGATAAAATTCCTTGTTTTTCATTCAACATTCTAACTCTTGACTCAAAAAAATCCTTGGTTTTCTTTCATTTTCTTGTCTAAATACTTTTTCTTTTTAATTTCTTTCATTTTCTTTTCTAGAACCAAAATATTGTAGTTAAAATTTTGTAAAACAAATATTTTTCAAACGTAAATCAATTTCTTTTTCTCGATTTTTCTATTCTTTTGTTAAATAACTCTCGGAAATAAGCCAAATCCGGCCAATATTTTTGCCATTTTCAAGCACTTTTTTAGCATATTACCAAACTTTTATTCCTTGAGAAGCTTTTTGTGCTGTACAGCTGTACAGTGCTGTACTTTTTGTACAGTGCTGTACTTTTTGTAAAGCACAAAAAGCTTCTCAAGGAGTTTGGTAAAAAGTGCCAAAATTAACAAAATATTGGCTGGATTGTGCTCAAATTTAAAGTCATCAATTTAAATCCATCTGGCGCATACTTTAGAGTTGAATTTAGATCAATCCTACTATTAGTTCATGAAGAAAAGGTTGAATTTGCTAGCTTTGCCAGCTTTGCCAGCTATCCCATGCACCAGAAGGGTTTCGTTTGCACTAGAGCATCATAAGTTGCACTAGAGCATCATAAGCTTCAAAAAAAGCTGTAAAATCTAAAATAGAACAGCTGTAAAAGCTGTAAAAGCTAGAAATACTCTAGGATTTCTAAATAAATAAAGCCAACGATATTTCCCCAATCGAATGCTTGTCTTTGCCATTCTCTAATCGAAACTTTGTCCCTCTCGTTTCCATTCCCCAATTTCCCCTATCAAAAACCGTCTTTCTCTCATCTCTTTTCCCCCAAAAAGGCAAAAGCACAGAAGCCACATTTTATCGGTTCGAAAAGGCGAAAAAAAAAAAAATTGATCGATTTGTTCGTCTTTTCCCTTTTTTTTCCCAAAAAAAATATTGACGAAAAGTCACTCCATTTTTGCCTGCTTTCCCTCCTCATTTACATTTTTTCACCGATTTGCTGAAAGTTTGACGGCTTTTTTTAAAAAGTTTTGAGCTGATTAGAAAGAGTATTGATTGAAGATAGATAAATGTAAAAAATGATTCTAAATTGATTCTAAATTGATTCAAAACACTTTTAACACTTTTCTTAAAACCCTAAAGCTTTTTAAAAGGCAGTAAAATTTGTATTTGTTTATGTTGTGTTCTATTTAGATTCAATCGAAATCTTATATGGATTGAACAATAATACGTCTTATATATGTCGTAGCCGATTATGAATGAGCGGGTCCGGACGCGTCCAACCATCAAGTATTTGGTATCATTCAACGCAGAATCATTAATAATTATGTTAAACTTTTAAAATTAGAAAGATTGGACGAAAAGAAAAAAAATTATGGGGCCTCAAAGTTTCCTCTTGAACAAACAGTTTTTTGGCTCTAATTTTTTTTCTTTTCGTCTAATCTTTCTAATTTTAAAAATTTAACATAATTATTAATGATTCTGCGTTGAATGATACCAAATACTTGATGGTTGGACGCTCCTAGACCCACTCATTCATAATCGGCTGAAATTCATCATCGGCTACGGGGGTCCCGCCGATTTTGAATGAAACGACGTTGTAGCGCCGGTAATTTTTAACCTAAACTCACAAATTTGATACCAATCGACGCAGAATTGAATTCGCTACATGATGATATAATATTGTCCTCATACATTAAAGGGTTGCTCTACTAGAAAGATTTATCAAAAAATTTCATTCATAATCGGCTACGACATATAGATTGAACAATAATATAAACATGTTTAATATATGTTCTTAAGCGTTTTCTGTAGTTTTCTGTAGTTTTCTGCATTTTTCAAAGGTCTTTTATTGATTACAGTCTATATCGGACGTTCGATACAGATCGAACAATAATTCAAGTGTTTAATATATGTTCTTAAGCGTTTTTTTGCAATTTTCTGCGCTTTTCAAAGGTCTGTCACTGTCTTTTTCTGAAAAGAAAACCCAACTATGAAACAAATTTATTTATTTGAAACCGATATAGACTGTAATCAATAAAAGACTTTTGAAAAATGCAGAAAACTACAGAAAACGTTTATGAACGTTTATGAAATTAAACGTTTATGAAATTAAGCATGTTTATATTATTGTTCAATCTATATAAGATTTAGATTGAATCTAAATCGAACGTCCTATATAGACTGTAATCTAAATCGAACGTCCGCGATAAGTTCAATCTAAATCGGACGTCCGACTTAGATTGAATCTAAATCGGACGGAAATCTAAATCGGACACAACATATACACAAAATTTGTAAGATTTTCAACAAACTTTGATCTATTTTTAATTCTTTTAACTATTTGTTGACCATTGTTGATCTGATTTGTAGAGATAAGGAACCAAATTTGTAGAGATAAGAAGCCAAACTTGTAGAGATAAGGAGCCAAACTTGTAGAAATAAGGAACCAAATTTAGAGAGATAGGGAGCCAAGCACATTTCTTTTCTTTCTCATTCATTTTCTCATTCATTTTCTTTCTCATTTTTCATTTTCTAATGTTTTTCTGATTAAAATCATCTACAGAAGATCACCAAAGATCGAATCAAATTCACCAAAAAGGAAAGAAATCAATTTTTGTCGGTAATTGAGGAGGTTTTGGAGTGAAAAGGAAGGATGTTGAAATTCCTGAAGAAAGGAGCTGAAGAATCCTCATCGGCAAGGGATAATAAACAAGGACAAACAAGTGGGTTTTTCATACAAATACCATTCAATTCAATTGTTATTGTCGTTCGAGTTATTGTTGTCCGAATCATTGTCGTTCAAGTGTTCTCAAAGGTCTATTTTCTTGATCATGAACTAAACCGGCAAACTAAATCAATCGAATCAATCCAATATTGAACTTGTTCACTAATTTAGGCTTCAAAACCAGTAGAATTCAACACATTTCCCCCAAAATCCTTTCAGTTCTTCATCTTCATCTACTAGATTTGTTAGAAAATCTCAAATATCCAAGGAATCTTAAGAAATGACAAATTTCTGCATGTGAAAAGCTAAGCTAAGCAAAAGCTAAGCAAAGCAAAACCTAAGCTAAGCTAACCCCAAAAGCTAAGCTAAGCTAAGCAAAACCTGAGCTAAGCTAAGCTCAAAACCTAAGCTAACCAAAACCTAAGCTAAGCTAAGCTACCCTCAAAACCTAAGCTAATCAAAAGCTAAACTAAGCTACCCTCAAAAGCTAAGCAAATCAAAACCTAAGCTAATCCACCGAAAAATCATTTAAACTCGATTTCATCAAATCATTTCATTCAACTGCCAAAACTTGATCCAATCGTTGTAGACAAGCTCTCAAATTTCCAAAGGAATCTCAGCAATGACAGCATTTCCAATCCACCATCAATCCACAACGCATTCCCCCCAAATCCCCTCAGTTTTCCTCTCAACGAAGAGTTCCTCCATGTGTCATTTTGAGGCTTTTCTCGAAAAAAAGATCTCAAGGGAGTTGCAAACACACTTTACCCTGAAAAGACTTAAGAAAAAGAGAGCTTTTCCCCTGAACTCTTGTTTCTTTTTCTTTTCTTTTCTTTTCCTTTTTCTCTCCTTTTCTTCAAATTGATCCTATCCACAGCTGTCCATTTTTTCCATCTCATTTCTCCAATACAATCTTTTCAACTGTTCCCCCATTTTTCTGAGAGTAGTATTCATGAATCTTTTTCAAATGATCAATCAAGCGTTTATCTTGAAGCAATTTTTGTGCTTGATTCGATTGTCTAACTAAAATTTCACTCAATTTGGATAAACGTTGATAAACTTGAGCAACTTTTCGATCAATTCTTTGCTCGATCAAGGTCGATAAAGGTTCGATAAAGGTTCGATAAAGGAATCGATCAAGATTGAATCGATCATCAACCGATCAAGCTTGAATCAATCATCAATTGATCATCAATCGATCATTTCTTGAAATTGAATCCAATTCTTGAATCCTAGCGTCTAACAACAAAAAGATCAATCTTTGAACTAATTTTTGGTCAAAGTTCTTCATCAATTTGGTCTTCTTCATCATCTTCTTCATCAATTTCGGTTCCATTAACTAAAAAAAAACGAGCTGATTGAACCTCAGGCTGAACCAAGGAAATCTAATGCGGGTAAAGCTTTGAATTCTACGTGAAATTCCAATTCTGTTCCCTGTCTCCAAATCAACCAACTTCCTCTAAAATAAAAGATTTCAAAAAGAAAAAAGAAAAGAGAAAATCTCTGGCCCAATCATCGTCTCTCCATCAGGCTGAACCGAGCAATTCTCTTTTTTCATCGACAGCTTCTTCGGCTCATACATAGCTGAGGCGTTAAAAGAAAAGGAAAAAACAGAAAAAACAGAAAAAACCAAAAAAAGGGGAAGGGTTTATTCTTTTTTTTCATCTTTCCCAATCGTTTCCCTGCTCAACTCAGCGCTTTTCACATCCCATTATGGATAAGAAGGCCGTTTGAAGAGAAGAGCTTCAAAAAGAAGAGATTTCTCTATCTATTCTCGACTCATCTTCGGGGTTTCAGTCAACATTTCATTCACACTCGATTTACTCGATCTATTTTGAAATCGGACTTCAGGACTTCAGGACTCCAAGCTTCAGCTGGGCTTTATCTTGTTCTTGAGCGGACTCCAAGCTTCAGCTGAGCTTTATCTTGAGCGAAATTGTTCCACAAGCTTTCCTAAGTTTTCTGCACTTCAGCTATTCAGCTAAAGCTCAAAATTCGGGCTCTCAATTTCATCAACTGTCTCATCTACAATTCCTACCTATTTCACAACATATTCTGATCATTAACTAAAAGAATCAAACTATCAAACTTGCTCTACATATCCAAGTATCCAATCAAATCCAATCAAATCCAATCAAAATCCAAAGCTTCGATCTAAATCTAAAGCTTGGATTCAAATCCAACTCAAATCCAACTCAAATCCAACTCAAATCCAATTCAAACCTATTCCCTTGATCCCTTCCAATCAATCAGCACGAATCCTCAAAACCTCCACAACTCTCAAAAATTTCTAAAGTATTCCCAATTGCCCGCTCAGCTCTATGCTAGCGTCGAGTTTTTTCTTTGGTAAAAATGTGCGTGAGAAGCGAGAGAAAGAGTTTCGAGAGAAATGCAAAGAACAACACAGAGAGATTCGGGAATTTCAATCACAGTACATCACTCCATTGTACATCGAATTTGGTGAGTAAACGTTGAAAATTGTCGTTAAAATTGTCGTTAAAACGTAGTAGAAATTGTCTAAAAAGCTCTAAAAACCGATTCTACCTGCGTTTTGAGCTTTTTTTCATGTCTCTATGGGTTTTTTTGCGTAATTTTTTGTATTTGTTCGATTAATTTTAAACTTTTAGCCAATTTTTGACCAATTTTAACGCTCATTAATCATTTTTTTTTATTAATATTAGCTTTTATTAGCAATTTTAACCGTCATTAGTCAATTTTAGATCAATTTTAACCTTCATTAGTCATTTTAGATCAATTTCAAACTCTCATCAGTCATTTTAGATCAATTTTAATCTTCATTAGTCAATTTTAATCGTCATTAGTCATTTTAGATCAATTTCAAACTCTCATCAGTCATTTTAGATCAATTTCAAACCTTCATCAGTCAATTTTTCCATTTAAATTTAAAACATTTAAAACAACTAAAGTCTATTCATCAATTTTTCAATCTATTTCCCGAGAAAACCTTTTTTTTTCAATCTTTTTGAGCACTTGAGAATCGCTTTCCCTTTTTTGAAAAATTGACGACTTTTTGACTTTTTTAACTTGAGCACACTTGTTCTTTGTGTTCTTTGTGTTCACACACGAGAAACCCACTTCTTCTAGTGCTTCTCAACTCTGAATTGTGCCCCCAGATGAGATGCGTTTAGCACAAAGTACATTTACTAAAGCTAAATCCCTTTCCAATCGCATAAATCCCCATTCGATCTTCATAAATCAATGCCGGTTAGAAAATTTCGAATGAAAAATCACCGAAAGCCCAGAAAGTCTCAAATTTCTTCTTTTTTTCACTGATTTTGTCCTCAAATTCACAGCTGTTGTCATCTTGAGCTTTTCCCTCAAATCTCCTCAAATCTCTTTTTCCTTTTTCACCCTTTTTTTTGTGTAGTTCACAACATTTCCACAAACCGGGTCCCTTGTCACCTTTCCCCTTGCCTTTCCCCTTGCCTTTCCCCTTGCCTTTCCCCTTGCCTTTCTCTCCAAGCCTTTCCCCACTGAACATCTTATTGATTATTTTTTCTAAATTTCTATCCAATGCAAGCTATTTATAAAGTGGACGCTGTTGGCAATTTCTCGATCAGTACAAGGAGTGAGGGAAACGGTAAATGGGGGAAATTCTTTCGATTTTTTCGTCTTTTCTTGTAGAAACGAGCACATTGACATTGTCGAGACCGGGGAAAAGTAAAGAGAAAGAAGAAGACGATGATGAAGAGGGAAGTGATCAAAGTGAGGAATACGATGAGGATGAAGGTAGATAAATCGATAGGAATCGATAGGGATCGATAGGGATCGATAGGAATTGTTAGGAATTGATGGGAATTGTTAGGAATGGATAGGAATTGATAGGGATCGATAGGAATGGATAGGGATGGATAGGGATAGATAGGAATTGTTAGGAATTGATGGGAATTGATAGGAATTTATAGGAATCGATAGGAATCGATAGGAATTGATAGGAATTGTTAGGAATGGATAGGAATTGATAGGGATCGATAGGAATGGATAGGGATGGATAGGGATAGATAGGAATTGTTAGGAATTGATGGGAATTGATAGGAATTGATAGGAATTGATGGGAATTGTTAGGAATCGATAGGAATTTATAGGAATCGATGGGAATCGTTAGAAAACCATAGAAATCGATAGAATAATCACTTTATATGAGATACGATAGTTCTGTCAATCTTGGGATTACCGGGCGACCAGAAATAAAGCCGTCCTTTTTTCTAGGCTCATATTTCTGTTATTTCTGTAGACCGAAACGTTTAATTTCTTTTTTTAAATGAAAATTCACATCATTTTCTGTATATATTCAAATTTTCATGACCATAAAATCAATAGATAATTTTTTCTGTACGCTTAAAAATGGGTTGTCAAAAATATTTCGTCAAATTCAGGGGTTCTTTTATCGATGATCTTTAATAGAAAATATTAACGCATTTTATATTTTTTTCAACTGAATTTACATAAACATAGCAAAAACTAAGCTTTTAGAAAAAGAAACTGTAAAGAAAAAGTTATTTTGTGGGGTTTTTTTGTTTCATAAATTTCAACTTTGAATTGCAGCCTCGTTATTTTTTTTGACAAGCCATTTTTAAACAGAAAAAATTCTCTATTGATGTTATGGTCATGAAAAATTGAATATATAAAGAAAATGATGTGAATTTTCATTTAAAAAAAGAAATTAATCGTTTTGGTCTACAGAAATAACATAAATATGAGCCTAGAGCTGAGTGATTAGAACGGGTGATTTTTAGCGCTGTAGTAGCGCTTGACTTTGACAGAAAACCTTAAAATAGATACTTTGATAGATAACCTTTGATAGATAACCTTAAAAACTGAGTACGAATCCATGGATTGGGACAATCTTTTGTCAGTCGATCAAGAACAATCCACAATCCGATTTTCCTCGCAGAACTGAGCGATGACGATGAAGATGACAATGGAAATGATGTAGCTGTGACAGCAAGCTTCAAGTTAATCCAAAGAAAAGAATCAGCGTCAAAGAAAACGAATGGAAAAGGGATTCAAAGGAGAAAAAGTCAAAAAGTGTCGATTATTTTGAATGGAGATGATCACGAGGACAATGATCCAGGTTGGGAAAGGGGATTTGGGAAGATCCGGGTTGGGAAGGGGAATTTGGGAAGATCCAGGTTGGGAAGGGGAATTTGGGGAAGAAAAACTGGGGGTTTTCTCTGTAGCATTTCTGTAGCATAGAATTGACAATTTTTGATCTTATTTTCCGATTTTATTGTCAAATCCAAAGCCAATTTTCTATGTTTTCCAAAGCTTTTTCTATGTTTTCCATAAATCCAGATGATCCAAATTTCTCCTCAAAACTCTATTTTGCTTTCTCATTCCCACAACATGCATGATTCGATTGGGTTTAAAAATAGCCAAAAAAAGAAATGATCGCAATGTGATTCAATTTTTTTAAAAGAAGAGGGGTGAGTTTTGAAATTGAAATGGAGAAAAGAGAGAAAAATTGGGAAATCGACAAATCGCATGCGATCGGCTGGGGGGAAACAGTTTGAAAATGGGGGAAAATGGGGGAAAAAACGATAATCCGTTTGTCTAAAACGTCCATTTTTGTTCATTTGTCCATTTTCAAAAGCTACCGTACTCTTCGTAGCTTACGTACTGTCTCTTCAGTACAGTGTTAACTGAAATCGGTGTTAACTGGTGTTAGTGTTAACTGATTTGATTTGAGTCTTTGTTGATTTGGATGGAGATGTTGATTGTTGATTTGAAGACCAAAACCTAGTCAGCTTTGAAGTTGATTTGGATAATCTTTTAAAGCTGACGAGGTCTTGGTTTTGATCGAATTGACCTCAGTGGATCAGTTAAAAGCTAGTTAAGTACAGACTAAGCTATTTAAAGTATGCAAATCATGGCCAGTTAATGGTCAATGATCTGGATTTGATCAATGGCAATGATCAATGGATTTGATCAATAGCAATGATCAATATCAATGATCAATAGCAATGATCAATATCAATGATCAATAGCAATGATCAATATCAATGATCAATAGCAATGATCAATGATCATTCAATTCTATTCAAGTGCCTGGATTAGACTAGAATCTAGTCGATTCAAGTAAAATCATCGAATTCAATGGCTCTCATTCAATGACATCTAATTCGGATAGTTTGTAGAGATAGAATGACGAAAAAGTTGAATGAAAATAGCACTGGAAGGAGCGATGGAGCGATGGAGCAAAATCGGTGTGAGAAAAGCGATTTGTAGCCATAGAAGTACAAGAAATGGGGGGAGAAGAAGTGAGGAAAGAAGTGAAAGAGATAGAAAATAGAAAATAGAAATAGAAATACAAGAGAGGGAAAGAAAAGGGGAATCGATTCGTGCCACCACCAACCACAATATTCACAACTAAAAAGCGGCAGGGCTTTCCCCATCTATAGTCCCCGATAGTCCCTTTTTCATCGCTCCATCTCTGCCATTCATCCCCCTCATCCCTTGAGGGATTTCCACGAACAGATCAATATCTACTATCTCTTCTAAAGTTTTCATTTCATTTCGTTAACTACATCCTACGATCCCCAAATCCTGCCAGATCAATCTAATCAAAGCATTTCTACAGTAGCCCTACTAACAATCGTCCAATTTCAAACCAAACTATCCTTATTGACTCAATTCCTACAGTAATCCTTGAGCTTTGAGACAATCCTTATTGTCTATATCAATATCTATCAATTCCTACAGTAATCCTTGAGCTTTGACATTGGCATTGACTCAATTCCTACAATAATCCTCTACAACAGTAACTCTATTAGCAAAAACCTCAATTAATCCTTTCTATTTGACAACAATTCCTACAAAACCCTATAAACAGAACAATCTTAATCACCATCTACACCAATTCCTTTCTCTACCATAATCCCTAGCTGAATAACCTTGCTATTCAACAACAATTCCTACAGTAACCCTATCAGCTGAACAATCAGCTGAACATCAATCCTATTCTACCGCAATATCTACCGTAATATCTACCGTAATCCCATTGACTTTATCTTTCTTATTTCCATCCCTGCATGCAATGGAACATGGAAGAATTTTGTGGGTTTTAAAAAAATTGCAAAAAAATGTTTTTTTGCTATATTTTCATCTTGCAAGGATCTAGTTTGGTTAGTTTAAAAAAAGAAAAAGAAAACTCCTACTTAGACTCGTTGATCAATCGTTTGTCTTCCTTGTCATTCTCGTTTATCTTCCTTGCCATTGTCTTCCTTGCCATTGTCTTCCTTGTCATTCTCGTATTCTTCCATCTTTTTCTCACTAAAGATCACATATTGTTAAACAGTTTCTTAGATTTACAAACAAAATGAAAGCCAAATGGTTATGGCTTTCATTTTTGCACTTGCACTTGTACCGAAAAAGTTTCCATTTCCATTTCTATTTCTATTTCTATTTCTTCTACTCCTTTTCATCAGTGTTCCCAATAATTCAAATCCCTTTCTCACAAATTATGCTTTTCCCCATCGTTGGAATGAGTTTTTTTTCCAAGAATTCTCGAATCGCTGAACTCATTTTGTGACAAGGAAATTCTCTGAAAGAATCCCGAATTCGTTGGACTCTGGGGGTCAGCGATTCTCTCGTGTCTAAGCCTGGGTTTGGGCTTTATTGAAGGCTGGAACGAGGAAAGGAGACTCTAGAGGACTTTTGGGGTGCCAAGGGGGAGGCTGAGGCTGAGGCTGATGAAGCGGTTGCGTTGCGGGAAGAGGGAGGGAAGGGATGGGAAGGGATGGGAAATGAAGAGAGCCGAATATGGAGGAAGCTGGAATAGAGAACATGCACAGAAGAGATCGGATATTGTAGTGACAGCCAAGAATGAGAATTATATAGAACAGGCTAGAGACGCAGACAAGTAAAAGCTTCTAGACACCTTTTATAGAGATGGGGCTCAAGCAACGGTGATTGGGGGAGCAGCAGAGAGTCTAGACAAGCAAGAGCCTAGAGAATCGTCTAACGCTAGAGAAGTGGCCAGGAACGAGAATTTCCATATAAAGAAGAGGCCAGGGTCCAGCACAGAGTATCCAGACAAAAGAGGATTCATAGAGAGGCTAGACACAGAGAAATCTAGTAGCAGAAAGAGTCGGCAAGGCTCAAGTGAGATCGCAGACAGAAAAGCCTGCATAGACACCCTTTACACAGAGATATGTGCCCATAGAGGGCCTCGGCTCTTCCATTGGCCTCCCTTGCATCCTCCGCTCAGCTCCTTCAGCTCCTTCAACCTCCCCTCTCCCACAGGGTGTTGTCCCCCCCTTTCTCCTGTGCAGTTTTCCCCTCCGCACATCTTTTTCTATTTCTTTACAAAGTCCATCTGCTCATGACGGCTACCAACAAGAAGGTGCAGATCAAATTCTGTAAGTGTTCAATGATTGTGCTTGACCCGACCTGGGGGATTTCTAAAGTTGTTTACTTCACACACAAAAAAAAAACATTTATTTCTTTGACTTATTTCTTTTCTTATCTCTTTTCTTATCTTTTTCTCTTTTCTTATCTCTTTCTTTAGTATAAAATATCTATTCAATATTCTCAATGTTTTGTGTTCAATAGAAAAACCCTTTTTACTTTATGCTCTTCGGGGAAAACGCACTTTCTAGCATGCGATAAAATTTCGTGAATGCTAAAAAGCGGGAGCACAGGTGTTGTTGTCAAAAAAGTGTTATAAAATAATAAATAGGGAATTTTTGTTTTTGAGAAATCCTGTAGATTAAGTAAAAAAAATAGTTGGTTTTTCTCAAAATAATCATCAAATTTTTAGTCAAAGACTTCCTGGATAAAGCACGGGATGAATTCAAACAAAGATGGGAGAATCCGGGACAGGTTTGTCACACAAAATTTCGAAGATTTAACAAGTTTACAATATTTTAACAAGTTTTTATCTAATAAAGTGTGATAAAATTTGATAAAATTTGATAAAATTTGATAAAATTTGATAAAAACTCGTTAAAATTTGATAAAAACTTGTTAAAATATTGTAAAAATCTCAAATTTTCAATCAATTTCGATAGTTTTGCTGGTTAAAATAGCTAGCAAAATGGGTTTTCAGTAAAAAGATAAAAAGATAAAGATTTATATTGAATCGGACTCTTCAAGAATCGGACTCTTTAGGAAAACTTCTGTTTCTGTAAATGTTTTCGATAATTCTTTTAAAATTAGCATTTAGATATATTAATTTTGATGTATTTATAGAGATTTATAGAAGACAATCAATTTTCTTTCTTTAAAGGATCACTTTATTGTCAAGTATCTCTTCACTTTAAGCCCCTTCACTCAAAAAGACTCAAAAAGCTTCAAAAAGACTTTAAAAGACTCAAAAAGCTTCAAAAAGACTCAAAAATACTTTAAAAGACTTTAAAATAAAAGAAAATATGGGGAAATGTTAAATTCTAAAGAGAAATATTTAAAATTTTTGAAAAATTGTTTAAAAATTGTTTAAAAATTCATTTAGATTTTATTCGATTCGATTTTAAATCTAGATTTATAGAGGGGAATTGTCTTTAGACATACTTAAATCTACTGTATATATAAACAAGAGAAAGCAGCAAAGAGAAGCTGTTCTTTGTGCCCCCACAAACGTTCTACTATCTCGCAGACTCATTTGATTCCAAAACAATCATCTCTTTTGACACAACGAGTTCTCAGCTTAGCTCAGCCTTTCATCAATCTCACAGCTTTTACCACCAAAAACCAGAGCTGGATTTAGCTAAGTTACAGCAAAGTTACAGCTGCCTGCAAAGCAAAGTTACAGCTGTAACGCCCCTAAATCCAACTAGTCCAACTAGTCCAAAACTACTGTTTTCCAAATTCTAATTCGACGACCTATTCTTGCATCATTTTCAAAACCAATGCCTTTTTTTAAGCGTTCAAAAGAGACCAAATAGAAGCAGATATCAAAACTCAAGATTCTGTGGAGTAAAACAAAATGCTGACCATTTTAAAAGCTGTAAGACAATAGCATTCACTTCTCTATTCATTTCAAAACGATCAACAAGCTAGACAAAGATCACCAACAGGAAACAGGGGCATTTCTTTACATTTACATCAAAAAAAATTAGTTTTAAAGTAAGAAAACGTGAAACGACAAGGGAAAAGTCTTAATTTTGCTGTATCTCGCCTGAATACTTCCCCTTCCGTCAATCTTGTACTATATTGTTTATATATAAATTTGTTCATCTCCTCATTGTTAAGTCGGTTAAATTGTTTAAATTGTTTTAATTGTTTAAATTGTTAAATCATTTAAATCATTTAAATTGTTGCTTTCATTCTGTTTCAAACAAAACTTGATCCATTTTGCTCAAATTGTTCCGCATTTTAGCTTCATTATTGAACAGCTTCACAGCTCACAGAGCTTCACAGAGCTTTACAGAGCTTCAGAGCTTCAGAGCTTCAGAGCTTCAGAGCTTCACAGAGCTTCACAGAGCTTCACAGAGCTTTACAGAGCTTCACAGAGCTTCACAGGATTCCTGTGGCTTCGAAGAGCTTGTCTCCGCGGCGCTGTGTTTTCCCGGATTCAATCGTTCGCCTCTCTCGCAACACTCAGATGTGATCGGGGCTCTCCCTCGTGATCTCTCCACCCATTCCCTCTTCCTCTGCACTCTCCCCCTCCTCTCAATCTCTCTTTTTCCCGTTCTAAATATAGCTTTCCCTTTCCCTCCCCCTTTCCACCACTCGAGTCTCTTTTCTGTGTCAACATCCCTTCTTCTCCTTTTCCCCCCAACCCTTCCCCGTTTTCTCCCAGTCTGTGGATTCGCTTCAAACCAGGACCGAGCCTGGCTTCACCACTCTCTTCCACTTTCCCCAATCAATCAAATAGTATTCGATCTTTTGGATACAAGCATATTCAGTGACTTCTACAAATTATTCAGCTAGAAGCAGTCCACAATAATCTTGCCGTCTCCTTATTCACACGATTTCCTTTCCACCCCTTTTTAGGGGTGATTCTCATTGCCACGACGCTCACCGTGTCCACGCTAAACGGTGAGGGTAGTGGAGGTGATTGGTGCCATTTGCGTACCCCATCCTCCACTCGTACACCCTCACCATGCCGTTCTCGTCACGTCTCTCTATCTCCATCGCCAATGCCCACCAAACTCGAGCATTCATTTCTCGATCTTCCATCAACATCAACCAGATCCGTTTCTATGATCGCTTCAACTTTCGACGAGTTCGATGAGCCAATCGTTCACCCATTGATGCGAGTTGGACCTTTACAAGGACATAGAGAACCCTTTGATGAGCTGACTGCAAATCATCCAATGATGCGAGCTTTACAAATGGACAAAAACAATGATACAAATGATCAAATCGTTCATCCACTGATGCGGGTTGGTCCGCTAAAAGCGAAGGGTGAGCCGAAATTCAACGGTTTCCCCGTATTACCCCAGAGTTCTCAGGGTGGTCTAACGATCGGATTACCGCTTAAAAAGCGTCGATCCTCATCGAACGGCTCATCGGGTTCAATCGAGAAATATCGAAAAATAGTGGAAACACAAAAAGTGAAAAACACAAACACAAATCATGCTCAAATCTCACCCACACATCACTCAACTCCATGTCAACCATCCTCATCTCTCTTATTGAAAGAACTAAAGCTAAAAGATTCGCAAGAGTCGACAGATTCTCGAAATTCCTCTCCATCTCGTGGCCTATTCTCTTCACTTCGCAATTTGACCAGTCCCACTGATGATGTAAATCTTGGCGCTGAGCTTTTTTGGTTGAAATCGCAAGTGTCATCGCATTGGAGTATGAAATGGTTGTGGAAGGTGAGTGAACGATTTTTGTCGTTTATTTTCTGAAGCCCTCATCATTCTCTTGATTAGAGACAAACTTTTGGTTATTTTACAGTTAAATTTTATCCTTTTCCCCGATATTCTTCGGTATTTTTGATATGATTTTTCGAAATAACGTGAGTAATCGAATATTTAGCTAATCTAGAAAGAAATAATTAATCTTTAGCTAATCTAGAATAACGAATTAAGTAATTAATCGAATCTTTAGCTAATCAATTATCCATTTTCTTGTTTTATCAAAGTTTTAAATGGTTTTAAATGGTTTTAAATGGTTTTAAATTGTTTTAAATCGTTTAAAATTGTTTTAAATCGTTTTAAATCGTTTTAAATCGCTTTAAATTGTTTAAAATCGTTTTAAATTGTTTAAAATCATTTTAAATCGTTTTAAATCGTTTTAAATCGTTTTAAATCGTTTTAAATCGTTTTAAATCGTTTTAAATCGTTTTAAATCGTTTTAAATTGTTTAAAATCGTTTTAAATCGTTTTAAATCGTTTAAAATCGTTTAAAATCATTTTAAATCGTTTTAAATCGTTTTAAATCGCTTTAAATTATTTTAAATTATTTTAAATCGTTTTAAATCGCTTTAAATTCTTTTAAATTATTTTAAATTATTTTAAATTATTTCAAATTCTTTTAAATTCTTTTAAATTAAAATTCTCGAATCTCTATGTCTTTTCTCTTCTTCTCGCTCAATATTTCAAAAGATTTCCGGAAAAATTTCAGTCAATTCCGTAGCAGTAAATAAATAGATGAAATTTGAAGGAAAAAGGGGGAAAAGGGGAAATTTTTGAGTTATTTTCGTCTTTTTTGCTTTGCTATTCCCATTACGCAGTGTTGTTATTCAAGTATTCAGAGAGGGGAAAGGACAAAAAAGAACGGCTCTTTTTGGCTCCAAAAATAACCCCATCCCTCCCATCCATCCAAGCAAAAAAAGAAAGGGGGGAATTGATCTGCCCGGGTGTTTTCGCTCAACCCCGACTATTTTTGGCCCAGCCTCTTTTGCCAGCAAAAATCGAATTTCTCGAGTCAACGAAGAGAGGGGATTTTGAGTCTATTTATTGCACGTTTCTTGAAAAGATCTATGCCGAAAAAGTGTGCATTTAGAAGAGCACAGAGTACCAGATAGTACATTCCGTAAAGGCTTACCATTTGGTACATTTGGTACATTCCGTAAAGGCTTTGGTACACTGATTAATCAAATGAGAACCACAGAGGCAGTGTGCTAGACAGTGTGCTAGACAGTAAGTGCTTACAAGAGCTCAAAGTACAAAGGTACAAAGGGTTTTTCAATATTTATAAACTTGTTTTGCTAGTCTACTTTTGGGGTTTCCTTTTTCGCATCAAAAATCGAATTTCCAAGAGAAAAAGGGGGTGTTTTTTAAAGCTACACTACTGGACAATGAAATATCATACTTGAAAAAGGATCGTCACTTTCGCGCGTCTGTAACTCCGTTGTCTTTGAGTTTAAACTATTAGTGTTATACATTTTCTGAAAGCTCTTTTCAAGGGCTACACAATGGTAATATTAATATTTAGAAAGACGGTAAAGATAAGGGAGTTACAGACGCGCGAAAGTGACGATCGTTTTTCAAATATCATATTTCATTGTCCAGTACTGTATTTTGCACTAAATGGTCTATTTTCATCGAGATTTGCCATAAAATAAAAAATTCTTTTTGAATATAAGCCGAACAGTGAAGTAGAAGAGATTTTTGGAGAAAAGTCATCAATCATCTTATTCAAAATGCTAAAGATAGCTTGGATAAGCTGGGGAAAAAAAGCTGAGCAAGTTTTGAATACTGTAGCTGGAGCTGGAGCTGGAGCTAAAGCTGTAGCTGGAGCTGGAGCTGGAGCTAAAGCTGGAGATGGAGCTGGAGCTAAAGCTGTAGCTGGAGCTAAAGCTGTAGCTGTAGCTGGAGCTGGAGCTAAAGCTGGAGCTAAAGCTGGAGCTGAAGCTGGAGCTGGAGCTGGAGCTAAAGCTGTAGCTGGAGCTGGAGCTGGAGCTGAAGCTGGAGCTGGCTGGAGCTGGAGACTGAGATTTTATCGTAATTTTGTATGTAAATCTATCAAAAATCAAATTTTCATTCAAAAAGGCATTGAAACAATGCTGAAAATCGATAAATCTAATGGAATTGATGACGTTTTTCTTCTCTTTTCTCTCACATTTCGTCGATCACTATCATCATCGAATCTCTTTTTGATTTGAAAAAGAGCGAAAATTCTTAAAGAGCCTCGAAAAGAGAGTGATCCGACCGGAAATTCTTTACTTTTTTGTCTCTTTTTCTCTCTTTTCCCTTCAATGCAACGTGAGAAAAATGACAGAAAATTTGAGGGGAAAGCTGGCAAAAATGTGAAGATTTTTGGAAGGGGAAACTTAAGAGAACTTTTGAGGTAAACTTTTCAAATTTTCGTTTCAAATTTTCAAAGTTCAATGAAAACAAGATTTCAAGGAAAAAAACTTGTTTTGAATGAAGTTTTGCGTGAAAAATGGCATTTAGATATCGCCTTAAAAACTCGAAAATTCTAAAATTGACACCAAAGTGTTGAAAAAAATCAAAACTTAATTAATTTTCGTTTTTTTTTCATTCCGAAATTTGTCGAATTTCCTGTAGTTTAGCAAAAAAAACAAAAAATGATGGAATTTCGCATTTTCGCTATTCTTGCAATTAGATAAAGGTAAAAATAGAAAGATCGAGAAAATTCGTCCAGAAATTGTGCTAATCCGGCTCAATTTGTCGAAAGCTCAAAGTGATGAGAAAAGAGGAAAAAATTTCATGAATTTTCATTGATTCAAATTTCACTTTTTCCTACAGATTTCTTTTGTCGAAAGATTTTTAGAAGATCTAAATTATGAATCTCTTTCATTCTTGATATCAATGATGTCTGAGGGACAGGTTAACAAACTTAAAAGGTTAACAACCATTCTAGGACAGGTTAACAACCATTCTAAACATTTTTAAGCGCGCCCCTTTTAGCGTAACCGATCTGTCGTTTATCTTAAACCTAAAACATTTGAAATGTTCGTATTTGACAAGTTTTGTCACTATATATCTTTTCTTCAAAAAAAAACTTTCTTTTTTGTGTGTCCCAAAGTCCCAAAAGAGGATTCAGGGCCAAAAATAGCACGTCACGATTGTGCAAAAGTGAAAGAGACCGATGGTTTCTCGATTCTTTTCCTCAAAACTTTCCCTCATTTTTTTTCTTTTTCTTTCTTTGCGCATTGTGCGTTCCAGGAAAGGAAAAGGGAAACGCTTTTATTCTGTCTTTTCGGTGAAAGAATTGGAGGAAAATGGGGTGGAGAGGGAGACGTGCAAATAAACAGTGGAGAAGTGGAAAGTCTCTAAAATATCATCGTTGCGTGGAAAATTCTTCCGTCGAATTGTGCAAAAAATTGAGCATTTAGCCTTTAAGGGACAAGTTTATTTAGGGGAAATTTGAGAGATCCAATGCGCTAGGTGGAAAAAGTTCAAATTGAGCTTAACGAAACTGTAGAGTCCGACTCAAACTGCAGAGTCCGATCAAAACTCAAACTTCGACCACTTTAAAACTATAAAAAGTTCTAAAATTAAGCGAAATGCCTAAAAAACACTTTTTCTTTCAGAACACAGCCTCTCTGGATGATTTCGATCGAATCAAAACCCTCGGCACTGGTTCATTCGGACGGGTGATGCTCGTGAAACATAAACAATCCGGCAATTACTATGCAATGAAGATTTTGGATAAACAAAAGGTTAGAAGAAATAAAAATATCGAAAATTCAATTCAAATCTTTTATCTTTTAGGTGGTAAAGCTGAAACAAGTGGAGCACACATTGAATGAAAAGAAAATCCTGCAAGCAATCGATTTCCCTTTTCTCGTCAACATGCAATACTCGTTTAAGGTTTGTGATTGGATTTCAATTAGCCATAGAATCGAGATAAGATTCAAAAGATCCCTGAACAATTCTGAACTTTGATCATTCGCCTGCTCAAGTATTAAGGTAGCTCAGAAACTCCAAAAAAGCCAAAATAAGCCAAGAAGGGTGTAGCCAGGATTACGGTGCCTCAAATGCCCTGTAGAGCTGTAACCAATCAAACTTTCCAAGCCAAAAACTTCAATAGATCAAAAGCTAAGATGCAGACGGATTACGGTAGCTCAGGCGCACCAGTTCCCAGTTCACTTTGATCAAAAAATCCAATCTTAAAATACAATCTAGTTTCACATATCGACGATCCCAGGGCCCTGTAGCCCAGCCACCTTGTAGAATCCATGTAAAACCAAAAAAAAAAGCTCCGCGCTTCCTCACACATTCTAGTCTCTCTCCTTCAACTCATCCCCCAATTTTCTCTCGATCGCATCTCTTCCCCTTTTCCCTTTTTCTCATGAATCTATTTTTAGTACCAGCTCATCGGGGAGCCCTTTTTTCCCTTTCATTTTTCACTTTTCTCTCGGCATCTATCGATTTTTGCGTTTGAGATGGGGCAGCCAGAGCCAAACAGAAAAAAAACGAGTGAAAAGGGGAACGTGAGGGGAGGGAATGGAAAAGAAATAGAAGACGGGGGACCCATCCAATGAATGGAAACACCCCCTTTTCCCCGGTTGGTCGACAAATTGCCCCTCCCGTCGTCGAGAAGTTCTGAAAAGGGAAAAGTGTTGAATCGAGGGGTTCTGGGATAAATATTCAAGTCAAAGAATAATCAATTTAAAAAAGCCTTGACCAGACCAGACAATAAACGGTGACCAAGCCTCTAGCCTCAAGCTTAAAGCCTCTAGCAATCTGTAGTGGGCTAAAATCTGAAAGCTAGAGCTGTGAAGAAGTGATGCAGTCCAACAGAACATAATCTGGCCTAAGTTCATCACAAAGAAGTCCTATTTGTAGGACAACTCCAATCTCTACATGGTTCTCGAGTTCATCAGCGGCGGTGAGATGTTTTCTCATTTGCGTCGCATCGGTCGCTTCTCCGAGCCTCATTCGAGATTTTACGCGGCTCAGGTGGGGGGGAAATTTCAACAAAACTTGTTCATTTCAAATCGAATTCCCCTCAAAAAAACAAACTTTACAGATCGTGCTCGCTTTCGAGTACCTCCACTCATTGGATCTCATCTATCGAGATCTCAAGCCGGAAAATCTTTTGATCGATTCAACTGGATATATCAAAGTCAGTGAAATTCATCGATAATTCGTCAAAATTCGTCAAAAATCCCAAAAAATCCCCAAAAATCAAATCCCCATTTCAGATCACCGATTTCGGTTTCGCGAAACGAGTAAAGGGACGCACATGGACTCTTTGCGGTACACCCGAGTATTTAGCGCCAGAGATCATTCTATCAAAGGTACGCATATCGTAAACAAAGAAGAAAGGTGACAAGAAGCGGCTAACTAATCTAATCCTGAGATTTCCCAATCCCAATTTTCTAGGGCTACAACAAAGCCGTCGATTGGTGGGCGTTGGGTGTTCTGATTTATGAAATGGCCGCCGGTTATCCGCCATTTTTCGCCGATCAACCCATTCAAATCTACGAGAAAATCGTCTCCGGAAAGGTTTGTGCAAAAAAAAAGCAAAAAAGCAAAGTTTATCGTTGCTAGACACCTGAAAGCCAAATAAAAAATTTTAGGTGAAATTCCCATCGCATTTCTCGACCGAGTTGAAGGATCTGTTGAAGAATTTATTACAGGTGAGAGTTTGGGTAAAAGATTTCCCCAAGAATAATCAATCAAACATCCAATCAAATCTCTTCTTCTAGGTGGATCTAACGAAACGATTCGGTAATCTTAAAAACGGAGTAGCTGACATCAAAAATCACAAATGGTTTGGGTCGACTGACTGGATTGCAATCTATCAACGTCGAGTGAGTGAAAAGAATCAAAAAACAAATCGAATTAAATCTGTATCAAAAACTCTCAAATCCTCGACTGCATGCTTGCTTTTGGTTTTCTTTTTCTTTTCTTTTTTTTTACAACATTTCCTATATACTTTTTGCTCAAATATGTAAACGCACCCTTTCTGGCACACCCCAGTTATCACTCGTGCACCAGAAGGGGTGTTTTTTCGTTAAAAAGCACAAAGTACATCGTGAAAAGCGGATGATACTGTAAATTTTGTAATCCTATCGTTCTTGTACTTTGTATGACCCATAAACGCGCATCATCTGGCAGAGCTTACAAAGTGTACCATAAAGCGTGCGTTTATCGGAGAGCACAAAGTACAAGGGTGTAAAGTTCTCGAAAAGATCTAACAGCCTGAAATTTCTCAAAAAAAAAAAATCTGTCGTATCGTCTTTTCCGACATTCAGATCACTCCCGGTTCATTCGCAAAACAAGAACCGAATCGTCTCTTCGCTGCATTGTATCCAAAAATTGATGGACCAGCTGATACTCGACATTTCGTTGAGGAAATCGGCGAAGAACCACTCGCCATTTCAGCGACAATCGTCGAACAGGAGACTTTTGCCGACTTTTGATCAACTCAAAATCTTCTTCTCTTCAATTTCTAACCACGTTGGTGCACGTTTATTTGTCATTTTTTTTCACAAAGCACTTACACAGGAATGGCTTCGTTTTTCTTTTGGTTTCTTTCTGTTAGTTGAGTGGAGTAATTGTTGTGGTGATTGAATGATTTTTAAATGATGGGTAAAGCTACGGTATTTAACTCGAACGGACCTTTTAAATCAGCTAGTCACAGCTTCAGTATCGAATCCATATCAGCAAACTCTATGGGTAAAGCTACCGTACACTAGACATGTTTCATCGGGTCACCAAAAGCCTTCTAGCAAACGACTTTTGCTTTCTAAAACGTGGATACAATGTGGTTTTACGCCTTAGAAAAGAAAAGCCGTTAGCTAAAATGCATTTGGCAATCTGATGGCACATGTCTACCGTAAATCAATTTAAATTTAAAATAGATATTCTAAACAAGCTACAGTATCCAGTTCATATAGACCCAACTACAGTATCCAATCCATCTAGGCTTTGATTGATAAAGCTACATTCAATTCAAGTTATAAGAAATTACAGTATGCCAGATTTTAAGGACGGTTCTAGTCAAGCACACGGGTTATGGTAGCTGGAGTTAGAAAATATCGGCCTAGCTCTAAAAACTAAGCCAAACTAAACCCCAGCTCTCCCCTAGTCAGTACCCAATTCTAATGTTACGTCAAGCCAAATAAAAGCAAAAAGTATAAAAACCCACTCATTCCTTTGATTCAGGTGGAAGCCCCATTCCTTCCAAAATGTCGAGGTCCGGGAGATGCCTCGAATTTCGACGACTACGAAGAAGAGCCATTGCGCATCTCGGGCACCGAAAAGTGCGCTAAAGAGTTCCAAGAGTTTTAAAAAAAAATCATTGATTTGTTGACGGGAAATTCGAGATTTCATCATTGTCAAGATATTCAATTAAAGATTCTGTAAGGCATACTGTAGCAATACAAAGCATTACTCTCACCATCTTTAACTGAATATCTTTTCTACAATCAAAAATATCCAATTTCCCCCAACAAGTCCAATCTCTTGTAGTCCCCAATCCTCCCGAATCCCATTTTCTGAATTGTATACATGACCCGTTGATCCGTGCTCTCTCTCCCCTTTTTTTTCTTTTTTTTTTAATTTTATCTGGGCTTAAATTATCCCCCAAACATTCTCGCTGATCACAATTTCTTGCCACTTTTCCCTAAAAAAAATTCTCCGCAAAATTCTCTAAGAAAGATTTTTTTGCGTGATCACTTTCAAAAGACAATACTACACGATTGCCGGTTTGTCTCCAGCTAGTCTCTTTCCGTTGTTGATTATTTGCGATGAACAACTCCTCAGTCTCCAAACAAAATTTAGTCTAGAGGTGAGGGAAGAGTAAAGGGAAAGGGTTAAACCAAGCAAAAACAGAGCCAGGGATCGAAACCTGGTTGTTTGACTGGTAGTCAAGTCTCTTAGCCAGTCAGCTATGGCAGCAATTCGAAAAACTTGCTTTCCTCTTCCCCACCACCTCAACCAAACTCAGTCCTGTAGATAAATTGCGCAAAAAAAAAAATGCAAACTAGTCAAAATTGTCCCCATTTTTGTAAGAAATTCAGTATTAGTTAGGTGAAAAAACCCCCGGATCCCCATTATAGTCAAATTTTCGAGAATTCTCTAGTGTTTTTGCTATTTGTTTTTATTTTTTTTTTGTTAAACACTATACGGATGCTAAAAACGTTTTTGGTGTGTAAAAAATTCACAAAAATGAAATCGAAATGATTTTTTTCTCCTCTGAAAACTCTCAAATGTTCTCCGAAAGATTTCTTGTTTTTATTTCGTTTTTCGTTTTTCGTAAAAATTCTCGTAATTTCTATATTTTTTTGCCAAAATATATCTATTTTTGTGCAGATTATTTTCATTTTTTTTTTCAAAACCCGAGTGTTTTTTGGAGGTTCTGTGTCGTTTTTCGAAATTCTTTTTATATTTCTTTTCTTTTTGTGTGAAAACGTCTATTTTCTGGATCATTATAGCTTTAATTGTGACTGAAAGAACGGAAAAAAAAATTTGAATGAAATTCTTATGATAATAAAGAATTCATAAAAATTCGAGTGAAATTTGAGTAAAGTGCGCTAAAACGAAAGAAAAAAACCAGGCAGTTTTAAGGGTAACTGCGACTGTGAGGCTCTACACTAACCTGTATACAAAACTTGCAACTTAAACTATGCCAAAAAAAGATCCTATATATCACAAAAAGAAGACTGGGAGATGAACAAAAACAAAAGTTTTCAAAAGTGTTCATTTTCCACTCCCACCACGCCAATTTTCGACCAGGAATTTGCGCCAGTGTTTGATCTGAATAGAATTTTAGTAAAAAGTTGCAAACTTTATGAATCATAGATATGGTTAACTTATGATTTGGGTAAGCTGTATGGTTTATGGTTAATTTCTGTACAGAAGTTCTATTTCATGTTCTCACAAAACCTGTGAAATCTAAGCTTTCTTTGATTTTTTTTTGCCTTAATTTGAGAAATCATCAAGATTTTTCCAATCTCTTTGAATCGAGCAATCCTGTCCGATTCCATCGATCTCTTTCACAAAACACTCCTCACCTTTATATCGTATCCATTCGCCGTCACCTCATAGTCGACCACCTCAGCTCGATCAATCTAAAAACAACCACTAAATTGATATTCTGTTTTACAGCTTGCCGTGAAACGATTCAACTTTAATTTCAAAGAAAAACTATAAAAAAAACTTCGATAAACACGTACCTCGGCCAAATCTTTGTTTTCCGGGTAATCCTGATTCCACACATCAATCACATCGCCTTGTTGAATCTAAATTGAATACTAGAGAAGTAAAAAGAGATAACAAACTCACATTGTACGCTCGTTTCGTAACAGCTTCCTCGTTGACGCGCACTTTCCCCGTCAAGATCAGCTTTTCAACTTGTCTAAAAAGAATTGTTAAATTTTATTAACTACAGTCAGCTTTATTTGCTTAGGTCAACTTTTCAGAAAAACTTTACGAGCTGCTTTTTCCACATGTTCGGTTCACAAAAGTGTCGAGACGACGGCTACCTGGCTAAAAAAAAAAGTTTGCTAAAAGAAAAGATCAAAGCATTAAAAACAATGCAATTAGCGTTGAATATTACCAAAGTGTGGAAAGATTTCATCTATGACTGACCGGTCCTATTTTTAAAACAATACCATACAACATTCAACCGATTTCTTCTTACTACTTACACTCACCCTAATTATTTTCAATTTGTAATCCTTCGGTAAACCATCATCTTCTTCATCAGCCGTGCTCGCTCGATTTATTCGACTTGTCGAGATGGTGCATCGTGAATTGAGTAACTAAAGATGAGAGCATGAAAAATAAGCACTTATCTATACAACAAAATAATCAAAAGAACTCAAAACTATACGGTTCCGTATTTGAATGGATTGCTACCATTTTAACAAAAAACCCTAAACTCACCAAAGTCGCGGCGAAACTTCTTTGTTGGAAACAGCAAATGCCGATCCTTGAAATGATCGATGTCGCCATCTAAAACGAAAGACTAACAAAAGAAACTTGAAATTATTTATAATTTCGCATATTTATTCTTTAACATATTTAACATGTCCATTTAACAAACTAACAATGTAAAATACTTAATTTTTCATCACTAAAAGAAGTAAGCCCGGCGACAAAACCTCAAAAGTGCTTAATGTTCAGACAAAAAAAAGATTTATTATTAAACCCGCAGCTCAAAAATATCCACATAGCACAATCATAAAAATTAACAAAAACGAAAAAAATATATTTAGATAGCTGTATTCAAAACTTCAGGTAAATACGCGCGAATCGATCGATCGGCTAGATACTTCTTCAAGTGTAGAATCACCTCGATTTCCCCGTTTTTCGCCTCGAATTTCTCTATCGTCTCGGGTTTTAAACCTGAAATGTTGAAATTATCATATTTTCCAGAAGTCTTCGCTTGCCAAAACTGTAAAATCTTGTTAGTAAACCGTTAAGTACCACCGTTAGTACAAACAATCGTGCAAAAATAAATTTCAAAGCCCAACCATCTCTAATCGATATCCTTGCCTTGCCGCCTTTCCCAAAAGAATGTTCGATTCGTCCAATCTAAACGATAACTATAATATTAGGTATATTTCAGCTTTAGAAAAGCTTTTTTCAATATCCTATTCTCCGCTTTTTCTTTAAATCACCTCTCCAGTCGACAAAATGATCTCCATTCTTTCGTAGATTTCGATTTTACTTTCCTTCTTGAACAGATCTTTGCAAATCACCGATCTGTAATGAAAAAGTTAGATAAATTTTGATTACAAGAGCTACCTATCATTTTCAATTCTTTCCACAATCCCTTGTCTTTGCTTCCTTGTAAATATTCGTAGCGTTTTCTCGTCAGTGATCACTTGTTGAAATTGGCCATGGAATGGGAATCTGAAATCAGAAATAATAGTCTAACTGTGCAATAAACTAGACGTTTGATAAAACCAATCAATCCACACCTACAGCCTTTTCCTTGATGATCAAGTGTTGATGCAACGTATATCGAGTCGATTTTTGAGTAGATCGGTTTCGCCAATTGTAGAAAAACTAGGCAATCCGGCTGGATTTCCGTCAATCGTTCGTATTCAGACTAAATCACAATTGTTCCGTTGGAAAAAAAATTGCATATCATACCTCGAATTTTCTCAGAAACTGACATGTACCCATTAACGTCTCAAAACCCGTTGAAATGTGTAGCTTGCGACCGCTTTGTATTGTATCTAAAGTTTTAATGATATAACTGCATACTTTTATAGCGGTTACGATAAAAAAAGCTGTCACAAAGACCCATCACATCTTAATCTTTAATAAAAGTATGACAAAAACTGTTACCTTTAAAGAAAGTAATCGAAGACGTCGTAGCGATGAGATTTTGAATAGATGAAAGGGTATTCGGCGCAGAGATGAGTGCTCGATCGAGGGAATCCGATGAGAGATTTGACACCAAAAGAGCACCTCGTTCACCGGCACTCACCTAAACCTCTTGATAAAAGATAATCTTAAAATACAACCTTGTCAACGCTTTCTTTCCACGATTGAATTCCCTTCACTTTACATTTCTCTTTCAGAATCGGAATCTCGATCTCCGTATTGATTCTAAAAGAATCTCGATCTCCGTATTTCTCCGTATTGACTCTGTTGTGCGAAGTCCTATATTCTTTATACTCACTTGACAATTCCCTCGAGTACAGTTCCTGTCAGCACTGTACCCTTGCCTTTGATCGGAAAACAATGATCGATGGCCATGAGGAATGGTGATGAAATGTTTCGAGTCGGCTCGTAGAGAAGTGAATTGAGAGAATTGGTAATCGATGATAACGCTGCCTAAAGGAAAATAAAGCATTCTTTTTATAGAAAAAGCGCTACCTCAGGTCGTTGAAGCACGCTGCACGGAATAATCGGCGTTTCTTCAGAAATCCCGATAGCTTTCAACGCTTTTCGAACCCTCTTCTTTGCCGGATCTATCTGAGAATCTTAATTGAACGACTAAATTCCTTACTTACCTCGTTTTCTTCTATCAAATCGATTTTGTTGAGCACGACGAGCACATGTTTCGGACAGAATAGAGCCGCTAACAAGAGATGTTCCTAGAATTTATCAATTAGTCAAATAAAAGAAATGAAAAACAAACCGCTGTTTGTTGCTCAATTCCTTTTTGTGCATCGACCACAACAAGAGCCATGTCGAATACCTAAACGTTGCTCGATTACAAGTTTTTATGTTGATTTCTTACCGTACTAGCCGCAAGAACCGATCGAATAAGTGAAGCGTGTCCGGGACAATCGATTAACGCTAATCTTCGTCCGTCAACAACCAAAGATGAGAATCTAAAGTGGATATAGGTCAATTCATTTAATTCTTACCCCAAATCGATTGTGTTATGTCGGCCTTCTTTTCCCGCATGTTTATCGAAAGCATTGGTGGATGAGAGTGACGCAATTGCTCTTGTCAACGTCGTCTTTCCAGCATCTTAATGAAATTTCCAAAGTTGAATTAAATCATATACCGACATGACCGAGTATTCCGACATTCAGCGTGCATAGAGCGGCCATTAACCTGTAAAAAGATCTCTGAAGTTTATAAAAAGAATAAAGTAGGACTCCTGTAGAAATTTCGGTATACAAACTTTCAAAACAAGCCTTCTCAACGACTCTTTTAAGCAAAAAAAGTAAATCTCTCGAAACCTTCATATGTTTCTTGAGATATGGAGTTAAATGATTCGATTGAATATCTTGAAAAGAACACTCAACGACTTTCTTACAAAACATCTTACAAAGCAAAACACTTTAAAGAATGTTAGTTTGTCTGTTCTTAGTTACGTAAACTTCTTAAACCTTCAAAGTAACTTGTAGTAACTTCAAACAAATTATTAAAATCATTTCACACCTAAATCTTTATTAATCGTTAGTCAAACCATAACAACAATTATCACAGAGTGTTAGAAAAAAAAAGAATTGGTCAAGAATCGGTTTGGAGAATTTTCAGAATGGAAAGAAGAGTGCTAACTTTGAATGGCAAGACAAAAAAAGCTAATCACAATGTATAACTAGGCAATACTTCTCAACAAGAAAATGAAAGAATCTATAATACTGATTGATTTTGAACATACTTAAACATTTTGAACATACTTAAATATTTTGAACATACTTAAATATTAAATGATCACAGATGACAAATATGACAAGAGAAAGAAGAAAACTGATTGAAAATCTATAAATTAAAAGCGACTATTGTGCAAAACCTTTAGGATTCTGTGACTGCCAGTTCCATAAATCACGACACATCTCCTCCAAACCGAACTCAGCCGTCCATCCCAATTTCTCTTTGGCCAACGCCGGGTCACAATAGACCTGAATCTAGAGATTGCTATAAACATTAAATGCTTTATGCTAGTTGAAAAGTTTACGGTATGATTGTGCTTGCTTGAAAAGCACGAAATCAGTAATTAAGTCTTAGCTTGTTTTTATGACCGTTAATTTCTTTAAAAACTTCAAAAACACTCACTGAAGCAATATCTCCGGGTCTCGGTTCGCCCTCTTTCGTAGGAATCTTTCGTCCACTCGCTTTCTCCAAAGCGGCCACCATCTCGAGCACCGAGTATCCTCGTCCCGTGCCCAAATTGAAGATCTCAGTACCAACGTGACCTAAAGATTCATAGAATACCTAAAAACATTGATGACCTAAAAACCTTCTCTCTTAATCCTGTCTAAAGCCATGACATGCCCTTTCGCGAGATCGACGATGTGAATGTAGTCTCTCACACCCGTTCCATCAGGAGTATTCCATTTTGTGCCAAACACCGTCACCACCGGGAGACGTCCAATTGCAACCTAAATAAAAATCTATTACAGAGTTCATTCTTCAAAAACGTAAACTTTTTAAAATTCGCTTTAAACACTAAACCAATCGATTACCTGTGAGACAAACGGCATCAAATTGTTGGGAACACCTTGCGGATCTTCTCCAATTCTTCCAGATGGATGAGCACCAACAGGGTTGAAATAGCGCAACAAGATGATGTTCCAATCCTAAAGATAATAGTATGAATTTAAAATTGTACTGCATAATGTGTACTGAAATATCGTGTTATAGATAAAGCAAACTTTAGCATTTTCCTTTACCTTGTGTGCTTTGCCAACGTCAATGAGAATCTGCTCCATCATGTATTTCGTTTGTCCATAAGGATTCGTGATTCCAACACCTGAAAGATTCGAATTAAGGTTAACGTTTGCGCAAAATTTCTAACCGGTTTGATCATTTTCTGTAATCGGCAATTTCGAGGGTGGCCCATAAACGGTTGCAGAAGAAGAGAAGACAAAGCTCTTCACGTTATACTTCTGGCACATCTGGAAAAAAGCTATTAAAAAGATAAACGTAAAAGCAAACCTGGATAAGATTCAAACTGGCAACAATGTTGTTTTGGTAGTACTCGAATGGTTTCGCTGACGATTCACCGACAGATTTGAGAGCAGCAAGGTGAATGAGGCCGTCAAATTTGTGCTAAAATCAAAACATAAGAACAGCCTTAATAAATCATAGACTCTTTAAAGCCTTTAGCTTATGAGATTACGCTAATCAACAAAGCTTTAGATTTTGAGGCCGTTTGACGGCGAAGTTTGACGGCTTTAGATTTTGAGGCCGTCAAACTTGCAAGATTATTGAAAAATGAAAGATTTTTCAGATAAAATTGACTTAAAAGGTACTTTCGAGAAGATACGATCAAGTGCATCCACATCACAGACATCGGCTTTTTCGAAAGGCACCGATTTTCCCGTTAATTCGGCGACACGCTTCAACGAGATCGCTTCGCCGCTTTCATCTAGAAAGAAATCTTTTATAAACGTTAACATAATTGAATTAATTAATTAATATGTAGACAATTAAACGATATGTAACATATAAATAACTATAAATAAACTAAAGAATTTTTAAAAGTAAATAGAGTTAACAAACATAACTTTTTGATCAAAAACATAAGCAAACAAGAATCAACACATTTTTGATTCTAAAATGTGTCTGCGTTCAAGTATGTCGATTTCTATTTACTTTTCCATTCATAAAAGTATCAAATGAGTTCCAATTAAAGACCAGGCCAAGATCAAACGATCTTTAAAAAGGGCTAAGGCTAGAATTTAGGATAAAATGGATGAGCAAACAAAAACACATTGACGAAATCAAGCTATGACGATGACAACGACGATTTTAGTAATTTTAGAACAACAAAACCTTACCTGAGATTGAGTTGGCGAAATTATCAATGCAATAGACTTGATAGCCGGCCTGTAGAAGCTCGAGAACGGTGTGACTTCCGATGAATCCCGCGGCGCCTGTGACGAGAATATGCATTTGATTGGGATGGACGAGATGGGAGACCGAGTAACCTGAATAAAAAAAAGAATTACTTCTTCTGATAGCTTATAGATTGAATATTTCAAAAAGTGTTGGTGCTTTTTCAGAAGAAAACCAAAATGAGATGAACTTTCGTTTGTAAACAACTTTGTTTGTTCTTTCAAAAACGCAATCGCGGCAATAACATGATATTTGATGATTTTAAAATTAAATTCAAGAAATCTAGCAAAATTTTTGATAGATTTTATCAAGCTTTCTAAACTGAAATCTTTTACAATCTTTTTAAGTAGTAAATTCAAAAAACAAACAAACAGCAAACTAAAAAAAGAAATCTAGAATCAATAGCTGCTCAAGTAGAACCTAAAACACAGCAATTTAAAATGGATTGAATCGAGAAATCGGCCAAAAAATGGATTCAATCGAGAAATCGGCGAAAAATTGTTGACACAAGTGTGTTGCAAATGAAATGCGCGCACATTTGGCCATCGCTTTTTCGACGATATTTATGGAAGAGTGGGGAAAAGAGGTCAAAGAGAATAGGGAAAGGAAAAGGCAGAACGCCACGTTTCTCTAAATCACACAGCCCTTTTATTGAAAAGCTTTCCTGGAAATGGGGAAAACGCTTGGAAAAAAGCTCGATATTGTCGGCATAAATCACCACGTTTTTCCCCAAAAAATCAAGCAGCAGACCATCTTTTCATCATAAATTCCGTAGAATCGTGATGAAATTCGAGCAATTCCTAGAAATCCTCCAATCCTCGAACGATCGTCGACATCCTCCAACTATTCTCCGAATCCAAAAATTCAATTTTTCATCATGAATCCGAACAAATTGTGATGCAATTTTGCATGGATGAATCCGCAAAATGTATAGCATTTATTCAGTGCTCATGGATCACACAAAAAAAAGACCGGGAGGAATAAACGAAAACAAAGGCATTTCTATGCATCAAAATAGCGATTAGATTTCGATGGCTGATATGAGGGAAAAGCCGACAAAAGAGCTGGAGAATTCGGGAATACAGGGAAAAATTTGGAATGACTATGTGAAAAGGAATACGAATTTTCGTCTAACGGCTTGTATCTAAGAATTTTGTGCCAAAATCTGCACAAAATTGAGAACCCTGGTGCTTTGGGGAATGTATGTGCCTAACTAGAACTGGCATTAGATCAAACTATTCGCTTTTTTGTAACTTTACCGGTCAAATATGCACCTTGAGTTGCTCAGAGTACACCGAGTCGATAAAACTACAAAGTATAACTAAAAAAAAAGACATGTCTACTCGAGAATTTCACGATCACAACAGGCATCTAAAAAGTTTTACTCCATCCGATCGCCGATGCAATGAGAGATAAAGTAGCCGAGTGTTTCGGTTGCAATTTGCCGGCCCACAATAATTTATGGGGTAACATATTGATCGCCGAGATTCCCTCACATGTTAAACCAAGCTAAAAGTTTCTCCATTCAATTTACCGGACTTAACCACAAGAAAATCTCTAGGTAAATATCTGGCCCAATATCCAGCTCAATATCTAGCCCAATATCTAGCTAGATATCTAGCCCAATATCTAGCTAAATATCTAGCCCAATATCTAGCTCAATATCTAGCCCAATATCTAGCTCAATATCTAAAAAATACCTAGCCTTAGCCTTTCACTTACCAAAGTCACCAAATCATCCCATCCTTTCGTGTGTCGCTTTCGATAAACTTCTCGAATCTAAAGTTTTCTTTGTTTATACGATAATATTTCAAATTCTTTCATTCACCTGTTTCAAAAACCCAGCTACAATCGCCACCAACCACAAGTAGAGACAGTATCGGAATAAACGCACCGAATCATATGGCAAAACCTGAATTTTTTTTTAGAAGTAACTTGTTAGTTCGAATTCGGATCTACCAACTATGGGCTAGTCTATCTAATTAGACAAACCTTTGAATCCGAAAGCCAAGCTATCAACTCGACAGCCCAATAGATCGAATAGGCGACGGTCACCGTGCTCACACAGGTGAAATCAAATCTGAATAGTGGAATAGCGATTAAACCTTTTATCTATCAATCTTCAAAAATCAAGATCATCAGCTACTCACTTGTCAAGAATTCTCGATAAACCGGGTAGTGCTTGAAGGGCTTTGTATTGTGTGGGTCCATTGAGTTGTCGGAGAACCATGCGAGTGGTCGACATTTGTTTAGCAATAGCCTAAGTACACGAATGATAACTTGCCGTAAGACTACTCTAGGATTCTATCACGGGTAATCCAATTTAATTTAGGTTTAATCTGTGGTTAAACGTTTAAACATTACCAACCATCCATTCTTTTCCTTTTAAACTCCTTTGTGCATGTAGTTGGATCATAAAATAGATGGTTCTCAATGCCTAAAAAGATTTTTATTTTAAGAAAAATGGATTAGAATAAACCTTATCCCGTCCAGCGTAGGATCCAAGCGATTTAAGAATCGCATCCAAATTCGGTAATTGAATTGGAGCCGCCATTTGATAAATAAATCTACAAAAGCAATTATTTTAACTTAACCCAAATCTTTACCAGTAACCACTCGATCAGCTTACTTTACCCGCCTGAATACCCGAACAAAGAGCACAAAATTGATGGGAAAAGGCAAGGAATTGTCTGCGGGGAAAAGGGAAATGAAAAGAAATGATATCAAGAAAGAGGACACTACAAATTGGCACGAGTGAGCAAATCTTTCTTGTGCGCACCAGTGACCAAACTACAGTGCAAATTCCAAAATCCCTGTAGCTGCGCTTTTTATAAATGGATATTTTATTTAACTAACAAATTTCAAACTCTCAACAAGCAAAATGAGTCCAACAACGAACGAACAACAAAACAGCAATTTGCACAAAGATCAAAAATGGAAAATGTTGCCAAAATTCAGGAATAACAACACCACGTAAAAATGATAGATTTGAGAAAGAATGCAAAAAGAGGAACAATCTTTATGATTTACTTTATAACATGCTTTCGATGAGTGTATCCCTCAATTGACTGTTGATTGCTGTCGGTTGATTATCGCCCAATTTGAAGATCGATTCGACCACCGACAATTCGGTCGAAGTCGTATCCAGGCCTAAAACACGAATAATTAGCTGGTAAAAGAAAAGATTGACGTTCTTTAAACCTCAACCTCTTTACGACTTATCGTTGTTAACATCTAAGATAGCTCAATATTAAACATGAAAAATCACCTGTGAGAGCGATCCAATCGTTCACACACATCCCAGCACCAATTAGCTCACTACCTCGATTCACTGTACCAGCCACAACCGGGATCTAAACACAAAAGTCAACAAACGACTCTTCAATTATTTGTTCTTCTTGAACTAATAACTGAATCAAAACATACCTGCAAAAGAGCAGCAAGTTCCCTTTGTGTTTCTGGAGGAGTTCGCGCAGCCACTAAGCATCCTTGTGACGAAAGAGAACAGTAACTTCCCACCTGAATAATATAATCTTGAGAGTTAGATTACAATGTAACTAACGCTTTATCGCAAATAAAAAGAATCTAAAGACTTACCAAAGAATTCTGTCCAAGCGTCACACGAAACACTTCGACTTTGAGCACTTCTTGTAGAGCCTGTAAGCAATCTATTGGGTTGACCCATAAGTAATGAGTCACGGCAAAGAAAAGAAATTTTGGTGTTAAGTTTTAGTTGTCGCTCAGTGTTTACCATTAAAAGAGACAACAGCATTCCCCTATTTTAAAACACTTTCAGTGATTGGGCATGCTTTTTATCTTCTGCTAAATGAGCATATTCGGAGGGCACTTTACAGATAAAATATGCCAAAAGATTGGTAGAGCTACTTCGCCTCAAAGCTAAAGCCTTTTGAGAGAGCGGAATTCACCTTCTATCAATAAAATGGGCACAGGTTATCGAAAAAGATGCAAACTATTTTGATTGATTTAGATGCCACTATTGGAATAAATATTTCTGTTTGAAATTACTTATGGGCCGACTCAATAATATTGGATTTAAACAAAATTTTACTTTTTCTGTCTCCTCGCTGATCTCGGCGTGTACAAGAGCCACGTGATCGTTGCAAGCAATCACATTTCCGAGCGCTGACAAACGCTCGTCCACACGGCGAATTTGCACCTAAACCAGAAAATTTATTCTTGGACTGAACTCTCATTGGTAAAATAGATTAAATTCTTTAAAGCTCATAAATTCACCTCATCTGGAAGGGCATTTCTGATGTGTTGAAGTTCTTGATCAGTGGTAGAATTTGGAACGAGAAGACCGTGCCTAAAAAGAACAATTAGATAAGTAATTCAATAATAGATCGGTAACATCGTTCTACGATTCAACTAAAGTAAAAGTCAAGTAATTTTCCTTCAACTATTTCTTCAACACTTTAACTAAAAGTCAACCCTAACATTGCTATACTGACTTTATTGCAAACTGTTGTGGGTAATTCAACATTTGTTTCTTTGTCAACAAGATCCTTACCGATTTCCGGCTGTCAATCGTCCAACTATCCGGGTTCCCGAGATCGTTGTATGTATCACTGGAACCACTTCAGCCAATTCCGCCTCAACGATACTAAATGAAAAACATTAGATTTGCTTTACCTTTTTGGTTCATAAACTACTTGTATAGGGTGTCCCAAAAGTTCTTATATTTTTTCTGTAAGCATTTTTTGACTTAAAAACACATGAATTTTGGAAAACTAACGCCGGATTCTAAAAATCCAGGTATTTTTACCCCAATATACTCGTTTTCATCAAAAGATTTAAACTCTCAACAACCTTTTGACTAGGATTTTTTTACATCCAAGTCTGGCCGTTGAAGGTTTTTGCGAAAGTTGACTTAAACTTTGCAGCATGAAATTTTTCCAAAAACTGTTGTTAGCATTTGATATACCTAAGTTTTTCTTGAAAACAAGCCACAAACGAACCTTTATATCTCAAAGACGAAAAATTTTCCAGCGATTCTACTGAATACCGAATCAAAAAATAAAAAAAAGCGCTATGAAGACCCTTTATCCTCATCAAAAATATGTTTAGAGTTTCAACTTTTGTGCAAAAAAAGTATAGTACGGTTAAAAAAACTAGATTTTCATAATCCGGCGTTAGTTTTTCAAAAATAGCATTTTTTCCGAGTCAAACTTTCCGTTTATAAAAAGTATAAGAACTTTTAGGACATCCTGTATTGTTGGTGCTTATTAACTGTACTTATTGGTGCTTATTAACTGTAAGAAATTACAAGCAATGGACGTTTAATACCAAGCAGGCTATGCTTTGAACCAAAGTCTCCTATTCGGTTAGTTTAAATCATTTAAATTTAATAGGCCAGTTCTTTAAAAGATTTAAATGGCCAGTGCTTTTTGTGCTTTTTGAGGCCAGTGCTTTTTGAGGCCAGTGGTTTTTGACTAGTTATCCATTTTCCGAAGAAACTAGACTATTAACCAGACTAAACTAACCAAATTATGCTTATTGGGCTAAAATGAAACTATAATGACCAACGTTTCTAGATCTAGCATACTTTCGACCCAAAAAAACCCAACCTGTAGAAATTTTGCGTACCACCGATGCCCACCAAACAATAGGAGTTGGTGAGCTTGCAGAAGACGCCCACTTCATTGCTTCCCTCATAATCGACACGCAAAGCCATTCTTTCTTCGTAAAGCTGAAAATTAATAAATTAGTAAAATGAATGAATGAATAAAATGAAATTAATGAATAAAATGAAATGAATGAGTAAAATGAAATGAATGAATGAATAAAATGAAATGAATAAGTAAAATGAAAGTTTAAAAAGGTAAAAAGATGAATGAAAAGGACAAAAATCTAATTTAAAATTTACAAACATCAAGAAACATATATGAATTGTAGAATTGCCTAAAGTTTTGCTGAATAGCAGTAACCCTGTTGGCAAGACAGCCTTTATCTCCAATAGCAGTAACCCTTTCGCAATCTTGTGCAATTTTGGGGCTAGAAAATTTCCAGCAAACAGGCGACTTATCTGCGCTAACGACTACGTCAATAGGAGCATCGTCTTTTGGAGAAAAAGGCTGTCTTGCCAACAGGTAACTCAAACATCAAACAATTGTTGTCAATTTTTTGCGGATCAAGCTAGACTTCGGCTAGAATTGCACCTTTTTACTTTTCGTTTCTCTTTTTAAACATTTTTTTTCATTCTAAACCTCATTTTCTTCTTAAATTCTTGCAAAAGCATTAATTTAAAGCCTAAAGCGCCAAACTCATTCGTGAATCAATGAGCTTTTCGAAATTTGCACTCTAATTGGTCAATCAACACCCCATGAGTAGCTTAAAATAATATTTGTGATTGAAAAGGGAAGAATTGAGCAAAACAAGCTGAAAATTTACATCGTAGGGGAGTGGGACAAATGCGACCTTTTTTGCGCACCCGGACATTTGCGCACCTTTTTTTCCGCACTTAGCCCATTAGCGCACCTTTTTTCGCGTTTTAAAAAAGCTCTAAAAGCTAATATTAACCAATTTCTATTCCAAAAGTTGTTTTTCTAGGTAATCTTAGGGCGTAGAATCGAAATTTTGGCATATCAGAGCTTGTGGAAGCGAACGGACGGAATTAAACAAAGAGAAAAATCAACAATTTTCTGTAACCTAGCCGTTTTGTCTATCAAATTGGTTCCACAAGCTCTGATATGCCAAAATTTCGATTCTACCCCCTCAAATTACCTAGAAAAACAACTTTTGGAATAGAAATTGGTTAATATTAGCTTTTAGAGCTTTTTTAAAACGCGAAAAAAGGTGCGCTAATGGGCTAAGTGCGGAAAAAAAGGTGCGCAAATGTCCGGGTGGGCAAAAAAAAGGTGCGCAAATGTCCGGGTGCGCAAAAAAAAGGTCACATTTGTCCCACTCCCGGATAGATCTTGTTTTGAAATTTCGGGGTAGGCTAATTTCCGCAATTCGTCATAACTTTCTTCTAAGTCAGCCAATCTTTATGATTTTGATGTCATTTTGTTGCACTTATTGAGATCTACAAAATGACATCAAAATCATAAAGATTGGCTGACTTAGAAGAAAGTTATGGCGAATTGCGGAAATTGGCCTACCCCGAAATTTCATCTTGATTTTTCGACCTTCTCTTCTCAGTGCTTTCTATAGCACTTTTTATCGTAACCGCCTTCTCGACAAAATGAACATGCTTTAGAAAAGACAGTAAAACTTGTTTTTTCAATTCTGAATTTACTCATAGCCACGAAAAAGCTCAATTTTTGATCAAAACGGAAGATTTGGCGCAAAGATAGCGAAATTCAGCCGGTTTTTGAGGAAATTTTGATTTAATCTGCCAACGATCCGAATGTTGCGCTAACCTTTGTCATAAATCTGACTAGAGACTTTTAGTAATCCATTCTAATAATCCATTCTAAGTAATCCATTCAAGTAATCCATTCAAGTAATCCATTCAAGTAATCCATTCAAGTAATCCATTCAAGTAATCCATTCAAGTAATCCATTCAAGTAATCCATTCAAGTAATCCATTCTAATAATCCATTCTAATAATCCATTCAAGTAACCCATTCAAGTAATCCATTCAAGTAATCCATTCAAGTAATCCATTCAAATAATCCATTCAAGTAATCCATTCAAGTAATCCATTCTAATAATCCATTCTAATAATCCATTCAAGTAACCCATTCAAGTAATCCATTCAAGTAATCCATTCAAGTAATCCATTCAAATAATCCATTCAAGTAATCCATTCAAGTAATCCATTCTAATAATCCATTCTAGTAATCCATTCTAGTAATCCATTCTATTAATCCATTCTATTAATCCATTCTATTAATCCATTTTAGTAATCCATTCTATTAAGCACTAAACATTACAGTAATTGAGGAACATTCCATGCCCGTTCTCAAAGCTTATGAAATTCTATAGTCTAGTCTATTCTATAGTTCCAGAGAACAATAATTCCCCTTTCTTTTACCATAGAAAACATCGAAATTGATTGAAAAGTTTGATATTTGGAATGAGAAAAGAGAATTTTTATCCCAAAAAGGCACTGTCTCCTTTTTTTTCCCTTTTTCTCTCTAATCCTCCCATTTGCACGTGTAACATTGGCAGTACAACGAGAAAGAACAATTCCAATTTCATTTCCATTTTTGACAGAAGAACATTTCCTTTATTCCCTTCCAATCGCTTGTCAATTTTAGAAAGAAAGCTGAAAATGGTTTGAATTTGAAAATCCTACCATTTTCGATTGATTTCCTGATTCAATAATGATTATTCGGATATTGGCCATCGCTGCTTTATATTATCCATTGAGTATCGGATTGACTTTTTATCAGAAATGGCTACTGAAGGTAATTGAAGGCTGCTGTAAACGAAAAACTAAGTATCACCATTAACCATTCAATTCTAGAACTACAAATTCCCGCTGATGGTCGTTTGTGGTCATTATTTGATCAAGTATGGAGCTGCGATATTTATCCGTTTTCTCTGCGAATTGTGCGGACCAAGAAGGGTGCGATTGTCGTGGAAAGAACAGGTGAAGAAGAAGAACACTCTGAACTCACACCGTCTAGCATTCAGTCATTCATTTTCAATCAAAACGACCAAATCTAAAATAGAAAATTGGCAGATAAATCGAGTGACATCCAGATTGTCCAAAAATTCCGTTATAAAGCGAAAAAACCCGAAAAAGACGCGTAATTTTCACTCGAAGTCAACGCCGAAAAAAGCGCTTGCAAAATTTTTTGTAAAAGATACCGGGAAAATAGGAAAATTAGATCTTTGGAATTTCCAATTATTCAGCTCCGATGGCTTGCCCCAATTGGTATCTGTGCCTCACTTGATATCGGATTATCGAATTGGGCATTGGAATATGTAACTGTTTCTTTGTATACAATGGCCAAATCAAGCGGAATTCTCTTCATCGTCGCTTTCTCGTTATTGTTGAGATTGGAAAAGTGAGTTGGAAAAAGGAATATGAAATAAGCTGTTCAAATATTTGCTGAAGCCTTGTTAACCAAATAAAGCTAAACTAAATAAAGCTGAACTTTGCGTTCAATTACCTAGTACTTTCAGATGGCGAATCTCATTGGGTATGGAAGCAGCTTTTATCGCTTCTGGTCTTTTCCTTTTCACTTGGCGATCCTCACAATTGGATTTAACCGGTAAAAGAATTATCGAATATTTACGATTATCGAGGATGGAATGATTTTTGCTTTTTAAATAGAAATTGGGATAAAAGGCATACCTGTTGAAAATAATTGTTCCATTCCACAACTGTCTCTTTATCAAGCTCTTTATCAACTCCTTTATCAAGTTCTTGGATCGTATATTTGATAGTTGTCTGATTGTCTGTCCAGAGTCGAATGGACTTGACCATGTGTCCAAAATGGAAAGCCAATGAGAAGCCAATGAGGAGCCAATTGATATCCAAGTTTGATATCCAAATTTGTGTCTCTCAATCCTTTTGTGCTTTCTTTCGAAGTCATTTTTGTTCCGACAACGAACGCATTCCCATCGACAAGCTTCTCCTTTGTGTTAAAGTGACATTTCATGACCTTGAAGACATCAGTGCAATGATACTCCATGATAAATGAGGAAAAAAATGGCGCTCTTTTCATCAAATCGCCAAAGATCGTTGTACGATTGCATTTTATCTAAAAAAGAACATTAGCAACGTAACTTGAGAGAAATGGAAAGAAATGGAAAGAAATGGAAAGAAATGGAGAGAAATGGAAAGAAACGGAAAGAAATGGAGAGAAATGGAAAGAAATGGAAAGAAACATAAAGAAATCATATTGGAACCGTGTCCGAACCATATTGGAACCATATCCGAACCAAATTGGAACCAAATTGGAACCATACTGGAACCATATTGGAACCATATCCGAACCATATTGGAACCATATTGGAACCATATTGGAACCATATTGGAACCGTATTGGAACCAAATTGGAACCATATCCGAACCAAATTGGAACCATATTGAAGCCAAAAACAGAAAACAAGAATGAAATAAAGAAATAAATGAAATTCCGACCAGCAGATAAAATAATGAAAAGTAGTCAATTTGTTGCCTGAATATCTGAAAATAAAGGACAAAAGAAAAAAATTGTCTTTTACCGTGATTTCCATCATAAAAAGCAAAAATCATTCTTTTTTTTTGATAATCGCTTGTAAAATCAACCCACGATAACCGTAAAGATTCGAATTATTTATTTTTAAATATTTATTTGCTCTAAATGCGAGATTTAGGTCTTCTACTGGTTGAGCTAGCTGCAGCTTGTACGGGTGTTCGGTGGAGTGTCTCACAATTAGTTATGCAAAAGTAAGCTATTTAAAATTCATTATTTAGAACTAAAATTCATTCAATACAAGAAATTCATTAATTCTAAGACATTCCGATCTTCAGCTAGTAAAAGATTTCTTTAGCGAGGACAATCACGCGATCAGAAACCCTCTTGACATGGTGGCTCACGTTCAACCGTGGATGTTGATCCCGATTGTACCGTTGATTCTAATGTTTGAGGGTGAGTTGGGGAATAAATTAATATAGGAAATAGATATAGGAAATAGATAAAGCTAATAGATAAATAGGAAATAGATAAATAGTAATAGATAAATAGCAAATGCTAGAATACTAGCAAATACTAAAATGTACTAGATAAAGAAAGCAGTAAATAAAGCAAATTCTAGGCAGTAAAATGTCCGTGATTGATCCGTTCGTGTATCAAGGAGAGTACGCACCGTTGACCATTTTCGCATTAGTGTTCATCGGTGGAATGATCGCGCTATCGATGGAGTTGGCTGGTTGGTGGATTCAAGAACAGAAGACTAAGAACAGGACTAAGAATAGGACTAAGAACAGGACTAAGACCAAGACTAAGAACAGAACTAAGAACAGGACTAAGACCAAGACTAAGACCAAGACTAAGACCAAGACTAAGAACAAGACTAAGAACAGGACTAAGAACAGGACTAAGAACAAGACTAAGAACAGGACTAAGAACAGGATTAAGCCAAGCTCAGAGTGAGTTCTTAAGTGTTGGTTTCTTAAGTGACTGACTTAGCGCTGGCTTTTCCTTTCATCTCTATACTACTGATTGCAGAATACCTGCTCCTTGTGCAAACTTCAGGGATGACACTCAGCGTCTTCGGCATCATAAAGGTTCTTAAACTTGAGATGTTCAGCTAATGTAGATCTAGGAGGTCTTCACTCTCCTCCTTGCTCATTTCGCTCACGGCGATCAAATCTCCGGAGTGAATCTCATCGGTTTATTGGTTTGTATGGGTGGAGTAGCGTTGCACGGAATGAATCGACATCGGTTAGTTATTCAGAAATATCTAGATAAGAATCTAGTTCGGGTTTTCGAGTATTCGGGTTTTAAATCTTCTTTCTTTTTCTATCTTTAGTTCTTTTTTTGCTAACTTTTCGGGAAGCATGCAATTTCTTGTAAACAAAGCACTAGGAAAGCAGGATTTCTGTCAGTACAGTAATCCTGCCAGTACAGTAATCCTGTCAGTACAGTAATCCTGTTAGTCTAGTAACCCTGTAATCAGTACTCTGATAGAATTTCCGTTTCCCCAGGCTTGGTTCCAAAAATCTCAACTTTAGAGAGAAAATAGGGATCTCTGGAACATTGTATTCATCGTATTGAAGCGTTTTCTAAAAGATGAGAAACTACAGTACTCCAAATTCGATTACAAAGCTTTTCTCATCTTTTAGACCAATTTTCTCCACCTCAACCCATTTCCGATCCCTTTTTTTGCCTTCCTTTTCTCTCTTTGTTCAACCACAGACTTATTTGAGTTTAAGAATATAACAAAAACCTTTACAACTATCCAAAAACTTATCTAGACTAACATGCTTCTTTAAAACATAAAAATAAAAGATCCTCAATTTGGTCAGCTCTCAGAAGGGAACGTTTTAAAGAGGGTGTGAGACTTTTAAACGGTGAACGCCTATCGGAAATGATGATGATGGGTTTATACGACGATGGATTTGTCGATGACGAATTCGTCGAATCGATGAACGATCAATCGATGACGAATTCGTCGAATCCGAGGACGAATCCGATAACGAATCCACAGGTCCCTCAAAAGCTACACGGGCAGAAAAGAAGTTGGCTCGTTGGTTAGCAAGTGTTTTTCAAGAGGCTTCAAATGGTGAAGAGGTTGATGGAAGAAGGGAGAAGGGAGAAGAAGGGAGAAGGAAGAAGGAAGAAGGAAGAAGGGAGAAGGGAGAAGGGAGAAGGGAGAAGAAGGGAGAAGAAGGAAGAAGAAGGAAGAAGAAGGAAGAAGAAAGAAGAGATGAAACAGGTCGAAGAAGATACTGATTGGGATGAAGATGCGATACAATGGCTAGAAAAGAGTTTTGCTCAAGAAAAATGCCACTAGACAAATCTGAATTTTCTGAAATTCCTCCTTAGCCTTATAGATCAACCATTCAACTTCAACTTCAACAAAAGCAAAGAAAGCATTGGATTTGTCCGATAAGCGTTCACCGTTTAAAAGTCAAACACCCTTTGTTCCTTTGTCAGGAACGTTCCTGTCAGGAAGTTTTGTCAGGAAGTAAAACTAGAAATGTTTCCTTGATGCTTTTCTAGAAATAAACGAGATCTGGCATAGCATCTGCTCAATGCATTAGATCCCTAGCATTTCTGGGAGCTCAAAGTACATCATTGTACATCATTGTACATCATTGTACATCATTGTGAGTCAAAACTTGTCGTCTTTTATTTGGATGTGATTCTAGTAACGCGATCCATCTCGAGAGAGGTCGTTTCGCTGCTCTGACGGCTCCTCGACACTCACTCTCACAAAGAGATCATCAAAGAGATCATCAAAGAGACAACCAATCAGCTTATGACAATCAATGCTCACAATCAACTCCATGATCTTTATAATCAACTCCATGATCGTTCACCGTTTAAAAGTCATCTCTATCAATATCTTCCCGACAATTTTGCATGTAAAAGGTATTCAGATCAGATTCGATTCATTTTTCTTTTCATTGATTGATTCAAAGATTATCCAAAGCCAAAGCCAAAGCTTATCTTTATCTATTCAGCTAGAAAGCTTATGTTTACATTAGCACAAAGTAGCTAGAAGCTAGAAGCTAGTACCAGAAGCTAGTACCAGAATAGCTAGAAAATAAATCTATATCTAAATCTCTTCGAATGAATCGAATCTCTTCAAAAAATCAATTGAAATCTTTTTTACCGCATGTAATCCAAGCTGGGGGGATTTTTTTTTGGGAAACGCACTGCTCACTTTTATGTTTTCTTCATTTAAGAAGAGGCTTTTATGTTTTATTGGTTATAGAAGACTTTTAAGACTTTCTAGAAGACTTTTAAGACTTCTAGAAGACTTCTAGAAGACTTAAGACTTTCTAGAAGACTTTTAAGACTTCTAGAAGACTTCTAGAAGACTTTTAAGACTTTCTAGAAGACTTTAAGACTTTCTAGAAGACTTTTAAGACTCTCTAGAAGGCTTTTAAAGTTTCTAAAGTTTTATTTACTCAAGTAAAACCAAGATAAACTTCAAAGAGTCATTCATAAAGCTTCAAAAAATGATTTGAAGACTTTTAAAGAGATCTGAGTCTGTTTTAAAGAGATCTGGGTCTCTTCCAAAGAGATCTGAGTCTCTCTTAAAGAGATCTGAGTCTCTTCCAAAGAGATCTGGGTCTCTTTTAAAGCTCAAAGCTTCAAAAGATGATTTGAAGACTTTTAAAGAGATCTGGGTCTCCTTTAAAGAGACCTGGGTCTCTTCCAAAGAGATCTGAGCCTCTTTTAAAGCTCAAAGCTTCAAAAAATGATTTGAAGACTTTTAAAGAGATCTGGGTCTCTTCCAAAGAGATCTGAGTCTGTTTTAAAGCTCAAAACTCTCTTTTAACCTATAAACTCATGAAAACGACTCAAAATCAACAACAAAATCAACAACAAAATCAACAATCCCAAATTTCTAGACAACATTCCCGTTTGATCGCTTCAAAAGCGAAAGCGAAAAGCTCATTTTCGGCTGAGGACTTGGATTTGATGCATTTATTGGATGGAAGTGATGAGGGAAATGGTGAAGAGATGTGATTTCATTCGATTCTTCTTGTTTTCATGTGTAAATTCTTTTGCAAATTGTCGCCTTTTCCTCAAAATCGTCACTTTTTCCCGTCGGAAATCTCAAAAATGACTCAAACCCTATGAGAATTGTTTATCGAAAGCTTTTCCCTTGTTTACATATCATTTCCCCCTACCCTAGCCCCATAAAAGGAAATCCTGGAAGTCACAGAAAAGCTAGAACTCTTCAGATTACGGTATTTCTTTGTCTAGAAAATTTTTTGTATTTTGACTACGGTAGTTTATCTGTATTTTAGAAAACGATTTTTTTGACTTTTTTTTATTTTTTGTCTTTTTTTTATTTTTTTGACTTTTTTTATTTTTCATTTTTCATTTTTTAAAATTTTTTTTTTTATTTTTCATTTTTTCATTTTTTCATTTTTTCATTTTTCATTTTTTTTCATTCTCGTGCCATTTTCTTGATTTTCTATACTCTGGGATTCTACCGTATACCCTTTAAATCAAAAAATCACTCGAATTACCCACTTTTCAAGACATTTTCCTATCTGTGAGCCTAGCCAGCGGGTTACTGTAGTTTTATTTTTCGCTTTTTCTTTTTTTTTTATTATATTTTTTTTATTTTGTGATTTCTACAGGTTGTGTTATTTGCTGAAAGAATAAAGAATTTATCCTCTTTAACCGATAACATCCAATATTTTATCCACAAATTTCAGCCCATCTTTCACTTTCTCGATACCAGTTTCGATAATGTTTAGATTCTGAAAAACGCTTTTGATTTAAGAGATCGAGAGATTTAAGATTTGAATCGAGAGATTTAAATGGTTACTTACTGTATACTTTGAATTACATAAATTCCCGGTGTTACAACAACAGAAATGGATTTGATAGCCGGCATAGTTGATGTCCATGCAACGGTTCACAGCGTTCGCTAACTGGAAAGACTGGGAGAAATGGGAAAGCTGGGAAGACTGGGAAAGCTGGGAAGCTGGGAAAGCTGGGGAAGACTGGGAAAGCTGGGAAGACTGGGAAGACTGGGAAGACTGGGAAGACTGGGAGAACTGGGAGAACTGGGAGAACTGGGAAGACTGGGAAAGACTGGGAAGACTGGGAAAGCTGGGAAGACTGGGGAAACTAGATTACTGTAGACTGTAGACTACTGTAGTTAACTGTAGACCGTAGCTTACTGTAGGCTTACTGTAGGCTTACTGTAGCTTACTCTAGCTACTGTAGCTTACGGTAGAATGAATAAAGAAGTTTCAAAGCTTCAAACCTTACACCTCGATGTCGAACAACCGGCTTTCCCGATCGTTCCAATGACTGGCCCAGTGATCGTCGCGTTGTAACACATATCGGTGATCTCACTGCATCTAAAATTAACGAGTTTTCAAGAGGAAATTTAGAGCTATAGTTAGTTTCAAATTGAATAGTCTCAAATATTTTAAACGCACTCCTCTTTCCCAGTGGCCACTGTCTCTGTATTCACCACACTGAACCCAGAATAGCACGATTCAACTCGTTGGGATGGACGATCATCGACACCCATTGATGGGATATCTTTCCCAACGTTTCCTTCTGAAAATTGGAAGTGATTGGCTCATGGGTACTGTCCATTAGGACAAGAAAAACCTTCCCTTCCCAATTTCCCTGAAAACCTAAACGAACCAAATCTCGTATTCGTTCCCTCTCGACCAGGAATTACATTTGGAGCCACATCAGGTAAAGGAGCTAAATCGTGATATATCGAAGATGACAATCTGGAGGCTCTGCGGATGAAAGAGTGATTTTAGTTTAATGCCTATATCTCGACTTCCAGTGATCAGAACGACTCGAGATTGGTTTTAAAAGAATCCTCATCAAATTTGGCTTAAGAAAAGTTGAATTTGTTTTGTAAGCATCTGTTAGAATTTCTAGAAAAATTGCGTCAAAGTTGACCAACTTAGCTGCAGAAGTTGATCAACTTTAAGCTAAAATTTAATGAATTTATTGAACGATATTGAACGATATTGAATTTTATTAGAAATAAGCTTTACAAAAGGTCTCAAGACGATCAATTTATTAGATTCTAATCGATTTTTAAAAGTTCGAAAATCCTCACCAATTTCCACCACATTCGGATCATTGTAGGGGATCAATGGGCCTTGTGGAGTTTGCTTTTTCGGCTCTGAAACGATTGGATACTGAGATTATTGATGTTCCAGGGTTACGATAGCTTAATCCTGAGCCATCAATAGCTTTGGAAAGCTACCGTAGCTCTGGCTCTGGCTCTGGCTACCGTAGCTCTGGCTCTGGCTCTGGCTACCGTAGCTCTGGCTCTGGCTCTGGCTCTGGCTCTGGCTCTGGCTCTGGCTACTGTAGCTCTGGCTCTAGCTCTGGCTACCGTAGCTCTGGCTCTGGCTCTGGCTACCGTAGCTGAAAAGCTACCGTATCTTCAGAGAGCCTAAAATGGTACCTCTTGCTCTTTCCCTTGTCGCAGTTCGCTCAAAATCGACTACCATCGGGTCAACAGCTGGAATTTTACAAGAATTCTTGAAAATTCCCAGCTTTTACTTGTCGTCGGTTTCCTCGTAGTTGTCGGAGTCGTCAACTCATCGAATTCGACTTCTCGTTGCAATTCTGAGAACGTTTTCTTGAAAAAAAGCTATTGAAAAGTACGGTAGCTTTCTAGAATTCTCGAAAATTGACAAGAATTCTCAAAAATCTGAACTTAAAACTCGAAAAAACTCACGAAAACTTTGCGTTTCCCCTCGTCCATCGCCCCGTTTCACTGTATTCCCAAAAACTAAAGCTTTCAAACAATATTCAGTCGATTTCTTGCTACAATAGCTCACCAAATTGAACAAAAATGAATAGAAATAGAGATTTCATTGATTTCTTTGGATAAAAGTCAAATAATCAATTAATTTCAAAAATAAATCGCTTTTTAGTCACCAAATTTCGCCCCGTATTTGTGAGAATGATCGATTTGGGGGAAAAGAAAGAAAAAAGATAAACATTTACTTTTATCTTGAAAGATATCACATATCAGATATATCAATTTCACCCACACAAACACATGATCGTGATCTGGTAATGTTGTGATGATCTGGTAATGCTGGGATGATCTAGTAATGCCGTAATGATCTAGTAATGTTTTTAAGGCTTAAGAGTGAGTTGGCCTTCTCAAGATGGAAAATTTCAAACGCACCACTATCGAACTGAGAATCAGTTTGTAGCTACAAACTGAGTCAGCTTCGTCAATTCTGGAACACAGCCTTGCGTTTGGTTTTGCTAACTTTTGTGCTTTTTTACGTTATAGCGAAGGCACTTTTTGAGCGAATCAGGTGGAGGTGGATTTCTTCCCACTCCTTTCTTATCCCGCCTTCTGCAACAAATTTTCGTTTATCCTGGAACGCACACCTCCATTTAATGTCCTTACTTTCTGCGCTTTTCATGGTATGTCGAAGGCACTTTTTTAAGCGTTCTTCAGCCCCCCTTCTTGTCCTGACTTTTCATTAAAAAACAAATTTTGTTTAATTTTTGTCAATCCTGGAACGCACACCTTCATTTAATGTTCCTACTTTCTGCACTTATTCATGGTATGTCGAAGGCACTTTTTTAAGCGTTCTTCAGCCCCCATTCTTGTCCTGACTTTGCATTAAAAAACAAATTTTGTTATACTTTTGTCAATCCTGGAACACACATTTCCCCTTAATTTCCATAAATTTAGCGCTTCTCATGTTTTGCCCAAGGCGCTTTTTCCGCTTTCCCTTCCCCCGTGTTCCGCCCTTTTTCTCGATCGAGTTAGATGTGCGATCGATTTAGATGTGTATTTTGTACTCTGACAATCGCATCCTTTCTGGTGCACTCAATTTGGTTCTTTTTTTGAGCTACTCAATATTTATGAAATAAATTAATGGGTAGAAAGATAAATTTGGGGAAAGCTACGGTAACTATGGGGCACAAAATAGAAATCTAAAGAAAAATGGGGAAATGAATGGAATAAATAATGTTTAGCACTAAAAAAAGCGCGTGGCAATGTGTTGGGGAAAAGGGATTTGGGGAGGGGGGGGGGGAGAATTTTGACATTCTGAAACGAAATACTTTTATGGCAAGGTTTTGGGGTTAAAGGGGGATTCATGGTCGAATTGTGAACGCTGATTGGACGAATTTGTGGGTGAGGGGCTACGGTAGAAATGGGCAGCGTTTAGGATTCCAAAGAAACGGTTGACCTAGACAAAAACAAAAATGCTCACAACGGAAAATGCCACCAACGAAAAGGAGACGAATTTGACAGTTTCAGAAAATGCTGGGCTGGAAATCTTTGGGGAATTTCAAGAGTTTTAGACTCTAAATTTCAAGTGTGTATTCCAGATTTGAAGCTGAAATAGCTGAAATTCCCCAGAATTCCCGGGAACGACTAGAGTCGGGGGCTCGGCTACCCGTTGAGGCGGTCAGCGATGAGAGAAATCTTTCGAAAATGTTAGAAATGCTAGAAATGCTAGAAATGGGGAGATTGACAGAAATCTCGTAGCTGTGACATCCAAAACGTTCATCGAAGTTTGCTTCGAAAGATTTCTCTTCAAAAATTATTGCTGTTTTTGGGGACTACAGTTTTCTTGGGCTAAAGGATAAAAAGAAAATTCTAAAAAATTCTAAATGACTAATTTCACAAAGTTTTCAATAAAAACGGTTCAATTAACAAATTTAGAAAAAAGTTTGGCAAAGTTTTGGTAGAATTTGATGAAATTGATCATTTTATCGGGACGACCACCTGAAAAATGTTTGATTTGCATCAAAAATTGAGATTTCTTTTTTTAAATTGAGATTTCTCTTTTTTAAATCCAAAGTTTATATGCAAAATTTCGTTAGCTTTAGAGAAATTAGCATACTTGAACGTATGAGATTGGGAAAAGGCCGGATTTCCCGTTGACTTTCCCCTCGAACCAGTTCTCGTCGATTTGTGCGACAAGCTCGACGATCTGGAATTGTTGAATTGGAAAAAAACTCTATCTGGCTGTCACACAATATAGATCTTATGTTATTTATGTTATTTAGGCTATTTATGCTATGCTATTTAAGGCTTAGCTAAATTCTTGCACCTGTCCCTCTTTTAGCTCCAATTCTCCTTCGTTTTCGGCGGTGAAATCGAAGAGTGCTCTGGCTGAGGGTTTCGAGGATGGACTGGGTGCAGCTTTTGGTGGAAGTGGGCCTGGAATTGGTAGTTTAATTCGCAGTCGCAGTTTACTAGAGTTATCTATAATTATGGCATTGTTCAACCGACCAGCTCCTCCGCCATTCACCGAATGTGATGGCGATGGCGTGTACGGGGGTGGGGCTTGTTGGGCTGAGAAACCGGAGGACATCGAATCGATTGGAGATCTCAAAGTGAAAAAATAAAATGTTATAGATTGGATAGAGCTTTTAAGGTTGAATGTTTTGAAGAAGAGGGAAGCTTCCCTTGCAAGAATGACATCAATTCTACCCGTCTCTAGTCGTCACAAAGATTTTGAATGCTTGAGGACTTTATTCTTGACTTGACTGACTGACTCTTGACCCTTGACCTGCAAATTTTGCACAAACGACTTCTTCGGTTTTTAGGATTTTCGTTTAGAGGTTTTTGATTTTCGTTTTCGTTTTCGTCTATTCTGGAACGCACACCTCCATTTAATGTTCTTACTTTCTGCGCTATTCATGGTATGTCGAAGGCACTTTTTTTCAGCGTCCTTTCGCCCCCTTCTTGTCCTGACTTTTCATTAAAAAAACAATTTTTGTTTAATTTTCGTTTATCCTGGAACGCACACCTCCATTTAATGTTCTTACTTTCTGCGCTATTCATGGTATGTCGAAGGCACTTTTTTAAGCGCTCTTCCGCCCCCCCCCACAACGAGTACAAAAACCATTTGTCTTCAAATCAAAAATCTAAGCACTAGCAATTCTTAAATGATGTCCAACTAAGAGAAAAAATGCAAAAAGAATCGATTTCGACTTGTCAATTTTTTGTTGATAGGTCGAGAAATTTTGTCTTTTGACCTAATCAATTCTCCTAAGATATCCCAGTTGCAATTATTCAAATTCCACTTTCCTGGGCCAATTTTTTGCGTAGATTCCAAAAAACACACTTTCAGCACGATTTGACGACGGTATCGCGATGAAAAGTGACTTTGAAAATTTCTAGGTTTCAACTTTGGTGTTCAGAAGGGCAAAAACCCTGAATAAAATAGAAAACATATAGAAAAACTGATACCATCGTGTAGAGCTCAACCTGAGCTTTCAGAATATATATAACACTTATGGGTTCTGTCGAGTACTTCTGTAGATATGGCGTATCAAAGTTGGTGAACTCCATGGCCAGCACCGTTGATCGAAAAGGTTCGTGAAAGGGCCAAATCTAAATTTGATTTAAACAGCTAAATTCAAAACCACAAAAAAATTCAAACAAAAACAAATAAATATACCAACACTTCAAATTTCATGAGATGCAGTTGCATCAGATAACAAAACATCAATACTCATCCATTTCAGGGCATTTCGTAGCCGTTTCTCGGGCGACATTTTATGGCGAGTAACTTCGGATGCCAATTTACAATGAATCGCCTCAATACCTTCCTCAGCAACAGCGCCCACCATTTTATGCTCGAATAAGAAAGCTCCGAGGTGCATTATCATACAATGGATAAGTGAACTATTTGCGAAACCTCCCAGGTCTTCTAATCCTTTTGCAAGTTTTGCTGTTTGGCAGCAGATGGCACCGCATCTTTTGCATGTGTTCTTCATCAACGTTGTGAAAGCTTTGTTGAAGTGGCAAAAGAAGAGTTTTTTGAATCTTCTTATCTTTTCTCTTCCCTATCACTTTATTGTTTCGTAAGATTTTTGGCATAAGCCTATTGACGATCCGTCCTTTTTTCAAATTGCTTTTGGCTGCTTTTCGTTTCCGCGTAGTGGGCACCATCTAAAAAGAACACTAACATAGAAATAAAGGAACAAGCAATAAAACAACAAAATAAGCTATGTTACGAATTCCAATACCGTAAATACTCTAATAGAAGCGCATCCTTCCCATACAAAATTGGTCGCCCAAAAAGTCACTAGTGCTTAGAATGGTGTATATGGGCCATATGTATAACCTAGAGGGTTGGCAGTAAAATTTAAAAGGATCTAAAAAAAATTTTTAATACTTTTTCGAAAAAAAATTGTAAGGGCCCTTATCATTTTCGAGAGTCCGGCCTCCAGGGGTCAAGGTTGAAAAAACTTTCTTATTTTAAGCGCATGCGCCTCTATTAGAGTATTTATGGTAGGTGTACCATATGTACATCATATTTGCCTCCTTTTAGGAAAGAATGAGCAACAAATTTTCAATACTTGTTTTGACACATTGCAACGTTGCCCTGTCACGCTTGTTTATCCACCGGAGAGTTCACCAACTTTGATACGCCATATCTACAGAAGTACTCGACAGAACCCATAAGTGTTATATATATTCTGAAAGCTCAGGTTGAGCTCTACACGATGGTATCAGTTTTTCTATATGTTTTCTATTTTATTCAGGGTTTTTGCCCTTCTGAACACCAAAGTTGAAACCTAGAAATTTTCAAAGTCACTTTTCATCGCGATACCGTCGTCAAATCGTGCTGAAAGTGTGTTTTTTGGAATCTACGCAAAAAATTGGCCCAGGAAAGTGGAATTTGAATAATTGCAACTGGGATATCTTAGGAGAATTGATTAGGTCAAAAGACAAAATTTCTCGACCTATCAACAAAAAATTGACAAGTCGAAATCGATTCTTTTTGCATTTTTTCTCTTAGTTGGACATCATTTAAGAATTGCTAGTGCTTAGATTTTTGATTTGAAGACAAATGGTTTTTTTCAAACTACGTACTCGTTGTGCCCCCCCTTCTTGTCCTGACTTTTCATTAAAAAACAAATTTTGTTTAATTTTTGTCAATCCTGGAACGCACACCTCCATTTAATGTCCTTACTTTCTGCGCTATTCATGGTATGTCGAAGGCACTTTTTTAGGCGTGTTCTACCGTCCTCTTCTTGCCCCGACTTTGCATTGAAAAACAAATTTTCTTTAATTTTTGTCAATCCTGGAACACACATTTCCCCTTAATGTCCATAAATTTAGCACTTCTCATGTTTTGCCCAAGGCACTTTTTCCGCTTTCCCTTCCCCAGTGTTCCGCCCTTTTTCTCGATTCCTAGAGAGCTATTGAGTCTCCTGGACATCAGCTAACTCCTGGGATCCAGTGAATCTTATTATAACCACCTTGATCTTGGTGTTCGATCGTTGAGAACGGGTCGCGGCACGTGCTCACTTCGGAGTTGCATCGATGCTTCGTTTACCCTGAAAAAATTCGTTACTGTATTTGATTCATGCATCTTTTAGAGAACAAAATACTGTAGATCTCAAGAAAAAACAGATTGACAGCTTTCCAAAACGAACCTTTGCCTCAACGCTCCATGCAATGTCTCGAGTATTTGAGCAGTTTGTCGATGGAAGTCGAGTTGCGCCTCGACAAGAGCTGATAGTTGAGAGATTTGCTCCACCTAAGGGTATACTGTAAGTCTGCAAATAACAAATAACAATGATAAACGAAACAAATTCTCGTTTATCCTGGAGCACACACCTTCATTTAATGTTCTTACTTTCTGCGTTATTCATGGTATGTCGAAGGCACTTTTTTAAGCGCTCTTCAGCCCCCCTTCTTGTCCTGACTTTGCATTAAAAAAACAAATTTTGTTATATTTTTGTCAATCCTGGAACGCACACCTCCATTCAATGTTCTTACTTTCTGCGTTATTCATGGTATGTCGAAGGCACTTTTTTAAGCGTCCTTCAGCCCCCCTTCTTGTCCTGACTTTGCATTAAAAAAACAAATTTTGCTTAATTTTTGTCAATCCTGGAACGCACACCTTCATTTAATGTTCTTACTTTCTGCGTTATTCATGTTTTGCCTAAGGCACTTTTTTAAGCGTACTTCAGCCCCCCTTCTTGTCCTAACTTTGCATTAAAAAACAAATTTTGTTATATTTTTGTCAATCCTGGAACGCACATTTGCCCTTAATGCCCATAACTTTAGCGCTTTTCATTTTTTGCTCAAGGCACTTTTTTCCGCTTTCCCTTCCCCAGTGTTCCACCCTTTTTCTCGATCAAGTTAGATCTGACAATCGCACCCTTTCTGGCACACTCAAAACATGTTCATAAACATTCAACTTACATCATTGATCAGCACATTGTGCATGGCCATTTCAGCCAATTTCTTCGATTCTTCCAACTTTTCCTCGGCTTGGATCAGCTCGTCATCTGAAAGTCGATAAAACTTATATTATATCCAGTTTAATAGCTTGCATGACATCCAGATTGATCAATTTTTTCATAAAATCCCTCACCTCTTGTGCCTTTTCTTTTCTTGCAATCGTAATCTAAGCGACGACCCTTCAGCTTCGTTCGGTGGTGCTAAAACTTAGCTTGTATGATATCCAATAGCTTACATGACATCCAGATTGATCAATTTCAAAGAAGATTTGTTATTTTTGCTAATCTAACACTTACATTGACATCTTTCAGTTCATTGTTCTGTAGTTGTGTGAGTGGATCGAGGAAATTATGCTTCACGACCTCTTCCATTTGATATTTGATGTCAGCCATCTGTCGATAGGCTTCCGATGAGTCGACAAGGGCCTAGAAGGGTGAATTTGACTAAATTCGACTAGATATTGCTCGATGCTCGACTAGATAGCGCTTTTTTCTATCCTATCCAACTCACTCTTCCCAAATGACTCTCATCTCCAAGCGCTTTTCCATATTTGACCATCGTTTCAGCTAGCATTCCCTCTGTTTGTGGATATGGAGACGTTTTCGTCGTTCCCCTCAATTTCGACACAGCTCCCATCGTGGCCATTTTAGCTCGAGTAGCTGAAAAAGTAGCGAGTAGCGAGTAGTTAACTGCTTCTAGAGTAAGGGAAACCAAGGGTCCTTTGGTGTAATGGTTAGCACAGTTGGCTGGTAATCTGCCCGATCTGATTTGCCCGACTCGATAAAATCAAAAGAATCTCTTCACCAACCCGGATTCGGCTGTAAATATTCATTCGTTCCAGCGACAATGTCAGTGATCAACGAGTAAGTGGCATCAATTTTCTGGAATTGATTTTAAAATTTAAATAAAAGCTACAGGGCTTTGAGTTATCTAGCTGAGTTATCTCTTGAATATTTTCATTTTTTAAACGAACCCTCTCCATTTCGTTGAACGTATCATCGAGTTTTGTCGCCTCTGCGGCGCCCATCGTTTCACTTAGATACTAAAGTGAAAATTTTGCATTTTGCAAATTTTGCAAATTTTTTGTGTTCCAAATTTTTTCTAGATTTAATGTGCGTTCCAGCTTCGATTTTCCCAAATTTTCTGACCTGATTTGCTTTGTTGAATTGCTTGCGAAGGCCCGAGAGCGACATTTTCGGAGATCAATGTGTAGTTTTTGGCGAATAAAAGATTAGAGATCTGAAAATTTCAAATTTCAAATCAAAAGAAGTAGCTTAAATGGGAGAAATTTGAAGTAATTTGAAGTAAATTTGAAGTTTTGGTGATTTTGCGAAATTTGATAAGAGGACTGAAAAGGAAAGGAAAATTCGCGACTTGTCAATTTTAAAAAAAAATTTTTTTTATTTAAAAAGCATTTACAAATATTTTCATAATTTTCCATGCGTTCCAGAATTTTCAAAAAATATTTAGTTATTGGTTTTTCGAAAATTCAGAGGTGATTTTGTGTCTTGGAAAGATTTGGAGAAGGTGGTTTTGTGCCTGAATTCTCAACATGCAAGAATTTCGTTTTTAAAAAACCAAAATAGCTACAGTGCATCCCAGGAATTCTCAAATAAAGCCAATGCCAATATTTCATATGCCAATATTTCATATGCCAATATTTCATATGCCAATATTTCATATGCCAATATTTCATATGCCAATATTTCATATGCCAATATTTCATATGCCAATATTGCGTGGGAAAACCTGTAGTTAATCTCGGGGAGTAAAAATTGCTCTCTGCCTTTCTTCCCCTCTGCCTTTCTGCCTTGCTCGTGCCTTTCTTCACGTATTTCGCCCCCTTTTTTTTCTCGATAACCTCCAGATTTTTCTAATTTTTCTAATTTTTCGTCAAAAGTGAAGTACGTAATCGAATTTCGGCGGGGGTTGATCGAAAAAAAAAGAAAAAGTTTAAAAAATAAAAAGAAATAAAAAATTACTCGTTTTTCGATTAGGAAATGGTTTTACAATAAAAATTTTCAATTTTGAAAGTTTTCAGTTTTTTTAAACCCTAGTTCTATTTTGACAGAAAAGCAATTATGAGCCATCGATTTTCGAAATACATCGATTTTTTTGCTTTAAAAATGTATCACTGTATTTTTATTGCATTCTCGCTCAAACTCCAATCAATATAGAAATATTTGGGGAAATAAATACAATTTCTTTGCTTCTTCTTCAGTCCTTTCTTCAGTTCATGACTCATTTCTGAGTTGTGACTCATAAATGGACGAAGACCTTCTTTCTAGACGAAGACAATGACAATGGGACAGTTCTGTACTGTTCTGTACTCAATGATGAAAGTGCCTTTGGTATAATGTAAAAAGAGCGAAAAGTAAGAGCATTAAATGCAAGCCTGTATTCCAGGATTGACGAAAATCTGATAACATTTGTTTTTCGAGACACAAGAAACAAGCGAGCACTCGGAAAAGAGAAATTGCAAGAAAATGCTTGAAAGTGCCTTCGCTAAACCTTGAAAAGCGCAGAAAGTAAAAGCATTGACTTAAAATATGTGTCCCAGGATTGACGAAAAGTCCACTAAAATTGTGTTTGCGCCAGAGCAAGTTAAAGTAAAAGTGCCTTGAGCCAAACATCAAAAACGGAAAAGGTAAAAGGGTTAACTGCAAATCTGTATTCCAGGACTGACAAAACTTTGGTTACATTTGTTTTTCGATGCACAGGAAAAGAGTGGGGCATTCGGAAAAGGAAAGCGGAAAAAGTGCCTTGAGCAAAAAATGAAAACCGCTAAATTTATGGGCATTAAGGGCAAATGTGTGTTCCAAAATTGACAAAAATTTAACAAAATTTGTTTTTTAATGCAAAGTCGGGGCAAGAAGAGGGTGGTAGAACACGCTTAAAAAAGTGCCTTTGGCAAAATATGAAAAGCGCAGAAAGCAATGACATTAAATGAAGGTGTGCGTTCCAGGATAAACGAAAATTAAACAAAAATTGTTTTTTTAATGCAAAGTCAGGGCAAGAAAAGGGTGGTAGAACACGTTAAAAAGTGCCTTTGGCAAAATATGAAAAGCGCAGAAAGCAATGACATTAAATGAAGGTGTGGTTCCAGGATAAACGAAAATTAAACAAAATTGTTTTTTAATGCAAAGTCAGGGCAAGAAAAGGGTGGTAGAACACGCTTTAAAAAGTGCCTTTGGCAAAATATGAAAAGCGCAGAAAGTAAGGACATTAAATGGAGGTGTGCGTTCCAGGATAAACGAAAATTAAACAAAATTTGTTTTTTAATGCAACTTCAGGGCAAGAAGGAGGGCGGAAGAACGCTTAAAAAAGTGCCTTCGACATACCATGAAAAGTGCAGAAAGTAAGGACATTAAATGGAGGTGTGCGTTCCAGGATAAACGAAAATTTGTTACAGAAGGCGGGATAAGAAAGGAGTGCGAAGAAATCCACCTCCACCTGATTCGCTCAAAAAGTGCCTTCGCTATAACGTAAAAAAGCACAAAAGTTAGCAAAACCAAACGCAAGGCTGTGTTCCAGAATTGACGAAAATTCGCCAAAATTTGTTTTTGATGCACCGGAAAAGCGGGGCAATGAGGAAAGCGGAAAGGAAACGCTCAAAAAATGTTGTATCGGGAGGGATAGCCGGAGTGCGGGGAAAGGTGAAAAGGTGGAAAGGTGGAAAAGGGGAACAAGATGGAAAGGGCAAAAAAAAGAAGAGAAAGCAATCAATGTGCCTCTTCTCTTTTACTTTCTCTTCACTCTGTTTACTGGGTGTCATTCTTTTGCCCTTTCGAAAAATCGGATCAATAATCTGTGCCCTAGCTGACGAAACACACATCTGTTTGGAGAGAAAGAGAAAAAAGAACTGAAAAACTGAAAAACTGAAAAACATGAAAGAACGTTGAAATTGGAAAGTAAGGTTAAATTTTATGCAAAAAGACTTCCAAAGTAATTTAAAAGTTTAGGAACTTGAATCTACACTTGAAAATGAGAATTTGAAGAACTGAAGAATTGCCAACAACGGGAATTCAAAACCGACATTACTTTTTCCTCAACCTAATAGATTCAAGCACAAGATTGCAAGAGAATGATTGAGAAAACAGAAAAAGTTGCACTTTTTACTTTCACTGTTTCCGGGGGTCGTCATTTGTCAGTGTTGAGATCGAAAAAGTCAAAAGGGTGAAAGGAAAGGTTGGAAAAAAGCAAACAAAGAAAGTAAAAAGAAAAAAAGAAAGTACAAGAGGTGAAAAATGATTGGGTTGATTGGGTTGATTGGATCAGAAAGAATTGAAGAATTTGCTGAGAACTGGTGGGGGAATGGAGCCGTAAGATTTCAGACATAAAAATGACATAAAAATTCTAATGAAATCGAATCACACTAGACTGGACAATAAATCTCGTATGCAAATTGAGCAATTAGGTAAGTAGAAAGGTCAGTAGGGGAGTAGAAAGGTCAGTAGGGAAGTAGAAAGACATGAAAGTGAGTAGAAAAGACATTCAAAGCCTTCAAAAAAACCAAACACATCATTGAAGTGGGTGGAAATATGAACAAGGTCCGGGCGTGGGTCTGGCCCATTTGTGAATGGTGGAAAAAAATGAAAAGAAGAAAAAACGAAAGAGGAGAGAGAGAAAGGAAAAGAGAAAAACGAGGTAATCTTCGAAAATCAATGCGAGGTGGGGGAAAGCGGGGCCCTGGAGGGGTGAAGGGAGTACTGGAGTGAGGAAGGGAGAAGATATACAAGGGAAAAGGGGTATATAGAGTAAAGAAGAGAAAGGGGGCACTATGAGATGCAGAAAAGGAAAAAGAAGGGGAGATGGGCCTTAACAGGGTTCCCCAAAGACATGGGGTTAAGGCCTTGGCCCGGGCCTCCCCAAAAGACCCAAAAGACCCAAAAGGCTGTTTGGAATGGCTGTTTGCCAGCTAAAGGGGTAAAAGGAGTTCACACAAAGATATCTCGTATGAAACAAAAGGTCCAGATTTTTATGGACCTAAGCCTAAGCCAGATCAGGCTAACAAAAAGCAAACCCGTAAGTAAAGTCTAAACGTGGATTCCCGCGTGGTTTGAGAAAATGCCTTTCAGCCCCACATGTCAGATTAGGATTCAGATTATTCTCTCTTAAAATCTCATGAAAGTCCTATTTTTTGAATAAAGCGCGTAGGGTTTCTAGGAAACAAAAAGCTTTTGGAAAAATTATGCCTGAAAAAGTGCCTGAAAAAAGTGCCTGAAAAATATGCCTTCAAATAATATGTACAGTGACTTTTAAAAAGTATAGACTTTATTGGGTGCATTCCAGCTAACAATAATCCGCAACTAAAAACTTAGTAAGAGTATTAGGGAAAGGGTATCGCGTAAGAGAGACTCACCCAATGCAATGAAGGGAAGGGGCTAGGAAGGTTACTCTCATCGATATGTTCGGGGAAAGGCCAATTGAGAAGTTTGTGAAAAGAAAAAAAAGAAAAGCACTAGCGGAGTCTATAGAGAAAAAATGAGTGTTGAAAGAGTTTGATTGAGTTGGGAAGAAAAAGAAAAGTTTCAAAAATCCTCAAAAAAATGATCAAATACTCTTCAAAGTGTCCCGTGCATTCCAGAATTGATCTTTCTTTTAATCATTCCAGAATTGATCGATTCGTTACTTGAATCCTTTATCGATTCAATATTTGAACTCGAAAGTGAATGATGGGGTCTTATTTCTTGTGTCTCTATGCACTTCCACCTTTTTCAATAAAAGAAGGTCCCTAAAAAGCCCAATATTGGCCTTTCTCGGTGACATCATTTTGGCGGAAAAAAGGGGAGCAATAGGAGAAAAATGGGAATAGGGGAGTAGTGGTGGGGAAATTTTGTGAGACTTTTAAAAGTCGTGTACTTTGTGCTAACTGCTGTATCCCAGTTACTGTACATGGAACAGGGAAGAATACGGTAGCTTTTCCTGGTTTTTTTGGGATCAATTAGAATTTCGAAACTATTAATGAGAAATTCCATCAACTGATAATGTACAATAAGACGTCTCAAAAATATCAAAAGATTGAATTTAATTTCTGGAAAATCTCATGTGCGTTCCAACTAAGAGAAAATTGCAGAAATTATCGAAATCCATCTAGACGAACTCAAGATAATACAACGATCAGCGTCAAACAGCTTTTGTGACTCTAGGCCAAGAAATATCAAGACAAGATGCTATTCTTTTTACAGTTTTCTTCAAATTGGAACGCACATGACAATTCGAAAGCATTCGGAAGTGTCGATTCAGAAATTCTCGCATTTAAAGTTCCATTAACTGAGTATTCCAAGTGTAAATCGTCCCCAAATCTTTGTTAACATAGATACAGTAATCAAGCCTTTACCTGAATATCATTTTCATATCACAATCAGAATTGATAATACAGTATTTGGGTAATGAGCTGGTCATAACAAGAAATGATAGTTGTAAATAAAGATATTTAATTTCTATTTCTAAGAAATAGAATAATTAATATTTAAAGATATTCAATCGTCATTTCCATTTTTCATTTTTACTTAATCCGATCATTCAGCACACTGTTTAGAAGAACTTTACGGTGACGTTCACGAACCTGAAAATGATCAGAGAATTTAAACAATTGTCAGGCTTATGTCAGGCGTCAAGACTTCAACAATTTGCCAAAAAAGCTCAATTTTTAAACTCAACCTCTCTTTGCTGTTTTTGCAGTGAATCACAGAAAATCGTTTTCAGCGAGTCGAGATCCAAGAATGGTTTCGCTGGGGGTGAAGGCTCGGATCTAAAATATTCATTTTATGAGATAGTTAGCTTTTTAAAAGATGAAATGCCTTCCAACTTGAAAGTGGAGAATGGTGGGATGGCTTGAATTCGTTTGTGGAGGGTGTGGAAAGCTTCGGTCTGTGGTAGGAGCATGAGGAGGGCTGAAAGCACATCGCAAAGGGGTTCACGGTGTTGAGCACGAAGGAGGTCCATTCGTACAACTGAAATGGCTTGAATAATCGTCGATTACAATGACATACAAGCAAGAATCGGACTCTCAATCAGATTCACGAGTTTATCCACTTCGACGAGAACATCCACTGTCACATCAATCTAAAAATTTGAGCTAAGAGCTTGGACTCTTTAAACCTGTGACAAGAAGTGAACCAATTCAGCAGCATGTGCATATTGTTGAGTGAGAAGACAGAGACCAAGCAGACAAACAGGACGAACAGCCCAACAACGATAGATTGTCGAGAAGAGGTGAGCAGTTGGCTGAAGAGATTCGATAAATTACAACAATCATTTCTACAATCTTCACTTGATCTTCCATTTTCCTCAATCGATCTCTCATCAAGAAGAGCTCAGTAGAAGTCATGAGAACAGAGTGAAGAATTGAGACGACACCTAGAAATGGAAATTTCTTTAATTTGGAAATTCTCTCACTTTGCACAAACGATACTCCATCCTCATTCAACAACAATACACATAGACATCGATAGATATCAGCCGGTTCGATGAGAAGACACAATTGACTGAGAAATGGTTAATGATTGGATAAAAAAAAAGCATTACCGTATGATGAGTACTCCTCGTTCACTCAATAATTGACTATCTTTTCGGAACATATTGATGAGTGAAAGAGCGAATTTGATTAAAAGTTGTGACAAGCCAGTTAACTAAACTATGCTTCAAGAGATTTTCGAAACATCAAATCACCTCTTTCCTTGTTTCCGCATCGATTCCAAGTATCTCGCTCACATTACCATCTCTGTAACTCGGAGATTTTAAAGCTGTTAAGATTACTGATAAGATTAACTTACTTGTGAGAGCATAGATCAGACAATAAGTGCAAATCGAGGAGCAACACTTCATCAGAAGAATCAGAGAGTGACGAGAGCAATTGGGGAAAGATCGTCTCCATATGGGTGAATAGCTGAAAGGCAAAATTTCAAATTGATTTTCAAATTCAAATTTCAAAGCCAAAGTGTTGCATGATATCCAGATTATCGATCAAACCTTATTCGGTTGTTTTTCGTGGAGATGGCGGATCCAATTTAGTGAGGCGAGGCGAGTCTCTCGTTGTTGATGACCGAGGAATTGAAGGAGGTTCTAAAATTGAAATCAATTCAAGTATGCTGACATCCAGATTGCTTAAATCAATGAGTATTATTGTAGAAACGAAATCCTGAATTGGTTAAACCCACTTGAACCACATCACCCATATCCATCTCAGCATCCGGCGAGATGATCCCCAAAAGGGACTCGTTCACTTGACGGGCTAAATTTCGAGTCATTGAAAAGTTAGATAAGCCTCACCAATGCTCGCCTCACTGTACAACACTGGTAAAATAGCTTTGAGACAGACGGAGAGTTGGGGGACTAGACGGGAGCCGTACAATCTGAAAATAGAAATTAAATGTTTTTTCATATTTCACTCACTTGCTTAACTCGTTCATCCAAATTAGTGCCACTTTTCGTGATAATGGAGGCTCGTCAATGTGCGCATGGACACAAACAACATTGATCACTGTTGATAGATCGTTCTGGAAATGGAAATGTTAAGGAGACGAAATTCAGTGCACCAGAATGTTTACGTTTTCATTTTTTTTATCAAATTCACCATTTTACCTCACTAATAGCCTCAGGCTTTTTCTTGATTCCCAGCAGAAATTCCTCCATCACCGTTTCCGTGCTTTCCCTAACGGCTCCTTGTGGATCACCTAGAAAATCCATTTTATATATCCAATCTCTCATCTACCAAGCATTTTAAACAATCCATCGATCACTTCCGACAAAAAGGGGAGACAAGAGAAGGTGGGAGTGTTGAGTAGAATGTTCAGCTGGAACCAGCTCATTTTTGGCTCAATTTTGGGATTTCTGATGGAAATGATAGGATTAAGAAATGATCTGGAATACACTGAATGAAATAGATTACCCATTGCACTAGAAATCTTCGATTCGATGACACTTGCACGTAGATTCGTCCACGAATCAAGCACATCAACATCGCGACGTCGAAATCGTTCTTCGAGCAGACAATGTCCTTTAACAAGTTAACTTTACCGTAATCTGGCCTACTATAGCTTTAAATTCTTTCCATTTCCACTAACCATCACTTGTCTATCCAATAACTCAGCCGCTCCTCTCACATTTTGCTCGGTGTCCGCAGAAAGCTGAAAGTTTTAAGCTCAGCCTGCACCCCTTTCTCAACTCACTTTCCATAGTACATCGAAAATCTGCTCAAAATGATCCAAACAAGCCGCTTTACACATTTTGATGATATTGTAGAGGCTCTAGACAAGATTGAAACTGATAGACAAGATTGAAACAAAGAATCGACTCACTTCACAAGCATAGTATCGAACTTGGAGATCGGGATCGTTGAAGCAGTCGAGAACCGGTTCGATCAGTTGCGAGGAGTAGTTGCCTGCGTTCTGAGAGATAAACAATCGTTTAGTTCAAGTTTAGATTTAGATGAAACCTTTGCCAGTGCAATCGCTGCAGCCGCCATTCCAATGAGTCCTCCTTTCCGCGTGTTTCCAACATTTGCTAGCACCAATTCTCGCAACACTGACAGCACTTTCTCGACTTGGGACAGTTGATTTGATGCATAGAGATCGCGAACGATTCTGAGGATTGAGAGAAATTTTGTTATCAGAAGAAGGAAAAGATTTCAATTTCTCTCAACAACAACAAACAAACTTAACAAACAAACAAACAAACAACAAACAAACTTTTCTACATCCAAAGCAGCAGCTTTTCTTTTGTCATACAATTTGTCGGTCAGCGTTTTCACTAAAGTCAAAGAAAGGGGCGCGTATTGAGCATCACTCATCTAAATTTCGTTTACAGAAAAAAAAAACATTAGATCTATTGCTCAAAAATGACATAATGCAAAATTGTCAACTTTGTAATTGTCTTTCAAGACTTTAGCCAACCACACAATTTCTCTCATTCAAAATATCAATAGAAAGCTTTTTGATAAAAAATTTTTCCTTTTGGGCTAAATCTTTATTGCCATAACAGAAAAAAGTCAACAAAAACACCTAGAATTTCACTCTAAAATCATAAATTCACTAAACGACAAAAATGACTTGAAAACAAACATGATATTTACAAAATGATTGTTCCATTCCGATATCCAAAGATCTGAAGATCATAATCCGAAGAATTTTCCAACATTTGACCGATCTCGATTCACGTAGCGGGCGTTTTGCTCAACGTCAGCGAGTTGTTCCTGAAAAAGTAAAATTTAGCGACAATTTTATCAGTCGATGTTATTAGCTCCGTTATGAGCCAACAAAAATTACTTATTACCAAATTAGCTACAAGTTAAGCTACAAGTTGCTACAAGTTAGCTACAAGTTGTTTTGTTATACAACAAACTTCAGCTGACCTTATATTTATCGACTTGTCCCATTAATTCATCGGCATTTCGGAAGAGATCCGGGAAATCGAACTCGACACTTTTTGACATGAAAACATAGGCGAATTTCTTGTCATCTTCTTTCCACATGGCTGTTTTGTAGCGAGTATCCTAAAATTCGAAAATAATTGAATTAAAATAGAAAATTGACAAGTTAGAAGCTAGATTGACAGCCTTTACTTAAATTTATCTTTGATAGTGCCCAAACTTACTCGTTTTTATGCATAAAACCCCGACCTTTTTTGTCTGCCATTCAATATCGCCCATTTTCATCTCGATTCGCACGTCTCGCACGGGAAGCGAGTAGATTTTTGTCAAATACTCTCGCACATCGTGTCGACTCATTCGAGGATCGATCTAAAACTTAAAAATGGTACTTTTCCAATATCGGGGGAGCGGAAGGATTATCGGGGGAGCGAAAGGAAAATCGGGGGAGCAAATTTTGCCCCCTCGAAAAGTGCATTTCCGGGACTGTATTTTAACTGCAACGTTTTTTTTAAACTTTAACGACGTTGCGGTTCTCCGACATTTGTACGTTCAAGGAATCGACGGTAATCGATTATTTCGTCACCAAAGGAGTCATCCAGTCGTGGATTTGCTCCCCCGATATTGGAAAAGTACCAAAAATAATATAAGCAAAGCTCCCAAAATCCTAACAAAAGTTTTTAAAACATTCCAAATAACTTAACTTCCAAATAACTTTAAACTTTAAAATCACGACTCACTTCAAACTTTGCGCAATTCTTGGGTATTCGATGTCGGCCAACGGTCGGTGTCTCAACAAGGGCCAGCCAGAAATCGGGCAAGAATACCTAAATAAAAAAAATCATGTAAAGATCGGATAACAGCCATTAAATGCAAAAGTAACAAATTATTGATCTACTCGTAAACTTTTTGCAAAATTTTAAATACTAACCCTTCTTTGTGGATTCCCTGGTTGCCATAAACGAGCTGCTTTTGCTGACATTGCTGAAAAATAGAGAATTTTGCATTAAACTAATCAAAAAGCAAACAGAAAACGAAAAAAAAGCAAAAAAAATGAATGTTTCAGTGAAAAGAAAGCTTTTATACGTACTTTAATTAAAATATTTAAGTTTGGCTTTAAGTTATCCAATTGTTTGGCTGAATATCTTTTTGCTGTTAAATGTTTATGTAAAAGTTTCTAAAGTTTTTACGTTTTTTATAAACGTTTCTTAAAACCTTTGCGTTTGCGACACAAGCTTTTTTAAGCGCTTTAGAACTTTAAGAAGGCAAAAACCCTAGCTAAATCCGTCAAAAGAGCCACTCAGAAACCCCTGTCATCAGTTGTCCTTTGTATTTTATGTGTATACAACTCGTCGACATTGTTATAAACTGTCGACACTGTCATTAGTGTGCTCTTTCGACTCTCTTTCTTCTTTCCTCATTCATTTCTCGATTCATTAATGTTTTGATTGATTTTAGGGTCTCTTCTCTGCTTTCTCGTATGTAAACGGCGAGAATTGATGGCGAATTTCTGCTCGGAGAACAGGGACATCGCGTGTTATTTGTTAACAAAATTATCATGGAAAGGAAAGTGAGTTGTTTTGATGGGGTTTAAGAAGTTAAAATGGCAAAAATGGCATGGTAAAATAGTTAAAATGGCAAAAATAGCATGGTAAAATAGTTAAAATGGCAAGAAGAAAGGCAAAGAAGGGTGTTGATTATGTTAAATCCGTTGGGAACTTAATAAATCATTTTTTTCTGAAGTTTTGTATCAGCTGAATGCGTGTTTTACGGATAAACTTCTTCAAGATAAAGGGTGCAAATTATGTTAAATTTAACAAAATTAACAAACCCTTTTTACAAAGATATTATGCTAGTTTTATGTCAATAAACTCTCTTCAAGATAGTTTTTTTTCATTTAGATACAAGCGAATCTTTTCGATTGGAACACTTTGTGTGACCACGTACAATCCGCAGACCTTAGAAGTGACAAATCAGGTATTTGATCCAGTATTTCGGTTAAACTTTGTTTAGTGGAACTACGAGGACATCATCTCGATCAAACCATCGCCAAAAAACACTCCTGATGCTAGGACACAAGATGAATTCATCGTTTTGTTTCGGAAAAAGGTAGTGTCATAGAATTTTATTGAAATAGAGCCATCCTTTAGGATAAACGTGACAATATGCGATTTGCGTCTGAACATTTTCCGGATATCGTCACCGATTGTCTTCAACATTATCAAAAGTTTGTCGACAAGCCAAAACAGTTACCGGTAAGTGATCTTGGAATGGTTCATGCAAATTTCTGGTTTAGATGGCTTCTTGTTTGAAACATTCGTGGTCAGCAAGGACCGTATCTATTCGGCTGCGAATTGTTCCCTACGCGATTGAGCAAATTGATGAACGAAATGTTCTTCTAGCCGTCTACCCCTTCAAAAACATTCGCAGTATTGTAAAAGTAAGTTTGCATCTTTTAACACCTTTTTTTAACTTTTAACAAATAAAACTTGGAATTTAGCTACGTGATCGACCGAATGGTTTTGTCATCGAAGTGGGAGAACATCGACGAAGGGTACGCAGAATTTGATGTCAGTATTGAATGCTTGCATTTTAGCACATTTTCGAAACACAACAATGCGACCAATTTCTAACGGAAATTCGCAAATGGGCAGCCGATTATGTTGGTGTCTCGATTCCATTCACGAAAGAAGCGCTCACACTTGATGATGCAATGATGACACGATTGGGACTCTGCAGGTAGTTTTAATGAGAAATTAGCCATATCAATCAAATTTAGTCGCGACGATCGTCTAACTTCATACGTCGAGTTCAACGTGCAGAAATTCTCTCCCCGTCATCAGCCATCCGTTCGTCGATTGTTGTGCCTCTCTGATGGGTGTTTAATTGAAAGAGACAAGAGCACATATCATGTCATTTGCGCAACACCGCTCAATCAGGTAAAATACCGTGTTTGAAATATCTAGATCATTTGCTGAAAGCTGAAATATTTAGATCATTTGCCTTGTTCGTTTGGAGAAGGATCCTCAACAATTTGTGGTTGAATTTGTCGATGGGAAACACCGTGCCTATGCAGCTCCAGAAAGAGATCTCATTCTCGCGTCACTCATCGATGGAACGAGAGCCAGTGGAAATGAGCAAGTAAGAGGCTAAAAAAAGTAAAGATACATTCAACTTCTAGGTATTTGTAATTGGTCATCGTTTCGATAGATCTCTTCGACTGATGCCATATTCTGGTTTATTGGATGAGGATGCTGAATCACAATGTATGCGACACATCATCGCGCCTCCACGTTTGTACCTTTCTTTGGTAAAAAAAATTAGTTTTATTTAGTTGGTTTACGGCGTACGGATCTTGTAAGACGCTTCAACGCGAACATTCCGTACAATGGACTCACTTATGCAACGAATCAGGAAGTTGATTGAACTAATTTATCAAAATCTTCATCTATTCAGGGTTTCTTCACCGAGAACAAAGGGAAAATCATCGTGCAATGTCTCGAATGCGTTCTACAAGAGAAATATACAAAGGTTGGGCATTTTATACGTGTCAACTTTGAATTTAATTACTTTCAGGAGGATGCGAACGCAGTACATCGAGTCGAAGCTCAACTACAATGTCTTCGACGGCTATTTGCCTCAAAAAGTGGCTTCCACGCCTTCACGGAAGTGGCCGGAATTCGAGAGAAATTGGGTGATCTCGTCGTGCGATGTTTGCAATGGAAAAATGAAGTGCATTGTGTTTAATCGAGCTGTATAACATTCAATTCTAGGCGATCGATCATGCTGTAGTGGAGACGCTGTGTGCACTGATGCGGCCGATGCACAATTTCTTTGAGCTTCGCATCGAACAACTCAACAAACAGAGTCTTCTCAGCAGTGCGCAATTCGTCGAACATCTACTTGATCTTGTCGTTAAACATGTGGTGAGTCTTTCAAGGTTGAACCTATTGCTTTTCATGTTTTAGGAGCGACAAACTGGGGCTCTTGTGATCGCGGCGATGCTCGACTTCCTTACCTACGCTATTTGTGCGCCATTCTCCGAGACGACACACGGAGAGACTTTTGACACGATATTGAAGTGAGAATGCATCCTTCGAAAGAACTTTTGATTTTTAGACTTGTCGCAATCCGAGGCCGGAGCTTCTACACGCTTTTCCATTCGCCGAGTATGACCATTATTAAAGGTTGCTGGTTACTGAAAAGAGCTGATAAAGTTTCACTCGTTTCGCTAATTCAATCATTTTTAGGCGCCGGAATGGTAATGCGTGCGATAATTGAAGAATCCGATGTGGAAACCTCAAAAGCGATGCAACTGTTGGCGTTGAGTGAGGGGTCATTTCTCACACATCTAAATCTATCACTTCTCTCGATGGGCACGGATTTGCGGGTGAGGGTTTTTTGATACTTTCGAGGACTTTTCTTGTTTAGGTACGAGCGAATCGGCAACTTTCCGGTCATTTGTTGAGTCTGTGGCTTGTCGATAATCAATGTGCCGAGGATTTGATGCAAAGATCTTTGGTAAACGATTCTTGAAAGCTTTCTAATTAATGCTTTGCTTTAGCCACGAGGTTTGCTCGAGTTTCTTAATTCGGATGCCCCTGTGCCAGTGAAAGAAGCCGATCTACTTTTGCCGAGAAACAACCTCGAAGCGGCTTCAAATGAACTGAAACAGAAAAATCCGATGCTTGAAAAGATGGAAGGACTCAAGTAAGGGAAATCATTTGCTTTAAAAATTCCATCATTTAGGATAACGGCTGAGGCGCAAATCGAGCGATTCATTCAAAACTGGGACCTCGAACAGAAGTTGAACTTCAAGATGACACCAAGACAAGAGGTATTCAAACCAACGTATAATGTTGATGATGTAAATCTTATTTAAGGAGCGGAAAGACAAAGGAATGGTGGTGTTAAGACGGAGAAGAGCATCGAATTCGACCATCGGTCAATTGGAAACTTTTTGCGTATGAGTTCGGACAGAATCACAGCAAGGCAGATTTGATTTGGAACGAGGAAACGAGAGGAGAGTTCAGGTAGAAAATTTTGATTTTCTTCTTTGTTTTGGAAAATCTCTATTTTAGAAACACTGTTGAGAACGAGCTGCGGATTTTGCAAAACGAGAAAGAGCAAGCCGGATCGACGCTTTTGATCAGCTGGAATCACGCGGAGTTTCATGTCGGCTACAAGAGTCTCACGAATGAGATCAAAATTGGGGATTACTTCTTGCGGCAATTGCTTTCGGAAACAGACGAAACGGCAACACCGATACATAAACCGTAAGTTAATTAAGAGCTAAAATAAAAAAAGTAAACTTGAGTCTTTTTGCAGAATGACTATTTGCTTTCACATCAATAAACTTTTCCTTTAGAGTCGAGTTTTTCAACAACGTTTATCATCGTTTGCTCTTGTCGACCCGAAGTGACATGCGATGTTTATGCCTAAAGGTATTTACAATGTTCTAAAAGTTAAACCTTCATTTTAGGCAATGGCCATAGCTTACAGTCGTCATCATATCACAATTGGGCCTGTTGCCGATGTCACCCATTTTGTCACAATGCTCCAGCATACAAACGTGCCAATGGAGCGAGATCACTTGGTTAGTTACATTGATTGAATCTTAAAATGAAAGTGCTCATTTAGATACTCCTGTTGAGCAAACTCGTCCTCAATAAATCAAACGCCAGAGAACTTCTCGGTGTGGAATTGGTGCGGCTGTTGGTTGAATTGGCTTCACTCGCTCATTTGCACACAAATCGAGCCACTTTAAACAATCAAGTAAGTTTTTTAATAAGCCAGTCATTGAAATTTTCTAGAGCAATGTCATTGAAGCGACACCGAATCAAATGGGAGAAGGGCCCGCTGAATGGTACTATCAAGTGAAGAAAGATGATCGGCATGGGCCATTCTCTTTTCCAAAGGTAATTCAGGCTTGAGTTTATGAGAATAAAGCTTTTGTTTAGATGAAAGAACTTTTCGAGGAAAAGACAATCTTTGAGAAAACCTGGATTTGGGCGGCTGGAATGGAGAATTGGGAGCCACTATCAAAAGTCCCACAGTTTCGATGGACGGTTGGTTATAAACAATAAACAAAGTTTTTCAGCAAATAAAACTTTAGATCTGTTCAACTCCTGTAAAAGATGAAGAAGAGAAAAGCTTCTTGGGAAACGCTCTCTACAACTTCAGTGAATTGGCAGCTATTGCACTCGAGATTTTGCTGCAAATGTGCGAGTTCTTCCCATCAAGGTAAGAAAATTGCGTTAAAAACGATGAGTGCCAATTCAAATCAAACTATTCATTTCAGGGACGAGAAGGGTTGTGTGGTTCGTCCTATGCCCTCTGTCAAGCTCCAACTCACGTCTCCATCAGTTCTGAAATGTGTCGTGCAATTGCTGCTCACCTATGACTCGACAATTGTGCAACGTGTTTCCTCTCTGCTTTTCTTGGTCATGCAAGACAATCCATTTATGCCAAGTCTCTATCTGACTGGTCTCTTCTTCTTCATTCTCATGTATAACGGGTTAGTGATTGCTTTTTACAATAAAATTTGCTTCTTCTAGGTCGAATGTTCTGCCGATTGCTCGTCTCCTTCACTTAACACACAAAAAGCAAGCATTCCGAAGCGCTTTGGTGCGATTTTTATTAGGAAGCAGTATTGTGTTGTTATTTTAGCCCAAATTCGAAGGCACTCACTCCGTTTTGGCTCCACTTCTCCCAGAGGCCGCCATTTTCTATCTTGAACATTATGGACCCGAGAAATATGCAGAGGTTAGCCGATGTTAGTCAAATTTCACATTATATTTTTAGGTCTATCTTGGTGAATTCGATAATCCAGAAGTGATTTGGAACAACAAAATGAGAAGACATTTGATTGAGAGAATAGCGCTTCACATTTCCGAGTATTCAGCTAGATTGATGAGCAATGTGAAGGTACGATTTTCAATGTTAAGATGATTCAGGCCATATTTTAGGCTCTCTACACGTTTTGCCCGATCACCGAAGTAGACTATCCCGAATTGGAAAGCGAACTGTTCTGTCATGTGTACTACTTGAGGCATTTATGCGATCAGCAAAGGTTCCCCAATTGGCCAATCAGAGATCCGGTAAGTGAAAAAAATTAGGTTATGAATTTCTCGTTTAGGTGGCATTTTTGCGTTCTTGTTTGGCAGCCTGGCATGAGGAAATCGATCGGAAACCGCCGGCAATGAGCATCGAGATGGCTTGTGAAACTCTCGGAATTGACCCAACAAATGATCAGTGGGTTTTTAACTAACTTAAGGATATAATGTAGCACAGACACTAATATTATTTTATTGTTTAGATGGATGGATGCGGCCAACACGAGACGTGCCTATTTAAAGCTCTCATTAAAGTATCATCCTGATAAGGTGCCTTTGAGTCAGCATATTTGACTAATGCGTTTTTAGAATCCCGATCCGGAGGCTCGTGATATTTTCCAGAAGATCAGCTCTGCCTACGAATTGCTCACCTCTAACAATGCTAGGTAGTTAATTGGTAAATGCAAGCATCGACTGTTTTAGGAGAAATCTACCCGATCCGGAACGAATCGTTCTCTGCTTGAGAGCACAAAGTATTGTTTACAGCGGTCACTTGGAAGGTAAGAAAACTTTTGATATTCAATTAAACATGGAACATTTAGAACTTGGTGAGTACAAGTACGCTGGATATGGGCAACTCATCAAGACAATCGATCTCGAGGCAAAAGATGCACAACTCTTCCAAAAGGTTTGTCTGATATTAGGTTTAAGACAAGTACAATATACCGAGCAAAAGTCTTGCAACATCACCTTTTCAAAAAAAATCGATGAAATTTTTTTATAGAAAATGCCACCCGTTAGTAGGGCTTTTTTTTGTTTTTAATTAGAATAATATATGTACACTTTATTTGCAAAAACAAATTTGCAGTTCTGTTAAAACAAAAAAGTAAATGACAAAACTCCTAAAAAATACCCTAAAAACTGGGTGCAAAAATCTTGCAACATTATACAGAAACATTAAAAATTAATATTCAATCGGTTCACCTTTTGCCAAACTCACTTCATTAAGACGTTTAAGCATTGACTAATTCGTGAAGAATTGCTGATCGAATTGACCTCCAAACTTTTCGTATGTAGAACCATAATTCAACTTTTTTGTGAAAGTCCTTTCCTCGTAACTTCGTCTTCACATAAGCCCATAAATTCTCAATAACATTTAAATCAGGCGACATAGGGGACACATGGATCAACAAAACATTATGAAGGGCAAACCAGCTAGATAGATGAGCTTTTCCTCCATTTGAGAGATTCACCATGCGACCCATCATGAGCTTGCTCTTGTGGACAGAAACCATCCAGGAGCCATGTGATCCTGAGCAAATGGAAGTAGATATCCTTCTAGTATTTCCATATACTGGCGAGCATTCATGGTTGTTTGGATGAGGACGAGCGGACCTGCCACATTTTTTGCCATCGCCCCTAGAAAAAGACAAATTAATGGATGTATTAGAAATGAGGCTTACCAAAACACATGATCGATCCTCCGCCAGCTCGCATTGTAGGTCGCACATATTTAAGGAGTATTTGCTTTCTAACGGATCGTCTGATCAAGTGGCTGCCTTTTGAAGAAAAGATATCCACTTTTTTTTCATTGACAAAAATCATGTTGGCCCAATCCTGCTTTGTCCAACTTTGGTACGTCCTGGCGAATAGAAGCCGTTGTTTCCTGTGGCCGGCGGTCATCAAAAGCTTTCGTACAGCTCTCCGGCTATACAGTCATGCTTGAGTCAATCGTCGAGAAACGGTCCATCGAGAGATATCCTTGTTTGCAACATCCTTAATCAGTCGAGCTCCCTCAGTTGATGTCATGTTTGGATCCTTCTTGGAAGCCATCACGAGTATTCGCTCTTCTTTTGCTGTTGTTCTTCTTGACCGTCCTTTCTTCTCTTTTCGGTGCATAAGTTGAGTTGTTTTTGCCTTTGAAACAATGCGAGAAGCGGTCGATGGACTTTTGCACCCAGTTTTTAGAATATTTTTTAGTAGTTTTGTCATTTACTTTTTTGTTTTTAACTTCAAATTTGTTTTTGCAAATAAAGTGTACATGTATTATTCTAATTAAAAACAAAAAAGCCCTACGAACGGGTGGCATTTTCTATAAAATAATTTCATCGATTTTTTTGAAAAGGTGATGTTGCAAGACTTTTGCTCGGTATTGTACATATAATATGTGAATCGGACTTCAGATGTTTTTTGCTGGCACAAAATTGATTATTAGCTTTTTGGCGCACATTTTGGTTTTGGGTCATGTAAATAAATTATCAATAAATTAAATTTAGGGTGGCGGTTCACTGTTGGCGGCGGCAATCGAGTTGGCCAAATGGACGTTGCAGAGTTCGGCTTTGAACGCAGAACAGTTGAGGAGAGAGAATGGACTTGAGGTAGGGAAATGCTAGAGACTTAAACACCACGAGGTAATTGCTTAAACTTTTTTTACAGGCTCTTCAACTTGCTTTTGAGCGGTGTGCACCGATGATCAACTTAAGCTCCAAACCCGACGATATGGCAACACAAGTAAATATTTGAAACTGGTTGTTACTTGTCAAAAAGTCCTGGATAGTTGATAAATGTTTGGTTCAGGTGTGCGAGCGAATTTGTGACTGTTTGGGAACGGCTGCTCGTTTCGAAGGATGCCGGGCTAGAATTGCCGAGATGTCATCGATTTTCGGCAATATCACTCGATTGCTTCAATTCACGGTAAAGTATCTAAAGTTGTGGCCAAAATTTATTGTCTTCAGGCACTCCCAAAGTTGGTCGTTGCAGCGTCAAATGCTATCTCGGCTATGTCAGTGGATACGCTACTTCAGATGCAATTCTTCCAGGTAAGTTCAATGGCTTCAATCTTTAAAAATTTCATTTAGAACGGTATCCTCTGGCAATTAATTCCACACCTCTTTCTGTATGATTACACGCTGGCTGAAGGAGGTTTGGCTAGATATTCTAAAGGTTTTTAAATGTTTCATTAGGCGTTCAACACAGCGAAGACAGCAACAAACAGGCACAAGTGAATCGTCTCTCGATAGCTGCTCTTGAATCGATTGCTTCATTGGCTGGTTATCGGTCAGTAATTGCTAGTATTATTGTATAAACTTTACGTTCAGAGAATCTTGTCCAGAGAATGAGGGTGTTCAACGCAGTGTGCGGGCGCTATTAACGCCGTATGCGAGCAGATGTATGAAGAATGGGAAAAATGATGAGGTGGCAAAGAAACCTCGATAATTTATAAGCTTCTTTAGGTTTTAAAAACGCTAAACAGCAACACGGAAAATCCATATCTCGTTTGGGACAATGGGACTCGTGCTGAACTCTTGGAGTTTGTTGAAAAGCAAAGGACGTCAACGGGAAATATGGTGCATCTGATTATTTATTGGCAAATTAATTATCCATCTAATTTTAGAGCGATCTCTTCGGTGCCGAGTTCACGCTCTCGGTTTGCGCAAACGAGTTCATCGTCGGTGATGTCTTTATTCGGATCTACAACGACCAGCCAAACTTTGATATTGAGGTAAATTTCAATAACTTGTGCTGAAAGCATTTCTTTAGGATCTAAAAGGTCTCTGCGTGGATTTGTTGGACTTTCTGGAGAAACATGCGAGTCAACTTTGTGGAGATGTGCCAATCAAAACGAACAACGACAATTTGATTGACATAGATTGGGGCGAAACGGCAACGGTAGGGGAAAATTCGAATTCTTCTTATGTCATGTGTTTAGAAGGGCCCACTTTCACTCGTTGATCAAGCGTGTATGTGTTTGACGGCTTTACACAATTTGTTCCTTAAGGATCCTGGTTAGTTTGACTTGTCACAAATCAAATTTCTCCAAACATAGCTGTCGTTTCTCTTCTCATCGGCCATTTCCGCTTGTTGCTGAGATTCTTGCGTTGTACTACGAATAAACGATTGCAGAAGGGATCCCTTAAGGTACGATCGAAAGTAAAGTACTTATCCCAGATACAATTTTAGATTCTCTCACAAGCCGCCGGAACCACTCAATGTCTATCGGATATCAGCTCTGTGTTAATGTGCTCAACGCTTTACACGATTTTGACTACAACACCAGAATGTAAGTGACTCTAGGGCTTAACGAATTAAATCCTTTTTAGTCCAAGAAATCGTTCTCAACATTCTGAAAGCGTTTGCGTCAAATACTCAACTTGTCAAGGAATTGCTTGAATATGGTGAGAAAAGCTTTTCATTTGTTAACGTGTTAAAATCTCAGGAGGTATTGCCTACTTGTTGCCAATCGTTTTAACATCACCAATGTCGGGAACCTCAACGGAAAGAATTCTCACGGCCAGCCTTCTTGCACATCTTCAAGCCGATAAACTAACCGGACCAATATGGACAAGGTTTTAAAAATCGGATATTGGAAAAACGTTCATTCAGGTTCATTAACAAATTCTTGCCACCGATCTTTGCTGATGCTCTTCGTGATTCAGTACAAACTGCGTAAGTTCATTGTTAAGTTGACAAGTCATTTTCTAATCTTAGTGTCTCGATGCTTGACACTGCCAACGAGAATCCGGAGCTCATTTGGAATGATGGAGTGCGGAAAACGGTGAGAATTCGAGTGGTTTGGAAAACAGTTATTCCTTTAGGTTCTCGAAACCCTTGAACGAGATCGGGCAAATCTTCTCGCCAAACAGCAAAAGAATCCGGGTGTCAAATGGGATTTCTCTGCGATTTCCGGAGAGAATTGGTGTGCTTACAAGGACACGATATCTGGTAAGTTGTGCAGTTTGAATAAAAGCGTTATCTATTTAGGTGAACTGATCATTCACGGTGTCTTCGTGCGTCTTTATGTGCAGAATCCGGGATGGAACGTTCGTCACCCGAAACAATTTTGTCAGGAACTCGTTCATAATGTGGGCATTCAAACCGAATTGCAAGATTACGCTTCTTCATTCAGATTGTTCAACAACTCTCGAAGCCCACCAATAATTTGATGTTATTGACGACAGCACTAGTCGAATTGTTACGCCACCATCCGGGAACTGCTGATGCGGTAAAGTTTGAAGAATCTAACACAAGAAAACAATCAACAAACATTGCGAAGATTTATTAAACAAGGATCGAAGCGATTTATCTTTTATTTAAGAAGAGTAGGTCGTTTTGTTTAAATTGGGCATCGAGACGGGCACTTCACTTGGACTTCTTCGAGTTTGAGGACTAAAAATGAAAATGTAACTTAAACCAGTAAGATTTTTATAAATTCAACTAAAAACGTAAAATCCTCACTCACCACAACAGACTTGTCCTTTTCCGAGCCCGCGTTGAGCACAAATTCGTCGAGATCGTCCATACTTTCGTTCTCCATACGAGCTCCCTTAAGAGAATTAGTTCCAAATGAATCCATCAAAGCAGACCAATTGATTGAAGACGATCTGAATGTTGTCGGCTCGTTTGATAAACGCCTCGATGTCGTCACGGACGAGTGGGATGCGCACACAGTCGACAGCGGCTCTCAACTCGGGCACGATCTCCGCTAATAGCTGTCTTGCCTAAAAATTGAGTTTGCTTTCATTATCAAACTGGGATCAGACATTACTAAAACAACTCCAAGCCACTGTTACCTTGTTGATCGCTACGCGCAACTCGACGATTCCGTAGAGTTTTGGTGGAAGAGCGCCGAGGATCGATGTCATAGATGGCTCCTGAGAAGAAATGGAATAAAGCCTGAGAAAAATGCTTACCGGTTCAGTCGATAAAGAGGTTGATGAGATGGTGGACAGTGTATCCCATTCATTATCGCACAAACGGGCCTTTGTCTAAACAGGAAAAGATAAACGTAGTTACCAGAATAAACCTCAGCGAGTCGACGATGCATTTGCTCCTCCAGACACACCAAGCTCTGCCCGACCTAAAAAAGGAAATTCGCTCAAAGAACAGATACAAATCTTTACCTTTTCAAAATCCATGGTATTTTGCAGCTCCAGGCTCTTCATTTGTTCCTAAAGAAAAGGTTTGAGAGTGCAATCGAGCCACATAATGATACCAGAAGGTTTTCGAAGCTCTTGAGCATCGGTTGATCGATTTTGCTTTCTGGAAAGGAAAGTTCAAGTATAACCACGTACTAGGTTTACTGCCCAACAAATTAACTCTAAGGTAATCATAAAAAGTTAGCAAAGATAAGATAAACAAGCCAAGAAAACTTATTCATACTGAAGTTGAGATGAGGTGGAGAGAAAAATGAGAAATTCGGTTACAATCAGCGTTTTATTCGACCCTTAAATGCTAATAAAACAGTTTCTATGTAAATGAATTTATGCTAATTTTTTTCTTTCAGGTGATCACCTATTTGAATCAATTCTCGATGGGGATGCGCTCTCCGAATGCTGAAGCCTCTCGTTGTGCCATTCTCATTCTTCAACAATTGGCTGAAAATCAGGTGAGGAAATTTTATCCATTTAACTTTAGCCTTGTTTAGTATTGTGCGGATAACTTATGTCGTTTGGAGTGCATTGATGGAATCAAATTATGTATGAGGAATCAACCAGGTTTGATTGAAATCAATATCTTAATGATTTGTCTTTGTTTAGAGTTGATTTGGGAGTGTGCTCACGCGTTACGACTTCTATTGCAGCGACAAACGGGAGAATTAGCCGGGCAACTTCTCTCGACGGGAATGGTCAATTTCATGTTGGAGTTGTTGGCCTCACCGATGCCAAGTGAGTGAAATCCTTTGCACTTCTGTATTCTTGTGTAAAATTCAGATGTGAGCCGAGCGCAAGCAGCAAGAGCCGAGATTGTGGACGGGTTAAAAGCGGCGTGTTTGGATGCACGATATGGCGCTGAGATCACGAAGATTTTGGAGGCGAACCCGATTTGGTCACAGTACAAGTAAGAGATTTGATTTTGGATATGTCCTGATTGGAGATTGCTATAAATTGACACATTTAAAGATATGTTTCAAGGTTAATTTCTCCTTTTCCAGAGATCAACGCCACGATTTGTTCTTGCCGGCGTCAAGGACTCAAGCGATCACCGCCGGATCGGGAAATTCAGCCATCGCCGGCTATCTCACCGAGGGAATGTTCAGGTGAGATTTTAATTTAAAGTGACTATAAGGATACGACCTTTTAAGTTCATTATTCACCTATAAACCGCTAGTTTTTAGTCCTCCTCCAATGTCCACGCAACCACCGCCACTCAATCACGAGGACACCACCCCTTAGCTTTCAATCAAATCGGTATTCATTTGTTTGTTTGTTTATCACTGTTAGTTCATCCTATTTATTCATATATCCATTTTTGCAATCCGCATCAAATCATCATCAACATCAACTGTGATATAATTGTTGGGTGAAATGCCTTGTCTATCTATCATTTTCTTTTCCGTATCCGATTCCCGGATTTCTCCACAAAACGGTGCCTTTCCCGTCTACTTTAACTGTTCAATTTTCATTCATTGCCCTGTGAAAATTTCATAATTTTTTCTTTTCAAATTTCCAAAAGTCTCAACCAACTTGCCCAATTTTTCAGCAAAAACAAGCAAATCAATTTGAATCTTCTTTTTAAAGGTGCCTATTCACGCTTAAGCTTATCCATCCATTCTTTGCTTTTCTTTCTTCTTTATCCAGTGTGATATAATATTTATTCTCTTGTCTACTCCTATTTTTTCTAAATCATCCTGTGCTTTTTTTTTCATTTCATCATTTCTTTAAGAACTGCGATCATTTCAATCGAATATCAAACACGAAAATATTGTGATTTTGTATGGCATAAGTTTGAAATAGTCAAATTTGAGAAGAATAAACTTGTGATATCATAAAGCTCTTTACTTTTTGTATACTTTCGACTGCCATTCACAACTTGATTTCCTTTGCCCATTCATTCCTCAGTTCCCCTTGATCTTTTGACCAATTCATTTGAATACTTCATTTCAAAAGCCTCATCCATCCGTCTTTGCCATCAAAAGATGATTCATTTTGCCGGAATTTTCTTCTCTTTCTCAATCAGATAACACGAGCGAATTTTGGTGGGTTTTTTTTGCCATTTTTGTGGAATTCAATCTTAAAGAAAATGCAAAAAAAAGTGTAACGTTTAGTCTGAAGAAAAAGTTGGGAAATTCGAGAAAAAAGATGTAATGAAACGAAACTTGTACACGAAATTATCCATCAAGCTTGTTTCTAGAGATGCTGCTCGTTGTCCTTTTTCTCGTTAATCGTCGTTGAAGCTGCCTAGAGTTGAAACACTAGCAAGTTGGATGGCTTATTCAAGTATTGCAATCCCCAAAATGATCACCTTTTCATCCTTCTCGGCGCTTTTCTTAGCTTTTTTCTTCTTGTCGAGAACCTCCTAAAGAAAACACAGTTATTTGGCATGGAACTTGAGTTTCCATGCCTGTTTCATCTCTTCCCAGCTGCTATCAACATCTTTGAAGCTCGGATAGTCTTCCTCGTTTCGTTTCTCTCCGGTCACGATCAAGTGCTTCTAAATGAATGTCTTAGATGTCTTACTTATTCAAGAAACAATACCCGCTTCTGGTTCATCTTCTGGTCAAAATACACTGGTGGTCATATGTATTGTCACCCCGCCGCCGAAAATCTCTCAAAGATTACTCCCTGAAAAGGTAGCCGAATTGAAAGTGCTAAAAAACCTTTAGCTAATAAACTCTAGCTAATAAACTCTAGTATCTAAAACCACAAAAAAATTTATTCGGAATGTTTATTATTTTTAAAAATAACAAGAACGGAAAAGACACCTCAAAAACAGTGAACAAAAGTATTGTCACCTTTCAAAAGCAACAGTAAATTTAATAGTCTATTGGCCCTCCATTTGATCTGAATGACCTTTTTCTATCCTTCTTGGCATCGAATACGATCAAATTGTACAAAACTGATGATCCAATTTGATTCCATACAAGACGTAGATAGTACCAAAGACTTTGGACGACTTTGGAAGTGAAGTTCATGGTTGAATCATCTCAAGTGGACCTGCCACATTTCTTGTCATCGCTCCTACAAGCTGACAATTATACAAGAAAAAGTATAAAAATCCATCATACCCCAACACATAATACTGTCGCCCGCAAATCGAAACGTGGGCTTAATGTACTTGAGTAGTAGACGCTTTCCAATAGGCCGCCTGATTAATGGAGATCCATCCGACTGAGATTAACTTTTATCTCATCAGAGAAAATCACGCGACTCCAACGTCACTCGTCCAACTTTGGTACCTCCGAGCAAAGGCTAAACGAAGTCGCCTAATCCGAGGGATCATACGTGGCTTCTTTATTGGTCGTCTAGCGTACAACTTTGTGTTGATGAGTCGTCTCCTCATGGTCCTTGCTGAGATATCATTGCCGAGCTGTGCTTTACACAGGCGGCTTCCGTCAGTCGAGGTGAGACTTGGGTTCTTTTTGAATTCCCTGATAATCGATCGATCCTCGGCAATTATTATTGATGTATGTCGACCACATTTTGCAGCTTTGTGTCAAGAATCGACAATTTTTGAGTATTTAAAAAGTCGTATTACAGTCCTCTCACTGCATTCAAATTCGTTGTTTTTATTCCATTTTCTCGATCTTCAACAATCTTTTCACAATCAGGGAGTAATCTTTGAGAGAAAATTTTTGGTGGCGCGGTGACAATACATATGACCGTATGTAATGTTGGCTATGACATTGTCAAAGCTAAACGATCAAGCCCGCAAATCTTTTACTTGTTTCGATGATTCGCCGGATGGTCGGCTAGAGATTTGCCGATTCGACTCCGCTTTTTTCTTCTTGTTGCCACATCCGATCAATAGCGCGGCTAAAATTTAAAAAAAAGTTATATTGGGTTGGTGGAAAAGTCCTTTCGGATTTTTTGGGAGAGTACCTTAAATTTGTCCAATTTTGACGTTTTATAGCTCATCCTAAAGCTGAATTCAAGACGGATCGATTGGTAAAAACCGTTTTGAGATATCTCTTTTCTAAAAGTTTTTACAACTATTTTAGTAAAGGGCGGCAGAGCCAAAAAATGGCTGTTTTCACGTTTCGTTAGTTTTTCGTGCAGAAACCTAGGCTAAAAACATGTGTTTCGTGATCAGCGTCAAAAATAACCCTTAGACACAAATTTTCAGAATCTTAGCAAAAAATTTTTGAAAGATATTGTCACCGGTGGAAGTCGAACCAGCGACCCTCAGATCAATAGCCTTTCCGCCGCTTTTCGCGATTTTCCTTCGTTTTTTTTTTTTTTTGTTGTACCCTAAAATTTACCATAATAACAAAAAAGAGAAAACAAATAACAAACAAAAATTTCAGAAAACAAGAAAAAAACTAATCAACAAGATGGTCGCCATTCTTATCTCTCGATGAGCCTGTGCGGCATTGAGTTTTCGGTTGAATGCATACAAAAACAGGTGTCGCTGGTGCTCCTCCGATTCAACTTGACACGACATTCCTGAAAAAAGCCTTCTAACAACATCAAAAAAATGATAAAACAAAAAAAAAAGAGAAAAACGAAGGAAAATCGCGAAAAGCGGCGGAAAGGCTATTGATCTGAGGGTCGCTGGTTCGACTTCCACCGGTGACAATATCTTTCAAAAATTTTTTGCTAAGATTCTGAAAATTTGTGTCTAAGGGTTATTTTTGACGCTGATCACGAAACACATGTTTTTAGCCTAGGTTTCTGCACGAAAAACTAACGAAACGTGAAAACAGCCATTTTTTGGCTCTGCCGCCCTTTACTAAAATAGTTGTAAAAACTTTTAGAAAAGAGATATCTCAAAACGGTTTTTACCAATCGATCCGTCTTGAATTCAGCTTTAGGATGAGCTATAAAACGTCAAAATTGGACAAATTTAAGGTACTCTCCCAAAAAATCCGAAAGGACTTTTCCACCAACCCAATACATATACAGATTAACATTAATATTAAGATACCCACGCGATTTCTAGAACTATCAATATCTCGAAAATCTTCTAAATCTAACCAGAGATTAGTCTTAAAATAAAAATTTCTGTAAATTTTGTAAAATTAACCGTTTTTACCTAAAAACTCACACCAAACTTTTAGCCAAACGCATAAAACAAAAAATTACACTTTTGCAACAAGGCTACTTTTAACCAAACGCATAAAACAACAAGAAAATAAGCAAATTTTAACAAGAAAACCCTTTTAAACAAAACAAAAAACTCACCACAAAACGATTGGCATCAAGAAGCCCAACATTATTGACCACATTTTGTCGTTGAATCATACTAAAACAAGAAAAATTGTTGGAAAGTAGAAATTTAAAAAAAAAAAAACGAACCTTTACACTTTTGAAGATTGCAATTTGAATCTTTTGAAGATTCTGTCTCGATAAAAGATGAGAAATGATTTTATTTTCGAGAAAACACTCGTTTATTCGAAGCTTAAATGTAAATTTTCCAATTCTAAATGAAAATTTTTCGATCTATCGTCCTTCGAATAAATGCTTCGAAAGCTTCGAATAAATGAATGTTTTCTCGAAAATAAAATCATTTCTCATCTATCATCCTCGTTCATCATTCTCGAGCCAAGCGAATGCTTTGTAATCATTTCTTTTCTTTTGCAAATTCTTAACACTTTCCTTTTTCTTGCTAAACTCGTTCAACAGTTGTCACACACCAATTCCCCTTTTTTTTATCAAAAATTTTTTGATTTCTTCGGCAAGGAAAATCAAATCCACTTTTCTCCCTTTCCTCTCAGTGTTTTGATTTAGTCATTGGAAAGATAAAAGATTGCATTTTCTAGGAAAATACAGTGGATCCCAGGAAAATATGGGACGCACATAGAAAAAAGGCCACCAAAAATGAATCACCAAATCGGTGATTCACGATTTTTTTTTTTGGTTTTCTGGGGAACAACAGCAATCAACACATTTTTCCAGTTGTCATCGAAAATGATGATGTTTTAGTGCGAAAATCGTTTTCTTTTTCCCTTTTTGCATTCCAGCTTGCGCTTAAAAGCTAGGAATTTCTGTAGAAATGAATTTTTTTTTGGCAACTCGTTTTTGTTTTTTTTTTGTTTTGGCTGTTATTGTTATCTCCTCGAGTGAAAGTTGGATCTCCATATCGAAATTGTGATCTCCATATCGAAAGTGTAATCGACTGTGCGCAAATTGTAGTGACATTTGTGGGGAAAGGGACATTTTTCCTTTCATTTTTATGCCACTCTTCGGAGACGTGTTGGAAATGTCGATTGTCGATTATCCAAATTTATTCCAGTGCTAAAGTGAAAGGCCATCTTCATCTTCTTCTAGTTTGCTTAAAAGCAAACTTTGGAAACTCTAGACTAATCTCCTGGTTTGGATTTGGTTAGATTCTTGTCATTGACTCTAGATTTGGTTAGATTCCTGTCATTGACAAGTTTTCGAAATTTTCCTTTAAATTTTGCCTTCTTTCGATCAGTTTACCCAATCGCCGCTTCTCCATTTTCTCAATAAAAATCTTCGAATTCTTGCCAAATTCTTGCCAAAAAAGCTTCCCGAAAACTTGTGATATTATTGTTTTTCCTTTTGATTTCTTTTTTTTTGTTCAAAATTCTCTTGAAAAGGAAAACAAAAGTTTTGTGCCAAGAAATAATATTTTCGCTTTTCTTTCTTTTGAATCACGAAAACGGGAATTTCTGGAGGCTTCTCGCAAAGTGAATCAGATTTGAAAAAGTATATGATCTTTGGGGGAAATTGTTGGAAATTGTTGGAAATTGTTGGAATTGATCCACCTTGACAATGAAATATCATATTTGAAAAACGATCGTCACTTTCGCCCGTCTGTAGCTCGCTTGTCTTTACCGTATTTCTAAATACTAATATTACCACTGTGTAGCCCTTGAAAAGAGCTTTCAGGAAATGTATAACACTAAGAGTTTAAACTCAAAGACAAGAGAGTTACAGACGCGCGAAAGTGACGATCGTTTTTCAAATATGATATTTCATTGTCCAGTACTGTAGGTAAAGTCGAAATAAAAAAGGATTTTTGAAAATTAGAGTCTAATCCTAATTTCTAATCTTCTCTGAATTCTCAACTTAACAATTTGCTTTTTTTTTTTGAATACCAAATAGTTCCTTCTTTGAAAAGAAAGACCAAAATACACGATTAGTATTCAGTGTTGGGGGAAATTTCGATCGAAAATTGCTTAAAGAAAACCCTCAACACCAAAACACTTTAGTTTTTCAAAGGCTCAAAATTTTATCACCCAAAATTTACAGCTCAATTTTCTTTTCCCCATTTACCATTTCATTTCAGAGTTTCCCCATTTACCATTTCATTTACCATTCACCATTTCTGGATAGCAGTTCAAAATTTGATTGGAAAATTCTCGAGAGAACAAAGAACATCTGCCCTTACCAAGATCGAGTTCGAATAGAAAGAGATTGGCGCTTTTTTTGGAGAGATTCGAGATGGAGAGCGCCATCTTTTTAGCCATTTTTCGACCAATTGGATATCACAATGGCCAATGGCAAATGTGCTGGGTCGATTTCGCCATCTTTGATCACTTATCACGTTTAGCTTGGTTATCTTGGGTTTTCTTCTTCTTCTTCTTCTTCTTCTTTATTATTCTTCTTTGTTTTCTTGCTCAATGCATACATTTTCTCTTTCAAAATAGAATCTGAATATCATTTTGTAAATCTTTGTAGTTGAATTGTTGAGAAAGTTGAGAATTTTTGATATTTTACTATTTGCTGATTATTTGCTTTCCCTTTCAACACTAAAAAAAAGCGAGTAGGCGGTAGCCAAGTCACTTATTCATCAAAAATTTCCAAATAGAGTTCTTCATGACTAAGTTTTCTTCCTGTACATACAGAAGTGATTAAAAAGGATCAAAAAAAGATTTATTTGAATAGAGAGCAGTGAAATGAATCAAAACAACTTGTTTTAAAGCTGATTTCCGTTCATTTTATGAGTCAGACTAAGTTATTCATTTTTTTTTTTCGAAATTTACAGATAACCATAGTCAAATAGCCTTTTAATAGCCTCTTATTAAATAGAATTCTCCTTTTACAATCATCAATTCTCTTTATTTATCTTTAAATATGATTTTCCCACTTTTTAAAGCACTTTTGCCCAAAAGAAATACCTTTTCGAGAATTTACGATCTGTTAGATCGCTATTAGGATTGGATGAGTCATCCGGGGGTACGGGAAACCCTAGTGCCGCCTTCTGCTTGCCTTGTCGAAGCCCCGCCTCCTCTGTATCCAACGCTTGTCGAGTCTGTGCGGTCTATGCCTCCGCCCCATCCTCACCACAATCCTCTCCTCTCAATTTCATCCCTCCCCTTCACCAACCATTCAACCCTTTTTCAACCCTTTCAACCCTTTCAATCCCATTCTTTCCCAACCATAGCACCATTCTTAAATCGATAGTCTTCTCTTCTTGGACACCATTTTAGAGAGCAATGAGCTTTGGCTTTCTATAATAGCTTTCTTTCTAACTACCGTAATCCCCCGAGACTTTTCCAGATATCTTTCAGATTCGTAATCTTTCAAAGATCATAAACCCTTAACTAACTAACCATTTTACTCATTCCATTCTAGCACTTGCCCCAAAGCGCTGTGCAAGCCACTTAACCCGCTTGTTCTCTTTCCCTTCTCTCATCCCAAATTTCATCCCAGTCTGACCTCTCGAGAACGGTCTATATAAACATATGCACCACAGAACCACAGAAAGCAAGAAAAGACTAGAATCTGGACACACAATAACGTTATGGTTTTGATTTTCCTTTCCTTTTATTAAATTATTAATCGAAATCGCTTTTATCGTACCGACTACTTTTTTTTTAAACTCGTTTCTTTCATTTTAACCTTTGTTCTACGATTTTGCATTTGTTTTTTTTTGATTATCTTTTTTTTTTATTTAATTCTTGATCTAGAACTCGTTTCAACTCTCAACAATGACTGAGGAGAAAGTGATCGAACAAACTGAAGAAGTCGTCCCACCACTTCCCACCACCGCGCCTCCATCTGATGAATCGATGGTGGTGAGTTTTTTTTTGAGTTTTTTGATTTTGGGTAACTGAATTTGATTCAACTTTACCATTTCGGCTGTTATCGTTTAGCGTTGTCGTTTAGCGTTATCGTTTAGCGTTAGCGTTATTGTTTAGCGTTATCGTTTAGCTGTTTAGCGTTATTGTTTAGCGTTATCGTTTAACGTTATTGTTTAGCGTTATCGTTTAGCGTTAGCGTTTAGCGTTATGGTTGAGCGTTATTGTTTAGCGTTATCGTTTAGCGTTATTGTTTAACGTTATTGTTTAGCGTTATTGTTTAGCGTTATTGTTTAGCGTTATCGTTTAACGCTATTGTTTAGCGTTATCGTTATCGTTTAGCGGAATATTCTAGGTAAGTTGGTGGGGGGGGGGGGGGGTGGGGGGGGGGGGGTTTTTTTTGGTGTTAGTTTTTAGGTTATTGTTTTTTATTGTTTGTTATCGTTATCGTTTAGCTGTTATCGTTTAGCTTTATCGTTTAGCGTTATCGTTTAGCGTTTATCAGAAATCAAATTCCTCTTTTAAGGAAGCCAAAACCGAGGAAGAGCCAAAGGTAGAAGAGGTGAAAGTTGAAGAACCACCAGCAAGCATTCACGATGAACCGATGAAATGGCTCACACAACAGATCCCGCCAGCTGTTCATAAGGTATTCAATTGAAAGCTTTTCTTTGGACAGTAATAACTGGGCAGTAATAGTAATAGTAATAGTAATAGTAATGCTAATCAGTAATAGCCTCAGATCGTTGAGTAACTGAAATAGCCCTGTTCAAGTTTCGGTTAACTGTTAAACGATCGTGTTAACTATCAACTTTCAGGTCAACTACCTCGTTCTTCAATGGCTTCAATCGATTGTTGAGGAAGATCCTGAGAAGCGACAACCGATCCCTGGAAAGAACGAGGCAACCACGAAGAATCAATTCATCAACTTTTTAAAGTAAGTGAGGCATTGAGTAAAATGATTGAACTCATTTCTAGGGATGGACAACTCTTGGCTTCATTCGCTAACAAACTTTCCCCTGGTGCCATTGAGACGATTCATGAGGGAGAGGCGCTTAAATCAAAGGAGAATCAAAAAGCAAACGCGCAAGGATTCATCGATTGGGCAAAGACGATTCTTCCAGAAGATCAGGTTGGTCAGGAATTGCTCAGGATCAGGAATTGCTTGAAGTCAGGGAATTGCTTTTAAGTCAGGGAATTGCTTTTAAGTCAAGGAATTTCAAAGTTTAAGTGTGATATTGATGATTTACAAGGTTGCATTTGGTGGAAAAGTCTTAGCTTTAAAAGCTCTATATATTCTTGTCGTCATTTTTTTGTCGTCATTTGTCTGAATCGAATGTTGGGAGAATAATTCCACTAATTGCTCTCCAGTATGGCCGATCGCTTCGTCTTTTCAAATTTGTTTACCCGACATGGGATTTCTCTTTTGTTTTGCGGTGAAGAGAAAGAGAGAATTTCTGCTCATCCGGTGCAGCTGCTCTTCTCTCCACCACCACTACAACACTAATTTCACCTTATTAGTGGGGGGATTTTGTGTTTTTCATCAATATTGGCTGGCACTAAAGCTAAAGAACAAAAATTGAAGAAAATACCTTCAAAATGAAGAATTTCAAAATTCAAATCTTACAAATCTACGTCTCTCACCGTTTCCTAAGCAATAATGACGCTGTGACATCCATAATTTCAGCCTCCTTTGTTAGATCTAGGATTTCTAAACTCTGGTACCTCTTTTGAAATACTGAAAGACGGAAAAAAGAGAATGAGGTGCAAAAAGTGACTCACTAGCTACCGCAAAGCTAAAAAGTGAGAAAGAGACTCTTTCGCCTTTTGCCTTGAGCCTTTCGAAATGTTTTCTCGACTCTTTTTATCGAATGACATCCATTGACTCTTTTTTTGGGGATCCTGTTACATTCAGAAGACAATAGAAATGAGGCGAGAGTGAAGAGGAGACAAATTCGAGTCAAATCAAAGCGCTGAAAACTTGCCTCAAACTGCAATAGGCTTTATTTGTACAGCTTTGATCGTTTTTGAAATCAAATTAAGCCAAATCGAGCCAAATTAAGCCAAATTTGAGATCACTAAATTTCTTTTTCGAGTCAAGTCTGATCCAGATTTGCAAAGGCTGAGAATTGATGTGAGAATTGATAGCTATCCGATAGATATCTCGATTTCACTCCTCTTAGAAATCTCTCGATGATAGGGAAAGTGATGATCTCCCCTCCCCTTCTTGACTTCATTCTCATATTGAAATTGAATGAAAATTGAAATTGGGTCAACCTCACTAGGAATTTGAAAGAATTTGAAAGAATTTAGGAGAAATGAATGCATTTTCATCAATCCTGGATGGCATCCAATGTTTTAAGTAACAATTGAAGGCATATCTAGCAAGTTTCGAAACGTTATCAAGTCAATCGTGACGGTAATCTTTAGAGCATTCGGTCAGATTACCATTTTCCTTTCTCTTTCTCTTCTCTTTCTCTTTCTCCTTCTTTGTCTTTCCTTTGCCGATTCTCTTTTAGGGATACCCTCAAATGAGGCAAGTCCATCAAAAAAGCTAGGTCAACCATTCTGCGGTGAGCTTTGAAAAGAAAACGCTGAAAGGGGACACAATGGGTAGGCACAGAATAGACACAGAATAGACACAGTCACACCGCAGAACGAAAATCAATCAATGTTGGTTGAGAATGAACTGAATGAAAGAGTAGAGAAGTAGAGAAGTCATTAAGAGAAAGGGAAAAACGATCATTTCTAGAATTGAGTAGTGATCAAGAAGACGAAGAAGAAAAGTGCTCAATTTGAATTCGATTTTGATTCCAATTCCATTTTTTTGACTCTAGAATTTCCATGAAATTCCCTCTTCGTCATTAGCGCTTCTTTCGTAATCGCTTAAAAATTTCAATTTCTCCATTTTTCATTCTTTTTCCACATTTTATTGGAAATTTCGCTTGAACCTAGGACTTTAGATAAATGAATGCATTATCGGGGAGAAAAAAAAAGAGAAATTCGAAATTCGGACCTTTCGGCTATCCATCAAAAATCGAAAATGCAAAAAATGCAAAAACGATATATAGAGTAAAGAAATTGGAAGTAAAGAAAAGTAAAAAGCAAAAAAAAAGAGAAATTTTCTAGGTGATGAGTACGGAGGATTTGCAAGAGAAGGGAAAACAAGGATATTCAGCTGTTGGTTTTTTGAAAGAATTACGTGTTTATGCCAAGTTTAGATCATGAATACGATCTGGAAAATTGCCACAAATGCTAAGGAGAAATTCGAGAAGGTATGGCTTAAAAGGATCGTGATTTAGCGTGCTGTCGTTGCTGTAGTTCTGTAGTAGTTGTAGTTCTGTAACTAGTACAATACGTATTTTAGGAGAACATCAACACTGAGCAAGTACTTGAATCAGCTGGACTTGCTGTGAAGACATCGATCATTCAAACAATTCTCAACTTTTTCAAGCGAGCTCGTCCACAAACTACTCAGGTAAATATTCGAATTAATGAATTTAATTAGAATTAACGAATTAATGAATTTGAATTAAACTTGAGATATTGTAGAAGGCTAGAGATTTGATTGATTCATTGATTTTAGTCTGCAAAGCAAGCTGCCATGGAGCAAGAGGAAAAAGAACGAGCTGAGAAGAGCAAGGAGATCGAAGAAGAGAATAAAGTGAGGAGAAATGAGATAGAAATGAATAGATTAACGATAATCAAGAACTTTTTCTATTTCAGATCGCTGAGACAACCACCTCAACTCCAGCAGTTGTTCCAGCCAACTAAGGCATTTGGATTCAAAATCCTTCTCTTCACCATCTTCATTCCCTGCCGGTTCTCGTTTCTGTGACACATCTACAACTATTCAGGTTAGAGGGTTTTTCATTTGGAAACTAGTTGATAGTCCAGTAGACAATCTAGTAGACAGTCTAGTAGACAATCTAGTAGACAATCTAGTAGACAATCTAATAGACAGTCTAGTAGACAATCTAGTAGACAATCTAATAGACAGTCTAGTAGACAATCTAGTAGTTCAAGAGCATTAGTACAAGTCAGTCTTGAGAAAAAGAGAAGAGAACAAGGTGGGAAAAACCTTGGTTCATCCATCCTATTGACGATTTTTTTTTTGCTGAGGGACTTTGAGGGGAAAATTTATCCCTCAGAAAATCGTCAGTTTGGTCATTTCTCGCACATCAAATCCGCGAAATTGGTTTCTCTTCGATTCTTCTCCCATATGTCCTTGGCTTTGTCCATCCATCTGCCTTGAACGGGTTTTTTTCTTCTTTTCTTCTTCCCTTAAATCCATTCCATTTCATTTCATTCCCCTTCTGGTACCCTATTTGGTATGGATATTCTGTAAAATGAGCATCCAAAAGATAAATATAATACTATAAAGCTATGTTTTTGCATGTAGTATAGTTGGCCCATGAATTCTCCAAATGCTAGAGATTCATGAAAAATTGATGAACAAGGAGGCTAGGCTGAAATCGACTCTAACAATTGGAGAAAGGGGTTTGGGTTTGGAAACAGCAACAAATCTGACGAAAAGTGATAATTAAACTAGCAAAAAAATCTCATAGTTTATTGGGTAATTGAAAAAAAAAATCTTTTGTCTAAAGCCTAACTGTAAATATTCAAATGAATGTTTATCGTTTATGCCTCTCTGTTTGCCTTTCTGTATATAGACTCTGCATAGTTTTCCACCAGTGAAACTCTTTCTTTCTTCGAGAGAGGATTAATAAGGGAATATTATTTCTAGTTGCTAGCTAGTTATTTCTAGTTTCTAGCTAGTTATTTCTAGTTTCTAGCTAGTTATTTCTAGTTGCTAGCTAGTTATTTCTAGTTTCTAGCTAGTTATTTCTAGTTTCTAGCTAGTTGACCATATTTCTCATATTCATGTTCTCATATCAATAATTTGAAAAATTGAAAAAGATTTATTTTTGGTAAGAAAGCTGGTAAGGCTGGTAGGAATAAGTTAGATATGATCTCGCGGGGATCAATAGATGGGGTCATCAAGGTCACAAGAGGACAATCCCCATCCATTTCCCCATCTATTCTCCATTCGGCCATCTGTCTCGAGAAATGCATGTATTCCCCCCTAGCCTCTGACTGATGCGATCTCCTCCTTTCACCTCTCGATTTCCGGGAGAACATAAAGATCCGATCAGTCACTAGGAGGATTATGTGATATCCAGAAAAGGGATAAAACGAGGATTTTTTGGTTTAATATTTTGTTGGGGAAACAAGAGATTTATTCTGAACCCATCTTGCTTTTTAAATCACAGTTTAAACCCTTTTTGATTCGATTTTTGCCGTTGTGTTCACCTTTTCCCCATTTCGATTTTAATCTCACAATGAGCCACCAATTGATGGCCTCTAGGGAGGGTCTCAATTTAGCATCTCTCCGTTTTCGATTGCGTCCTGGGCTTAGCTTCTTGCAAGAGATGGGTTCTCTTAGCTGGGTCTCCTCGATTTCCCTTCCATTCTTCCTGTCTCCTTCTTTTTGGCCACATTCTCGTAATTAGTGTACATCGATGGGCATCGTTGAAAGCCTTGAAATCTTCACAGAACCTAAGGATAGCATTGAGGGAACGCTGAATTGACTTTAGTAGATGAGTGGCCTAGGCTAAAGCCTGCAATAAAGCTAAACCAAGGCAAGGCAAGGCTTAGACCTTGTCCTATACTTGGTCATCAACCCTAACAATTTTTCAATTACTCTCAAACAAACCGATTTCTATGCGTTAAAGAATTGACTTTGAGGACCCTGTAATTAGCTGTCGGCCGATTGAAATAGAAAGAATGACAGGGAAAAGATAAAAGGATACCTTCAGAAAGGTCCAGGTGTCCTTTCAACAAAAACCACAAACGAGATCTGATTTTGGCTGTGGGTTCGGGAACGTGTTAGACCGGCAGAGGCTGTCGGAGAGCTTCTCCAACCTAGACCAGGTCGTAGGCTTTGTCAAAGTTGAAAAACTCGATCGTTTCCCTCAATCTGGATATCACTAAATCTAAAGTGAAAACGAAATCATTGAAAAACGAATTTCATTAAAAAAACCATTTTCAGTTTCCTTCTCTTCCCCAAAAAACACAACAAACTGCAGGCTTTCAGTTATCAATCCGTAAACAATTTGATTGTTTTTCTTTTTGTTCTTTTTGAGCTAAAATTTTTGATCATTTCTGTCGCCTTATTGTTTTTAGTTGCAATTTCCCCATTCCCAATATCAAAAAAATTGATCTTTTTTTTCTTTCTTATTATGCAAATTCCTCGAGATTGCCAAAAAAAAAATTTTCTCTAAACTTCATAATTATTATTATTATTCTTTTTGCTTTTTTTTTTAAAAAAAAACCATTCAATTTCTCATGATTTTTATGTCGAATAAATTGTTTTTCAGAACAGAAAAATGGCTCTGCAAGTGCCGGTTTAATAACCAAAGTTTTTCTCTTTTAGAAATCACCAAATTTATTCGAAAATAACACAAGAAAAACCCGTGAAAATGAAAAATGGAAAAAAAATTGATTGCGTAAAGCTGAAGGAAAAATGGCACAAATTTTGAGTTAAATGAAATAAAAGAAAAATGAAAGCATCATCATTACCATAAAAATGATCAAAAACCGTTTTTTTTCTATCAGATAGCTTTCAAAAAAAATCCCCTAAAAAATTGTAAAATCTAAAGAAAAGTGAAATTTTTTGATGAATTTGGACAGCACCGAGTGGGGAAATTGAAAAAAATGTGGGTAAATTTGAAACCGGAAGGCAGTGGTTGGGTTGATGTTGTTGCCGCTGTTGTTGCTGCTGTTGTTGTTGTTGCTGCTGTTGTTGCTGCTGTTGTTGTTGCTGCTGCTGCTGCTGCTGCTGCTGTTGTTGTTGTTGATGTTGATGTTGTTGATGTTGATGTTGATGTAAGCTAATCAGCTGTAAAAGTCAGATTAGCTCTCTTATTTCCTTAAAAAGAGGCTAAGCAACATAATGGCGAATCCAGTGAGAATTCGTGTCGATTTCGCTGAATCCGGTAAAGCGCCAGCTCTTCGCGGTTCAACGAAAGGATTCGAGTCTTCCTGAAGATGGAAATCAATTCTCGAATATTTCATTAGTTTTCAAGCCAACCTGTGATTCGGAGAGTTTATTTTCGAAGTTCTTTTCTGTCGTTTTCTCTCTTGCGTATTTTTCTTTCCAATTTGGAGCTTCTAAATGGATAAATAAGTAAAAATAATAAAAAATATTAAAATTTCACCTTCTTCAGCTCTTTCTCTCATGATTGAAGTTGTCAATTTTTGCGTTGCTGTTGCCGTAGTTGTGGTCTAAAAACAATTTCTCATACTTTTAGCCAAGCTTTTAAACAACAAACCGTTATTCTCATTGTCGTTGAGCTTGTAGTAGTTGTGGTAGTAGTAGTCGTAGTAGTTGCTGTTGTTGTTGTAGTAGTAGTAGTAGTAGTTGTAGTTGTAGTTGTAGTTGTAGTTGTAGTTGTTGTTGTTGTTGTTGTTGTAGTAGTTGTTGTTGTGGTTGTGGTTGTCCTCATTGTCGTCTCTATCGGGGTTTCTAAACTCGTATACTCAGCTCTGGATGTCAGTCTAGAAAATTAAATTTTTAAAAATGAAAAAATACGAATCTTCGAAAATGCTTGCCTTGTGAGATGAAGCTTTGAATTCTCATAATGCCCAAGCCTTCCCTCGATGCTGGAATAGTCGGCAATGGTGCTGAGGTACTGGGGTCTTTTCTGAAAATCATTTCTTAAACGGTGCCCTTCAATTTCATTCTTACCTATTCTGATTGATCAACGATGAGACATCGAGTGGGCGACGGCGATTAGAGCTGAAATTGAGTACTGTAATTGAATATTTTAAATTCTAAGACAAGAAATTTACATTCTGAATATCACAGATAAAATTTAGAAAGATAGAAAGTCTCGAACCTTTGTCGATTTTTGGGTGCAACGACGACGGAGTCGATCTGATGAGCGCTCTGCTCGTTGTAGGACATCTAGAAATTGAGGTTGAAATTGAAACTTGGTTCTGGATGTCAGGTAAGCTATTGAATCGGTCAGAGGTCGGTCATGGTACTTACCAAAAGCGGTCGACTGGGGGAGGCGGGAAGGAGACGTCGCTGTTGTTGTTGTTGTTGTTGTTGTTGTTGTTGTTGTTGATGCTGCTGCTGCTGTTGCTGCTGCTGTTGTTGTTGTTCCCTCTCCCTTTCCCATTCTTCTTCTTTTCTTTTCCTTTCTTCTTCTTCTTCTCTTCTCTTCCTTTCTTCTTCTTCTCGTCTCCTCCTTTCCTCCATTTCTTTTCGTTGTTTCTCCAATTTTTCCCTCTGCTCTTTCTCCTTTCTCAATCGTTCTTCTCTCTAAAAATTCTGAACACTATAAAAAAAAGTATTATTGGATATTCACATTTCACCAAAATACAACAGACTTTTGAATTTCAGCGAAAAAAAATCGTTTCCGTACCTCTATTTGAGGTCCTAAACACCTTCCAAAAGTTTCAAGAAAATCGGAGACAAAATTTTTTTTGCCGAAAATTTGTCCATCGAAAAAAATCGAAAAAGTCTATGATCGAGTATAGAAAATTTTTGCGCTCCGATTTTCCTGAAACTTCTGGGAGTGGTCAGTGGCTTCTAGAAGAGTTACGGAAATGTTTCGGAAGATTTGGTGAAGCTTGGTGAAGATCTTTTTAATCACTTTAATCGATTAAATGTCACTCACGAGTTTTCTTTCATATTCTCTTCTCTTTTGTGTCTCCATTTCTTCCTTTTCCCTTTCCCTTTCCCTTTCTTGTGCCAATATCTGCTCTTCTTCCATCCTAAATTTTGTAAGTTTTTTTGCAGGGACAATTGGTTTGACACAAACGATATCGAATCGGTGACACCCAAGAAATTTTATTGAAAATTATCCCAAGCAAATTCTTTGGCCCAAACGGATTTCAATACATTTAAAATGGACGAAAGTTTAGACACAATTTTTCGAAGCACATCGGGTTAACGTTCAGTGAAGTCTTACTTGGTCGCTTAGAAATCAGAGATTTTCACTTACCGCATGTACCTAAACAGATTACAAACGTTTTTGCAAAGATAAGTACTGAGCGGGGGTTAAAAGTGGCCCTGCATTTTATTCCGAGCAAAAAGATTGGTGAGCTAAACGATTTGAAAGACTTTAAATGATCATCAAATCTAGCTAGGATTTGATTATGGAGCTCAGTTCAAGTGCTGAATAGGAAATTATGAACGCTGATCAAAAACAAGCTTTAGCTGCTAAATGGAGAAAAAGATTGGCAAGCTCAGAGAACGGAGAGACTTTAGATGAACTCCAAATCTAGCCAGGAATTGATTATGGAGCTCAGTTCGATTGTTGGATAGGGAGCAATTAAGATTAATCAAAAATGAGTTCAATCAAAATTTCAAAATCAAAATTTGGAAGTCATTTAGAGAAAAAGAAAAAAGATTCGTGAGCTTAGAGAGCAATAAGAATTCAGACGACCACTAGGCCTAGCTAGGAATCGATTATGGGCATCAGTGTAGGTACTTTCAATTCTGAAAATACAGTAGATCTGTTGTACTACTTGGTAGAGAAATGAGTAATACTAGAGAAATGAGATAAACTGATACTAGTACAAGACTGGATACTCGAGCTTCATTTCCACCTGTTTACAAAATGATTCTGGGACCAGAATCTCCCCTCTTTCACTCACTCCTCTTCCTCTTTATGCTGCCACTTCATCTGCTCCTCAATCTCCGTCTCATCCTCATCATCTCCATGATTCCTCCGTTTCCCCTCCATTTCCCTCTCTTTTCTCTCCTCTTCTTCCACTTCAAGCTGTCTTCTTCTCATTTCTTCCTCTTCTTCTTTTCTCCGTCTCTCTTCTTCAACATGTTCACGGTGTCGTCGTTCTTCTTCTAAAAGTTGGAATATTAAGTTTTTTACAGTACCTAAGGGCTTGATCTAATCCAGGGCTTCTAGGACCATATTTCCAAGTCATGTTAGCCAGCCTACACCAGACTTAGCTATCAAATAGTTTAGTTTAAAGCCTATCAGCCCTGTAGTTATACTACAGTGGCTGGTCCTAGGATCAATAAGTGTAGGACAGGCCATATCCATCTAGCTTGGCTATTTGCTTACCAACTCTGTAGTACCAGTACCGTTTTGTGGCCAGTTTTAGCATCAGTTTCCCCACCTCTCCTCCTCATCTCGGTCCTCCTGTTTTCCTCGTCTTGTCTCCTCCGTTCTTCTTCATTTTTTCGTCGTCTTTCCTCACCTTGTTGTTGTCTAAATCGAGTTCTATCCAGTTTTCTATCCAAATCACTTGTCCCTATCGTTTCCCATTCTTAACCCACCTCTGTCTCTCCAATCGTTCTTTTTGTTGTTCCAATCTCTCAGCCAATAACTTGCTTCGAATCTCAGCTTCTTGTCGTTCCCATAGAATCTCATCTTCTCTTTTGCCTTGCGTGCCAGCATCCTGAATTTAGTCATTTTGACGGTACTGTAGTTGATAAACTAATGGGATACCCACTTCAAACGAGTTCGATGTATGTAGAAGGGAGTTCAGATGTGGAGCTCGTCCTTTTGGATGTTGTCTTCCTTGCACTTCTCTAAAGTTTCTTTTATAAATGATATAGTTTTTCAATAGTTTTTCGAAAATTCCCTCAATTTCGTCACTCTTTGATCAAACTCTTTGTAATTTTCATTGAACGGAAGCTGGTCTGAGTCTTGAGTCAAAAGAAATGAGCAAATAATTGCGTTGAGAGGGGTTCGTGAAATGAAATAAAAACCTGGGACGCACAAAAGAAGAAAAGGTTTTAAAAAGGAGTCAATGCAAAGAAGAAAATGAACAGGGAATTTTTGGAGGAGAAGATTGGTGGGCTCAGAGAACGGAGAGACTTTAGATGAACTCCAATCCTAGCTAGGAATTGATTATGGAGCTCAGTTCGATTGCTGGATAGGAAATTATGAACGCTGATCAAAAACGAGCTTTAGCTGTTAAATGGAGAAGAAGATTGGCGAGTTCCGAGTACGGAGAGACTTTAGATGACCACCAATCCTAGCTAGGAATTGATTATGGAGCTCAGTTCGATCGTTGGATAGGAAATAAACATAGGTATACAAAAACAGGTTTTTATTGTAAATTTCACCTGATACTAGACGCTGTATCCGAATCCTCATTCGTATCATACGACTTTTCGATTTGAAATGGTGGCTCGGATTCGGTCTCTGGAGAGTCCTCTTCCAACAACTCGTTCTCTTGACTCTGAACGATCTGATCTTTGAGTTATTTTAAAAATTTGCCTACCTGTGGTAATTTATCCAACTCTTCAAGCAAATCCAAATTGCAGTAGTCGCCGCTTTTGCACCAACAACGAGTCTAAATTCTTTGAGTTTTTTTTAATGTGGTATCGATTTCGTTCGGAAAAACTGGTTAACTGGTTATTTTAACTAGTTTATCGATTCCAGTATTTTGAAGCACAATATTCATTCATCCCTGATTTTTCTCTACTTTACTGGTCACTCTAAAGGTAGATGGTGGTATGTTTGCTATTTCTGGGGCTGTTAGATTTTGGGATGAGGTTGAGAGAGAGAGAGAGGGAGACACGTAACGAATGGATCAGATTTCCGAGGAAATTCCCTCTTTTCACCATTTCCATGTATAAAACTAGCTTCAATGATGGTGGTTTCGAAAGAAAATGAAAAACAAGATCAAAAATTGATACGCGTTCAAGTTTGCTAGTCTATTCAAAGTTCAAGGGTTAGTTTTTGTGTTAGTGTTAAAGTGTTAGTCTTGACGTTTCCCCTAGTCTATTCAAAGCGTTTCCCCAGTCTATTCAATTCCCTTCAAAGCATATCCCATCAACTTTGTTCAATCTTTTCCAATCTTCTCAAATCTTCAATTTTCCCAATGAGTATGATTTCACCGATGAGTCTCTTCATAGAGACCATACAATTTTTTGGTGTGAATAGTTTTGCCGCCAAGAGAGGATTCATCCCCCCCAAATCGATGTAAAAGAGATCGAATTGAGTGCCGCTTTTGCGTTTGGCAAAAAAATTTTTGTATCTGGTGGAAGAGTGCGAGACAATACACAAATTTTTAGCTCAAAAATATATAGCGAATCACTATTTGATTGGGAAATCTAGCCGCAAAGAAGAAAAAACATCAAATATGTGAACAGAAAACACAAACAATCTATGAAAAATAAAAAGCAAAAGTGTTGGGGGAAGATTTTCTACATTCTTTGTTTCCTTTATCACTTACTGTGGTCGATCCATCCTCATTCGTGTCCACTTTGCACGTGTCCCCGGAGCTTTCTTTCACTCTGAAAACAAATGCTGGATATCAGGATGGTTTTCTTTTGCGGATAAAAGTTGAATTATTTTGAATTTTTGAAAATTCTACCTCACACAAGCGAAATGTTGTTGAGAACCGGATCGAACGACGGCACAAGCGCCAACCTTAAAAAGAAATTCTTTTATGATTTTCTCAAATTTAATTATTTTGATACAGTTGCAATATTGTTGCAATTACTCAAAAGCTGCTGTCATAAGATTTGTTGATAAGGGGAAAGAACTGGCGGCTTACTGAATTCGCTAAACGAGCAAAATTGAAGAATATTAAAGTATCTGATAAGAAAAAAAGAGCGATTTTTTTGGTTTTTTTTTTGGAAAATTCCGTACTTTTTGCATTTAAAGTCAAATTTTCGCATAAACTATAACATTTTTTAAATGAAAAACATTCAAAAATTCTCTAATTTGAATAAAAAGCTCTTCTAATGCATAAAATTAAGCTTTTCTAATGAAATCCTTTAAAAATTCGAACCTTTTCATTGAGTTTGTTGACCTCGCACCAATTGAGCTGTAGATTGCATGGAATACTGCCTCTTGATGTTGAGCATTGACATCGGATGGCAGAGATGGAGGGGAGGAGGGAGATCGAGGTGATCATCAGGAGAAGGAGTGGACCGGGTGGACCCCGGCCTGGGCCAGCACGCCACCGAATCATCGTAAATCAAGTGGCAGTCTTGTCGAGAGTTTGTCGGGTGCTCTGAAATTTTGGAAATTGAAAGAAAATTGATAAATTAAGTATGATAATTTAGAGCCTTGATAATTTTATTTTTAGCAAGAGCCTGCCCATGAACTTTTGTGGGTCAGGCTAGAGCTTTGTGGGCTAGAGCTAGGTCAGAAGTCAATCAAGGGCAGAAATCAGTCTAGAGCCAGGTTAGACTAGAAGAGATCAGACCCAGGCCTGGCCTTGGGAAAAATACTTGTAGAAGAAAGAAAGTCCTTCTCAAAGAGCTCAAAATTAGTGAAATTAATGGGGAAATTGATGAAATTTAGTCTCAGTTTTGAAATTGAAAGGAATTGTGAACAGAAATCGAGAGGAGACCAAAAGAGAGAAGAAAAGAGAGAGAAAAGAAAAGGGGCGGTTCGAATTTCAGTCGACAATTAGGGAAATGTGGAGGAGGTTTTAAATGGACAATATTTGCATATCAAAATGAATTTCAATTTTGAATGTTTAAGCAATTGATCTAACTTTTTAAAGCATCTGACTTTAAAGAGCACAAGAAAAGATTCAATTTTTGATTAAAACTGCAAAAATTTCGAGTTTTTCATGAAGGTTTACAGTTTAATATAAAAATTTTGAAACTTTTAAAGGCAAAAAAATCAGTTCAAAGCACAAGCCTTTATGCAAACATACAGGAAAACGGGATAGTGGAGAAGAAGAAGAAGGAGGAGGAGAAGAAGAGAGGGAGGAGAGGAAGAAGGAGGAGAAGAAGGAGGAGGAGGAGGAGGAGAAGAAGGAGAAGAAGAAGGAGGAGAAGAAGAAGGAGAAGAAGAAGAAGGAGGAGAAGAAGAAGGAGAAGAGGAAGAAGAAGGAAAGAAGGTGCGAATTGTTGAAAAAGAGGAAAAAGATGTAAAGATAGAGTGAACCGCATTAAAAAGAGTAGACTGTGAATGAAGATTATCTAGAAAAATGAAATGGAGGGATCGGGGAGGATTTTTGAGTTGATTTTGTTTTGAATAGAGTGTTTTCCTCGCGAGTAATGCGTTTTTTAAAACGCACAATTGGGAAAAAATTACCGTACTTTTAGCAAAAACTATTGCAAAAGAATGACGCAAAAATCACAAGCCCCGCATTATATACGACACTTTTTAAAGATACTCAGCCGTTTAACTGATTTGGTGAGAAATTCCCTTTCAATGTAAAGATATTGAATTTGCTTTTATATTTTTTTCGCGCAGGCGCACTTTTTAGAAAACGCATTACTCAACAATTACTCGTGCAAATTTACTCGAGTAATTACGTACTCGCGAAGAACACACTCTAGTTTTGAACACCTCGAACCCAGTGTTTACAAAAATTCGAGAAAAACCCCGTTTATTATAATCCCTATGTGCTGTTCCATTTAAAAGACGTTTTTAAATTTTCATGATTTTTGATTCATTTTTCATTTTGAATAGATTTCAATGATTTGTTTGGTTTGAATGGTTTGCAACATTGCTTTTGCCCATGATTGCCCATAAAATTGAGCATAAAAGTGCAAAAGGAACGCCGATTTGTGGCTAAATGTGCAAATATGGAAACGGAAAGAGAAATCGTTTTGTTTTTAGAGAAAAAGATCAGAGAATTTGATTTCTTCAAAAAAAGATGCTAATTTTAGGCTAGCCAAAATCAGGCTCAGTTATTTTATTGGGAATAAAGCGATAGTGCAACCACCACCAGCACAAGCAAGTCGAAGACTTCGAACCAGTAACAATCAAGATAGGAAACACTGGATGAAAATAGCATGGGATCGAGAAATGTGGAAGCAGGTTGTGATCTGCGCAAATAGGAACACCTGAATGCGATGACAGATCAAAAAAAACCGATAGAAGAAAAAAAATTCTTTAGGCATTGCTTCAATTCGTCTTTTTGACATTTTCTCAAAAAAAAAATGAATAATTTGGCATTTTGCAAGATGGAAACCAATTATTGAGACATAATGGAGACATTTGATTAAAAAAAGATTGAGCTTAAAAAGAGTAAATCGTAAACTTTTACAAGATTCATTCTTTGATTACAATATTTCTTCGAATAGAAAGACTAATTTTGAATAAAAAACTCCCTCGAATATAAGATCAATCTTTTATTTTCGTATTTTCGACATATTTTCTTATTCTCTTATTTTCTATCGTTATTTTCTATTTTACGCTAAAATTATCGTATCTGAAATCAAAAAAAGTAAGCTCAAAAGGGGAGTGGGACAAATGCGACCTTTTTTTTTGCGCACCCGGACATTTGCGCTTAATATTAGCTTTTTAAAGCGCGAAAAAAGGTGCGCTAATGGGCTAAGTGCGGAAAAAAAGGTGCGATGTAATTATAATAATTTTTTCTTTTTTTAGATGCTTACTTTTTTAGAATTCAACATTTTCTGAAAGCAAAATTCAAACGAAAGGCCTACACATCAGCATTCAAAACTCAAAGCTCTTCGTTTTTTGAAAGAAGAAATCAAAAGGAAGCAGCTGGGTCGATGGTTCTATGTAATCGAGATCGAGATCGAGATTCAACGACAAAAGACGAATTGCTACAAGAAGAAGAAGAAGCAAAAGGAGTAAAACGGCTTAAAGAAGGAGATTTTGAACCTCAAAACAGCAAGAGAGATCGATTCGATTTCGAGTTGGAGGCGATTGAAGGTGTTCTAGATGATTCAGCTTGAGAACGACTACGAAACAAGTGAAAGGATAATTATGTAAATCTAAAATTTTTACATGATTTGTCCCTTTCTTGTTTCCTTTTTCTAAGTTATTTTGTCACAAATTGTTGCATATATTGTTATTGATATTGTTAAATATTTTTTCGTTAACAGACGAGTTGCTACAAGAAGAAGAAGCAAATGTTACAATGTTACAATATTTTCTAAAGAAAGTTGTTTTTTCTAAATGTTGGCTACTTTCCTGTAAATTCTCTTGAATGCAAAAAAAAATAGAAGCTCATCTTGAATAGAAGATCGTCTTGAATAGAAGACCGACCTCAAATAAAAGACGAGATCTAAAAGGGAATCGAAATCGATCTAATCGAAAAAATAGAAAACTGATCTTTTATTCGAAGAAATATGGTATTAAACTCAGGCTCAGACTTAGTTATTAAGCTATCTGGAAAGCATGAAGATTGCTGGCAATAAAAGAATTGGAGAGTTGAAAGTAGGGACACCTGGTGGTCTGAGGGACTTTGTTTGTTCAAGGATCTATTGCCAGCCAGTGTCCAGCGAAAATTCCTAATTGGGCAGGAATTGTTAAGTCGATCAAGCTTAAATAGATTGAAATGAAATGCCAAAAAATAGACAATACTAAAATGCTAGTATTTGTGAGGGTTTTCCGGGAAACGGCATGAGAAAAAAAGAAAGAAGGGCAGAAATCTCTCGAAGAAAACGGCTGAATCAGTTGATTCTCATGTAAATTGATATAGAATCGATAGAGAAATTTGAAATGAAAAGGAAATTGATAGAATTTGTAATCAAAAGATTTTCTAGAATATAGAAGATGAAAATTTTGATCTCAAGAAGAACAAGAAGAAGAACAACAACAAGAACAACAAGAAGAAGAAGAACAAGGAGAACAAGAAGAAGGACAAGAAGAGCAAGAAGAACAAGAAGAAGAAGAAGGCCAAGAAAAGAAGCTGAATCAAAAATTCTTGAAAATATTAGAATGCAGTCAAAAAGTTTTAAAAATGAATCGAAAACACCAAATTTTGTGGAAATTTGAGAATTATTATCAATTTTAAAAATTTCAAAGAATATTTGTTTGGAAAATTCAAAAATTCAAAGATTTTCAAATGAATTTCAATTTCAATTCAATTCCAAAAATAAGCCACAATTGGGGAAAAGCAGTGTGCCAATCAAAACTAAAACGCAAAAAGAGCAATAGGGAATGGAAGTGTCTTGGCCAGTCCCAGTACAGCCACTGTTGTGTTTGGAACTGTTTAGGGGGGAGCAATAGAAGCAATGGAAGGGAGGGGGGCGTGTGATTCATCCTTTCCCCTCCCCATTCCCTGTTCAAATACACCGTTCCCCCACTTCTCCCCTATCTCTTCACCTATTATTCTCTTTCCCCCCATTACATTGCTTCAGAAGTGCTAACTGCCGGCATAACATAACACTATTGAATAAGATTCCTATAGAAAGCTGATTGCACTAAATTGAAATAGCAATTTTCAAGACTTATTGCTCAGACTGCTTTAAGACTCAGGGCTTATTGCTCAGACTGCTTCAAGACATAGACTGCTTCAAGACCTAGACTGCTTCAGGACTCAGACTGCTTCAAGACTCAGAAGTTATTGCTTTAAGATCCCAGCGATCAGAAAAATTGGTTCTTTTTCCTTCTTTTCTTAACAACATTTGGATAAAAAGGGTAACTAAGGGTAAAAAAAATTTCCTCCGTTATGTTGTAATCCATTATTCGTGTTGAATAAATATACTTAAATAAGTCTAAATTTGTTTATTCAAAAGTCAATTTGGTTTAAAAATTGGTTTGGTTTAAAAATTGGTTTGGTTCAAAAATTGGTTTAGTTCAAAAATCGGTTTCCTTTCAGTGATATTTCGATGTTTTTGAGATTTCAGCCCAGCTGCAGTAAAGCGTGGAAAATTTTGAAGAAAACGAAGAAAAACGAAGAAAAACGAAGAAAAACAAAAAGAAAACCCAAAAAGATTGAACTTTTATGCAGCTGGTCGAAATCTCAATCGTTTGGAAAAAGGAAAAAAGGGGTTTTTTTTTTGTAGTAAAATATAAATCCTGGAGTGCACAGATCATCTAAAATTATCTTGAATTTATCTTAGCAACGATTTTCTCAAAGGGGAAAGTGAGGATGGGGACGGGAAAAGATGAAAGAGACAAAAAAGAGACAAAAAAGAGACAAAAAAGAGACAAAAAAGAAACTTGATTTGGCAATGATTCTCTTTTGATGGATGATGATAATATTTGTGGCGAGGGAAATTTTGATCGACTTTTTGTGATGAGTGACGGTTATGAATTGAAATAACAAGCTTTTTTTTGTTGTAAGATGGGGGGAAATGGGTTGGAATTGCTCAATTGACAAATCAGTACTCATCATCGCATTGAAATTAGCGTACTATTTTCGGGGAACTGTGGAAAGCTACTGGGGTACTGTAAGCTATAGTTAGGTAGGCAAGCTATAGCTACATCTAGGTATGTAAGCTATAGCTATAGCTAGGTAGAAACTCAAACTTGTATCATTTTCTAGCTTCATTAGGCATTAGCCACAAAAATCAAACCCGGACAGGCTACCGAGGGGAAATCGCACAGAGTCACAAACATAGACGAGACCCGCACCGCCCCAGGGGATGCTCAAAATCAAGGAAAAACAAATAGAACCCCGATTCTGGAGTGCACCCACCAAGAAAAAAAAAAAAAAGGGCGGAATCGGGGAAAACGGAACGGAAAAATGGAAGACACAAAAGCCGTCTGCATCTCGAGGCGGCTTGATCGAAAAATGAAATGGAAAGGGTGAGTTTTGTGAAAATTTCTGTTCATTCTGCAACACAGCACAAACATTTGAGCGATTTATTTGACGAGTGAAGGAAAATTTCGATGTGTCATCATTGAGGGCTAGAAATTTGCATACAAATATGCACACAAATTTGCATACAAAGCTTTAGTGTCTAATTAAAAAGTCGAAAAATTGATTTCTTATCATTAGATTCATTAGATTTTGGGTGTGAAAAATTATTGAATCGGGAAGAAAAAAAATGGGTGGTTTTTTTCTCTTGTGGGAGAAAGGTGGGGAGGAATGGGGAGAAAAACGAGATAAGGACGAAATTTGATGTTCAGCAACGAAAATCGTTTACAAGCTGGACCAAATACAAGGAATCTGGGACGCATTTTGATGAATGAAACAAAATTTTCAGCTTTTCCCAAAAAAATCTCATTCAATTCTTTTGTCTTGGACTGGGGAAAGAGCAAATTTAAACAAATAAATGCTCAATCCGCGCGCAAATCCGATATTCTGCTGAAGAAAACAATGGGAAATGATCGAAATGACAAGAAATGACAAAAAAAAAGTCAAATCTTGAATCAAATTGAAACAATTGTCTTTCTGGAAGTTGGAATGGAATTTTTGAGGCTGATTGGGTAAATAAACTGAAATTTTAACGGTAGAGCTGAGTAATTGAACGAAAAGCCCACAAAAAAATGATTCCAAGAAGCGATTAAAAGAATCAAACCAAAAAACCATCAATGAATCATAAGTCTGTAGTAGTGATGGACAGCTGGATGAAGAGAAGGGTTTCAAAAAAAAAGACTCTGGCGCAAAAACCCCTCCTTAGCGGCTCTTTTGTGACAATCAGAAGGCAGAATCGGCAAAGCTGGATGTCACCCTCATCGCTTTTTGTCTTCTTTTGCTTTTCTCACCATTCCCACAATCACACACTCAGAGAGGGCCATTTGAGAGGCGAAAGAAGAGACAAGACAGCCAGGGTTTTCCGGTCAGTGCAACCAACCATCAATGCAAATCGCTCAGCCTTTACTTTGAGAATGGCTTTGCGCGGTGTTAGTTTTTGAGGCTTGGAGAAAACGTTGGTGAAAAGTGATACTGTGCCAGAAGCAAGGTAGAGTAAATACAGAAATTTTATAACAAAGATGTTTAGGAAGTCCGAGAATCTAGCCGAATCACCTAAATCCTAACACGAAACAAAAAGTGAACAGTAAGAATCCTGCAGGACGCCAGGAATGTTCCAACAGAGGGTATAAGCAAGTCAAACCAGGTCAAAGCTAAACGCAGCTAGGTCCAGACCTGGCTCTAGCTCGTCCAGATACCTAAGCAAGTCAAACCAGGTCAAAGCTAAACGCAGCTAGGTCCAGACTTGGCTCTAGCTCGTCCAGATACCTAAGCAAGTCAAACCAGGTCAAAGCTAAACGCAGCTAGGTCCAGACTTGGCTCTAGCTCGTCCAGATACCAATTGTGTCCCTAGATCTGGAGAATGGATCTGTAAATTAGGTTAAAAGAACCAGATTTAGACCAGAAGCAAGATGCAGGTCAGATAGAGTAGATAGATGTCATGAAATCTCTTTCAAGGAGTGTCGATTGTACAGATTTACGGGGAAAAGAAGTGTCAGCATTGACGAAAAGAAAGAACATGAAATTTTATTGAATTGTCAAAAGCGGAGGTGTTACGGCTTTTCTTTTCCGTGTTCCGTATTGTGTTTGCCAATCTCAACTCAAAGATAAAAGATAATGTCTTAGGCATGAGACTGTATTTCTTAAAAATACAAAAAAAACAACAGAAAGTACTGGCTACAGTATTCAGCCGGTTACTGTAGAGATAATTCAGGGATTCAGGGATTTGACAAGTTTGTTTTCTAAAAAGTGTCCTTTCTACCGTAAACTTGGCTTGTCTGCTATGCAATTAATAAGTGAATTAGCAAACAAAAGTTGTCCAGCCAAAGTTCGCACAAACAAAACAAAAAAAATCGCGAAAAGCGGCGGAAAGGCTATTGATCTGAGGGTCGCTGGTTCGACCTCCACCGGTGACAATATTTTTCAAAAATTTTTTGCTAAGATTCTGAAAATGCGTGTCTAGGGGTTATTTTTGACGCTGATCACGAAACACATGTTTTTAGCCTAGGTTTCTGCACGGAAAACTAACGAAACGTGAAAACAGCCATTTTTTGGCTCTGCCGCCTATTACTAAAATAGCTGTAAAAACTTTTAGAAAAGAGATATCTCAAAACGGTTTTTTGCCAATCGATCCGTCTTGAATTCAGCTTTAGGATGAGCTATAAAACGTCAAAATTCGACAAATTTAAGGCACTCTCCCAAAAAATCGGAAAGGACTTTTCCACCAACCCAATACTTTTTCCAATCTGGATCTCAAAGTAGCAATTTAATTTGAAAACTTTTCGAATCATGGATCAATTTGAATTTTTTGATGAAATGGTGATAAATAAGGTGAGTTGAGTATTTAAAGTTGAAATTTTCAATTTTAAACTGAAATTGCAACCTGCTTACCGTATTTTTCTAGGAGAATGAGTTTCTTTTAACGGCAATCTCTTCGAATATCGAAATGAAGGAGAAAAACGAAGGGGAAGAAAAGGACAAGCAAAATGACATTGTATTCAATTTGTGACAAAAAAAGACAATGTAATAATTGAATACTTATTACATTCAATGCTTTTTTGGGAGAACGACAGCAGTGAGGCCAATCATGGAGAGAAGACACGGTGAGAAAAAGAAGACACAGAACTCAACAAGAAAATCTCAACGGGTTTTCCTCGCGCAAGCCGATCTCCGGTGTCAGGTAGATAAAATGCAATTCCAATGTTTGAAATAGTGATCCTAGAAAGCATCTTTTTCTTTTCATCTCTAAAGGAAAGAACGTTTCTTTCCATCTCTAGAAGATCTTGAATAGAAGACCGACCTCAAATAAATTCGAGTATTCGGACCGTATTCTCATCAAGAAATGAAAAGGATACGGTAAATGATCCATCAAATAAAATGATGACAATGTTCTGGTCTTCAGCAAGCGCTTTCCTCATAAACTCCATTGAAATCGAGCCAAACGGACCAGTCAACTAAAGCCAGAAAATTGGAGAGTTGACGGTTTTTAAGAATTTCAGATATGTTTCAAAGTGTTGTCACTCAATCGGCCATTTCAAAAACATACCGATCAAAACTTTGAATGTATTTAACTTCTTCAGATGCAATCGATGGTGGGTTTATGGAATAATCAAGTGATTGAATACAAAGAAGTGGTGAGCATCATAGCTGCAAGATGAGTTCCAGGATGACCAAAGAATCAAAATTAATCAAATAAGCTTCAGAACCGAAAGCTCAATTGCGAGATCGAAACGTTGAAGCCGATCGGGATCGAGGTGATCGAGCAATTCGTGAAATTCTCCTATTCTGTGTGTTCTATCATGTTCTTATACATAAAAATTGATACCAAATTGACACCAAATTGACAAATTGACGTCGCCAAATTGACGCCTAACGTCGCACTTTTACAAATATCTATTGTAGATCTGTCTAAACAATATCTAGATTTGTCTCTTATCTACCATATTTCCTCTATGATTTCAAAGTATTAAGGCCAAAAGGTTGCGGGTTTTCCGGGTCAGGCCAGGCTAAACCCATTGCTGACTTGATACACAAAAAATCTAGGCCTGGCCACTCCCACCTTCTTTCAATATTTTAATGCAAAACCCACTCTCTCGTTCCCCCGAATCGGTCAATCATCCCATTCGTCCGGGAATTTCTCATTCAAAACGATTATCGCATGTAATCCCGACGTTTTCGCTTCACATCCGTCAGCTGTTGGCCCAATTGGAAAGATGCGCACCGAATTCAACGGGAAAATCTAAATGTAAGCAAATTATAAGGAAACTCGAAACGTTTCACTTACAAATTCCATTTCCTTCTGCACGGCCACCATCGCTTCCAACACAATGTCACTTTCTGCCGATTCGGGATCGCTTTGAATGAAATCGACGACTTTCAACGAACTATTATGACGATTCGGTCCGGAGAGATGACGATTCATCCGCTCCAAGCATTCCAATTGATATCTGAAAACGATAAAATCAAAGGGTTGAGCTTAACGTTACGGGGAAAGAGTTGTAAGTTTTTATCGCTACCATTATCGAGAATCGCTAATCATTAACCAAGTCCAACACCGTCAAAACCCACTCTCTCGTCTGGTCGACATTCCTCCGAATCGGTCAATCATCCCATTCGTCCGGGAATTTCTCATTCAAAACGATTATCGCATCTAATCCCGACGTTTTCGCTCCACATCCGTCAGCTGTTGGCCCAATTGGAAAGATGCGTGCCGAATTCAACGGGAAAACCTAAACGTAAGCAAATTATAAGGTAAACTCGAAACGTTTCACTTACAAATTCCATTTCCTTTTGCACGGCCAACATCGCTTCATCTTTTTGCTCGAGTGTTTTGTGATCCTAAAGTAAAAATCAACAATTTTAGACCAAAAACCTTAATATCAAACCTGTTTATAATCATCATAGTACTGCACGATATTCTTGACGAAACGTTTGTAGAGAGATTTGTGCTTCTTCCTTTCGAGGAACATATTCTAAAAGCGGTGAATGAGTGAACAATTATAACTATTATATCTATTATAACAATCTACTAGAAGGAGAATAATTACGGTATTTAAGTCAATTATAGGGAAACTCGAAACGTTTCACTTACAAATTCCATTTCCTTTCGCACGTTTCATCTTTTTGTTCAAGGCTTTTGTCATCCTAAAACAAGAATCAACAATTTTAGGTTAAAATCAAAACAAACCTGTTTAAAAGTATCTGCACGATATCCTTGAAGTACTGCACGATATCCCTGACAAAGCGTTTGTTTGTGCTTCTTTCGCTCAAGGAACATGTTCTAAAAGAGATGAATGAGTGAACAAATCTTTTATAACAATCTATTAGAAGGAGAATAATTATAGCAATTATCGCAATTCGTCTTATAGCAATTCTTTAAGATCGCTAATAATTTAACAATCATGTTAACAGCTTAACTTAACAAACAAAACAGCTAATATTCACGATATAATAGGTTGATGCATAAGTCTTTTCGTTTTTTTCGTACTTCTGTTAAAAAGTAACAAATTCACCAATTAATCTATAGTTTGCTCTATAAAAAAAAGTGTTTTTTTTGTTCAATTTGCATCTTTTTAAATGAATTTCGGTTCACTTTCAAGCAAATTCGAGAGTGAAAAACGCCTTTTTCGTAAAAATCTATAAAAAAACTCTACGGAAAAATTGGCTCAATGAATTTCTCTGAAATTTTGGCGAAATATCAAACGTTTTTTTTCTCTATCTTTTATCTATTGACACGAAGATAGGTTTTCTTTAGCTAAGGTGTCTAAACCGCTCAGGCTCAGGCTCAGGCTTAGGCTTAGGCTGAGGCTTAGGCTTAGGCTGAGGCTTAGCCTGAGCCTGAGCCTAAACCGCATCATCGAGTTAGCCCTTTTTGACTACCCGACTTCATACTCTCAAGAAAATCCAGGCATTAAATATTTTTGAACCCGTTTTAATGTTATTTTGCAGAAAAATGATTGGGTTTTCTAATGAAATCAACCGTAGTTTAATTGGTGCATTTGTTGGCTTGAAACGGCAGACGAAAAGGAACAAAAACACTTGGGCATCAACCTAATAATTATTTGAGAACAAAGCATTTAAAAATTCATAAATCCCATTTTTAATATTTGTCTTATGGGTTGGACCAAAACTGATTCCCCAAAACAAAAAGGAAAAAAAATAAGCTGCTTTTTTTGGCTTATGAATGGAGAAGGAGAAGATTGAGAAGATTTTCTCCCCGAAATCTTGTGATCTCCAAATTGTGCATTACAGACATTGTTTTGGCCATCAAAAAAGCTGATTCGAGTTTGAAATTTGGAATTTGATGAATTTTATAATAATTTTATAATATTTTTCTACAATTTTTCTCAAATCTCTTTGCTTTATAATATGCCTGTCTTTATAATCTTTATCTTTCGCGTATTCGCTGATGGGAAATCCTCAAAATAAGAAATTGCTCAACTACAGTCGAACCTCTCTATAACGAACCTCGATATAACGTAAACCTCTCTATAACGTAAGGCGTGACCGGTCCCGGCCGACGTTAGGCTATATAAAACGGCACTCTATATAACGTAAACCTCTATATAACGTAAGCTATAGCCGTCCCGTGAGTTACGTTATAGAGAGGTTCGACTGTATGTCTGTCTTTATAATCTTTATCTTTATATCTTCACAATGAATCTTTATAATCTTTATAATTGCTTTATAATTGCTTTATAAATGTCTAATTTTAAATTAAAAAAAACCCCACCTTTCAATGAGGCTGTATGCATTTTGAGAAATGTTTCGTAAAATGATCGCGTATTCGCTAATGGGACATCCTAAAATAAGAAATTGCTCAATTTAAACTATAAAAAGCTATTCGCTTCCGATAATCAATTAAAACAGTCTCTAACAGCTTACAATAATCAGAAGATCTCTAAAGAACCAGAAGCAAAAAAATAGAGGCAAGGTGTAGATGCCTCAAAAGCATCTACACCTTGCCTCTATTTTTTCTTTTCAAACTAACCTATTCGATTTGAGCATAATCGACAATTCAATAACAATATTTTCATTGTTTCCAGTTCATTGTGATGATTTTGAGTCCATTAATCATAAACTAAACAAAAACATTTACAAGTTTAATCGATTCCCTTACTCAAACAGATACTTTCAATGGAATAAGTGAACGGTTGTCGACAACGGTTGTGAACGGTTGTAGGTGAACGATTGTCGACATTCCCATAGATAAATTGAGCAATTCTGAAATGAAAGAAGTGAGTAAGTTAAAGGAAATCTTTATTTAACATTCAATGAAGGCTCACCACGGAATGGCGTTTATGGCGGTTGCTAAGTTCGCGTTTATGGCGGAATGGCGGTTGCTAAAGTTCATTTATAGAATCAGCGAGCTATTTATGACTGTTTTTTTTGCTAGTAGTACGCTGCTTAAGCTTTTGGTATACAGAAAATAATAAATTACAAGCAATTCTGACCCCAAATTCATTCTTCTATCTAATTTAACCTTAAAGTTTCTTTTTTTTATTTCATAAAACCATCTTGTAGCTAGTTCAAAGCATTTTCGGGCAAAAGAATAAAAATATAGATGTTAGTTTGTGAAATTAAATGATTAAAATCACGTACCTATTTGCGAATAATGTACCATTTGCAAAGAAGTCCTTGAATGTTCCTTTTGCTTTTGCTCCTTTTGCTTTTGCTCCTTTTGCTTTTTTGCATTCCTTTTTCAAATCCCTTCTACAAAATTGTGCCATCATCACTCATAAAGAAAACGAAGAAAAGAAAACCATAAAAAAAAAAAACAAACTGTTTACTTGTTGGAGCAGGGATTGTTGTAATGACATCGGTTATTGCAGAGCATCTTCGTTTTGAGGCACACATCCATTCGTACAACCATTTGTGCAATTGCAATTGCAAAAATACGCTTCACCAAATAGGAGTCGTAATTTGCTCTGACTTTCACTTTCAAAAACCCTCAAATCGTCACCAGATTCAATCCAAATACCTAAAAAAAAGGAATCTAATCAATTTAATCAATTTAATCAATATAAACAATTTAACCAATTTAATCAATAAATTTAACATACTAAGGTTTAGATTTGATTGAAAAGTGATAGAAAACTCAACATCTGATAGTTAACCCATTCGAAACTTCTGCAGCGAATAATCGCTGCAGCAAAAACTCAGGAACGGACCGCTGCAGCGCTAATTGAGCTATTTTCATTCAATTAATTGGTTTTTTTTTGCTGTTTTTCAGCATTGCATGTATATTCCAATTGTAGCAGATCTACAAATTACGTGGGCAAAGAAGATGTTTTATATTTACCCGGAATCAATGCAGTCTCTGGTTTTGCATTGAAATGTTCCATAATAGCTGGGGGTGGGACAAATGCGACCTTTTTTTTGCGCACCTGGACATTTGCGCACCTTTTTTTTGCTGGAAAAGGCCTTAGGAAAGGCCGTAGAGCTTCGAAAATATTTCGAAAATTTTTCCATATAAGGGAATCGTATGCGTAGATTCCGAATTTCGACAAATCGGACCTCGCTGACACGTCAAATTTGGGCTAAAAGGCAAAAACTGCGGAAAAGCATTAAGTTGCGTAGTTTTTGCCTTTTAGCCCAAATTTGACGTGTCAGCGAGGTCCGATTTGTCGAAATTCGGAATCTACGCATACGATTCCCTTAGATGGAAAAATTTTCCAAATATTTTCGAAGCTCTAAGGCCTTTTCCAGCAAAAAAAAGGTGCGCAAATGTCCAGGTGCGCAAAAAAAAGGTCGCATTTGTCCCACCCCCTAATAGCTCTAATCTTATAAAGCCGATCTCCCGCAGGATCCAGTTCATTATCACAAAAACGCAGGTTTCGAAGAATAGATTCAAATTTTGCTCTTGACATAATGTGGGACATGTGGGAAAATCCTCCTAATCCAGGCCTGCTACTCCAGTAGTCACGATACAGAGCCAGGAAGAGCTTGCATCGAAATCCTGCCAGTTTTTTTTTCCTTTTTCCATGTTTATTAGATTCGCCTACTAACATGCTGATTAATTTGTCGTCGATAAAATAAGAATAATATAGGATTTTGAAAAGTACTGAAGTCAAATCCAAATCGTTCTTCATCAAAAATAAATGGTGTAGGAGACTCTCTTGCATCTTTCCAACCATAAATAAACTGCTTCGGAGTGAAAAATGTCAAAAAAGGGCTTGGTCCGTAGACGAAAAAAAAGAAAAAACGCTGCGGTTTCGAATGGGTTAAACTCAAATTCTGATAGTTTCCCCTCACTTAAAACCTTGGTACTTGTGGAGTATCCGGGGGGGTCTTTCAATATCCGGGGGTAAAATTTTAAGATCCGGGGGTAAAATTTTAAGATCCGGGGGTAAAATTTTATATACGTTATACACGACCCCTTTTAAAGATATTCAGCCGCTTAAGTGATTTGGTGGCAATTTCCCTTCAAATGTAAAGATATTCAATTTATTGAGGTGATTACTTGATTACGTGATTCGAGGTGATACTCGATCAAAAACGTAACTTCTACAAAATTTTTTTATGTCATTATTAGAAATGTTGATAATATCCTAGTTGGCGGCAAACATTTTCACACTAAATTGATGAAATTCTATTTAAAACGCTAAAATTAACGCAAAATGATATAAGTTTAAAGGTTTAAGTTTAAGGGTTTAACAAAAGGTTAAACATTTGCCTCAAGAATTTTATTTTTAGTTACAAAGCCTATGTAAATGTAAAAGTAAATGTAAAATTTCACGGAATTTGCGTTAATCTATTGATCTTTAGACCATTAATCAGATCATGAGCAATATTTTCGTTCTTCTTTTAAACTCTGAAAGCGATAGGTGCAAAAGATTGATAAAAGTAGCAGAATGGTCAAAAAGTAAAAAAAAAGTATAAAAAAGTTAAAATTTTACCCCACCGGATCTTAAAATTTTGCCCCCCCCGAATATTGAAAGACCCCCCCGGATACTCCACAAGTACCAAAACCTTCAATTTTATCATTTCTTCAAAAAACTTTAACCATAATAGAGACAGATATTGAATTTTTTTCTTTCTTAATATTTCTCTTTTCTCTTTTCAAACTTATCATTGAATTATTTATGTTTATTTTTTGTTCGCTTTCAGTTTTTTCATTAACTGCGTGAATATTCAACTCAACTCACTTTCTTTGATGAAATTGTTGATTTTTGAGCTTTTCCTTATTACCAATTTTATTTTAAAGCCATTATTTTCGAAAAAAAAAAGAGATAATAAGTGGTCATCAATTCGGAATTTTAAAACCAAATAAATAGCCAGAATAGCCAAATAGAAGCTCGATATTGGAGCGTCAAAATAGACCTAAATAAACTTGAAATAAAAGCTTTACAGTCAAAATTTAAGCTAAAACAGAGCCAAGTTTGACTGAAGATTCAAGCCTACGATAAGTAGATCAAATTTTAGCCTTGAAAGCCTTGAAAGCTAATGACTAAAAGCCAACTTTAGCTTTTAACCATTAGCTCATCGTCCCCAGAAAATCTCTCGTCTCAATTTTTCAATTCACCCATTTTTTTTTCGCTGTGGATGAATCTCAATAACACGAGAGACCCGAAAAAAATGAGGGATGGCATTTTGAAATAAAAGGCGCTTTTGGGGGAAGAGAGATGTCAGCCAGAAGAGCCAGATGAGGGCCTTTGAAAAGATGGACGAGACATTTTTCAACTGAAAAAGGCCAAGCTGGAGTGCACGGGAGATGTCTAGAGCATTTCAGGCTGTCTCGTGGTCATTTGAAGTAGTGGGGTAAGTAGTGGTTGCTACAGTAAGCCATTTAACGCGATAGAATAACATTCAGCCTAAAATTTTCGACTTTTCGGCTATCCTGGAGGGCACATGTCAACATCTTGCCAAAATTCAGCCACTTTTTCATAGATTTCACTCAATCATCATCCTGGGACTTGGATAAATTACCCACTCACCTCTAAACCCCATCTCTGACCTCTTCAAACCATTTCAAAGCCTTCCCTGCTCTCCAGAATGATCAAAAATTCTCAAAGAGCTTATCCCCAGGCGAAAAAAGGGCTTCATTCTTCCCCAGCTAAGGTTCTGGGGGCCCTAGGGGCTCTCATCCAGGGCCTCCCCCCGGGTCCCCTTTCTTTTTTCCGATCGATTCTCTGCCTCCAGCTAGTCTCTTTTCATCTCGAAACCCCACCCATTCCCCTTCAATTTTCTCTATTTTTTTCGACTTCTTTTCCACGAGGCCAAAAACACATTTTCTACATATCTGAGAATGAGAAATAATAAAAATTCTTGATTTTCTTCTTTCTAGCTTATTGCTTCATGAAAAAAAGCATTTCCGTTTTTATTTCGTTTCTTCGTTTCTAAAACTTTTCTATTTAAACTCTGGTTTCTGGGAATTTCTATAAATTTTTGATTTACTCTGCTTACCTCTTTCTTTCTCTTTCTGCTTATCTCTTTTGGTCTTTTTGTCTAATTGATCTTTTTAAAGGATCAGGTGATATCCAGATTATACATTTTATCCAGAAATATTCAAATATCCAGACATTTCATTAAAGTTTTTGAGATTCTGAAGAAAATAGAGGAAATAATGACATGAACTCGAAAGCTTGTGGTTTGGATTTGTATTCAAGATTTTGGGACCCACGCGGAACATAATTTCATCTTGTTTTTGAGTCAATCACCCGAGTTACCGCTCCGATTTTCCCATTTGATCACAAAAAAAGACAGGAAATTCGTTTAGAAAGGCGGCTGGGAACTGATTTTTGTAGTCATCAAGCAAAATAATATAGTAATAATTGCTTTGAAAAGTTACGATTTACATTATTTTCTTAATTTCCTTGCTTAAAACCTTCGATGCATTCCAGAAAAGCGTAAAATCAAATCAGAATTGGCTTTACAAAGAATACCGCTTATTTCTGGTTCAATACAATTCCTGAGCCAACAATGACTTTTGAATTGTGCAAAGCTGTAGAAATCCTTTTTACTCATCATTTGTCGTGCGTTCCAGATTGTCTATTTCTGAAATCAGAATTGGTTTTACAAAGAATACCGCTTATTTCTGGTTCAATACAATTCCAGCTCCAACCATGACTTTTGGATTATGCAAAGATGTAGAAATCCTTTTTACTCATCATTTGTCGTGCGTTCCAGATTGTCTATTTCTGAAATCAGAATTGGCTTTACAAAGAATATTGCTTATTTCTGGTTCAATACAATTCCTGAGCCAACCATGACTTTTGAATTGTGCAAAGCTGTAGAAATCCTCTTTACTCATCATTTGTCGTGCGTTCCAGATTGTCTATTTCTGACATTAGAATTGAGATTCTTTTGTTAAATAACGATTTCAGAGCTGGGTATCGACGGGGAGATGAATCGGGTGATTTTCCTCTTTTCAGCGCTTTGCCTGCTATTCATCTCGTCTTCATCAGCCGCACCAACGGTCAGTGATTTGAAGTTTTCTAAGAATATTCAACTTTGATTGATTGAATCTTTGGATTTGATTGACTCAACGCAATCTGCATTCCACAGATTCCACTTCCGCATCAAATAAATCCCTAAATCGATTTGTTTTCATTATTTTGAGTCAATTGTAGTTTTCTGATATCTGAATGAATTTCCTTTTTTCATTAGATTTCGGGGATTTGTGAAATTTTTGAGGGAAATCCGTCCCTTTCTCAATTTCCGTAACTAATCATTTAAAATTGCTTTTTCTTTTTTGAAAAGGCTGTAAACAGGATTGGAAAATGGATTGGAAACAGGATTTAAACTGGACAGGCTAAGTAAAGGGACTATGTAAAGGGACTATCTAAAGGGATTCATTCAATTCTTATCATTTCTTCATTCTTTATTGTCCATTTTATCATTTTTTAAATTCCAAATCTCAAGAGAAGCCTTAAATTCATTTCTCATCACTTAGAAACCTTTGAGTTTCCATTTCTCTTTCTAAAAGTAATTTCATTTCCTTTAGCTACAAGACTGAAGAGATGAAAGAGAAGAAAAAGCAAAAAAAGCAAAAACTTGACGGAACCGGGGGTCGAACTCGGATCATTCAAGCGGTCGAACTCGGATCATTCAAAACAGCGCCCTTTACCACTCGGCCACAAAACTTTTCTCATAGATTTTTATCAAAATTTGTGTATAGCTCGGGTGTACTCCAGATTAGCTAAAAATTTTGTCAAATTGTTGAAAACTCAAAAATTCATTGAGAAATCGATGTGAACTCTTTAAAATGGCTTATGAGGCACAAATTTTCTTTATTTTTCTTTATTTTTCTGTTGTTCAGCTGTATACTTGTCGATCTTTCATCTCAAGAAGCCAGAGAGAAAAGGAAAACTAATAAAATGGGGCATGATCTTGGTGTGTGTGAGTGAAATTTGAGCTCTTCTTGTGGGTGTTCTGCTCGAAAAAAATCCCTCTCAGTTCCCACAAAAAAAATTAGTACTAAAATATAGAAAATTTTCGATTTTCGATGATAAGATTTCAATCTGGCGTGCACAAAACCAGAAAAAACAAAAATGAACAAATTTCAGGCAGACAAGTCGATGGTGAGAAAAGTGGAGACGCTGAAAAGTGGTTGGTTTTGAATTGAGAATAAGAATCAAATTTGAGATTCAAGAGCTTTGGTGACATCCAGATTTATCAAAAATTTACTTATTCAAAGCTTTTCAGCAAGCAGAACCGATTTTGAAGCGAAGAAGAGGAGACGAGCAAAGAGAGCCGTACTTGTTGAGGTTAAAACTTGGAAAAATGAATCAATTCTAGTTCTAGGCTTTTCTAGAACAAATTCTAGTTGTAATCTGTAAATCTCAGGAGTTGCCGATTGAGACTGAAGTGGATGATGACGAGACGAACGATCAAATCGACCAAATCGATCAACAATTAGCCGGTGAGGGATTAAGAATCAATTATTTGAGCTATCTGGATGTCACACTTTGTGTAATGATTAATATTTCTCATTTCCCAGGGAAACAAAGCAACCTCGAGTTCTCGAAGCTCGATTTCTCTAGCTCGACTTCTATAGCTCGATTTCTATAGCTAAAGTTGAATTTCTATAGCTTGGATTTCGTTTTGCTGTTTCAGATTCTGTTTTGGATCAATTAAAAGCCATTTTTTACTTCATCTGCGTTCCAAATTGTATAGCTTTTCCTTTTCGAGTGTATTTTCATGTTATTGAGAGTGGAAAGGGGCCCGCTTCTCCCTCATCAAATTAGCCCAACGCTGTCTCGTGTGTTTTTTTCGGATTCTATCAAATGGAGGCACTCCAGTGCATTCCAGCATTATAGGAGAATCCATAGGAAATAGTCGGAAAAACGAGAAAAACGAGAAAAAACGAGGAAAACGTTGTATTAGTTTGGGGATGGGACATTAGTTTCAGAAAAAGCTAGTTTCAAAAAAACTCTACTTCGACTCACAAATTGGGTAATGAGGTCCAGCTTTTGCTGTAGTGATCGTAAAAATTGTATAGTTGGGATGGATTAAAATGGGATAGCTGGGGTAGATTAGACCGGGATAGCTGGGATAGATTAAAATGGGATAGTTGGGATGGATTAAAATGGGATAGCTGGGGTAGATTAGACCGGGATAGCTGGGGTAGATTAGACCGGGATAGCTGGGGTAGATTAAAATGGGATAGCTGGGATAGATTAAAATGGGATAGCTGGGCTAGACATTATCCAAAGGATTGATATATCTTTTATTTCAATTTCTAAAAGGTAAAGAGAAAAATGGAAACGCACAGCATCTAGCTTATTTAAAATCTCATTTAAAATCTCATTTGAATCTCATTAACGATGAAATTTCCAGTTATTAGTTTCTAAGTAAACAAAATTTTGAGGAGTTTGGAGAAACGAGACGAGGCGATTATGTTAGAAAAGAGAAGGGTAAAACAAAAATTTGTGCACCACCAGGAGTCGAACCCACGATCTTCCGCTTACCGGGCAGCTGTACTAACCATTACACCACAATGCAGTCGGTCTCCCTTGCTCTAGAGGGAGTTAAGTAGACAGTTAACAAAAGGTTATGCACCGCCGGGACTCGAACCCGCGACCTTTCGCTTACCAGCCAACCGTGCTAACCATTACACCACAATGCACCCGATCTCCCTCGCTCTAGAGGGAGTTAACTAGATAATTGAGTTAGCTTTTGAGTCATTTTGAGATTTTGAGAGAATTTAGAGTCCTCCAAAGTAATCCAAAGACTTTCCTCAATTGAAAACAAGCATTGAGTAGAATTTCGAGAAATTAAAAGGGTTTCCTATTGAAATTAAAGAGTCCGAAGGAATTGAAGAGTCTCAAAAAGTCAAATGTTTGACTGAACTTGGTTTTGGAGTCCTTTTCTAGGAGCTGGATGACATTCAAGATCACCTTAAGCATTTATTTAAGTCTTTATATAACGAAAATTCCAGCTAGAAGGGTATGAGATAGATCAGCTTCAAAATCAAATTCAAATTCAAATTCAATTACAGCTACAATTCCTTCAATACAACATTCAATTGAATTCAGGGCTTAGCAACGACGAGCTGGAGATGCTTGGGCAATTGGTGCAGAATCAAGTTGACACCTACGATCCAGAGGTAAAGGGGATTTTCCTATCGTAATTCCTAAAGATTTTATTAAGGATTTAAGTGTTTAAGTATTTATTTAAGTATTTGTTCAAGCGTTTATTTAAGCATTTATTTAAGCATCTATTTAACCATTTATTTAAGTCTTTAAATAACAAAAATTGCAGCTAGAAGAGTACGAGATAATCCGAATTCCACGAGATGTTTTGATGAATGATTTAGATGACGATAATGAGGTGAGGGTTTAGACCTGAAACTTTGCTTTCTGTTGCTCGTTGACTGGAGTTAACCAAGAGTCTTTTAGGTCAACTATTTCCCACGTGATCGACGATCGATTCCGATTGAGGTTGAGGATGACGAAGAGGGATTAATCGATCCACAGGTGAGCTGGGAACTGGATTTACTGGAAACTGGAAACAAGTGGAAATCTGCTTACACCATTTATTCTGGTTAAACCATTTAATCTGCTCAAAGCATTCAATTCAGATTGTTTTGGTTGACGAGGCGCAGGTGGAGGAGGCGCTAGAGAATGCGAGGAGAGACGAGCTAGAGTTAAGAGAAAGAATCGCGGAGTTGGCTGGATTGCTGAACGAGCGAGCGCTAAGGGGTTTATCTCGTTAGATGCGCTCCAGGATCGACGATTAGCCACAAATTTCCGAAAGAAACAAGGAATTGGGCGCTTTTTTTGCAATGTTTAACTTTCGTCTCTTAATGGGAAAGAAAAATGAATCTAAATCCTTATTTTAAGTTGAAAGATAGCTGAAGATAGCTGTCTAGATGTCTAGAAGATGTCTAGATGTCCAGAAGAAGTCTAGATGTCTAGAAGATGTCTAGATGTCCAGAAGAAGTCTAGATGTCCAGAAGATGTCTAGATGTCCAGAAGAAGTCTAGATGTCCAGAAGATGTCTAGATGTCCAGAAGATGTCTAGATGTCTAGATGTCTAGAAGATGTCTAGAAGATGTCTAGATGTCTAGAAGATGTCTAGATGTCTAGAAGATGTCTAGATGTCCAGAAGATGTCTAGATGTCCAGAAGATGTCTAGATGTCTAGAAGATGTCTAGAAGATGTCTATAAGATGTCTAGAAGATGTCTAGATGTCTGGAAGATGTCTATAAGATGTCTATAAGATGTCTATAAGATGTCTATAAGATGTCTAGATGTCTGGAAGATGTCTAGAAGATGTCTAGATGCCTAGGAGATGTCTAGATGTCTAGAAGATGTCTAGAAGATGTCTAGACGTCTAGGAGATGTCTAGATGTCTAGAAGATGTCTAGAAGATGTCTAGATGCCTAGGAGATGTCTAGGAGATGTCTAGAAGATGTCTAGATGTCTAGAAGATCAAAATTTCCATAATTACTCAACCAAAAACAACGTCCAATTCCTCGTTTAGCTATTTTTCTCTCAAAATTTCATCCAAATTTTCTAATAAAACAACGGTGCTTTTTCCTATAAAACGATTTGTGCTAAATCGATTTGTGTGCGATTTTCCTAAAGAAATTTGGAAAAGATTCGTTTTCCAGAAAGCTCACTTTCCTCTCTAAATCACCTATTCCAATGAACAGATCTCAAAATTTCTGTAAATTTTCTGTCATTTTTTTTCGTCTAATTTTTGTTTCATATCCGTTTTTTATGTTTACCGGTGTTTGTTGTGAAAAAAAAAATGAAACCAATGTTATTGTTGTTAATTTTTTTACAAAAAATCATCTCTAAAATGATAGTTTCGAATTTCAAATAAAGAAATTTCTTCCTTTTTTCGAAAGTTTACAGAAAAGCAAGGAAAAAAAAGGGGAAAGAAATTTGAATTGAAAAGAAAAGAAATCTGATTTTGTAAGTAATTTTAATTCATTTGTAATTGTTAATTTGTAATTGGTAATTGTTAATTTGTAATTGTTAATTGGTAATTAGTAAGTAATTTTGGTAAGTTGGTAAGTTGGTAATTTAATCTAGATGTTAATCTAGCTGTAATGGCTGTAATGGTTAATCTAGCTGTAATCACTGTAATGATTAATCTATCTGTAATGGCCAAGCTTAGCACCAATGAATTGTAACTGATGCATGCTATTAGAAGGGATTTATTAGGGTGGTGCAAAAGAAACTACCGATTTGACGGTAAATTTAAAAAAAAAAGATGACGTTCGATGATGACACAATGGAATATTTTCGCAAGATCTCGAGCAGATTGGCATGGATCGGCCTGAATAACGTCCCTCAGCTTGGCTTCGTTCACGACTTCTGGCCTCAAACCGTGCTCGTAATCTTCCAAAGCCTCGTCTCCCTCTCGGAATCGTTGAAACCAAGTCTGGCACTGCCTGAGAGACGAAATGCCATCTCCGAAAGCAGCACAGAGAGAACGATGCGATTCGGCAGCAGACTTTCCAATTTTGAAGTTAAACAGTGATGCTGCTCGTAGCACAAACTTTTGCTCGACCATGACCATCTAAATAAAAGATATAAGCATTTTTAAATAAAATAAACAACAACCCAAAAAATTCAAATGTCGAAATAAATAGCAAACAAATATGCGAACAAAACATAAAAAAAATAATGCCGTCAAGCATCGCTCGTTTCTGATAAATGAGAGCTGATACCCATCGGCAGTTTCTTTTGCACCACCCTAATAGCTGTTAATCTAGCTGTTAATCTAGCTGTTAATCTAGCTGTTAATCTAGCTGTTAATCTAGCTGTTAATCTAGCTGTAATGGTTGTAATGATTAATCTAGCTGTAACGGCCAAGCTTAGCACTAATGGATTGTAACGTTAAATAAACCTAGCAATTGTTGCACACTGCTATCACTGCATTGAATTCTTTTTGTTTACTCGAAAATCTCCTTGCAAATAGCCACTTTCCTGTGCATGACAGCAATTTGACGTATCCGTATTCTCTAAAGAATTGAATGACATCAAAAATGAGTCATTTTTTCGTAATTCTCTTGGGAAAAACATTACAAAAGGTACAAAGCACAAGAAATTTTTCAAGAAAGGTTAATTAGTTAATCTTTTTGTCTTTTTGATGAGAAAATCCAAAAAAACAAATCGTTTTTCAAAAAAAGTACAAAAAAATCGGAAAATGGGAAAATAATAAACAAAAATAAACGAAAATAAACGAAAAATAAACAAAAAATAAACAAAAAACATAAACAAAATCATCAATTTTCCAAAAAAAAACTAAATTTTGATAGAATCAGCTGAAAAGCTGAAAAAGCTGAAAAAGCTGGATAAAAGCTGGTTTAAGGCTGAAAAAGCTGTTTTAAAGCTGTTTTTAAGCTGTTTTCCAAGCTGTTGTTGAATGCTGGAATGCACTGTGAATGCTAACAGTCATTGAGTCAATTGTCATTGAAATTGAGAATTTCTTGTTAACGGTTGCCGTGTGTCGGTCATAATCGGAGCACTAAATCTGCTTTTAACAAAACAAAAAACAGTCTGTGCCTTGCAATTTGTCGAAATCACTTGAGATTTACAGAAATCACCTAAGAATGATCACAAAAGTGCCAAAAGCTATCACCAGCGCAAAAACCATCAACAAAATTCGATCGACTACAAGACAAACAAAATGCCAATCAGATTCAGTCTGAAATTGATTAAAATAGCTAAAAGAAATACAGTGGTCCACAAAAGTAATGCCCCATTGCCATTCAAAAGTATTTTTTGCAAAATTCCTCCTGAAAACATATATTTAAAATATATTTTTTTCTTTTAAAATACTTTAGAAATTCTAGTTGTTAAATAACTGGATTTTTTTTGATTGAGATCCTTCCAATCAAAAGATCGATGTGGAAGAGTGCGATTACCCCTAAAATTAGCTCCACAAAAGTAAAGCCCCATTGATCGTTTTCATGATTATCCTTTTTGTTTCTCCTTCTATGAACATTAAATGTATTCTATTGTATTATTTAGATTCCTGACATGAAAAATCTTGACACTCCGAAGAAGCTCCAAATCGCTAATGCTGATGAGGGATCAATTTAACAAGGTTGTATCGCCGGAAACGATCAGACGACGATTAAATCAAGCTGGATTATATGCAAGAAGGGCTGCCCGTAAACCTCTGATGAATTCTAAGCACCGGAAGCAGCGCCCTGATTTTGCACGGACCTACCGAAGTTGGACAATAAGTGATTGGGCGAAAGTGCTTATCGTGCTTATCTTGAAAAATGAAAAATCTTGACACTCCGAAGAAGCTCCAAATCGCTAAGGCCCGGGAAAATGGGATGCGGGAGACGGATGTGGCCAACCTCTTCAATTGCTCGATATGGACCGTGCGCCGCATTTTTTCTCAATCAAAAGTCGGCAAAAACCTTCATCGAGGCCTTAAGAGTGGCCGACGACCAATCACATGGGTTCACATTCAACGTCTCTGGGCCACCATCTCCCAAAGTCTTTTGATGAATCTCGTGGATTCCATGCCGAATCGACTCAATGAAGTAATAAAAGCAAAATGAGGACCAACCAAGTACTGATTTAAAAAAAATTGTGTTAATTCTTTGCAAATGGGGCATTACTTTTGTGGAGCTAATTTTCAAGTAGCCTATTGTTTTTGTTTTGTACTTTAATTTGTATGTAATGTATACGGATAAATCTTATATTCTTGAAAAGTCGAGTCTTATAGGTAGATAAAAAATACCCTACTCTTTTTCTGAAATGTCGATTTTGCAAGATTTCCTTACAAAACATACTGTTGGATGGCAATGGGGTATTACTTTTGTGGACCACTGTAAAAGCTCATCTTTCAAAAGCTCATCTTGCAAAACCTCATCAGCTTTACGCATTTCTGTCAAATTTTGAGCAATGTAGTTGATGTTTCGCTCGGCTTTACGTAAAATATCTCTTCGATTGCAAAATTGAGTCGATCGACGGCGCTCCATAGCTAGATTTTTATCGTTTTGAACAATCTGGGCACTTCTGGGACTTGAGGGACTTATTGCTTTAAAAATTGCCCACCTGGATCTTGATCCTTTGTCGAGTGCTTATCAATGCTGAATTGTCGCCGAATTTGCTGCTTTTTCTCATTTCTAGAAGAAAGGATTTTTTGAATTTCTGCTTTATATTTCTTTTTTATATTTTTGATTTATATTTTTGATTTATATTTTTGAGTTATATTTCTTTTTTATATCTCTTTTTTATATTTCTGCTCTATATTTCTGTTTTATATTTCTATTTTATATTTTTGAGTTATATTTCTGCTTTATATTTTTCATTTATATTTTTGAGTTCTTTTCCGTTATAAATCCACAAAATTTGCATCCTTCCATGAAAATAAACAAGCAAAACCCATAGAAAATTCATTCTTTTGCTATTTCCTGATGGTGGATTCGTGTCTCGCTTACCGACTACCGAGGCCGATGCAATCTCGTTCTTTCAACAACGCCGCATCTTGCTTACTACTCGCAAATGCGCCAACCATCACATTATGAAGCTATCGCTCAATCAGAATCAGAAGGAGATGTGAAAAACGTACCGTAAATACTGTAATAGTACCCCACCCCCATAATGACGGTGCGGAATGTTGCGTAGTCTAGCTTTGAACGAGTTTTTCTCGACACTGGTTTATGCTACAATGCTCGTTTTGGTATCAAAAAATAGCCCTGAATTTCAGCTATTTTTTGATACCAAAGACGCATTTTTTGAATGTACGGGCTCTTTGAAAAAAATGAAATACTAAAAAACTTTTGCGACTACGCGACTAGACGAGGGCGGTGGGGTACTATTACAGTATTTACGGTATGAAGCTATCGCTCAATCAGAATCCCCGGTGGAGATGTGAAAAAACGTCGTGCCGGACAGCGATCGGCCTGCATGTTGGCTCATGGGTGGAGGGCACCAAAATTCCGTTTATCACAATCCTACGATTCATCTATGGATGAGCTCAAAAGTGAACCTCGATCGACTATTGTGCGAAAGAATTGAAGATGAATCACAAAACCGCGGTCGACTTCAACAACTTCAACGAGGGATCTTTGCGTGGGGAATATCTGGTGAAAAAGTCGAGGGGAAAAATTCGAGAATCCAATCGAATTTTTGCGGATTTATAAACGAAAAGAACCAATTTCTGTTTTTTATTTTTGCTTTTTATTTCTGATACCCATTTGTGTTTTCCTTTTTGATCGTTTTCACCGACAAACTCCGACCAACCATTGGTAGTTGTAGGAAAATCGCTGCATGTCCACTGATATGCTCATTCGTTGGCTCGGATTCCTAAAATTCTCCTTGGAATAGCAATCCTGGAGAGCACAACACAAAACAATTGCAAAAACCTGTGTTTTCATCTCGATCTCAAAAAGAGTCTTGTTAAACTGTCGTTCAAGGATGTGCAACGCGTTGATGGTGTCGATTTTCTGAGAGATCAATGCAATCAATCAAATCAATCAAATCAATCAAATCAATTCCTATATCGACATTTAAGCCATACCTTTTGCTGTTGAATCTTTCGATAGAGTGGGCTTTGAGCGGTTCTTCTCGAAATGAGTAGCCTTGTTCCTAGCCTCTCAATGAACAGCTTCCTCACCCATTCGCTCATCCCCGACTCACCACCCCTCCAATGCATGTTCTCAACCTGATTTCAGGATTTGAACGCTACGAAAGAGTCATCCTTACAAATACAGTAGCACAAACTGAAAGCGAAACCATAGTCATCGTAAAAATGAGATATTTCCCGATCAATGGAATGCTGACACTCATCGGTGGGATTAGATCAATCTGTAACTGTTTCAAGCCAAAATTTGAGCCAAAATTTGAGCTAAAATCTAGCTTCTAATCTTCAAACCAATAGCAGAAAGAAGATAATCAAAGCGACGAGGACAGAAACACAAAGTTGAATCTTCTGCTTGCTCTCGCACGGGAGATAGAAAACCTGGAATTTACAGTAAAAACCAGGCAAAAAAAAGTGGGAAAACTTACCCACGACGTCAAGGCAGCAATCGAGACACACGGGAAAATCAAATTGATTGTATAGAAGAGTTTCTTTCGACGAATTTTGAGATAGTAGGTTATGTCGATGGATCTAATGATCTTACTATCGAGCTTACTGTCGAGCTTACTATCGAGCTTACTATCGAGCTTACTATCGATCTTACTATCGCAAAAGTTTCTTTCTGAAACCCACGAATAATTGCAGCATGAGTACCATCTCTCGTGGCGGGTCGATTTTGCTGCCAGTAGTTCCCATTCTACTGATTCCTAAAAGTGGATGGGTGTAGAATTAAGGAATGCAATGTTGAAAAGGATCACGGCAGCTGGCTAGCTGTAATCCGGTGCAACCGCAAGATGATACCGGTGATACATTTTGAGGTAGTCTAGGAGAAACGGCAGCCTAATTGCTACAATCTGCTTTCTGTAGTACCTGAAATTGAGATAAATCCACTCCAAGCGGGACACTTGATTGTTTCTCGCCGTTCTCCTCATGCTCCTCTACTTGATCGCCAGTAAACTGGAAAAGGGTTACGGTAAACCCTGATTACATCAACCATCAATCATTACATCAACATCAACAGTTACGCATTCTCAAAGATATCTTTACATGCAACAGATCCAGCTGAGTGCCTGTGTAGGTCCAACTACCGAATTTCAATTCACACTCCTGCTCGTCGTAGGGAAACCTGTGCATTCCAGGATTTACAAATCCAATCTCAAAACCAACCATTGAACATCGATTTTGCACATTGAATTGTACACAACTGGTGGCTCCCAGATCTGACAATTTTTTTCTATATATTTTCTATCTAGCTTTGAATCCAAACACGAGATGATATGCTCGAGCTCATCCAGAAATCAAAAAACTTACCACAAGTCCATTTGCATGCAATTTAGCCTTGGTGATCGAATGGATTGATGGAGAGCCGTGAGCGCTGAAATGGAGATGTGCAAGAGTTGCCCTGATCTGTAGTTAACGTACGTGTTGTACAAAATGATATCGGGCAGCCAGATGAGCTCTCCAGGCACTGAGAAGGCTTCGATGCCACCGTAGTCCTGCAAGTTACTTTAGCCGATTTGTCTAAGGCTCTATTCCAGTCAGGCTCGTCTTATAAGCCGTTTAAAGTTACAGCTAACAAGCCTGGAAAGACTGGAAGCCTGTAAGCCTAGCACAGCTCTTGCAACATCCCTAATTAGCTGTCGTCGATTGTAATTGATTAGCTGTAATCAATTAGCCGTAGTTGATTAACTGTAGTTGATTAACTGTAGTCGATTAACTGTAGTCGATTAACTGTAGTCGATTAGCTGTAGTCGATTAGCTGTAGCCAAATATCTCTAACAGAGTGCTTGACTCACTGTAGGATGCCAAGAAAGACGCTCGTCTTGCCATTTCTAAAAAGTGAAAGATATAATTGATTTCACTGCACTGTCGAGTATCGAATTGAACTCAAATTTCATTTGAATTGAAATCGAATTTCAATTGAATGGAAATCGAATTTCAATTGAATTGCTAACCCACATGGATCAGCCATCCGTGCGTGGTAGCAATCTGGTGCTTTTCAAACTAAAAATGGTGATTTAGTTTGATGAATTGAAAGGCAAATTTCAAAATTCGATGATGAAAGGCAAATCCCAAAATCCCCAACCACATCCCGAATCTGCGAGAGCTTGAACTTGAACTGGATCCGCGTCGTGTCATTGTCGTGTCGAACCGGCCGAACCAAGCGATTGTATCTGCAAGTACGGATGGCATAAAGCAGAAATGTTCCGAAACCATTTTCCCAGCATAGTTTACAGCAATCTGAACCTACTTCCCCAACAAATCCTCAAACAATCGATGGTAGACTTTTGCTGACGCATTATCGAAAACTAGCAGCTGAATAAATGGGATGAGAAAAATCTTCATAAAAATGCGCATCCTTGATGTCAAAAGTCAAATTTCAAGTTCGACGACTGAAGTTCAGAAGTGTCAAAACTCAAATTTGAAGAAAATATTTGATATCCTGCAGGTTATTGAGTAAATTTTGGCGTGAATTGGCGTGTGTCGATTCTTTGGCAAGAGCTGGATAAGGATGTGAGTGAAAAAGGCGTTTCTTGAGTTGATTGCTTTTCGTGAAGCCAAGTGGTGCACCCAATTTGTCTACTGGATTTATCCAAAAAATATAATCTGCATCAAAAGTTGCATCGTTTGTAACTTTAGTCTTTAACACATCTTTCTGGCATATAAATTGGTCCAGTCTCACTAGGGAACTGTTTCAACTTAGCACCGATTTTCGAAACCGGACCTAGCTACAAAACGCCCCCATAGAATTCTAAAATGCGTCTTTTCACTTTTGCTGATGGGCCCTGGTGTTCGAAATATGCAAAGTTTTGGATAATTTCGCCAAACTACCAATTCGTCTATAAGATGGTGCCAAGCGGAAAGGAAAGAAGAGCAGCGACGGCCTAGTGGGTAGTGACTACAAAGCCTCTGCCATTTTTGCCGCAGGTTCAGCTAGCCAATTACAGATAAGCCGATAGCCTATGGTAAGACAATTATTCTCCTCTGTAATATTGTTCAGCAGATAAGAAAAAAGAGAAGATTCATTTTTCATTTCTCTTTCTCATTTTGATTCACAGTTCATAGTTGTCAAGTTCACATTACGAGCAACGAAGAGTTTAATGGAGTGAAAGTATTGGCTTCAACTTAGCACCGATTTTCGAAACCGGACCTAGCTACAAAACGCCCCCGTAGAATTCTAAAAGCAACGAAGTTTAATGGAGTGAAAGTATTGGCTAATTATGCAAGCTATGTTTATAATGAACAATTATTACAGCTTTAAAACACTTAAATATTCATAAAAACCGTTTTTTTTTATGTTTCAGAAAAAAAGCAAAAAGTTTGGTCGACGAGCGGAATTGAATTCGCGGGCAAAAATAGCAGAGGCTTATTGCTGATTTCTTAGTTGAAATTTTAATATAGCTTTGAAAAGGGTTTAATTAAGGCCTTTTGCTAAAATAAAGTTAATGTTGCGATTACGGTTGCGACGTTGTCTATTCTAAGTAATTTACTTTGTTGAGCATCCTGTTCGCATTTTTTTTCAGCTGTTGTTAGCTGGAAAAAAATAGTCAGTAGTCTAGCCCACTATCCCCTAGGCCGTCGCTGCTCTTCGTTCCTTTCCGCTTGGCGCCATCTTATAGGCGAGTTGGTAGTTTGGCAAAATTAGCCAAAACTTTGCACGCTTATACCTCGAAACCAGTGCCCATCAGCAAAAATAAAAAGACGCATTTTAGAATTCTACGGAGGCGTTTTGTAGCTAGGTCCGATTTCGAAAATCGGTGCTAAGTTGAAACAGTTCCGAAATCAGGTCAGACCGAATCTACTGCATCCAATCTACCTGAAATCGCTTAGATTCTTTAAACTTTTACAGTATGAATTTATATTATTTACAAATTTACATATTTCCACAATTTTCCTCTTTAAAACTTATCTAAAACCTGAAAAAAAGTGGTCCCTTTTCAGACAGGCATCCTTTATCTTACACCCAAAGTACCGTACTCTAGGCACCGACCCACATCTGGGCTATTCTTATAATTCTCTCCTTGATCGATAGGTATCTCGTGCATATTTTTTAAAATTTCATATAGAAATTGAAAATTGCATTTTAGAATTGAAAAATCTACAGGAATGCCTGGAGAAACGGTGGCGGAAAGACGCAAGAAGGTTGGTTTTGGGAAAAATGTTTAATTTTGATTTGACGCTGAAAAGTTTACCTTTATTGCGTTCCAAATAAAAATCTTGGTTTTGGGAAGTGGTTTAAACTCGATTTCGAGGCGTTTTATATAAATATGCATTACATGTAAATTACAGGTTCTAGTGGGTGAGTTACCAGAAGACTTTCTGCGTTTGACCCTTCCATCGTCGTCGGGACAGCCTGTGATTCACCAGGTGGCTCCTGGCGTCCAGGTCCAGTATGCACAGGTTGGTTGAAAATGCTGAGATTTGGAAAAAAACAAATCTGTAGTCGTAGCCGTAGTCTGTCTGTCTGCCTGCCTGTAGTCGTGCAAGCACACCATTTTCAGCCAAATCCTCTCTCGTTTGTGCCACCAAATACACGCGGGCGCGTCTCCGTGACCGTCATCGAAGCTAATCTCGTCAAAAACTATGGACTGGTTGGTGAAATTTTGCGAGAATTTGATAATGTGGGATGCACAGAAGAAAATAGAATCAATGATTAAGCAATAACTGCCTTTTAGGTGCGCATGGATCCTTACTGTAGAGTGCGAGTTGGCGAGGCTGTTTTCGAGACACCGACAAAAATTAGTGGAGGTGGGTTTCTAAGATGAGTCCAGGATTTAAAAGTATTGCTTTTGCTTTGCTTCAAGCTTTCAAAAAAATCGATTTCAGGCCGTCAACCGGTGTGGAATCGAATCGTGCACGCGTATCTTCCGAATGGCGTCGAGAGCGTCTACGTGCAAATATTCGACGAGGTGAGTTAATTGAGAGCTTAAATGCTATCCTGATAAGATGAAGATGAAATTTGAAAATCATTTCAAAAATTTAGAGAGCTTTTTCACAAGATGAGTGCGTTGGATGGGCACATGTCATTCTCCCGCAGGGTGTTTTTGCGGGAGAGACAATCGATGATTGGTTTCCGTTATCTGGACCGCAGGTGGGTGAATGAGGATGAGAAACGGCATAAAGTAAGACCTTTTGGGCTTAGTTCAATTATCCAAGTCTAGCAATCATTTTTTTAATCTTCGCTAATACAAGAATCTTATCCCAAGTTGGGGTTTCCTTGCTCAAATCGGGATCGGTTCAATTACCCAACTTCAGGGTGAAGGTAAAGAGGGGATGATCCACCTCGTGCTCGCCTTTCGTCCATTCCAAACGCAACAACAAATCCCACAACAGCAACAGATGCCACAAATGCGTAAAGAAGCTAGGTTTAACAAGGAAAATAGACATTTTAGCCCCGATAAGGGAAGAGGATGTGCAAGAGTTGAAGGGAATGTTCGCAACGGTGGATGAGGAAGTGATCAGGTAAATGGAAAATTGAGTAGAACTAGTCAAAAGCCGATTTAAAGTACAAATTGTCGTTTCTGTCATTTTTAATCAAAAAATCATTTACAGAAGCATTTTGGAGCAACACGGGGGCGACAAAAACGCTACTTGCAACGCGCTTTTGGAGATGATGAGTTAAATTTCGCAAAAAATTGCATTTCCTTGACTTGCGATAAGTTAATAATTATCTTAAGCTTGATATTTTTAAATATTTCCTCTTTTTTAAAGACATTTCTTGCTTGCTGTTGTGATGTGTACATAGACAGTAGATCGTATTTTCATCGCGTAAAATAAAAATTTGTTTTGTTTTTTTATCATCTGATCTTTTCCGAGCGTTCAGATCGCTCTCAGATAACTATTGTCATTTAAAATTTTGAAATCTTCTACATGTTTTGTATTTTTGACTCTTTAATAGTATTTAACTAGGTTTATCATGTTTTTACAAAACTTTGAATCAAAATCGGCTCATACAAAAACCAAATTTGTCTTGGTTTTAGTTGGAAGGTCCTTTTATGGGTTGGGGCTGGCAATACAAAACATGTTCGACGCCGGGATTCGAACCCACGACCTCTCAGCTTACCGGTCGAAAGCTCTACCAATGAGCTACCAAATATCCCCTTGCCGCCAGGGTAGGACCCTATGCCTTACTCTTTTGCCAAAACTACGCAACTTAACGCTTTTCCGCAGTTTTTGCCTTTTAGCCCAAATTTGACGTGTCGGCGAGGTCTGATTTGTCGAAATTCGGAATCTACGCATACGATTCCCTTAGATGGAAAAATTTTCGAAATATTTTCGAAGCTCTACGGCCTTGCCTAAGGCCTTTTCCAGCAAAAAAAAAGGTGCGCAAAAAAAAGGTCGCATTTGTCCCACCCCCCTCTTCGTAAATAACAAGAACAGCGGAAAAAATCAAGATAACCCCTGGTCATTGAGACGAAGCTAACATTGAGCCAACAACAGCTGAAAAAAATGCGAACAGGATGCTTAACAAAGTAAATTACTTAGAATAGACAACGTCGCAACCGCAATCGCAACATTAACACCCGCAACATTAACACTAGCAACATTAACACTAGCAACATTAACACTAGCAACATTAACACTAGCAACATTAACAATCGCAACATTAACACCAAAAACATTAACTTTATTTTAGCAAAAAGTCTTAATTAAACCCTTTTCAAAGCTATATTAAAATTTAAACTAAGAAATCAGCAATAAAAAGCGAAAGTTTACTTGTTTGTCGACGTTGAAGCGTGCAAACATCGCGCCTCGTCGTGTTGAAGTAGGAGGGCGATTCTCACCATCAGTTTGATGCCTTTCTAAATTAAAACATTAAGAAAAGCTAGAAGAAAACATTAAAAACAAAGAAAATAACAAGAAAAAAGCGTAAAAACAAAGAAAACGCTAACTTTTAAACTAACTTAAGGCTAACTTAAAGCTAAAAAAGCTACGATTTATATACACTTACATTCTGACTAAAATATTCAGCTGATTAAGGAAAAACCTTAACGCGCAAATATTTATTATAAATAATCGGGAAGGTGTCACATTTTCACGTTTTTCTGCAAATATGGCTCCAGGTTGTCTTTTGATGCTAAAATTTAAGTTTTGTAGTAGAAATTGGCCAATGTTTGATCTAGAGTAGCCTTTCCTCGCCTTGCTACCTTGTTTTACCTCAAAACATTACACAAAATTACGAATTTATCCCGTTTTCTTTTCTTAAACTTAAACTTTAGGATTTTACGTAAAAATGACAGTTTTTTTGTGTATTTTCTTGTTTTCTGACAGTTTTTATGTGCAAATACATGTTCTGACGGATTTTCTCATTTCAGGCACTCTCCTCTCACTTGAAGGAAGCGATCTTCACCAAAGAAGCCCCGATCGATGGCGTGTCTTCGCAAATTGAAAGAAGACCTCGCACTTCTCGAACAAATTTTCCCGAAGAATCACGAGAGGTTACAGGTATGTTTATGGGGGTTTTAACGTTTAAGTTGGAAAGTTGCGAGTTTATTTAAAGTTAAATAGACTCGCAACAAGATCCAACAGATTTCAGGCAGATTTTGCTCATCCCCTTCGGGTTATGTTTTTGATAAAAGCCCTGTAACTTTTAAAATATCAAATGTTGCTTTTGGAAATATTACCATAGCTTTGAAGAATCCTGAATTGATTGTTATTTTAACAAGATCCTAATTGATTTGTTATTAAAAACACCGATAACTGACGTTTAACAAGATTCTTCCGTTAAACGTTAAGAAAGATAAACGAATAAGAACTAAAGAGCTAAAGACCATGTAAAATAATTTCCAATTCTAGAACTTTTTGGTAAGTTTTATGAACCCGTTTCGTTGTTTAGGTGCTTGTGGCGACGGTGGATGAAATCTCGATCCGCTTCTGCGACAATGGTGGTCGCAACTTTGTGATTAATGCCAATATTCAGGTGTGAAAATGTTTGAAAACGTCAACTTTAACGTAAATTTTTAAAAATCTATGCCTAAGACTAACTCAAGAGATGTACAACTATTTTTAGACTCAGGCAACAAGTAGTAATAGGGGCGATGTAGTACTGCTACTTCGATATTCATTTATATTTTTAGGAGAACTACCCCCGTCAGCCGCCAATCTGGTTCTGCGAGGAAGAGAATCAAGTCGTGGCAACAGCACTGGAACAACTCACCGAGGATGCCGAGTGCACCAACTTGCTCTTTCAAGTGAGCAATTTCATCTCAATTTAAAGTGCTTGTGTAAATGCAATTCCAAAGCCTGTGTCAGTAAATTTCACTAACATTTATTCTCCTTCATTTTTTAGATCCACCGCCTTTGCTCCGACTTGTGCCGCCACTTTGGATTGACGATTCCGATCGAATTGCAGAGGATTGCACCACCAGATGAAATGGAGAAAGATGAGGGACAAGGAAGCGACGATATGGATGAAAGCGATGATCATATGGAGGATGATGGAGACGAGGATGTGAGGAGGATGGTGGGTGAGATTATGATGCGGGGAACAATTCGAGAATGTTGTTGATAAGTTTAAGCCTACTTAAAGGTGCGTTGACTCATGGTGGCATGCTGACTTTACAAGTACATGAGCTCTACTGCTATTGTGACTTGCTCCACACTTGCCGACATCTGATAAAACAACCTAAGGGGGGAAAAAAAGCCATTTCTCAAAACCTACAAACTGTGATCTAGAAAACCCATGGTGGGATCTTCCTGCAAATTTGGCAACTTAAGTAATTGAATGGCTCTATCTTTTTATAAACCCCAAGAAGGGGAAAAACTGTCAAATGATGGTGGACACTTTCATTTTGCTGCGTTTGAAGTTCATAAACTCACACGAAAGAAAAGCTTGGGAATCCTAAAGTGATTTTGTAGAGAAATAGTGAGCTTTTGATGAAACCAAACGTATGTTTAAGAAGGCTTTTGTGCAAAAAGTCCCTTTAAAGTTGGGCGCCGACTCCTTCTCCCCAACCCAATAAATATTTGAGCTAGCTTTAATTAGAATCGAATTGTATAATCTTGTGGATAATTTATCCACCTAGCTAAATCTAATCTATCTATTATCTTTACCATTTCCAGATCGTCGAGATGGATGAAGAGGCCCCAAGGAGTAGCCATGAAGACCATGGTATGGTGCCCGAAGGAGCACTGGTACTTTATCTCGATTGCGATAAATTTTACCCAAATTTAGGTACTCGATCGGATCTCGAAACAAAACCGGCAAATGCATTTGAGCGGGAAAATCCACGGGTCCGTTACGGCCACGGATCGTTTGATGAAAGAATTGAGGGATATCTACAAGAGTGAACACTACAAGAATAGTAAGTTTAGCAAACAGACTTCTGAAAAGCTTATAAACTTAATATGTTACAACAAAATTTGAAGAAGCGTAATCCTTACGTTCTTTATAAGTGGGTAATTAGACTTACAAAAAGGTTATTACTTGCAAGTACAAACATGGTTGTTAAATTTTGATTTTCAGAGATCTACTCGGTCGAGTTACAAGACGAAAGCCTTTATCAATGGTATGTCAAATTGCACAAAGTCGATCCAGACTCCATGCTTCATTCGGACATGCAAAATTTAGCTCAAGAGCAGAAACAGGTGAGGATTATAGATCAAGAGGACTACGATAGAATGAATTTTTAATTGAAGGGGGTCCTCGTAGAGCGAGTTAACTTCAAATTGAATTAAATCACTATAAAACAATTCCTCTGTTTTATAGCTTGTTGGAGACTTGCTCAATAGTCAGCATTGCTTACAAAATTTGCAAGAATACATCGAACTCTAGGCTGAAAATATGAAATTTTGTGTGACCCTGCAGTAATCATAAGATTCTAGAATTTTAGCAATGAATAGCTTTGTATTTGAGTTCTTTAATGAATGCACGTGTACGTTTTAGGATCACTTACTCTTCGAATTCATCTTCAACGAGAAATTCCCGTGCGAGCCGCCATTTGTTCGATTGGTTTCACCAACGGTTGAAATTTTCCTTTTCAAATTAATTACACAGTCTTTAGGTGAGTAATGGATTTGTGCTTGGTGGCGGTGCAATTTGCATGGAACTGTTGACAAAGCAGGTGTGTTTATGCACAAATTTGCCTTTAATTTAAACCTTTAGGGTTGGACATCGGCCTACTCGATTGAGAGTCTCATCTTACAAATTGCTGCAACATTGGTAAAGGGAAAAGCGAGGATTCAGTTTGATGTCAAGGTACGCAGTCACATCTTGTTAGCACAATTAACAAGAATCTGTTAATAGCAATTGACAATAAATATCTTTATCATTTCAGGGTGGTTACTCTCTTTCCAAGGCTCAGCAATCGTTCAAATCATTGGTGCAAATTCACGCAAAGAGCGGCTGGTATGTTTTTTTAGCTATGGCAAATTAAAAAAAACCGTTTTGCTAGTGGAATTGAAACAAAAATTACAAGGCACGTTTGATTCTGAAAATTACAAAACACGAAACAAATCTTGAAATCATATGGAAAACATTTAGGTACACTCCACCAAAAGAGGACGGTTGATTGGGAAAAAGAATTGGGATCATCAGAAACACGTATATTTTTGATTTCTTTGTTGTGATATATTTTTCTTTGATTATATTCATTTATAGTTCTTTCGTTATGCGTCGTATTCCTTTTATTTTGTATGGTATTTGTGGCGGGTTGATTGAAGTTATTTGAAAGCAAAAGAAAGGGAAAGGTTTTCGATACTGTTTTGTCAATGCCTAGGCCTTTAAGTGATCAAAATGGGTCAAATGACACTTCTTAAGCGTTTCAACGGTGAAAATGTGTACGAAACTTTTCCTATTTTTACGGCAATAACTTCAATTCCGCATCATTTTCTCATATTTTCCTCAAATTCCTCACTGGATTCTTCTTTTCCCCCCACGGATTATTTGGCATTTAAAGAGCGAATCTTTCTATTCTTTTTATTGGTAACGATTTCAGAAAATTTTCTACAATTCAGGGGAATTCGGTTCAAAAAAAAACTGAATGTTTTCATTTTTACCCAAAAAAAAAATTTTTGAAATCGTTCAAGCTCATTTCTTCTGATCATTGCACATATTAACACATTACGTAACAGAAAACTTTTTGAGGCTATCGTTGAAAGATTGCTTTTTTTTGCACATTGGACTGTAAAACTGGGTAACCGAAATCTTCTGAAACCTTTCAAGTCCAGTGTGAAAAAAAAAATCCCATTGTTATCTTGGTCTTAACTTTTTTCAAAGTCTTCAATTTTTTTGAGTCTCCTCCTTTCACTATGTTCAAAATTTGCCTACATTTCATGCAAAATTTACCCCGGGCTTTACTAAATTTGGGAATTAGCTGAACACTTATTTGAGTGCGCTTTAGAAAAATTGTCCTTTGCTCAAAAAACTATCGTAATCTTGTATCTAGTTTTTATTCGTTTTATCAACTTTTTGTAGATTTGAAGTTTTGAAATTTTGAAAAAGGACATGTTTTAGGTGCTGACTAACAAGAGTTTACAGTCTTTTCCCGTTTTTAGTAGAGTCTGTTATGTATTCGGCAAAAATTGTGATGTTTTTGTTTTTTTTTTATGCGAGGAGATAATCTTTACGGTAAATTACACGTGGAGCTATGCGATTTTCTTTTTCTTGAAACGATTTATTGATTTCTTCATTCATTTTCTTGAATATTTTTGGATCTCTTAGAATTTGTCATTGAAAGTTGTCATTCAATCGAGTCCTTTTCTTCTCCCACGCTATGGATTTATTTTTTGATAAATCTTTTGACAAAAAATGTTTAGAAATAACGATTTACTTGCGTTTACAATTGTAAAAGTGTACTTTGACGGGAGGTTTATTGGAATTTGAATTTTGATTGGGGTTTATTGGAACAAAGTTAATTCTTTATTTGATCAGATTCAACAAGAAATGTCGGATGAGGGAAATTTCATCAAAAAAGTGCCCACAAAGGAAACGCAGAAGATTTTCTCGTCACAGGTACAATTTTTGATAAAATTTGAAAAGACACAAACAAGTTGACCAAGTTTACTTTCAAAGAGGTGTCAAGAGGCAAATTCTAAAGGCTCAACAAATTTAAAGGATTAAAATTTCAAAAAGTTTACGTTCAACTCAATGAAATCTTAAGGAAATACATATCTTTTGAAGTATGACATAAAACAGTTATCAAAAACACTTCTTTACTTTGTTGATCGGCTTAGATCTGGCCTAGATCTGGCTTAGATCTGACTTAGATCTTCAATCTAATACTCGAAAGCTTCAGCATAAAGTCCCGAGCATTGATGATTGCAGGATACGCTGAATCTGAATGCAAAAAATGTTTTTAAACTTAGCGATTGTTCTTTTTGGTTTCAAAAGTGTTTTTGTTCATTTTAGGTGATTCAAAGTCTCTCATCGGCTCTTCGACAACTCATCGACAACTCGCTAGATGCTGGGGCAACTATCATTGGTGGGTTTATTTTGGTTTGATTCCAACAACTAGAACTATGCATTACCCTAGAGCTGAATGGAAACTATAGACTTGGTACTTATAATTGGATTGTTCAAGTAGTTTTTTAATTTTAGACATTCGTTCTCAACAAAACGGCTACGAGTGGCTTGAAGTGGACGACAATGGAAGCGGGATTGGGAGAGAGAATTTCGAGAAACTGTGTAAGCAAAAATTTTATGTCCTTAAATACCCAACTTTTTAGGTAAACCGCATGCGACGAGCAAATTGACGAATTTCGAGGGATTGTCGAGTTTGGAAACGCTAGGTTTTCGAGGAGAAGCTCTTCATTCGATGGCTTTACTTGGGTGAGTGAGTTATTGACTTGAAGCAAGCTTGATATGATCGAATTTCCTTTAGGAAAGTGACCATAACGACAAGGACGGCTGAAGATGATGTTGGCACTCGATTGGTGTACAAAGAAGCGGAAATCAGTGAAGAAACATCAATTGCAAGACAGGTTTGTTCAAAATTTTGGAGGTTGCTAGAATCGAAAGCTTATGCGTCAATTCATTTGCTTTGATTTACAAAATCTTTTTAGATAGGTACAACTGTTCGAATTGACAATCTCTTCTACTCGTTGCCCGTACGCCGAAAGGAATTCGAGAAAAACCAGAAGAAAGAATTCATTCGATTACTCAATATTGTACAGGTTTATTTGAAAAATTGTGTTTTTTTTTTTACGAAATCTTTAGGAATACGCGTTGCTCTATATGAATGTGAAGTTTTTACTGTCGAATACGATCAATGGGTGAGTTTCTGTGCCATTTAAAAAGCTTTCAATTGAATATCTGACTGTAAGATACAGCTAATTTGATCATTTAGTAAAAGAACAGTGCTCATAGCGACGCCAGGTGGTTCAACTTCGGATTTGAAAAGTAAATAACATCGAATAACATTCAAATTCCATGGTTTAGATGTTGTGACGAGCCTTTTTGGCGGAAGTTCGGATCGAACGCAAATGGTCGCCGTGAAATGGGACGGATCGATCGATGAGGGAGTGCAACACGATTACAATATGCGAACGGAACATGTGGATTTTATTAAGTGAGTTGATTGAATTTCAAGCGAGCACTTCAAGTACAGCATCCCTTTTGTTTAGGATCTCTGGCTATATCTCGTCATGTGCACATGGAAATGGACGAAGCTCAACGGATCGACAATTTATCTATGCGAATCGACGACCGGTCGATTTACCAAAGGTTCGTTTTAATCCTGGATTCTTGACAAATATTTTTTAGGTTTCCCGAGTGATCAACGAGGTTTACCAAAGCTACAATAAAAGTCAACTGCCTGTTTTTGTGATCGAGATCGAGGTGCCGTTGTGTGGGTTGCAAAAATAGCCACTGTCTAATGAATTTTCTACTTTAGCGTGGATCGAAGTGAATGTGACGCCGGATAAACGAATGATTTTCTTCAGTGACGAGAAGCTGATGCTGGCGGCAGTGAGTGAGAGTTGGGCAGTACTCAAATTTAGTGTCAATTGGGAAAGCCTACTTTTTAGACAGCGCAACTCTCATTTTAGATGAAATCAGCGATTCTCGCCACTTTCGCCCCACTACTCGGTGCACAGACGTCCTGCCAAACACAAGAAAGATTGGGAAATGAAACGATGACACAAAATCCGGAAACAGAACTCCTGCAATCACCCGCTTTGCTTAGTCCACAAGGAGTGCCCAGTGTATTCGACTTTATGAAGGTTTGCTTGGGGAAAACTTGCGTTCGAAAAATAGATTGATCAAGAGGTTATCTCTAAATGACCGAATGATAGCATAACACTTTTTTTATACTTCAATACAAATGTATAATCAATTGGTGCTTTCAGGATTCTTCGGCTAAATCGCAAAAACGTCCGATTCGCACCTTCCACGAGCAGATAAAACGATCAAAATTGACAGCTGAAGACTTGGGAACGCCGAGTCTTGGTAAAAATTCTAAAAGATGCTTGTTTTTGTGCTAATATTAGATGTTAAAAGTGTTATTTTCGTTTAGTTCCATGGAATTTGGCCGATTTTCTCTACTCAAGTCCCGGATCTTCACAAGGTACAGGATTTTTGAAAATTTGACATTATTTTTAAACTTCTAGATAAACGAGGCCTTTCATGGGCGAAAAAACAATCGGATTCATCTAAAGAAACGAAAATCGATTCGATTTTTCTCCCGAAAGTGAGACCGAATCAAGAGGATATCGAGGTGTATAAAGGCATATCAAGGTGTTCCAGGAGAAAACGTGCCTTTGGACTTGATCTAGAATTGTTTTCAGCTCACTTGCTGTCTTGATCCATAAAACAATTCTAAATTTAGATGGAACCCAGGGAATCGACAAGTGGTGACCGTCGTGAAGAGCATCAAGGCGATGATCGGTCATTCGAACGTCATATCTTTTATGAAAAAGTTGGCATTGAGTTTGTTTTGATAGAATTTGTTGGAATTTAGCCACAAAATGCTGAAGAAGATGAAGCTCAAATTAAAGAAGAAAGGTACACTCAGATGAGTCAATTACGAGAAGAAATCGAGGGCAATGATGATGGGCAGCGAGAAGATATAGATCTATTTGATACTTCAATACATCGAACTATGCAAAAAGTGGGTTTAATGGATAGTTACTTGTTTTCTATGAGTTTAATAGCTTTTCAAAATAGAATTCAGAGTTTGTTTTGATTGCGTTGGAATTTAGCCACAAAATGCTGAAGAAGATGAAGCTCAATTTAAAGAAGAAGTGTACACTCAGATGAGTCAAGTACGAGAAGAAATGGAGGGAAATGATGATGGATCACAAGACGATGAAGATCTATTTGACACTACAATACAGCGAACTATGCAAAAAGTGAGTTTAATGGATAGTTACTTGTTTTGTATAAGTTTAATAGCTTTTCAAAATAGAATTTAGAATTGAATTTATTTTATCTTTCCAGATTACTTTTGATCGATCACGACTTTTCAAACGTCTACGAGAGCTTCAAGATGATGAGAAAGAGACAAAAGAGAACGATAAAGGAAACGGAGATGCAACAAAGGTGATAAAACAATGACATCCATAAATTTGCTTGTTTTAGGTGTTCGACGCGGAGATTTCATCGGAGAACGCGAATGAGGCTGAACGAGAGCTCGAGCAAGCATTGAGGTGAGGAAAATCTGACTGATGTAACAAAATCTATAGCTTTTTAGTAAATCGGACTTCTCTTCGATGCGTGTGATCGGACAGTTCAATCGGGGCTTCATCATCACGCAATTGGAGCAGCACCTCTTCATCGTTGATCAACATGCCGCTGATGAGAAGTATGGGCTTGAGAAAGCGATCAGTCACCTAGAAAATTATTGTTGTTAAAGCAATATTTGGCTCCTGGGTAGCTTAGGGGACTTTTGGGGGTTTAGGGGACTTTTGAATGGTTAATCAAGCTCTAAATGTTTATAACGTACTACAGAGACAATATATTTATCCTTTTTTTTGATAAAGAGCACATTCCAGGCTTTCAAATGAGACCCAATGAAGCTAGATTAGATAGATCAATCCCGAAAGTCAAAGGAAAAATCAAGTGACACAATAACGAATTGTAGCCATTCGATTTTCTCGAGACTGATCTATCCAATCTAGCTTCATTTAGTCTCATTTGAAAGCCTGGAATGTGTTCTTTTTTATTAAAATTATCAAAAAAGGATAAATATATTGTCTCTGTAGTAAGTTATAAACATTTAGAGCTTGATTAACCATTCAAAAGTCCCCCCTAAACCCTCAAAAGTCCCCTAAACCCCCAAAATTCCCCTAAGCTACCCAAGAGCCCAATATTTGAATCAAGCAGAAACTGTGAGTGCAAATCAAACAGTCACAGTCAGACATCAATCCTTTGCCTTTTCAGGTTCAACTTTGAGCGTTTCACAAAAACGGCTCGTGTCGGTTCGCAGAAAATGATCAAGTGAGGGAATTTTGGAGAGAAACATGTGCAATTTTCAATTCAGACCTCAAAATCTTCAATTGGGAGCGGTGGACGAGGCGGCTTTGTACGACAATAATCACATTTTTGAGGCAAACGGTTTCGAGTTTGAATTTGGCGACGGTTTGTTTGATAGTTTTTATTTAAAAACTTCGATTGTTTATTCTTTTAGATGGTGTTTATTTGGTTTCCTTGCCTGTGCTCACAAAATATCAATTTGATCGATCTGGTGAGGGTTTTGGAGAATCTAACGGGAAAATATTATAATGCTTTTTCTTGGTTTCAGTAGGATTAAGTGCTTGTTATTGTAAAAATTTGTTATTTTTATTTTTAGATATTGATGAGATTCTCACCTCTGTCACCGAGCACCCAAATCAAATGTATCGGCCGCAGAAGTTGAGGTGTGTTAAGCGAAAAACTAGAAGTAACCGTTTTTCTTTAGGAAAATCTTTGCCTCGAGAGCTTGTCGCCACTCGGTGATGGTTGGGGATACGTTGATGAGCGGGAAAATGGAAGAGGTTCGAGATTGAAATGTAATGAAATGTAATAGCCAGTAATAACTAAAAGTCTAACAAGCAAACTACAACTTCAAAACTTTATTTAGATTGTGTCCAATCTCGGGCTACTCGATCATCCTTGGGTGGGTTTGAAGCTATTTTTCTTCTTGATATGGTAACTGGATGTAAAAACATGGGAATTGCACGAGAAAAGTTTCTCGTGAAATTCCCATGTTTTTACATCCAGTTTATCATTTTTCTGTTTAGAGTTGTCCCCACGGTCGTCCAACACTTCGCCATTTGTTCGATTTGAGAAAAGGCGGCTTTAAATGAGTTGAATTAAAAGTTTGGGGAAGTTTTACACAAAAATTTCATTTTATTAAGCGGAATAATCCCTTGAAAAATTTATCTGGTGAAAGTTTATGTACATTTGTTATGAGATTTTTGTTCAATTTTAGTATTTTTGTTGTTTTACTGATGTGAGAGTTATATTTTTTATTTTATTTTCATGCAATAAAGTTTTCGATCTCTTTGATTATTTTGGAATGTTTAAGGTTTATTCAAAGAATGGTATCGCAACGAGGTGAAACAAATGGCAATTTTACCCTGGATAGTCTTCGAATTTGTGGAGTTGACGATTATGTTTGTTGTTTGAGCCTTTTCCAGTCTTTTGAGAGTTATTTATTGATTAATATCTGAATATCTTTGGAATTTGTATTAAATTTTTAGCAAAAACGGGCTGTTGCGCAATAGTTGAGACTACTTGATGTTGTGTGGTAGCTTTCTTGATTGAAAATCTATCGACAACTGAATGCTTTGTACAATTTCATTGATCTTTTATCAAATAGGGTTGCTACACAGTAAAGATTAACCTTTTCCTTGCGTGGTAGCCTTATTTGATTGTAAATTTAATTGTTATTATCCCATTTCTTTATTCGTTTCGTTGTCTTTTATTAGATATTTATTTAACGATCGAATTTAAGCAGAATGACGGAGAAAGAAGAACCGAATCAGCACTCGAAAGGGAGGAAATACACGAAGCTTGTCAACGTCAACAAGAGAAATCCCTGGGAAAGCGATGATGAGATCGATGATTGTAAACCGAAGGTGAGCGGAGATTGGTTTAGACTGCTAGAAATGGGAAAAAACGTGGGTAAAAGGAGCCGACGTTGTAGTAAATCAAAATATGTAGGACTTATTATTATTATTATTGAATATGAATGAATATGAATTATTGAAAATTGGTGGGAAATTATGTAAAACTCAATAAACAAATGCTTTGATAAAATGAAAAGATTTAAATCTTTCTCTTAATGATTTCTTTTTAATTTTTTCAGACTCAATTTTTCTTTCTAGGTGGCCCAACTTCATCTGCTTGAGACGCCAGAGAATGGCTACTTTCGTCCACATTCTTCGGTGAGCTTTACGATAAAGATTATTTCTTTAAACAAGGTTTTTTGATTCAATAATCAGAGTCTAAAAGTTTCGAACTATAAGCTAAATCGCAAGTTCGAATCAACATTGCCATTTTTAGTTCTGGGAAGAACTTGGGCGATCGAAAGCGCAGGAAAATGATGAGGGAACGGAAGGAATGGTCGTGCTGCACTATCCGGAAGACGACGACGATTTGGAAAATGAAGAGGAGAATCCACCACGAGAATCGACGAAATTCCATCAACGTCTCGGCGTGTACACCTATAAAGCGCAGGCAAAGAAGTTGAAACAAGTGAGGGGATTTGGAAAAGTAGCTTTGCGTTTTGAGCTTAAGCTCAAATTGACTTAAATACCGTAATTATTCTCTTTCTAGTAGATTGTTAATAATAGATATAATAGTTATTTGTTCACTCATTTACCGCTTTTAGAATATGTTCCTCGAGAGGAAGAAGCACAAATCTCTCTACAAACGTTTCGTCAAGGATATCGTGCAGTACTATGATGATTATAAACAGGTTTGATATTAAGGTTTTTGGTCTAAAATTGTTGATTTTTACTTTAGGATCACAAAACACTCGAGCAAAAAGATGAAGCGATGTTGGCCGTGCAAAAGGAAATGGAATTTGTAAGTGAAACGTTTCGAGTTTCCTTATAATTTTCTTACATTTAGGTTTTCCCGTTGAATTCGGTGCGCATCTTTCCAATTGGGCCAACAGCTGACGGGTGTGGAGCGAAAACGTCGGGATTGGATGCGACAATCGTTTTGGATGAGAAATTCCCGGACGAATGGGACGATCGACCGATTCGGAGGAATGTCGACCAGACGAGAGAGTGGGTTTTGACGGTGTTGGACTTGGTTAATGACTAGCGATTCTCGATAATGGTAGCGAAAAAGCTTACAACTCTCTTTCCCCGTAACGTTAAGCTCAACCCTTTGATTTTATCGTTTTCAGATATCAATTGGAATGTTTGGAGCGGATGAATCGTCATCTCTCCGGACCGAATCGTCATAATAGTTCGTTGAAAGTCATCGATTTCATTCAAAGCGATCCCGAATCGGCAGAAAGTGACATTGTGTTGGGACCAGTGGTGAGTTTTTGGAGAAATTTACGATTAGTTTATCTTTTTTTTATTTTTAGTTACCCTTCCTTCGCATTGCCTACTATATGGGAAGAACACCGTTGATCAAATCGAAAAGTCGACCGGGTGAGAATGTGAAGAAACCAGAGCTGCCGGCCGTCTACATAAATGTGTTTATCAATGATATCGCCTCGATCTACAATGCACATCTCATCTACAACTATACGAAGTAGATTAGATTTGTGTAAAAAAAAAAAAGTTCTAGATTTGAAGTCTTTCGTTATTGCCTTTAAATTTAGCCTTTAAATAGTTGATTCAAATTTGAGAGCTCAATGAGAGGTCGATAGAAATCGAACTTCAATCGAAATTTTAATGCCGGTTCCCCTATAGAATTTTTCATTACAGATTGGACAAACGTTTCCCGCAAATCACTCTCGCGATCAAGGGATGGGCGGCGAACAATTTGGCCTCAAAACAGGGACCACAACTGCTAACTAGGTAAGGGTTATGCAAGGGAATATCTTTGGGAGATTTTTTGTTTAGTGCAAGTTATGTAGCTTTAGATTAAATCTTTGACCAAGTCTGGCTTTCAGAAATTTCAATAAAAAGTTATCAATAAGACATTAGCAAAATGTACAATAGCCGAAGTAATCTTTTTAGTCGATTAACCGCATCTTTTTCAGTCCCACGATATGTCTGCTGGTGATTCACTACTTGCAATCGGGAATCGAGCCTCCAGTTTTGCCGAATCTTCACTATCTACATCCGAAACAGGTTTGTGAATGGATTTTTGAAGTTTAAAAGAGACGAATCTAGAGATTTTTGCTAAAAGCTTTAAGAGTTAAAAGATTTGGATCAAAATGACTTATTTCTGTATATTTTTGACAAAAAAAAACAAAAGGAATTCGAATCATTATTCTTTTCTCCAAAACCAATCCACCGATTTCTGTGTTTGATTGCAGTTCGGTGAGCACGCGACCCTTTGGGAGAGCGATCTGCGAGCGCCCGGAAAAGCACGAATACCAGGTATATTGCTGAAAGGATATGCTTGAGGAAATGGCAAATAAACAAAGTGAAACACGTAAACAGACAGAGGCTTGATTAACCGCGGTACCTATACAATTGGAAACTTTTTATTCTAGAGTGGCGCAACAACGGTACACCGATTCACGAGCAACTCGTCGGTTTCTTTCACTACTACGCCAATTTCGACTTTCGTCACAAAGCGATCTCGATTCAGAAAGCGAAAATTTTGAATAAGTTTGTTGATGTTTAGATTGAGCAAGTGATTGAATCTTTTAGAAATGAAATCCCCGATCCGTACAACAGTCAAATGATCATCGAGGATCCATTCAAGTTGGATAATTTGACCAGGTACAAGGTTTTTCAATTGTTTACAATGTTCTTAAGCTACTACTAATTTTAGATTTAGTGAAGTTTACAATTTTTCGATCATTTCAGAGTGGTCAGCGGGCACATTTACCGGAAAATTGTGACCGCCTTGTGCGCGGCGGCTCTCGCGATGACACAACGACCCGTCATGAACAAGTGGGGGTGCTTTATTGAAATAAGCTATCAGGGATTATAAGGCTTGCCGCCTGAACACTTGATAGAATTGATTTAAAGTATCAAACTTTGTGTTTCAGATTGCTTGCAGAGGATCCGAATAGCCGACCGAGTCTGCGCGGGCGGGAAATGAGTCACATACGAATTAAACACCATCAAACGTGCCAATGTCGCCTTTCGGATGAAGTATGTTTTGGAAAAGATTGAATAACGATATGCACGAGTTTTTGATATGATTTTTAAAAGATCCGAAGCTTAATTGATCGCTTTATTGATTTGATTTTTAGGATGACAACACGTTGGAGATTGGACCGAATGGAGAATCGATTCCAGCACCGCCAACCCCGCCACGACCAAACAAGAATAAGAGGAGACGGGAGAGGGAATTTTCCGAGAGACAGGTTCGTGATTACAGGCAATTAGAGTACTGAAAGCTGCATTGAATCTATGAAATTGTACTTTTACAGGATGAAGAAGGGGTCTATAACTCGATGATGATGTCTCGTCAAATTCAACCCGCGCCCCCACCTCTACTGCAACACCAACACCAATCAGGCAGATCGGCTTATGGAGGTTTGTTTTTGATAATTTTAAAGCTTTATAAACAGAGATATATGGGTACGTAAACTTGTTTAAAACTCAAATGCTATGAAATAAGGTGATTGAGAGTTTTGCAAAGTTGAACAACAACTGAAGCTCTTCAACTTCAAATAAATCAGTTTTTAAATTAGATTATAGTTAAATTCTGCATATTATATTATCTATTTAGCTCGTCGCCAACTCGCTCAACATCCACCGGCTCATTTCCCGACTCGTGACGGCTTATTGGGCACTAAGCCACCAGAAAGGTACGGCTTTTTTTTTGTTCGGAGATTGATCCAGTAAAGAATTGTTTAAAGATGGAAATTGTAAAACTCATCAGAGATAAAACAGTTTTTTGAAAAGCTATGTTTTCATTTCAGACGACACTTTCAACAACAAGGGAGCTCTTCAATGGGTTTTTCATCGCCTTCATATTACGGGACTCCACAGGGCGGCTACAACGCCTACAATACGTCAGCAAGTGGATATTATCAAGAGGTTTGTGCTGTAGTTAAATCTTGAGCTTAAGCCGGGCGTATTTAGGCTAATAGTAGTGGGGATCTTGATTAACGTCATTTAATTAGGCTGAGCACTTTTCAACTGTAGGGACATTCGCGATGCTTTGGGGTAAAGGCTTTTTGGAATTAGATCGCAGGCAATAGGTGATTTGATAGGTTTGATCTGAATTACCGTAATCCGAGCTTGATCCACGGTTTCGGTAACCTGGGAGACCTACAGTAGTTCGTAATCTTGATTGGAAATAGCTACAATAATCTAGATTGGACCTTGAACTAGAACTACAGAAAGCCAGGATAAACTTATAGCTACAGTAGCCTATCTGAGCCTATAGGTACAGTTATCTAGGGTAGATTTGTGCTACAGTAATCCGGGGTGAGCCTCTACTACAGTGATCTATCTATCTTTTTTGTAATACTGTGCCTTTATCTTCATTTTCAGGCACCCACCAACATTCGATCGATGCATCCACCACCTCAACCACCATCATTTCATCGTTATCAATCTCATAATGTTCCTTATTCATCTCAACCCTATCGTTCATCAGCCAACAACCCACCGCCACAATTGGACCCATCGTTGGCCGAATTCTACTCAGCGTATTCGTATAAATCTTGAGGTATTCTAGGCTTGTTTATTGATAAATGGGCGTAATATTTGGTGGGTTTTTTTTACAATAATCTTGATCTAATTTATCGTTTTTGGTATTGGTTACTTTTTTGGACGGTTAAACAGTCTACTTATTAAGGTATATAATTTCTTCGGTTTGCTGGTGTTTATTTTTATGAATATTTTGTGTGTCTCTGTTTGATGAATAAAGTTCATGGGTTAAATACAATGATGGAAAAAGGAAATGCACCCTCGAAAAAATCTCGTTTTTTTTTGGCAAAAAAAGTCGACACATTTAACAGCGCTTTATTTTATTTCTTGATTTTAGTTCTTTAAGTTTGCTTGCAGACTCAGGTTCTTAAAAATAAAAAGAAAATTGTATTCAATGGTGTCTTGTTTTTTTTTAGATTGGAGTTTAAGGGTGGAAAAAAAAAAACATTGCACCACTGAAGTTTTTAATCTTTAACACGTTGACGACATTGTCACCTGTGGCTGTCTGACACATATTCGTTCGCCTGGGACATTGTCGCCTGATTTCAGGTGACAGTACCAAAATTGATTTTTTTTTTTTTGTGCATATTTATGTTTGCTGATGATGAATATTAAATAAGCAAGTAGGGTAGTATCTATATTCGACTTGGTCCTGGAAAATGTCGATTTAACCGTTGATTATTAAAAATTTTTTTTTTTTTTTTATAACATAATATTAGGTTGTCCAGTTATAAATGCGCGTTTTTAAGATAACAACTCTTTATTTTAAAACCAACAGTTTAACAGCTCAACAATCAACAATATATTCACCATTTGTTAACAATATTTGTTTCCATCTTCCATGCAAAGAATGAATTCCCTCCGCGTAAAAAATTGGCTTGTTTTGAGGGCACAAAGAAGTCGGCTAGCCATTTTTCGACCTCTTGAACTTCTTTGAATTTGTTTCCGGCCAAATGGTTTCGCATTGAGCGAAATAAATGGTAATCCGAAGGAGAAATATTCGGAGAATATGGCGGATGCGGGCGAGTTTCCCAGCTCAACTCTTCGAGTTTTTCCTGAACAATCTTTGCAACGTGTAGACGGGCGTCATCTTGAATAAACTTTATTTTTGAAGGATCAAGGCCTTTTTGTAGCAATACATTGTTCACTCGTTCCAATTGTTGTGCATACGCTTCACCCGTGATTGTTTGTCCAGGTTTAAGCAGCTCAAAATAAAACAATACCTTGGGAATTCCACCAGACAGTAAGCATTACTTTCTTGCCATGGAAGTCGGGTTTTGGTGTTGGTATTGGCTCCTCACCAGGTTCTAACCATTGCCGTTTTCGTGTAGAATTATCATATTGAATCCATTTTTCATCGCAAGTAAGGATTTCATCGTAAAACCCAGTATTTTTTGCCAAACGAAGAAGAATACCCGCCATAGTGACACGAGTAGCTTTATTGGCATTGCTGAGAAGATGAGGAACCCATTTCCCTTGTCGGCTTGTTTTCCCCAATTGATTTAAATGCTCGGAAATTGTTTGAGGGCTTACTCTAAAAATTTTTGCAAGTTCACGTGTAGTTTCTGGAGGATCCATTTCTATCGCCTGCTTCAGTACTGCATTATCGATCGCAGGAGGTCGTCGTTGGTGGTCTTCGTCTTCCAAAGATTCATTTCCTTCTCGAAATCGTTGAAACAATCGGCGACACTGGCTTTCCGAAATAGCATCTTCGCCAAATACTTTGCAGAGATCTCGATGGGATTCAACGGCATTTTTGCCCAATTTGAAGTCATACCAAAGACTGGCACGAAGACGAAACTTCGTCTCGGTCATCTAAACGCAAAAATTAAATCAAAAATGAATTAGTTTAACGTCAAAAACACGAAAAGTTGTAATAAATAAGAAATCTTGAACAGCATATAGAGAATAGGGTTTGATAAAATTGTATTGCCCTAAGGTACGCTGTTCAAGAGCAGGCGCGCATTTATAACTGGACAACCTAATAGATATAAGAACTACAACTAACAAGGGAGTGGTCAGCGGGGTCTGTGGCCTTTTGCTACGAGCTATAGCTTATTTGAAGCGTCTCTTCGAGAGGATTCAGAATCCGAATTCCGTTTTTGCCACTGACTTCTAGTACGCGAGTTATAGGCCCTGCAAAAGTTGGTGCAAAAATAATGGTCAAAATCTTTTCCTCGAGACCCCTAGGAATCAGACTCAAGCATCTCAGACGCCTCTAACTTGCCAAACTGTTACTATTTCGAGAAAAAAATGTAGAATTTCGCACGCGTCATATAAAGTGAGCCTGGGACAGGAACGGATGGCACTTCGACAAATTAGAGGAGTCTGACGCGTGCGAAACTGATTTTTGGGGGCGAGGAAAACGATTTTGACTATTATTTTGGCCCCAACTTTTGTACCAGCTTTAATACCAGGGTAGCTACAACAGTTTGTTTGAACTTTGAGGGAATATAACTCGCGTATGGACCATACTTAGGCCAGAATGGGTTTCTTGAAAAACCGAAACCAACCGGATTGACAGGTGCAATTTTTTTCCCATCAATTCATCTTTTGAAAAATTTGAGGAAAACGATGGTGAGCCTTTTTCAATAAAACGAGTAATTTGAATCGTTTTAGTTTACTCGATCGATTGTCTGCCTTATTGAGATGTTATGAGCTGTGGCTGTGCTTCCATGAGCTGTGGCTGTGCTTCCATGAGCTGTGGCTGTGCTTCTATGGGCTGTGGCTGTGCTTCTATGAGCTGTGGATCACTTTTGTGGATGATTGAGGTAAGATTTTAAACAGTTTAAGTGTTTCAGGATTTTGATTAGATTGATGAGACCAAAACATTAAAACTCTCTTGTTCTTAAACAATTTGTGCTTTTTTTAAGATCCGTGCTCATCTTGGAACTCTCGCTTTCGGTTATCTTTGATAGCAATTGCTTCAATTGCTTGATTGCAATTTAAGGTTTGTTTGCATATTTCAAATCTAATTGTATTTTTTTGTATTTAGTTTGATGAATCAGTCTCGACGGCCTCCTGTTGTTGATGCTAATGGATGAGGATGAGGATGAGGATGAGGATGAGGATGAGGATGAGGATGAGGATGAGGATGAGGATGAGGATGACTCGATCGATCGATCGAGGATGAACAGTGAGTTTTCATTTTTGGCATTGCTCTTAGCTTTTTAAAATCAGTTTTTACCAAAGTTTCAAAAATGTTACGTATTTGTATCGATTTCACGGCCTTTTCTTTGTTGGTTATGAATGAATCGGAGGCGTTTCCGATTTCAGAAAAGTTAGCTCACCTTTTCATTGAAAAAAAAGACAATAGGCTTCTTTTTGAGACAAGTCTTTTTCAAAAAAAACGTAAAATCTAAAGAGAAAAGAGAATTTGCTTTATTCCCTGTCCTACCCTGAGATTCTTAACAAAAGTTGGTGTATTTGTGCTGGCCAGATGCGCCTTTTCCAAGTAAAAGGGACACGTGGTGACCCTTAAATCAATGTGAGCGATTTGCTAACTGTAATAATATCTCATAAAAACGATTCCCTTTTCATAACTTTTCATACGATTCCCTTTTCATAACTAAACCCTATTTTAAAGCTTTTTTTTTAGACAAATTAACCCATTATTGGTAGAGACCTTAAAAAAAAAAGCTAAAAAATGACTTAAACTTCTAGATTTTAAAGCGTTAACCGTTGATTCTGGAGTACAAAAAAAAATCTAAAAGTTAAATAAACGCACCGGTCTAAAAGATCTAAAATCCAAATCCAACCAGAAATTTTCAGAACTGATTTCCGTATCAAAGCATTGAGATCCTCGATTTCCCAGAAAATCCTCGAGATTCTCTCCATAAAAAGCCTGCTTTCCATTTGGGTTACACGGATTGGTAAACGCTAATTTGCGAGACGAAATCCATAAAATCCCCCGCACTTCCCTTTCTCTCCCCCCTTGATGACAAAAGAAGAAACCGCAAATTTGCATGCCCTCCCGTTCTTTTCATCCCCCCCATTCCCTTTCGTGTATCCCAGTTCGGCCATTTCGTTCACCATTTCCCCGCGAATGAGCCTCATTTCACCCGAAATCCCCACCCTTCTCATCCTTTGTTGTTTCCTAGCCCGCTTTACTCTCTATTTTACGCCTCTTTGCCTCAAATTTTGTAGTTTCATTTGAAATCCTGGAAATCACGACGCGTTTTCTTGTCATTGTTAGATGGATAGCTGAAAGTTGGCAGTAATGTTAGTAAAGGTAATGCTACAGTAATCTGAAGCCTCTTCTTTTTAGCATACATTTCATGATAATCTAAATTGATCTCAAATTCTAGCCTTTAGTCTTTAGCCTTTAGTTTCAACTTGTTATTGCCTTTGCGTTCACACTTTGTGTTTCCGGTATTTATAAAGAGGTAAAGGTCAAACGATTTGCTCCTTTTGAGTGCTTCAAAAGGTGAAATTTCTTTAATCCCAAGTGACACCCGATTCTTTTGTGAGAGGATTGACTCTTTTGTGACTCTTTTGTCAAAGGATTTCACGATTATCTATTGAATAGATGAAAAGAAAGCAATTAAAGAAGATTTGTTCGATTTTAGATTCATAAAGATTCGAGAAATTTTTCACATTTTTGTTGTAGGTTAATTTTTAGTCTCTTTCGAGATTTCAATTCAATTTCAATTCAATTTCAATCCTATTTCAATTCAATTTCAATCCGATTTCAATTCAATTTCATTTCAATTTCAATTCAATTTCGAAAGAAACTCTTAGAAAAGTCTCTCTCATCGAATTGAATGATGGAAAAGCACATTGCAATGTGCCAATGCATTGGCTTATGGATTTTGTCTTTTGGCGGCAATTCATTGAGACTTTTGAGGTGGAAAAGCTTAGAGATTGAAATCTCGTCGATTTTCCTTTCCCCAATTCATTGGCTTCTCTTTTTCTTCTTTTTCTTCTTCTTCTTTTTCACTTCCTTGCCATTCCTTGAAATGAGTGATTCGTCCCCTTTGTACCCTAGATGCCCATTTCATTAGCATACTCTTGACCACACATTGCCTTTTATGAATTCCAGCTTTTCCAGCTTTTCTAGCTTTTCTAGTTTTACTAGCTTTTCTAGCTTTTCTAGCTTTACTAGCTTTTCTAGCTTTTGTAGCTTTTCTAGCTTTTCTTGCTTTTCTTGCTTTTCTAGCTTTACTAGCTTTTCTAGCTCTAGCTTGAATTTGATTCAAAATCAGATTCAAAACCAGATTAGCAACCAGATTTTCTCATGGTTTTTCAACTATTTAAGCGCTTTTTTTTCATCAAAACTTTTAAGATTTAGTATATTTAATATATTTAATGCAAGAGAAATGCAAATTTCCGCACATGCGTGCGTGCCAGACTCCCAGTTTACCAAGAGTATTTCGCGTATTCGTTTGGAAAAGGGCAAAAGAGCTGTTCAAGTGCCAATAAAGACTCACTCGAACGCCCGAAAACACTTTACCGACCCAAATCCTTTTCCATTCCCGTCGACCATCGCAAAATTTGATGTAATTTGTGCAATTTGTGCAATTTGTGCAATTTGTTCAATTTGTTCAATCTGGGAGGCAAAAAACCCATTTCCTGAGCCAGTTGTTACATTCTAACTGGGTGCAACGCCCGGAAAAAAGATTGAGCCGAAATTCGACTGATTTTTTGTTCATTGTGAGAAATTTTTTTTTTGAATGGCCAATCTGGATGTCAACTCGAATGGCTAGCCACAAAAATGGACTCTTTGTCGTTCTTTTTCATTGGATTTGCAATTGTACCATCCAGTACCAGAATTTTGCACTTTCTCATTATTGAATTGTTGGGTTTCCCTTTTTTTGCAGAAAATCCTTTCACATCTTTTCCCCCTTTCTCCATTTTTGCCTAGTCTCTTGTTTCATCTCTTTTCCTTGACTTCTCGAGGAGGGAAAGCAAAGACACAAATGTGGCGTAATTGTTTGGTAGGATTGCTGCCTTCGAGCCCAAAGAAACCCCCCATTTTTGCACTTTTCAACTAAATTCTTTTTTTAATCAAAATTCTGGAAGTCACAAATAATACTCAATTCATAAAAAAGGCGAATTTTTTCAAATTTTTAAATTTTGTCACTCTGCAAAAAAACTAAAACTTTAGAACTATCTAAACATTTTGTACAATTAAAATCACTCTTTTGTACTCCAGAATTGACGATTTATGAGAATTTTCTCGCCAAATTTAGGTCTATCGCGGAATATTTGCCCAGCTCCCTTTGCTAGCGAGCGTTTGATACAAGAGTTGTATTTGTCCCGTTTCCTTTCCCCCCTCTCTTTCACCGCAATTTCCAATGGGTGTCGTGCCCTCCAGGGTGAACGAATCAAATTCGCAAATCGCCATTTCAACCCCCCTTTTCCCTCTTTCGATTCGTCTAGAACGTCTAGAACGCAAAAGAAAAATGAAGAAAAGAAATTTGAACACTTCTCAACTTTCTCCATCAAATACCTCATAGAATTTACTCTGTGCTTTCCAGTTTCACGATTTTCAGTCATTTTTCTGATCAATCTTTTGAAAAGAATTATTGTAAAGCTCTCGATTCAATTCTTGAGGATCAATCGACAATTTCTTAGCTATTCTTAGTTATCTACTGTTTAATCAACAATCTCTTAGCTATTCTTAGCCATTCTTAGCCATTCTTAGCCATTCTTAGCCATTCTTAGCTATCTACTGTTTATCCAACTACAAGATCTAAATATTAGCCATTTCTTGGCGTGTTTTTCCTTTTGCTCATTTTTTTTTCTCGCGTTTTCAGCTGTGCCTCATGAATTTTTCCCCTTTTCTCGGTTTCCCATGGAAAAAGGGTACAAAGAAAAAGCTTGAAAGAAGAGAGAGAAAAACGCGAAATGAGTTGTTTGAAAGGGAAAGATGACTTTCATTTCACGCACCATCTTCACATTTTGTAGACAAGGACAACTCAAAAAGTTTTCCTTTGCTTTTTTTGAATTTTTCTCTTTAAATTTTTCTCTTTAATCTTTAAACCTTGATCCCGGTTCAATTACGCAACTTTAGCTCTCAATTTTCACCTTTTTTCACTTTTTTGTCACTTTTGAGTCATCAAATTCCACTAAATGTTTTGTTTTGTTTGTTTTGAGCACTCTGATTTATTCAGAGTAACTCTCGCCGGAGAACCGACGAATTTAGCCCCGGATCCAGTATCACACAGAGGGGAACCGTATCCAAAGGCTCAGATCCAACTACGAGCTTTTTAACCGCAGCAACAATGACATACACTTTGAGAGCTGGAATTACCAATCCACTAAATCTACTTAATTGCTCTTAACAATGAGGAAATAAGGAGTTTTCCCGTGTTGAGTCAAATTAAGCCGCATGCTCCACTCCTGGTGGTGCGATTCCGTCAATTCCTTTAAGTTTCAGCTTTGCAACCATACTACCCCCGGAACCGGAAGTCTTTTGTTTCCGGGAAGCTGCCCGGCAAGGCGGTAAAACCACCACCGGATCGCTAGATGGTATCGTTTACGGTCAGAACTACGACGGTATCTAATCGTCTTCGAACCTCTGACTTTCGTTCTTGATTAATGAAGACATTCTTGGCGAATGCTTTCGCTTTAGTTCGTCACGCTACGATCCATGAATTTCACCTCTCGCGTAGCGGTACGGGTTCCAATATGGCTCCAATACGGTTCCAATGCGGTTCCAATACGGTTCCAATACGGTTTCAATACGGCTCCAGTTGGTCCCTCTTAATCATTTTGTCACTTTTGTCACTTTTGAGTCATCGAATTCCACAAAATCTACTTAATTGCTCTTAATAATGAGGAAATAAAGAAGAAATTGGAGATGATCGATGTAAAAAAGAGCTCGAAAATTGATTGACGCTAATTTTCGACTCATTTTCACTCTTTCTCTTCTCTTTCTGTTTCTCTTTCACTTTCTCTTTCTCTTTCCCCAGCTTTAATCCATCTTCTGGAAGTCAATGAAAGAAAATATTCATGAAAATCGACAGGTCAAATGATTGAGCTGAATTGGAATTGGAAAATTGGAAAATTGAATGAATTGTTAATCGTGCACTTGTAACCCTTTTAGTACTACGAGCCAAGAAATCATAATTGACTTTTTTGCCCTATTCTGGAATGCACAGAGGGTGATGCTTGACTTTTCTTTCTTTCTTTTCACTTGACTTTTCAGGGGCAGAGGGGAATTCTCTACTAATAAACGCACGACTCTCTTTTCACCCAGCTGACCACTATTATGTGTCGTACTAGTTTTTCCTTTTCCCCCCTCTCTCCCTCTTCGTTGCCAATTTTCATTTCAATTGTGTATTTGAGCTGAATGAAAAGCTCAAATTTCAATTTTTATTAGCTTATTTTTAAAAATTAAGTATTAAAGTCAATTTCTGTTCAATCTCTTTTACTAGTTTGTTGATCTTTCTTTCTTTCTTTCTTTCTTGATCTCTTCTTGAATTGAAAGATGAGAGGGACTAATATAGAGAAAATAGGACATAACTAGCCAGGCAGTAGTAGTCAGAAATGGCAAATTGGACCCCAAATTGAACCCCAAAAAAGGCCTAAAAGAGAGCCGGAAAATGAGGCGAAAAATGATTATCGGGTAAATTTTGGCGTCATTTGGGGAAGATTTTGGCAAAACAGGGTTCATTATGGCCTACCAGAAAAAGCTAGAGAGCTAGAGAGACAATTTCTGTCTAATCTCCGAGAGAGAGAGAGCTATCGCTAGCTTTTGTTCTATTCTAAAAATGCTACCAGATGAGTTGGTTTTTCGGTGAAAAAACTTTGAACTAGAACTTTTCTCAGTGAGTTTTCTCACACTTCTTCGCCCATCCATCTCAATTTTTGCCTCTTTCACCCTTTCCCCCTTGCCCATTTCGATTGTTGTGTGCCCCAATTTGGACATCGGTTGCCTATTCTCGGGACCAATGTTGCTTCCTGTCCACCAATTATTCCCAATCCCGCGCTCCTTGATGACTTGAAGAAAAGGGGGGTGAACGGAGTTGTTGACAGCTCGAAAATCTTGGTCATACTTTTATTTGAGATATTCTCATCCTGAATTGTATAATTGTAATTTTTTAAAATTTAGATGCTGATGGAACGAGGACAACAACAGGATTGCCCCTCCAGACCATCCACATCACAGGTTAGAGTTTCAGCTATAGCAATCGAAAAGGAACCAAATCTGTAGAGAAAAGGAACCAAATTTAGAGAGATAAGGAGTCAAATTTGTAGAGAAAAGGAACCAAATCTGTACCGAAAGGGAGCCAAATCTTTAGGGAAAAGGAACCAAGGCTCGTTAAGGGCTAAACGATAGTATCAGTAAAGAGCGTAACGATATTTATCTTTTACTAAGCAAATGCAAGTTCAAGATCGATCGGCATGATAAAGATAAAACTTTGTTCTATTCTAGTAATAATTTTGCAAAAAGCATTACTGAATCAACGTGATATCATTAAAGATCGTTTATCGGTAAAGCCTCGTTAGCTATGTCTACAATAAAGTATCTGAATCGTGAAATAGCATTTCTAGTCTAATTTGTATTACAGGTGGAAGTGCTATCGACTTGTTCCTCATCTAGAGACAGCGGAATCCAGGCCGATCCCTCGATCCAGCATTTCGAGCCACAGGTCAGCTTTTAGCGCTTTCACGAAATTTAAAATATTCACTGGGCACATGGATAGTCGGGGTAGAGCCCATGGGTGATCGGGCTCTGGGGTCGAGGCTAGCTAGAGCCTGACGTTTGGAGTTGATCAAAGTAGGGTCGGGGTGACCCAGGCACATTCAAATTAGGTACATTCAAGCCGTACAAAGTATCCTCGCAGAGCACCATCTACCAAAACTAGCTTTTCAGCTCTCCACCCCATCCTCTCCATCTCGTCAATCTTCCCCCTGGCCAATCGAATCGGAGACATTCAGTGAGCGGGAACCCCTCATTGTTGTCGTCACCTCACCGTCTTCGATTCCAATTCACGGAAAAGATTTCCTCACTCAAATCTCCCCTTCAAAACAAATCGATTGCTCGACTCGACTCGACGGGAGTCGATGTAAGTTTTTGCTATTCCTAATTGCGAATGCTATTCCTAATCTGAAGACCCTGGTTCGAGTCCAGGCTTTGAATTTTACCTCAATTTCTTTGAAATATGTTTCCCCTTCAAATCCTAGCTAATCACCCCGTTTTCCAGTCTCTCTGGCCTCCTATCACTCAGCCGCCACATCAAGCAGCTCTCATTCTCTCTGCCGAATATGTCACCTCAACAAAAACACTCGAAAAGGTAAGGAAAATCGGAATTCTTTAAATCAAATGATTTAGATCCGCTGATTTCCCCGTGTCGTTGCTCGGGCTCAATGCTTTACCTACACAAATCTTGCCTTGTGGTGAGTTTCAAAGCTTAAAGCGTTTTTAATCGTTCAAGTCTCATAATTTTGGTATTCGTTGCCTTAAAATGAATCCGCTTTTTTTTTCAGCACTGGCTAGAGCTATCAACTCGTAAAATGGTTCCATCGCCTCGGTGTGAGCTCTGCGGATATTTCTATCGAAGGGGCAACTTTTTTAGCGTTAGTTTTGAAAGCGCTTTTACCTATCAACTTTAAATTTGAGAAACTAATGAGGAGAAATTTTAGATCCGACGGCTACACGGTCCCCATATTGACACTCGAGATCGAATCCTCAACTGTCTTTTCCTCTTCGTTTTACTGATCATGATCGTTTGTGCGGGAATGGCGCTACATTTTCTCCATCAACAACACTACACAACGACGATCAGGTAAAGGGATTATCAGACTTTGCCCAAAAAGAGTAGTACAGCATCCCTTTACTATAAAGCATCCCTTTCAGGGGCTACCGTATCGTCTCTTCTCGTCTTTCTCAAGACGATTTCATCGTTATCGTCTCTTCAATCCTTTTCTTCGTTGCCTTTTTCGTCGCTATTTTCACTCAGTATCGAGCGGAGGCATCGATTTTTCGGATCTGCTTTCGGTGAGTGGGGGGAAAATTGAAGGCGAGTTCGATTCCCCCAAGCGTAACTTTTCTCCACTCAAAACCCCTATTTCAGACTTTGGGTGATCAACCGCAATTGGACGATTCGAAATTATCGTTTCGAGGAGGATGAGGAAATGTTAAGGGAAAGGGGACAAAGGCAGACGATTGTCACCATTCAACAGCCGATATTAGCACAGGGAAATGGGAAAATCGACAGGAAATAGGCGGGGGAATTAGCCAGCCATAGCCTCAAAGGTAAAGGGTACTGTACTGAAGTCACCGAGACTCACAATACCTTCAAAAATAGGATCTTCACTCATTCACCTCTTCCTTTTTCCAATTTTCGGGTACTCATCAAATTTTTGCCCAATGTTTGTCTTTCTTTAAAAACTCCTTACCTCATCGCAACAATTTGCCTTGTTTCACTTGAAAAGCATTCGAAAAATAGCCATTTCCGTGCCTTGACGAGTCAATTTCCAACAAATCCTTGCCAATCCCTAGCAAATTTATTTAGTTTTTTTCTGAATAAACGTAACAAGAATAAATTATCATCAATTTACAAGCACACAATTCATCGGTGAATGATAAGAGAAAAGAAAAGAACAATTTTAGTGTAAATAAATTTTCGCAAAAATTAAGGAAAACGCCCGAAATTCGTTAAATAACAAGGCAGTAGGAAAAAACCGAAATGAAATGACAGAAAATTTTCTGATGAAAAAAAAAGAGACCCGCAAAAAGGAAGAAATGTTCGGAAATCACAAAAAAACAAAAATTTGAGGGGAAAGGGTCACAACACGAGACTAGGAAGAAAATATAAAAAGAATAGAAAACTAAACGATCACAAGTACACAAAGAAATTTGTAAAGACTTCAGTAAAATAACCCTAGTAAATGAGAGAAAAATGACCGTATCACTTGTAGAATTGGCTCATTTCCAACTATAGCACGCTTAAGCCACAGTAATCCAATCCGGCTCTACAAGTCGAAAAAAATACCGAATTTCTTTTTGATACTTCAAAAAGGTATTCAATTCAATCTTCAATACCAAATATCGCTCAATCTATGGTAATCCGGTCATCTACAAGTCAAAAGCAATGCACCAACCAAATTCTCACTGATTTCAATGACTATGTCCATGTTGTCCATCGTGTGAATGCCCATGTCCTCCATCACTTCCTCCTCCACTTCCATGTGAATGTCCATGATGTCCTCCATCATCGCCATGTGAATGCCCGTGTCCTCCGGCGGAATGCGAGTGCCCGTGTCCGCCATTCTAAAAAGAAAACGATGAGCTAGAAGCAATTTTGGCAATTCTCAGCAGGATAGGAGTGAGAAATAGGCCGCAACTATTAGCCTATTATAATTAGGCCACAACTCTAACAACTTTATCACGACAGCCACACAAAACATTGCCCTCACCTGTGCCCGTCTCGATACCGTTGTTCCCCGTACTACCCGATGCGCCACGCGGTACGATGGGCAAAGTTGTTGAATTCGTTGATTGAAACTACTCTTCTCCACCTAAATCAGAATAAAGTTGTGTAAAAACATTACTACACTGTTAAAAGACATAGCTTAACAACTTTTAAATAACGGGAACTCACTTGTACGGTGGATTGAGTGGCACCGGCGGCTTTCAACAAAGCGAGTACCTGTAACAGCAAGTGTTGAGTTGTTTAGATGTCCAAACTTCCTATTTCTACAAAACTGCCACCTTATTCCGTATCATTTGTGCATTCGCCTCATCTTTCACGTGTACATGCACCGATGCCACATTCAAATCACTCTTCAGTTGCCAGAAATGCGCTTGAGAGTAGCTCTCGACACCATCAACCTGAATGAAAGAGTCTAATATTGCTATCTTTCATAAAATTATTAAGCAATTATATCTTTACAGTAATGAGCTGGGCAATTGACTTTTTACATAGCACAAGAGTTTACAAGGGGCAAGCTTTACAAGTTAACCGTTCAACTCAGTCAAAGTTGGAAAAAACTAGCACCTCAAGCGCCTCAGACAAATGGTACTCGAATTCCTCATCAAACTCGTCAGGAATGTTCTGAAAAGACAAAGATTTAACATAAATTTGTGTCGAATACCTGTAATAACGTCTTCGCTGATGAGGTCAACAATGGATAAACGGAGCCAAGGATGAGAAGTGACAAGATGAGTGAACACAACGGATCAACCCACGTCCAACCAAACCACTAAAGGCGAAAACTTTAAATGAGCAGAATAAATAAACTACCTGAATGAGTAACGTCGATATGATGACGAACACTGAGCCCAACGTGTCGGCGAGCACATGCAAGAAGACACCTGCAAGAAAGGCAAAGTTATGCTGGCCAACTTTAAGCTTTGAATTTATTAATGACAATAGCGTATTCTAATCTAATCAATACGTTTAAAGCTATCTGGTAGTAAAACTACTAAACGTGCGCCAGTTAGGCACTTCCTAAGTTGCCTTTCTATGTAAACAGTGTTGTTCCAAGGGAAATCTTTCAGGCTAGACAAGACATAAGCAGATAAGCTTTTAGCATAGATTCAAGTTTACGATAGGGATGCGTTGCATTAGATTTTAGACTTAAAATCTCCTAAACCAACCCTCCATGTTGGCGTTCGCGTGACTGTGCCCATGTGATCCACCTCCGTGCGAGTGTCCATGGTGTGAATGCTATAAAAAAAATCGTATATTTTAGCATAAATACAACACAAACCCCATGTTCTCCATCTCCTCCATGAAATGAGTACATTCCGAAGAGGTTCACGATCAATCCGGACACGGCAACAAACTAAAATAAATGGTTTTGGAAAAATTTTTTTTACCGATGATGATATGATGATAACTCACCAATAATTTATCCGTGTTGATATTTGGTGGATCGAATAGTCGCTCCAACGCCTCAATCAGAATAAACATCGCGATCACACACAAGAAGAGAGCGTTGATGAAACCAGAAAGTACCTGGAAAACGATGGTTTAGTTTGTAGCAAGATATCGAATCTAAAACGTCAAGGGATGGGTGCCCCTGCCCCACCGTGATGAAAAATTCTTTCGGTATCTTTTCTGATTCGTTTGAGACTTCTGGGCATGGTTTGGAACATCAAAAAAAGCGCAAAATCAAATCAAATAAAATTCGGGCTAGCGGATTCGAACGAGGGTCGTGTGGCTAATAGCAAACACACTACCACTCGGCCACCCCGTCCAGGGTACATATTATATGGCGTGTATGATAATATCTCGTTCAAAGTTTATCCAGCATCACAAGTCTAGCAATAACCTCTAAAATATATGGCATCATTGAGTTAATGGAAGTGGGTTCGATTCTGCGATCGAAAAGTTCGGAAGGGGCTGCTAGAAAGGTTCCTTTCGCTTTTTAGGCTCATTTCTAGCCTTTTCTGCAAATATAGCAAAGACTCTAATATATTTCCGATTGGTAAACCCGCTAAAGCCTGCCGAATTCGAGAGTTTAAATCTCTAAGGTTAGCCCAAACTACGAGTGCCTGCCCCAGAGAAAATTTGAAAAAAAAGAAAAGACGGGAGTGACCCAAAACGGTTTTAGCCTAATCTGTCCAAGAGTTCTTACACGAAACTTTATCCTCACCTCTACTCGCCCGAATCCGTATGTGTAATTCTTCGTTGCCGGCCATCGAGACATCACCGACGCGACCAGTCCCATTACCTGGAATAACCGGCTTTTTATATGCTCCAGAAATTACATCAACAGCTACAAATTTCTCCAAGAAACCCCATGAGATAGATCTATTCGAAATGAAAGATCAAAGATTTATTCCCACATTTTATCCAAAACTTAAACCCACCAAAGCCGAACAATCGAATAGCATGTGAAAACCATCGGAGATCAACCCAAGCGAGTTCGTCCAAAATCCGTACATGAATTCAACTCCGCAAAAGCCCAAGTTGACGCAAAGGAACCAGAAGATTCGTCGCGAGTCGTTATTGGCCAAAATCTCTCGAAGTGTCTCCTGAAGTTAGAAATTTGCAAGTTAAAATGCAACGCTTGATTCTTTATCAAATCTCCATCTACCGAATAAACATCCAAACGCTCAAACCTTAAAGAAAAGCATCATCGATCGACTCGTCCTCTGTAAGAAAGCCTCTCCGTGAGTGAATAGGGGTAAGCCGGCATCCGAGATTCCAACGAAATGACCGCCACGCGAGCGGGGAGTCGAAGAAGTGGTGAGTGAGATCGAGCCTGGAATGAGTAAAGATTGGTCATCTTGGTTAAAAGGTCATGCTTACAAACTTCAGATTAGGCACTTGATCGGATAAAACACTTTTCATCAATAAGTTCTCTTTAAGATAACTCTTCAGTGCTACATTCAAAGCACACCTTACAAACAAGTCAACAACTCACCCAACATGAAAGCGAAAAACGTAACAATCACTCCCCCGGTCACCGCGTGTGTTGCCCTTCCAGAGTACCTGAAAATATAGAATTTATGAAAGAAGTTGATTTAATATAGTTATCAAATTCCTCACCAAATGAGTGCCAATGTGAGCGCACAAGAGAACATCGTAACTGGAGACCAACGAGCTGCAGCCATTACTGGATCGGCAACGTGCTAAATGAGTAGGTTAAGACTTTAATCTTCGAATAATTATTGTTTTTAAGCGTTGGTTTATTTATTCCTGATCATTTTTACCTGGAAACAGATAGCTTCAGCGTAGAAATCGAGGATCGTCACGAAAAGCGTAGCCAGCACAATCAAAAAGATGAACGAACCCCATGCGTCGATGTGAGACTAAAATGAACTTTTTAAGAAGTTAAAAAAGATCTGTTGGAGCAGATACAATTAGCCCTAAAACTGATTTCAGATTAATCTTTTAAATTTTAAGAATTCAGCTGATAAAATGATTTGGTACGCACGTGTTTTTGACTTTATAACCCTGCAAAGCCGATTCCGAGACAATACCCTCCTATGAAAGTTATGACCAAAAGTACGTTATATACTCATGGACGTAGGGATTATCGAGTACTAATGTTCAGGTAGCTGCAAAAACCACTTACAGTGTCCATAACGATTAACAGCAATCCAAGTGGCATCAAGATGAGCGCCGAGAAGAGAGTCACCAACGAGTACAGCCGCTTCGCACCGCCCAACTCGACAGCCATGTGCCGGAACGATGAATCGTAGCCTGAATTGTCAAATTTAAACGATCAGGAGCTAATTTTAGTTGACTACAGAAGCTTTAACAAAGTGACAGTTGCAGCAGTCTTGAATTAATATAAACATTGTCAAGTATTTATCTACCCATTGCATCTTTCCACGACTCTCACTCCATTCTTAAAACTCACCAATCCTCAGCAATAACGCCAACACCAGAATGACGACGCCTCCTTGATGATCGGCCACCCCGAACATCCCGATCACATGATAGAAGAGATGATTGAGGCCCGAGTGATGCGCGTGTTGTTTAGCTGAAAAAGGATCACGTTGTTTAGTTGACAGTGTTTGAATTTGAGTTCAAAATGTCACAAAGGCGTTAATAGAAGAACCTATAGACGTTATTTGTAGCTCTAAAGCTTCTTAATTCCTAGACTAACCAACGTTTGCCTAACGGTTACCCTATTAGTTTTAACAGTATGTTAACGTGCGGTTGTTGATGTTAAAGTGTTGTTCGTATAGTTTTATGTAGCTCTAGGATATGCGCCCTATTTCGAGCGGATCTGCACTGCCTCGATAGGCGTCTCGAAATGATGGTATTTGCGTAAAAACTTTTGTGTTTTTGAATTTATTTATGCCTAAATGGATACTATTTTAGTTATCTGTGGTCAAAAATATAGTAGCATTTTTATAAATAGTGTTTTTAAAAAAAAGGGGTGGCGATCCCTAATCAAAACTAACAGATTTTACAGAGCTAAACTTATACATAGCTTTGGGGTGCTGGATTGCGATAAAAGCACTTACTATGTTCATCCTCGATCGAGCTATCCTTATCCATCAACATCAACGACACGAAACCGATGAGCAAAAAGAAAAGGCCACGCGTTTTCGAGGGTGATCCATCGGACTAAATACATAAAATAGCAATTAGACTTGAAATGTGCAAAAAAAACCTTAAATATTGAAGCAATCGCTATCAAGATCACCGATGGCGAGAGTTCAAAGACGAGCACAGATCTGGAAAAAGCATCAATTGCTCAGGAAGAAGCGAAAATTTGATATTTTGATCTGATCTCAACTCCGAAACACTTAAAGGGTTCAAATTTTACCTCAATGGTCCACAAAAAGTGATCCCGTAAAACCACAACATCTCAATGAGGCAATTCCATAAAGACAATCGGCCGATTCGAGCTAACTAAAACAATACAAATTGCTTGTTTCATTGGGAAAAGGCTCACCGTCGCTTTCCTCAAATGTTTCCCGGTTGTGAACGGCTTCTGCAGAGGGATCATCATCAGACTTGATCTAGAAAGGAAAAGAAACTTGTAAATGATATAACAAGATTAATTTAAGAGTTTAGCTTCATTTATTGTGAATGAAATTATCTTTCACCTTTCAATTAACATCATAACTTATTGTGAAATGCTAGTATGAAGAAGCATTTTGTCCTAAACAATCTCAGCTTTAAAATTTTGCAATTACAACTGAACATTCGTCCGTTAGACTTGTTTCAATTATTGCAATTGATCCGATATTAAAATAGAATTCCTTTTAACTCACATCAATTTGAATAGCCACAGCAATGAGACGACATGCAGCGATTTGGAGAGGATGTCGATAAAGAAAATCCCAATACATCGCAACAATTTCGCTCCGACTAACGCGAGAAAGTACCATGCTGATCTAAATGGTACAAATTGAGGCTTGTAATTGCTTAGGTTCATCAAAAGTTTTAGGTACATGTAGTAGGCATCAATTAGAAGCGAGTCTAATATTTAAAACTCCTTTGAGCTAATTATTGATAATCTTTCCTTTCCTCTCAAATTCCTCACCTTGATGAAGCGGTCGGCGTAAAGGATCGATCATCTTTCTTCAGAAAATCGTGAGCAAGCATCGTGTGGAGCTCTGAAAGGAAAAAAAGGAAATCATTAACTATAAAATCTACGCAATGGAAGGCTCATTTGGCAAACTAGCTTGAGAATCAATTAAATTTCAAGTAATTGAGTCAAATAGAGATAACTCGAAAGTTTTGTCGTAGAAATAGAAGTAAATAGGTGATAATAGAAAAGATTAGCATTTGAAACAATTCCAATTTCTTCAAAATTTCAAGGAAACATCAAAATCTCTAGGTCTTGCGCCAAATTTATAGCTATTCAACTAATTTTTAGGGCTTAAAATAATCAGGATCAAAAAACTCCTCAAACCCTCACCTTAAACGCAAAGCGCGTAGAATATTCGGCAGTGAAAACGTATCGAGAATTCACTTTGCGTCTCACAATCGGTTGATCATCACTGAAAGAAGAAGAAACGATGGATTTGAGACAAAAATACGCAAATTTAGAAAGGGAATGAAAGAATTCTCTTGTTTGCTAAACGGTGGGAAAGAATAGGCCGCGTGTAGGTGAATTAGGGGTACTGTAGATGAATGGATGGGGTGAAAGGAGGGGAAAGGACAAGTAAATGCATTGGAAAGGACCCGGAAACATGATAAAATAGATAGAAAAAAGCGTTAAAAGCTTTAAAAAATAATAAAATGCCGTACTTTATTCGCTAGGTTCGTCTATCGGTCAAGTTAGCGCCAAATAGAAACCCCGAAAAGTTAAATATTCCAGGATATATAGTTATTTTGTATAGTAATCCATTTCCTAAACTACTCCAAAATTGAACGGTTAACAGAATAAACGTGTTTTCTAAAACTTCTCTTTCTTAAAGCTACAGTAATCTTGGCTCATTGGCTTGATTTTATAAAATTTCGGGAGTGGGACAAATGCGACCTTTTTGCCCCCCTGCCCATAGCGCACCTTTCCCGTTTTAAAAGCCCTAAAAGCTAATTTTACCAATTTCTTCCAAATGTTGTTTTTCTGGTTTTGGGCGTAGAATCGAGATTGGCATTCAGAGCGTGGAAGCGAACGGGCGGAGTTAAAGAGAAAAATCAACAATTTTCTTATTTGACCTAGCCGTTTTGTCCTTTCCCTTGGTCTCCGCCGCCAATTTTGGATACACTAAATTCATAGAAATAAGTTAGCTTTTAGCTTTTACCGGAAAAGACCTGGCCGGGGCGGGGAAAAGGGCGCAAAAAAAGGTCGCATTTGTCCCACTCCCACAACAATATCAAAGCTATAAAATAGACAGATTGGTTAACGGTTAGAGACAAGGTTACGGTAGTTTTAGCAAAAGGGGCACGCTTTAGAAACTGATCCACTGACAAAATTTCGACTTTTTTTTCACATTCAGCCCAACTCAATATTTTTATTCATCACTTATTTTTTTCAGTTTCTGAGGACGTTTCAAGCCAAAATTTGCGCTTATTATTTTCATTGCGCGTTTATTACTTTCGAGATTGCTAAATTGTTGTAATTTTTTTTAAATCCGTAATTACATATGTAAAATTTTGTTTGTTTTTACTAAATAAAAGTTGTTACAAAAAAGTTTCGTGAAATTGCTTAAACAAGAAAAAGCAATAAGCAAGAAAAGCAGAAAAAGCAAAGCAAGTAGAAATATTATGGTAAAAGAAATGGGACAAGAAAAATCTTATGGCTAAGCGGAAAATTGAGATTTTGGCAGTCGAGATTATGACAGTCGATATTTTCTCCGAACCCCTAGAAACTTGAAGTCCCGTAGTCTCTAATTTTGGCTTAAAGTTGCCGTAGTTCTCAGGTAATTTGCTTCTCTGCAGTATGTCATGATGAGAAAGTTAAAAAATTCACAATCCAAATCTTGATTCAAAGCAAAAACATTCATTTAAACCCAAAGTAGTCGTTTTTACGACAAAACCACAAAGTTCTCCGCGATTTCACATAAAAATAAGCTCTTTATTTACAAAATCGGCAAAACATGTAGTACAAAAAACAATATTAAATTAACAAAAAACTAAAAAAACCCGTATTAAATGATATGACAAAGTAAAATGATACCTGAGAAAGATAAAATTGGGTAGGTAGGGAATAAAATAACATTACAATCGTAAACAAACAAGTCACTCAAAACAAGTGCACTCAATTTTGTGTCCTCAACTTGTCCATTTCATCGAAATCGCCGGCTAGTTTCTCACGAAGAATTTCCAATAAAAGATCTTGTCTAAAAACAACATGATTACTCATTTCAAATTATTGTTGTCGACTAATCTAGTCATCTTTTAAGCTTCACGAATCACTAAATTCTTTCAATGAGTACTTGTACTCGTACTGTCAATCAAAGGATCGACACCAAATTGATCTCTTTCCCTCAAACCATTCAATCTCCCATAAACAAACCTCTCATCAAACGAATTTATTCCGATTTCTTGCAGATCGACATCGGTCATCTCCACTAACACTCGTCCAGTGATGTTGTGTCGGATGAGATGGAGGGCGTATTTGAGCGCCAACTTTGGCCGCCGTCTCCGCAACCATTCATCGACATCTAAAAAAAATCTGATTGAAAAGATCTCATAAAAAGTTTCATTAAACCTGTTTGTTAATTTAATTTTCACGATAAAATCCAAGATTTAGATGTAAAAAGTAAAATTTACTGATATTTTCAATCTTTTATCTAAGTTTCATTAAACTTTATCGATTAACAGACCAAGTTTAGCCTTTGTAAAGATTTAAGTTCCTTATCCAAAGCTAAAAATCATCTAATCATCTAAATCATATCATCTAATCATCTAAAAAACCTCTTCATCAAGAGCCAAAATCCTCAATGGTCAGTGGATAATGTAAATTTTTCTCAAAATCGAAATTTCCTTACCCGATGATGTCCAAAAGCACATAGGTCGATGCGTGACCACTTGGTACACCTCTTGCACGGCGGACATCGATCTGAATCGAACAAAACTTAAAATATATCACAAACAACCCTCGGAAACCCGTCATAAACATGAAATTAGGCAATTTTTTCACGGTAAAAGATGCAGCGGATGGAAAAATTAACAAAACTTGAGCCCAATTAAATGTTTTAACAGCTGGCAAGCTCTAGAAAGTAGGCTTTAACAACAAAATTATTATTTGTAAAGCTTCCACAATGTTCTGAACCATGCCAAGTTGTAAATCAGTTAATCAAAAGCTCTAAAAGGCCGATATGTCGGCGTTAATCCTGTTCAGCCCATGGAAATCACTGTAGTTTGTAGTGTAAACCATTGGAAAGGCGGTTTTTAATGGGCTAAAAAGATGCTAGAGTAAGTTGTAAAGCTAAACTAAGCTGTGAAACTAAACTAAGCTGTAAAGTAAAACTAAACGGGTAAGTTGTGACAAATTCATTGCCTTTAATAATACCAATCCTTTGCTAAACGATCAGAATTAAAGTGCTTGTATAAAGCAAAAGCTAACAAGCTCTGATAGCTCTGATAGATCGCTATCAAACGATCCAAACCTTTATCAAGTGCTCATTGAATCTTCATTAAAACTTTCGTAATCGCTTTAGCCAGTTTTGCCAACCAGCCAGCCAGTTTAAGACAAGATTTGGATTTGGCATTTAAAGCTTATCAAAGCCACAATCATCCTCAAGTCTAAATCACCTCGTTGATGTAGGTAATTGCGATTAAATTCGAACAGGTAGGGCAACTGATAACTTGTGCAAGCCTTTCACAACACATTTTACATTCAAAAGCTAAACAAGTCAACCTTTTTATGCCTTTAAACACAGTTAACGGTGCAAAGGTGCATTCGGCAGGGGTTCTTTCAAACAGAGAGCGAGTTTTTTTTGAAATTTCCACAAGTTTAACGCACTCCCCGTTTTAATCAGGCTAAACCTCAGACAAAACAGATAATTTACACCTGCTACGAGCCTTCGTCAACTCATTTTATCCTCCCAAGAACTCACCGTCGAACGCCACACTGCGGACATGTCGATTGTGTCTCGTGTTTCGTTTGTTTTCTTCCCTCGGATCGTCCTTTTTTCTCCATCAAATGAATCGGACAGGCCATTCGCCTAAATGTAAACAATTAACGAGTGATTTTTGAAACAAATAAAAAAGAAAGCCAAAAGATAAAAAGAAAGCCTTGTAGAAGGAGTGGGGAAGTTTGTATAACATTTCGCTGATGGCTCTAAAAGCTCTCAGCTCAATTTTCTAATCAAAACATTACTATCGGGACTATTAGCAACTAAATGTGCCTTGACATTTATTATTTAAAAATGATGTCTTTTCACGGGTAAACTTTGAAAACAAACGGAAAAACGGAAAAGTAGGCAAAATTCGTGCAATTATTGCTTTATTGCCTAATTTCATAAAAGCATTCAGTCAAAGTTAAGTAAAAGTTTTGTGAAATCATCAAAAGAAAGCAACTGATTGCAAATAGCAATTAAAAAGATAAAAAATAACGACAAGTGACCATTTATTAGAAACACACCAATAGACGAAGAGCAAAAACTGCGAAAAGAAGCTGACGAAAAAGAAGTTTAGAGGCCCAACGCCTACTTATCAACTTCTTTTTCGTCAGCTTCTTTTTCGCAGTTTTTGCTCTTCGTCGAACCTGCTTAAACAATAAATTTAGAAGAAATAGTTGATGATTCAGATTTAGCTGATGATACTTTATTCAGATGATAAAGTGAAACGCAATAAATCATAGAGAAATGCACAGCGGGTCATAAATATAGAGACAAAAGAAAGGTACGAAGATACAAGATAGAGTGAAATGCAAATAATCAGATTTCTTGCGAGAGAGAGCCATTAGATCTAGAGCCTCTATTTGTTTTTTGAAAATGGAAAGTGACTGAATTTCTTGTATGAACTTGCTCCCAATGTAATTGGGAGCAAGTTCCATAACCTAGCGGCTCTAACGGGAAATGAGTTTGATAAAGAAGCGCGAAACGCAAAGGAAATCTGCAAAAATAGAAAAAGATCAGCAGAAAGTAGGAAATGTATTTAAAATAAAAAGAGAGCGTAACAAGGAAACTTTGAAGTGAAATAATGGGGTGATGATACTTGTCGAATGCAAAAGAATCATTGAAAAAGCTTACACGGAAATTAAAATCATCAAGTAACTCAGCAGAATTTAAAAACGTCGATAGATGGTCAAAAAGAGAAGATTTATCTGCTAAATTTAGGGCGATAAATAATGAAAAAGCGGGTCTTTTTGGTAAGAAAAACATTCACTATAATAATTTCACAGTTAAAATTAGATACAGAGCAAATCAGCGAGTGTTTAAATGGCGCCAGCACTATGGGACCACCACCCATTCTTTCATTCAGCTTCACTTTCGCCATCAAGAGTCGGTGGTCAGAGCCGGTGGTGAATGAGGGAACCACTCCAACGTCGAGGAGAGTCCATCTCCTATTTGAAAGGATGTGGTCGATTTCGCATTCGTTTGTCCGTTTGGTGAACACCAGGTTCAGCGTCTTGTGTTCTTCTTGATGAAGTGGGAGTTCCTGTGTATAAGCTTTGCTGACCATAGTAGCTCTTCCCTCTTCCAAGTTCCGTTTCGGTTCCCAAGTCCAAACTTTCCCACTCTGCCCACTCTATTGTTGCCGATGGCTGCATTGAAATCTCCAAGCACAAACTTGTAGAAGCTTCTGTCTTCCTTGAGTGCTTCTTCGAGTTCTTCATTCGAGTTCTAGTTCGAAGGCTTCTCTTTCGTCGTTTGTGGCTGAGGAGGCTGGGGTATAGCAGCTGTTGATTGATATCTTCCTCTTTTCGAGTGAGTTGAGGAAGAGTACTGCTGGCCTTGGTTTGTGGCTGTCGACTGTCGTGACTGTCGATGGGGGGCACGACGCGCTTGTTGATCATGAAGACGACTCCACCAATGTTCTTGTTGGTGACTGTGTCCGAGGATGAGAAGATCCCCGTTCGTTTGCGTCTTTGCCGAGTCTTCTTTGGCTATGGTTTCTTGGATGGGAATGACGTCGAACTTGATCTTCTTGCACATCTCCAAGAAGGCGGTCGCAGGGACAGAGGCAAGTGTCCTGGTACAAGAAGGTGCACAAGAAGGCTTAGTTCTTGTCGTTTTGGTTCGTTTCGTTGTTCTTGTCGTTTTGGTCCGTTCCGTTGTCATTTGTCCGTTTGGTATCCTGTCGCCTCTCAGCGTTTGCTTTATCCCTCGATACCGGAAGAGTGCAGGAAGGCCGTGCGGGTGACTGAGGCAGAAGTTGAGCTGTCGTAGCCGATGAATACAACCGATAGCGCGTTTGGAGGGTGGACACCCGGGGGATTCGAACCAGCAAACCGAACCCGACATTGCACAACTTAGCAGATCGAACGAGTTTGCCGCCAGCCCTCCTCCCACCGGGGCCTTTATACTTGTGCTTTTTAAATACAAACTTCTTAAATTCCCGACGTTTTTCTAGTTTTTTAGCTTTCTTTTTGCCTTTTTTTACTTTGTTTTTATCCGGAAAACTTTATTTTTTCATATAAAAACATTAGCACATTTGAATGTGTGCACAGATTTTTGACGGCGAGATCCCATTCTTTAAATCGCTCAGAATCAAGCCCACATTTGCGTTGCTTATCGTCTTGCATTGAGTATTCTGAAAATTGGTGCAGTGATGGTGGGTTGGAAAAGTGATTTCTGGCCGTCCTGGGACGCACACTTTAAATTCTATTTGGAGAATTAGCAAGAAAAGGATTTGGAGGAAATCAACCTTGGTTGTACAGCTCCAAAGAGTACTGTAGTACTCTTTGGAACTGTACAAGCTCTTAAGATACTGTAAAGTCCAAATCTCTTGCCCTAACTATAGTAACTTGAATCCATTGCTAGATTCTAGATTAAAATCTGGCTTACATCATATCCGGCGAAACTCTGATCACACAAATAGGTCAACTCTTTGAGCAGCTCATCCGAGGTGACCAATCGGAAGTCGTTCTTGAAGAAACTCTTGCACTGATTGATCATAAGCTAGAAATTTCAATCGTTTTATAAATCCTGGAGCGCACACTTCAATTTAAACTAAAAAGCTCTACTCTCTATAGATTTTTTGGTCACGTGATACCTGACAATCATGACAGTAGGTGTTTGACGCGTGAACTCCAAAGGAAATCAGGAAAATTCCGAACAAAATATAGATTCTGGAGCTCATGCTTGGAAGTGATGAGAAGAAAACGGGATTTCAGTGAATTTGGGAAAAATTTAGTTTTTGGGATAGTCAATGAGGAAATATTTGATATTTGAGAAAAACCAAATTGCCCCGAGTCACCCATATTTATTGAGCGATAAAATGTGTCAGGAAAGAAGGAATTTGAAAAAGAAACAGGGCAAACAGCTTTTTTTTGTTTAGAATTAGGGGCACCAGGAGAATTAGAGGTCAGCTTTTCGCATATCAAAAATTTTCCAAATTCAAAAATCTTCTCATTCTTTTCTTTTCTTTTGGTAGTGTGACATCCAATTTGAACTTTTGCATTACCAAAAAACCGAAACAGTAACAATTAGAGTGCATTTTCAATTTGAACTCTTCTTAAGTAAAAAAAAACTGTAACCGTTTAATCAAAAATGCCCGCTAGCTTTTGTTGATGATTAGGCGAACCCTTGAGAACCTGTTTCCCTCTCCGCTATTCAGTTTTCTGCCACTCTTCACCCGAAAATGACATCGCAAAGAGGCTATCAAGGACAAGGGGGGAGGGGAATGAGAATGGCTGCATTCACAGTCACAAACCTCTCAGATCAACTTATGGTCTTCAAGAAATGCCGAATTGGATGTCACACTAGTTTCTGAATAACTATTACAGTACTTTTTACCTGAATATCTTTTGTTTTATTGACCTGGATATCCGGAATGAGAATGGCTGCATTCACAGCCATAAACCTCTCAGATCAACTCGCGGTCTTCAAAAAATGCTGAATTGGATGTCACACTAGTTTCCTGAATAACTTTTTGATACTCTTTACAGTACTCTTTATTTGAACATCTTTGTGTCCTAACTACCGTACACCATTATCCAATTCCAGCTAAATGCTGGTCAAAGTTTGCCTTGGTGGTGCGGGGATTTCCCTCCTCGTCCTCTTCATCACCGCCATTTCCACATTCAATTTGATGCAAGAAATTGACGAGCTCTTCGAGACGGGTGTTGCCGATTTTAGAGAGGCTCAGGTATCGACTCAAAATCCTGTAACCCAGGGCATTTTTACTATCTTTTAGCAAGCCCATCGTGATTCATGGCTGTCACTACAAAGCCTTCAGAACGACCCAATACAATCGTCCACAAAGGAAATCCCTTCAGTTTTCAGCATTCGCGAGAAGCGTCGAGCCAAGAAGAAGAGATTCCACGATCAATGCAGTTGGTTTTACAAGCTCTGTGACATCCAGCTAGAAAAGATAACGAATCCAAACTTTCAGACTGTGGAGCCAGATCGAGGAATTGCCCTCGAGGCCCACCAGGACCACCTGGCCAGTTGGGAGAGCTTGGTGGTAAGTGGCTAGTTCTTTGAATCATCGATTTCCCTTTCAGAACTCGGTCTGTCCGGTCAAGCCGGTCTTCCAGGAGCTGCTGGAGTGAATGGGTTATTGAATGAGAACAAAGGTGGCTGTATTCAATGTCCAGCCGGTCCACGAGGATTCCCCGGACCACCTGGAATGCCAGGAATGCCTGGACCTGAAGGACCACCAGGTGAATAGCACAGTACAGTTGCATGACATCCAGATTAGCTAATTCTTATGTCACTAAACCCCTTTCCAGGAGAAGACGGAACGAATGGAAGAGACGGAAAAGAGGGAACCCTTGGACCAAATGGAGACGAAGGAGCACCAGGAAATCCGGTTAGTAAAAAGTGGTGACATCCAGATTAGCCAATTCTTGACTTAACATGCTTTCTCAGTTGTCTAGATTTAGCCTAATATCCAGGATCTGATTCTTGACTTAACAGGTGACCAATTCTTGACTTAACAGGCCATTTCAGTTGTCTAAATGTTGCGTGACATCCAGATTAACCAATTCTTTTGCAATTTTTCATTCAGGGCTTTCCTGGCCGAGTCGGTCCACCTGGACAAGATGGTGCGAAACCGATTGGACTACCAGGGCCACCAGGAAATCGTGGAAAAGCTGGAGAACAAGGAAAACCAGGACTCAAGGGATATGATGGAGCTGCAGGAAGGCCTGGTAGGAGAGGTTCTAGTAGAAGAAAACAATCTTATAGGTGAACGCGGAGAGATTGGCGAGGTTGGACTACCCGGTGATCGGGGAAATGATGGGCCACATGGACAGGTGAATCAGTGACCCCCTTTCTTCTAATCAGCTTTATTTAGCCTGGTGCACCTGGTCCGAATGGTGTCAGCGGAGCCTATTGCAAGTGTGAAGATGGAACGGTGAGTTGAAAAGAGTAACTGAACCACTTTGTCAGAGCTGTCAGAGCTGTCAAAGACAAATCTGTCAAATCTGTCAGAGACAACTCTGTCAAAGCTTAGAAAGCCAGGATGACCTCCAGAATTTCCAGAAATCAGCTCAAAATTTTCAGTCAGGCTACTCTCGCGGAGGAAGTGGTGCCTACAAGCGCGAGCAGTTTGGTCGATAAAACAAAAATAAACATTTATTCCTCAATTCACTCTTTATCAACCCCCGTGCCATCCAGATTGGCAATTAAAAAGGTTTTTGTGTGGTTGTTGTGTACGGGCGATCGTAGATATCGCCAATGTATCGTTGATGGCATTCCTCGTCAGCGTGATTGATCATGAAGAGGCTGAAATGGGGGGGAGTTGACGGACTAGCTATGTCACTCACCGAATGTGTCCAATGATCGTGGACGCGGTGAGCATTGTGTACTGATTCTCAGCCATCATCAAATGATAGTATTTGTAGAATTCTTGTTTCTGTTCGGGGGATGGATTGTGCACTTCGATGTTGATCTGAAAAGATAGGTGTATATAATTGCAAAATCTCAGGAGGGATTTTAGGATAGGGATGGCCGAGTGGTTAACGCTCTGGAACCAAGTGGAAGAGATTGAGGGTTCGAGTCCGCCTCTGCCTAGGTTTTTGCTTTTTTACGATGTTGATCAGGAAAGAAGCTTGTATATAACGTGGAAAGCTCAGCAGGTTCCCGAGGCGTCCAATAGCTGAGTGGTTAGCCCTCTAGCTCCTAGTGCAAGAGATTGAGGGTTCGAATCTGTCTCTAGGCAGACTTTTGCTTTTTTACGATGTTGATCAGCAAAGAACCTTGTATACAAGGTGGAAAGCTCAGCAGGTTTCCAACGCGTCCAATAGCCGAGTGGTTAGCGCTCTAGCACCTAGTGCAAGGGGTCGAGGGTTCAAATCCGCCTCTGGTCATAACTTTGCTTTTTTACCAAAAGCTTAATAGAAATCATTTTTAAGGATATTAATCGCATAATAGTCTCATAATAATCACTTTTAACAGACATTACCTGACAAATGGTGACTCCTTCTTTATACATTTGTCCGGTTTTCAACAAAAAGGGTAACATCGGATACTCGGCGTGTTCAATGTCGATCATAATTTGGTCAACGACTGTTCTGAAAGAATTTTGGTTGTGAAAATTCGCAATTCTGGAGCGCACAGTGGCCAAAAACCCACTTTTTCACCAAATTCCGCATGAAAGCAGCGATATCGATGTATGGGACGTCTTTGAACTTGTATTGATCTAGAAATTGACTTTTTTTAGTGAATCTGGTTTAGTTTTTTAGCAATTAGAGCTATCTGGAGGTCACAGATCGATTTAAAAAAATCAAAATCCGTACAAGGATGTTCCTTTGTACCTTCAAGCACATTCGCTCTCATGATTCCGTTCGAGCCGCCAACCGCGACGTTGAAGAATTTGCCGACCTAAGATTTCAACATTTCTAACATTTCCATTATCTACTGTGCCTTCCAGGATTGCCAAAAAATCAAAAAAAGTCGAAATTCAATCACTTACTTCCGGATAAATGTCTGCATTCGTGTCGTTGACCGGATCAGCTCCGAAAAATTTGCAATGAGGCAGCGCGGCCTAAAGATGGATTAATAGTGGATTAGTGCAGTGCCAGGATTTCCAGAAAATCCGAAAAAAGTTGATTACGATCAGTTAATCCGTTTTTCCCTCACCAGCATCTGTTTCTCAGCCTCGACATCTTTGCCAACACCTAATGAGATGATTGTACAGTCGTGACGCGGTTGTAGAGCCTGAAAGCTTGCTTTGTGGAAGGCTGGAAGGTAAAACGGAAAGCTTTTAGTACATACCGTGACCCCACCCCCACCCCCATAATGACGATGCGAAGCATTGCGTAGTCTAGCTTTGAACGAGCTTTTGTCGGCACTGGTTTATGCTACAATGTTCATTTTAGTATCAAATGAAAGCTGAGATTCAGGGCTATTTTTTGATACCTAAACGAGCATTGTAGCATAAACCAATCTCGAGAAAAACGCTTTCAAAGTTAGACTACGCAATGCTCCGCATCGTCATTATGGGGGGTGGGGCACTATTACAGTATTTACGGTGTCTATTCTATGTTTAAATTTTCTTTCTATATCTACTTTATCTAAAGCAAAAGCGACGTCTGTTTGTGCGCAAACGCGACGCTCCGTAATTACGGCAAACGCTCATGTTTTTTTTCGCTCATTTTTCTCGACACTGGTTTATGCTACAATGTTCGTTTTAGTTTCAAATAAAAGCTGAGATTCAGGGCTATTTTTTGATACCAAAGACGCATTTTTTGAAAGTACGGGCGCTTTGGAAAAAATGAAATACCCAACAACGACTACGCGACTTTGCGACTACGCGACTTTGCGACTACGCGACTTTGCGACTACGCGACTTTGCGACAACGTTCATTTTGCGTATCAAACGCGAGCTTTGCGACTCAGGGCTACTTTTCGACTACGCAAGACGCATTTTTGAAAGTACGGGCGCTTTGGAAAAAATGAAATACTAAACAACGACTACGCGACTTTGCGACTACGCGACTTTGCGACTACGCGACTGTACGAGGGGCGTGGGGTACTATTCAGTATTTACGGTAGATACTCCAAAGTACAGTAAACTTTACTTACATATTCTGTTGGCATCACGTGGTATTTCGTCTCATCCGTGTTTGTGAAACCTTGAATGTTTAGCCGGCCTCGAACTGAGCATTGGTTTACGACCTCGGGAAGGCGTTTGTAGAGCTGAAAGAGGGTTAGTTGATTGGATGGCTTGATTTATGGATGTCTGGGTAAGCATCAAAGCCATTCAGAATCATTCAGAATCAATCAGAATCATTCAGAATCATTCAGAATCATTCAGAATCATTCAGCTTCAATCAGAATCATTCAGAATCATTCAGAATCATTCAGCTTCATTCAGAATCATTCAGAATGAATCAAATAAAAATCTTAGCCTCAAACCTCGTCAAACTCCAACGATTCCGTCTTTCGATTGACGCACTCGTGATTTTCGGCAAAGAAATTGTCTCGAGACTGAAAATTTCGGGTAAATCGTTTGTTTCGGGTAAATCGTACAGTACTCAGGACTCCGTATCCTTCAAATGGATACTGTAGCTTGTAGAGACTGCCCTAAAATCCCTCTATAGCTCACCTTATTCGATCCAAAGAACAGCGTACAGATATAGATAAAAACAAGACAATAAACGACAGCTAATAGGCCTTGTTTTGAAAATAAAAGCGATGCGGGCGATTTCTTGAGTTGATATGGAAGAAGAAGACCCATCTTTGTATGGATTTGAGGCGCTAAATAGTAAAAGTTAAACCAAAAAACGAGTTGAGCTAGAAATCTCCTTTAAAACTTCATCAAATGAATTTAAAAATGAAATTATATGAAATCCTGGAGCGCACAACATCTAATAACGGACTATTTTTATGAATTTGAGGCACTAAATGGTAAAGCTTGCTTTCGAAATGAGTTCAGGATGAAATTTCGCTTAAAATTTTATCAAATGAATTTAAAAATGAAATTTTAGTGAATGCTGGAGGGCACGGGATCTAATAAAGAAATAAAATATGATGTTCACCCATAAACTCACCACCAAGGCGAAACTGAGAGAAGATTGAGGGAATTCGTGGCTCCATTTCGCCTTCACTGCCGCGATTTAAATCTTTTCGCCTTTCCTGGCACTCACCCTCTTCGCTTTTTCCATTTTTTCGACGATCCGGACCGGTGACCAAATCTCGCCGCACAATCAACTCCAATCCACGAATTTACCTCCTATTCCAGCTTTTTGAAAATCCTTTCTGAGCTTTAACGACCAAAATCTTGTTCTGAACTTTGAAATGTGTTCCAGGATTGCTGAAAAAAGCTTAAAGACTTTAAACAAAGCTCTAGAAGAGCTGGAAAATGGGTGGGAAAAAAAATTGAGTAATTAAACTGTTTCAAATTTATTTATATCTAAAGGCATATGCAAAAAAAAGAGAAATTTGTTAGAAATCAAGTGAAATCGGGTTGAAATTTCGAATTTATCCGTAAAACGTGTGGAAAGCTTCAGAGTTTTCGCCGCCGCGAGTCGTGCCTCCAGTGCTGAAAAGGTTTTTTTTTGAGAAGGAGATTTTGATGGCTTAATGCTTAATAATGGCTTAATAGCCTTAATAGTAATATCATTTTTTGCTGGAAAGTCTTTCGTAGTTGGAACTAGCGCAGATCAAAAGGTTGGACGCCGCCGGGACTCGAACCTGCGACCTTCCGCTTACCAGGCAAATGTGCTAACCATTACACCACAACGCACATAGTTTCCCTTACTCCAGAGGGACTTATGAAATTATCCTTTAGAGCCAAAATCCGCCGAAAAACCCGTTTAAAAGGGGCTTTGCCGTTTATAACCGGTTTTTTCTGGCTTGACGGCCGATGTCACCGTGGTGCAGTCGGGAGCGGGCTTGTCTACAACTCACAAGATCCGGGTTCGACCCCGGTAGTGCCATTCAAATTTCACTTTTTCAATTTTTTATTTTAAATGATATAACTACACAGTAAGCTAAGGTTTTCTAGAAGTTTTTAGCTTTATTTGGTTAAAACATTACCGAGAAAATGTTCGTACAAACAGACAGATAGACAAACAGACCTTTCTGATAGAACAAGCCATAGATTTGGTTCAAAAAGTAACGTTTAAAAAAGCTAAGAGCTAAAAAAGCTAAAAGCTCCGGCTAGCTTTATCCTTAGGCTGGTTAAATAGCTTAATACTCCGTCGATCACTCTAATAGACACTAGCTTGATACTCCGTCGATCACTCACTTATTCATCTCAAACGGGGTGAGCAGTGGTGGATGAAGACCAGTTGCATCATGATGAGCGAATCGAGAAGCGGCACTGCCACCCATTCTGAAATTAGAGAGAATTCTATATTCTTCTGTAGCTTGTATTCTAATAGACACTAGTTACAGTACCCTGAATCAACACTTCTTTCTGTTTTAAGTGTCCTTGGGGCTTTGCCGGCTGGATGTCTTTGTCGAAGACGGGCTGCTGGCGGAATGGCGTTTCCCTGGAACATGGCTTAGGCTTAGGTTGTGATTTGAGGTCTAGAATCTAGAGAGAAAGAAATTCATTTCTAGAAAGCTATCGTAAAATAGAAAGCTATCGTTTATAGCTATCGTTTATAGCTGTCGTTTATAGCTATCGTTTACTATAGCTTAGCTATAGCTGCCGAGATTGTGCTTACCTTCTTCTTCTTTGCCAACTTCGATTTGAAAAGATAACAGAAGAAAGAGGCGATGAATGTGAAGATTACACCGCTTACAACGATCGCCAAAAGGAGTGTTCGATCAGCAGAACCCTCGTCAAGTTCGCCTATTTGTTTTGTTCGAAAATTTGTTCGCAAATTTGATCCCAAATTTAATCCCAAATTTCATCCCAAATTCATTCAAATCTTTCAGACAAAAGCGAAATTCGATAGACAAACGACAAACGAGTTAGAAAGCCAAAACCGTTAGAAACGAGTTAGAAACAAGACAAAACACTTGTGAAACAAATAAAAACACAAATTCTGGCAGGCACCACGATAAATTGAGCGATTTGGATTGTTTGTCTATCTGTCTGTCTGTCTGTCTGTCTGTCTGTCTGTCTGTCTATCTGTCTGTCTGTCTGTCTGTCTGTCTGTAGGAATATTTTCTCGGTAATGTTTTAACCAAATAAAGCTAAAACTTCTAGAAAACCTTAGCTTACTGTGTAGTTATATCATTTAAAATCAAAAATTGAAAAAGTGAAATTTGAATGGCACTACCGGGGTCGAACCCGGATCTTGCGGGTTGTAGACAAGCCCGCTCCCGACTGCACCACGGTGACCGCAGCCTTGAAGCCAGAAAAAACCGGTTATAAACGACAAAGCCCCTTTTAAACGGGTTTTTCGGCTGATTTTGGCTCTAAAGGATAATTTCATAAAAGTTAACTCCCTCTGGAGTAAGGGAAACCATGTGCGTTGTGGTGTAGTAAGGGAAACCATGTGCGTTGTGGTTAGCACATTTGCCCGGTAAGCGGAAGGTCGCAGGTTCGAGTCCCGGCGGCGGCCAAGCTTTTGAACCGGTCAACCGCCCAACCCGCGCGTTGGGCGTTGGCCCAACCCTGGTCAAGTTCGACGAGGGCCGAAACGGCGCCCAACCGCCCAACGCCGGGACTCGAACCCTCATCAAGTTCGCCTATTTGTTTTGTTCGCAGATTTGATTCCAAATTTCATCCCAAATTTATTCAAATCTTTCAGACAAAAGCGAAATTCGATAGACAAACGACAAACGAGTTAGAAAGCGAAAACGAGTTAGAAACAAGACAAAACACTTGTGAAACAAATAAAAACACAAATTCTGCCAGGCACCACAATAAATTGAGCGATTTGGATTAAGTTTTGAGAGCTTTAAAGAAATGGGTTACTGTAGACATAGCAATATATAGAAAAGAAGAAAAAAAAAGTAAGAAATTGAGAAAAACAATGAAAAGCTTTGAGAATGTGCAAGCCAGGATGAACAAAAATCAATGAAAAAGTTTGAATTACTTTAGAAAAAAGGAAACTTTTCGCGTTTTGAAGCGATCAAGCAAAAAATAAAGCGAAAATTGATAATTTCCATTTAGAATCAATGTAAATTGATAGAATTGAGAGAAGATAAGTGAACAAAAAAGCAATCCGGGCACTCGGATTCACGGAATAAACGGACAATGAGCTCTCTCGATTCACGACGACCACGTTGCGACGGTTTGACGAGCGTTCACTGGACACGCCTATGTACAAAGAAAATTTGTTATTATTTTTGTTCTTCCTGGAAAGCACACAAGCGACTGAACACAAAAAATTAGGCTTTTATCAAAAGCTTTAGTTCGACTACACTCAACACTCTATGTAAGCACAGAAAAGCTCTTCTTTTGCATGAGCGACTCAATTTGGATTTGAATTCCTCTAATCTGGATGTCACTTGATGTCTTACAATAATTCTCGTCAGTCTCATCGGGTTCGGTAACCATTCAATAATTGTACGCTACGTTACCCGAAGCATAGCAAGCTCATTTTTGCATAAACGACTCAATTTGGATTTGAATTCCTCTAATCTGGATGTCACTTGATGTCTTACAATGATTCTCGTCAGTCTCATCGGGTTCGGGAATCATTCAACAATTGTACGCTACGTTACCCGAAGCACAGAGAGCCGTTTTTGCATAAACAATTAAATTTGCATTTAAATTCCTCTAATCTGGATGTCACTTAATGTCTTACAATAATTCTTGTCAGTCTCATCGGGTTCGGTAACCATTCAACAATTGTACACTACGTTACCCGAAGCACAGAAAGCCGTTTTTGCATAAACGACTCAATTTGGATTTGAATTCCTCTAATCTGGATGTCACTTGATGTCTTACAATGATTCTCGTCAGTCTCATCGGGTTCGGTGGCCATTCGACAATTGTACGCTCCATTACCTAAACAATTGACAACGTTACAATTGAGATTCAGTCTGTAATGATTTTTCGAGTCTGTAATGATCTGGATCTCTTACTGTGACTTCCATAATGACCAAAAAGTCGAAAAAAACATAGCTCTCTTGTACTTACAACGAAGTTTTGACGAGATACACAATCGAGAATAGGTACACAAATAGACATCATCTCCCTGACAGGTTTCTTCTGAAAATCTCTTGAATTTGATATAATTTGAGGTTTGGTTGAGATTGGCTTAAGAGATTGGCTTTTCTAGGTTACTTATTGGATCCTTCAGCTACCTTCAGCTGGTCTCACTTCAGTCCACGATAGATTGAAGCCGGTCAACCCGTTTACCTTATCTGGAGCGGTCAGGAAACTGAAATCAAAGCTTTTTTCGTTAATTCTGGAGATCACACAATGCACTCACGTGATTTGCACCGAATTATTCGATGTAATGATCGGCGAGATTATCGTGGCCACAGTGCCGCAGAACTCGTATTTTTGCGTCGCAGTGGCCACTCTGAAAAGTCGATTTTTAGCAATTGTGTGTGCCAGATTGATGAACCAGCTTGACGCTTCACCTCACCTGATCACCGCTTTTGCACAAGATGGTGTATTCGCATCAGCCATCGATCCCTCAACTTGCATGTCGACAAGGTAGAGTAAAAGCTGAATTTCGGGTAAACGAACCGATTCGTTTATGCTCGAAACTCACATGATTTCCCGGTCTGGCTGTGATATTCCATTCACAATGTACATCTTGTGGGTATTTCACTCCGAAACCCGGTGAACGAATGAAACCAGCTGGATTCTCAGCATTCGCCTCGATTTTCAACTGGCCACAACTCGCTGGATCGTCTGAAAATGTACTGTAGTATATAGCCGGATCGATCTAGGCTGGATCGATCTAGGCCGGATCGATCTTGGCTGGATCGATCTAGGCCGGATCGATCTAGGCTGGATCGATCTAGGCCGGATCGATCTTGCTCTGGCCCAATCAATCTTGCTCTAGCCCAATCAATCTTGCTCTAGCTCGATTAATTTCGCAATTTCGCAATTTTGCATCTTGCATCTTCCACTTTGCAAGAGTTAACGATTTCACCAAACTTGGCGTTCTATTTTGCCACTAACTATAAAGTAACCAAATAGGAACTATAAAGGAACAAAATACGAACTAAATAGAAACTATAAAGGAACCAAATAGGAACGCCGCCGTCAGACAAAAGCTTTTGTAGTTTGTAGCAAAGAGCTTTTTAAATTCACTTTTGATTTACTCAGCTAAAGTTGGCTAAACTTACAATTTATCTTTTTTTCTGTTCCTAGCGTTTTGTTATCTTCTATAATTTTTAAAATTTAGACTGGCGGCTACGAACAAGATGTTAATTATCGGCGGACCCGATATTCACTGATGTTCACTGATGTTCATTGATGTTCATTGATGTCTACTGATGTTCACTGATGTTTGCTGATGTTCAGTGTTCACCGATGTTCACTGATAGAGCCTTGGCGACGATTTACCCAATTGTAGTCTCCAAATAGTCTCCAAATAAACGGCGTGGAATCCAGCGATTAAAGGAGGATCAAAATCGAAAGAGAAACCACCGCATCAGAAATTGTTAGAGCTGTATTTGGAGGAGGGCTGGTTCTTGTCCAGATCTTGACCCTGGCCTTGATTCAGATAACTTACCAGCATTCATCGAGGCCATTGATGTCAGGGATTCCCTTTTTCGAATCTCGTACAGCGCTTTAAAGCCATTATTGGAACCATACGAGTCGGAGCTGCAAAAGTTTCATTGATTGGGACATAGTTAATTGACTAAAATCTACCTGAAAACGATTCTCATCTCATGAGCTCCGGGAGCGGATCTCCGGGGACCGGGATGCGTGCCGGAGCAGTACTTGGCCGGTGCAGAGAGCTTCTCAGAGCCATTCGAAAGTCGAAAGACATCATAGATCTCGATCCAATCCTTGCATCTTAAAATGAGATATTTCAGGCATCAATCTGGATGTCATGTAAAACATTGAGCCAAAAAATAAGCCAAAAATAAGCCTTTCTTGAAATTGAAACCAACTTGTCCTCAAGGTCACCATCGTATAAAGAGAAATGCTCAAAATAGATCAACACCACATCGCCTTTCTCGCCAACAATTAAAAAGGTGCATTTTGTGTCCAATGGATACTGGAAAAGGCATTGGACTTTAAAAATGAAAGAGTTTTGTGCTATTTGTCGAATAGAGCAAGAACTATTAGATTTTCAATAAAAACAATAAAAACAAACATTTGTCGGATATCTAGGACTGTTGAAGAAACCCTTTGGCTGAGTGAAACGAAATTTGCATTCATTCGAGTCACCCATCGGCTCTCCCGGGACACCAAAGTCTGAAATTTGTTGGCTGTTTGCTGCTTAGCCTGCTTGCTGCTTAGCCTGCTTGCTGCTTAGCCTGCTTGCTGCTTAGCCTGCTTGCTGCTTAGCCTGCTTGCTGCTTAGCCTGCTTGCTGCTTAGCCTGCTTGCTGCTTAGCCTGCTTGCTGCTTAGCCTGCTTGCTGCTTAGCCTGCTTGCTGCTTAGCTTGCTTGCTGCTTAGCTTGCTTGCTGCTTAGCCTGCTTGCTGCTTAGCCTGCTTGCTGCTTAGCTTGCTTGCTGCTTAGCCTGCTTGCTGCTTAGCCTGCTTGCTGCTTAGCCTTGCACCAGAAGTCGTACGTTTTCAATGAATTCACCCAAAGTACCCAAAGTACAAAGTACCCATAGTACAAAGTACACAATAAAACCCGTTTTAAAAGACGAACCTGTTTTGAAATGAACATGTGCTTTGAATCCGAGTGGTCGAATTCCATCAGTTGGTGTATGAGCACCAGTGCCGAATTGTACCACCATTCGTGCCCCTTCTGATTCGTAGGGACCAAGTGCGGCCGAATCTGGATAAAATCGGCATTTATCGATGCTGTGCGTTCCAGGATTGTCAAATTTCCTTTCAAAAAAGCTCAAGTACCTTTTGCGAAGCGTTCACAAAGCGTGTGATCGAAATTACTCTCATCCGGGTTACTCATCGTCGCCCGGATATTCGTATCACTAAAGTTACAAACTGTCGACATATCTCAATGAAGTTAACACACTATCCTATACATTTTACGGTATTAAAAGTAGAAAAGACCTCAATGCAAGTCCGACCCAAGCATGTGGACATTGAACTTCTTCATTTCCGCCTGATGACGTTTGTGGGATCAACGGATTGCTAAAATCTTTTTTCTAAAAATATAGTCCTGAATCTCAGCTATTTCTTGATACCTAAATGAACATTATAGCTTAAACCAGTGTCGAGAAAAACGCTTTCAAAGCTAGACTACGCAAAGGAAAAACTTTGTCCGGGATCGAACCAGCTTTGAACGAGTTTTTCTCGACACTGGTTTATGCTACAATGTTCATTTTAGTATCAAATGAAAGCTGAGATTCAGGGCTATTTTTTGATACCTAAACGAGCATTATAGCATAAACCAATCTCAAGAAAAACGCTTTCAAAGTTAGACTACGCAAAGAAAAAACTTTGTGGTCACCGGGATCGAACCAGCTTTGAACGAGTTTTTTCTCGACACTGGTTTATGCTACAATGCTCGCTTTGGTATCAAAAAATAGCCCTGAATCTCAGCTTTCATTTGATACCTAAACGAGCATTGTAGCATAAACCAATCTCAAGAAAAACGCTTTCAAAGTTAGACTACACAATGCTCCGCATCGTCATTAAGGGCTGCGGTACAGTATTTACTTGATTTTAAGCTAAAATATAAAAATCAACCTCTCTTGTGCATCCGAGATTACGGCCAGGGTGTCAAAAGTGAGAATGGCTTTCTCCAAATTTTGCTCTCCCTGCAGTCCGTCGAGAATATAAGTGCATGTCGTGTTTGAGGGGTATTTATCCGGGTACTGTAACTTATTGTAACTTTTTCGAGCTATATAAGCCCATCTGGAAGGCACAAAACTCACCCGTGGACTGTGAATGGCGTGTCGAGACTCTTTGTGCGATTCGACTCTCACATCGCATTCGCTACCTCGCACGTGGCTGACTCCTTTCTGCAAAAATATCATTTATTCTGCCGGGAAGCTAAGTTCTGGAAGGCACACTTTACTCTAAAACATTAATTTCAACATTTCAGCAAACCTCTCCACCAAGCAGCTGAGTGACGTCAACAAATCGTGAGGAGATCTCGTAATCGATCAGAAAGCTGAAAACAAGCTGTGTGTGTTCTAGAAAAAGCAAAACAGGCATAAAAAACGCAACACTTACCCCCTAGGATCGCCTTTACTTGCAGCCGATGTGTTGAAATGAATGAGCAACTCGGAGCTGACCGAGAAGACCTCTTCGCGGAGTTGCAAGCCGCAATACTAGAAAACTTTACTGTAATTACAAGCCAGCTACGTTTTTTTCTACTTTTTGGTCATTATGGAAGGCACAATAAGATATCCAGACCATTAGAGACAAGAAAAACTTGAATATCAATTGTAACGTTGTCAATTGTTTAGGTAATGGGGCGTACAATTGTCGAATGGTTCCCGAATCTGATGAGACAGACAAGAATTATTGTAAGACATCAAGTGACATCCAGATTAGAGGAATTTAAATCCAAATTGAGTCGTTTATGCAAAAATGAGCTTTCTATGCTTCAGTAACCGAGCCTACAATTGTTGAATGGTTCCCGAACCTGATGAGACTGACAAGAATCATTGTAAGACATCAAGTGACATCCAGATTAGGGAATTTAAATCCAAATTGAATCGTTTATGCAAAAATGAGCTTGCTATGCTTCAGGTAACGTAGCGTACAATTGTTGAATGATTCCCGAACCCGATGAGACTAACAAGAATTATTGTAAGACATCAAGTGAGATTAGAGGAATTCAAATCCAAATTGAATCGTTTATGCAAAAATGAGCTTGCTATGCTTCAGGTAACGTAGCGTACAATTGTTGAATGGTTCCCGAACCCGATGAGACAGACAAGAATCATTGTAAGACGTCAAGTGACATCCAGATTAGAGGAATTATGCAAATTGAGTCGTTACTACAGTAGCCAAACCTTTTTAATAATCGGTGAAGCGGTGGTTGGGCCGTCGAAAATCATCACCGTATCGTAAGGACAACTGGAAAGGGTTTGTTTTGATGAAAGATTGAGCTACAAAACTGTTCCCCTCCAAAGCAAAGGTCGAAATCTTGTAGATAGAGTCGGATTCTTTCCCCTCGGCGTCCCCTCAAGTGATAGGCGCAATGGAAATTCCGTGGATACGCTCCAGGATAAGTTGCCGATTGAATGTGCCCGATTTTCCTGAAAACATTTTTAGATTCTGAAATGACATCCAGGATTCAGAAATCATTGATGAAATTCCCAAAAATGCCCACTTTTGCGCCGAATAACGACTCGGCTCGATCACGTAGCCACAGCGTTGTCCAGGAATCGGCTCTCCCGGGATGAATTCTTCTAAATAAGTGCTGTGAATTCCAGATTTATCAATTATAGGAAAAATTAGAGAAAATATAGCTTGGTTATTTAAATATGTAAACGAACTCTCGTCGATGAACGAGTAGCGGCCACGAAAGCGAAAATCTCGAGATGACGGGTCACCGGCGCGCGAGTGGAAGACCAAAACAAGCACATCGTGAAGGCTAAAGAAATGTGTGACTTTTGCTTTGGCAGAAAGGGTTTCAAGCGGCACAAGAACGTCCCCGCTGTACCTAATTCGAATATGCGGTGAAACGGTGCCACAATATCTGCCGGATAATGTCGCCGAGAGTAAATCAACCGGTTCAGCACGTTCGAGCTCGGAATAAATATCCACATATTCGACATCACAGCTGGAAATTCGATAACTTGTTCTAATCGTCCGTTCTAGGTTGATTTTTATTTATATGTCGTAACCGTTTACGAAATTCAGCCGCTAACGAATGAGGGTATTTCCGAGCATCCAATCAAAAAGTCATCCACATAAAAAATGTTCATAATACATATATTTTATAATAAATTTTTGAAATTAGCTCATTTGGTTTAGTAGAAAATTTTTTTGAGCCCCCAAAGTTTATGTTCAAAAATGGCTATAAAAAATTTTCTACTCAGCCAAAAAACTTGCCTAATAGCTCATTTTGTAGCCAATTTGATGTAGTTTCTTAAAGTAAAGCTACATTGAACATTTGTTTTTCAAAGCTAGGAGAAAGAGGGCGAGGAACAAATTCAGTGGCAAATCTTTTGCCACTGAATTTGTTCCTCGCCCTCTTTCTCCTAGCTTTGAAGAAAAAATGTTCAATGTAGCTTTACTTTAAGAAACTACATCAAATTGGCCACAAAATGAGCTATTAGGCAAGTTTTTTGGCTGAGTAGAAAATTTTTTATAGCCATTTTTGAACCTAAACTTTGGGGGCTCAAAAAAATTTTCTACTGAACCAAATGAGCTAATTTCAAAAATTTATTATAAAATATATGTATTATGAACATTTTTTATGTGGGTGACTTTTTGATTGGATGCCCGGAAATGCCCTCATTCGTTAGCGGCTGAATTTGGCTACGACATCTACATCAAACGGCTACGACATATATACATCAAAATGATTGATTTCTTTTTTTTAAAATGAAAATTCATATCATTTTCTGTATATATTCAAAATTTCATGATCATAGCATTAATAGATCATTTTTTCTGAATGCTTAAAAATGGCTGATCAAAAATGGTTGATCAAAAATCTGGCGATACCCTCACTTCAGAGAATCTAGCTCATCGAGAACTCAAAGAATCCGTTGGAAATTTTTGGAGATGATTTTTGAGTATCTCTTCTATCACCAAACCAATTTTCTAACCGATTGGTGATTCTAGAATTTTTATATAACCTTACAAAGTTGAGAGTGATGAAAAATGCAATTTAAGGCTTTTGAGAGCTATTTTTGAAGTTATTTTTGTTTAAATTAGCTTTTTTTGTTTGTTTATTGTTTTTTGTTTATTGTTTATAAGAATCTGATCATGTTTAAGACGAAAAAAAGGTCAAAAAAAGGTCAAACAGATCAAAGATCTTATAGAAACTCAATTCCATACAGATTCATTGAGTTCTCGCTGAGCTGGCTTCTTAGAAGCTTCTTAGAAGCTTCTTCTTCTTGTACTGTAGCATCCTTTAGACAAACTTATCAACACTGCCGGCAAGTTGAAATTGATCGAAGTCGAGCTTTACGCGCCGGCCCGGTCCCGCGATAAACGTGTATACACACTGAAAAAATGGCTTTGATTCAGCTCGACTTTCAGAATTTTCGTAACCCATTTGCCGAGCATCGTACTAGCAAGGATTACTACCGTAATCCGTTTGCCGTAATCGATCTTGCTGCTCTTTCTTACCTACTAGATAGTTTAAACTTGTTATGATATCCTATCCACTGTACTCCTTGCCTAATTGATGCCACTCACTTGCCGTAATCTACTATATAAAGGGACTAAGCCGTCTGTTCGTTTGTCTGTTCGTCTGTCCATCTGTCTATCTATCTGTCCGTCTATCTGTCCGTCTGTCTGTCCGCCCGTCTGTCTGTCTGTCTGTCTATCTGTTTGTCTATCTGTCCGTCTGTCTGTCCGTCTGTCTGTCTATCTGTCTATCTATCTGTCCGTCTATCTGTCCGTCTGTCTGTCTGTCCGTCTCTCCGTCTGTCTCTCCGTCTATCTCTCCGTCTGTCTCTCCGTCTGTCTCTCCGTCTGTCTCTCCGTCTGTCTGTCTGTCTATCCGTCTGTCTGTCTGTCTGTGCCCACTACTCCTCAACCCCCAGAGGACCGTTTGCAATGATTTTTGCGCCGTTGAATAGGGAATTACATGTAGTGACGCAACGTGCTTTCGGATTTTTTGAAAAGCACAATTCGAGTCGGGAGGTCGAACCCGGATCGTATGGGCGATAGACCGGCGCCCTATCCACTGCTCCACGACGACAAAAGCCGTCCATCCCCAAAACATCCAAAGTTCCTCGGCTGGTCTACTATATAAGACGTCTGTCTGTCCGTCTATCTGTGCGTTACTACTCTCCAAGTGAGCCGTTTCAAACGTTTTCTAATTGGTTTGGCTTCCAATTTCATGTAGTTATGCAGCATGTTTTTAAATTTTTAAAAAACCAAAAGTGGCGACGGGGGCGGGAGTCGAACCCAGGTCGGATGGGCTAGAGACAAGTGCTCTCGCACTGCGCCAGTGATTAACGCCGAGTGGCCGAGTGGTTAACGCGGTCGTCTCTCAAACGAACGGAAGAGAGAGGCCGCGGGTTTGACTCTTCTCGCCGGCAATTCTTTTGTTTTTTTGCTGGTTCATGTATAAGCCCATTTCTATCGTATCGCACTTTGCCGAATCTGGCTGACATCATCCACCAGGGATTATTACCAATCCGAATCCTTTCACTTTACCTGTAAATTCCTGACCATCACCTCATGTTTCCCAGTCGAAACAATAGGATTCAACAAGTCGGTGGGCACTTTCGGTAAACGGGGAAACGAGAAAGAGCCTTGTGAGGCATTGTGCAGGAAATCGATTTGATCATCGCAATCTGTTAGGGGAGTAATGGAGAGTTTAGAGTTAGAGCTGGTTAGAATTAGAGCTAGAGCTAGAGCTAGAGCTAGAGCTAGAGCTAGAGCTAGAGCTAGAGCTAGATCTAGTTAGAATTCGAGTTAGAGCTTCGATTAAAAGTTGGAGAGCTTCCTGGAGCAATTGGAGCTTTTATGGGAAAAGAATAAAGCAATTGGAGTGCTTGTAAGGGTAGAAATGGTTGATGTTTACAAGGAATTTGAGCCTGAACTTGACTAGGATCAAGTTCAGGCTCAAATCCGGTAGCTAATCTTGTACTTTTAAGGAAAAAGGTTGAGCCAGAGCTGAAGCTAAATTCAGCTAAGCTAGAGCTGAAGCTAAATTCAGCTAAGCCAGAGCTGAAGCTAAATTCAGTTTAGCCAGAGCTGAAGCTAAATTCAGCTGAAGCCAGAGCTGAAGCTAAATTCAGCTAAGCTAGAGCTGAATTTAGCTCTATTCCTTGATTTCTGAATAAAGCTAGGAGCAAATTTAGCCTAGTTTACGGTTGATTTCAAAGTTTTGGATTGTTTTGCCCAGGTTGTCTTGCCTGGAGTTTACTTTGAAGAGAAAGGAGCAGAAATTGACTGACTGACTGATATTTTATCTTAAAAAAAACGAATTTTTAAACAAACTCCTCGTATGCTAGCACTCCTTTCAACCAAAAAACCATGATCAACACGAGTAAACAAGCGATGACAAGGGTGAACAAGAGAGCAAAGATGATATCGCAATCGAGTGATCGACAACAGGCACAATCCTCGTGAATCTCGTCGGCCTGTTGATCAAATAGGGTAAAATTCAAAATTTGGGAGATCTGGAAGGCAAAACATCGATTAAAAATGACAAAAACCTTTTCGAATTCGAGCATATCGATCCTCGTCTCCACCACTCTTTCCAATGTTCTCATTCGCTCCATTTTTGCGTTCTTTCCTCGTTTTCCTCGTTTTCCTCGTTTTTCTCGTTCTTTGTCTCTTTTTGATCTTCTCGATCAAGTTTTTCGATTTCTCGTCATCAATTGAGACATATAGCAATTTTTGGGTCAAGCCAAATCGAATAGTTCTAGCCAAATCCACCTCCACGATGATGGCGATGAGTTAAAGCAAATTTTCCGACGTTTCCGATGAAAAAATCTCTCCAAATTTCGTAGTGTACTCCAGAATTTGAAAATTCACCTAAATTTACAAAATTTGACGTAAAAAAAAACAAAAGTTTTTAAAAAAACAACAATTTTTTAAAAAAAACAACAATTTTTTAAAAAAAACACAAAAGTTTTTTAAAAAAACAAAAAAAGTTGGAATATTTCAAGTTTCTTTAGAGAGGTAATGTCTTTTTAATCAAAAAAATACTTTTCTTTTCTTCTTTTTTCTTTGCCCACTCATTTATTGACAACCGGCTGAGTACACAAACGATAAAAAAAAAAGTGAAAGGCTTTTTCGAAGTCTAGATTTCATTCTGATATGATTTAGATTTAGAAAACTTGAAAAACTTTAGAAAAGAATAGAAAGTTTACAAAAAAAACTGATAGTCAAAGTTTTCAAACTATTAGGTTGTCCAGTTATGAATGCGCGCCTGCTCTTGAACAGCGTACCTGCTCTTGAACAGCGTACCTGCTCTTGAACAGCGTACCTGCTCTTGAACAGCGTACCTGCTCTTGAACAGCGTACCTGCTCTTGAACAGCGTACCTGCTCTTGAACAGCGTACCTGCTCTTGAACAGCGTACCTGCTCTTGAACAGCGTACCTGCTCTTGAACAGCGTACCTTAGGGCTATACAATTTTATCAAACCCTATTCTCTATATGCTGTTCAAGATTTCTTATTTATTACAACTTTTCGTGTTTTTGACGTTAAACTAATTCATTTTTGATTTAATTTTTGCGTTTAGATGACCGAGACGAAGTTTCGTCTTCGTGCCAGTCTTTGGTATGACTTCAAATTGGGCAAAAATGCCGTTGAATCCCATCGAGATCTCTGCAAAGTATTTGGCGAAGATGCTATTTCGGAATGCTATTTCGGAAAGCCAGTGTCGCCGATTGTTTCAACGATTTCGAGAAGGAAATGAATCTTTGGAAGACGAAGACCACCAACGACGACCTCCTGCGATCGATAATGTAGTACTGAAGCAGGCGATAGAAATGGATCCTCGACAAACTACACGTGAACTTGCAGAAATAGTTCACGTGAACAGTTTAGAGTTCCTCAAAGAGTAATTCCTCAAACAATTTCCGAGCATTTAAATCAATTGGGGAAAACAAATCTTGAACAGCATATAGAGAATAGGGTTTGATAAAAACAATATTAAAGAATTATCTTTTTTTAAATGAACAAAATAGATCGATGACATGTAGTTGAAAAGTTTGACATGAAAGAAAATGGGGAAAGAGAAAACAGGGCTTTTCCCCGACGATGGTCCGACTCGAGAGCACTGTAAATATTAGAAAAGAGGGGAAACAGAAAGATTTTGGAAAAAAGAGATACAGGACACTTGAAGAAAATGATATACGACTCATTTTTTCGTGTTAAATGATAGTGATGATGAGCATTAGGTCGAAGAAAAACTGAACGTAAAAGCTGTAATAGTAGCCCCCTATAGGGGCGGCTCGTAGTCTACCGTATTTACTCGAATAGAAGACCGGCCTCGATTATAAGACCGTCTCGAATAGAAGACGGGGTCTAGGGGATGATCGAAAAAATAGAAGACCGTCTCGAATATAAGACCGGTCTTATATTCGAGGTACCCTGTTTTCTATTCTGCGCGAAAGTGGACGTACTCAAATACGGGAAAAGAATAAGGGAATTTACCCAATAGGGTAAAAATATTATATTTTCATTCAATAGCACTATTTTTTTTGATATTGTATTAATAATTTTTTTTTTTGGTACTTTTCCATTATACCTCCGCCATCTCCACATTTCCGTCATTTTGACTCTGATTATTTTTAATTATTTGATTAACTATTCATTTTTTATCTAAAAACTGGCGGGGTATAACGGAAATGTGGAGTTGGCGGAAGTACAGTAGCGGACATTAACTTACGATATTTTTTCTTCTTATCGTAATTTTTTTTCTAAACACGCAAATGAGCTAAAAATCAAACTAATTGTGTAAGAACAATTGTATTTTGATATTCTGAGTTCAAAAACTTAATAGCATTAAAAAAAATTCTTTTGGAACAAATTTATTAAAACTCGCGACGACATTAACTTACGATATTTTGAAAAAACGAATTAATTTTTGTTATGTTGATTTGCTATACTTTATTTTTTGTTTGTTTATAATTTAATCTTTATTTATTTTCATTTTTAGAGATGGGAAGAAGAAAGCAGGTGTCAACGGAGAAACGGGAGGGTGTGCTGCGACTTCACCAGCAACAGATCAAACAAGAGGCGATCGCCCAACTTTTATCGATAACCCAGAGTACTGCCTCGTCTATTTTGGCTCTTTATCGACAAACTGGATCTACTGCTGCGAAGAAGAACAAAGGACAGCCTCGGAAGACCACTCCACGAGATGATAATCGAATTCTTGAGCTCTCCAAGATGGATCAAATGAAGACGGCAGTCGATATTCATGCAGAGCTGCCACAACGAGTGAAGGAAACAATCTCTCCTCGAACAGTACAGCGCCGACTGAACCAGGCAAAGATATTCGGACGGCGCCCGGCTCACAAACCGTTAATTTCTCTCAAGAATCGCAAGCTTCGGGTGAAATTCGCTCAGGATCACGTTACCTGGACCCCACAACAATGGGCAAATGTACTTTTTACTGACGAAAGTAAGTTCAATTTGTTTGGATCTGATGGTATGCACTTTGTACGACGTCCTCCAAATAAAAAATTTGATCCCAAATATATTTTGCCGACTGTGAAACATGGAGGTGGAAGTGTAACTGTATGGGGAGGCTTCTCGTCGCACGGATTGGTGGCATTGAAGCGCATAAACAGCATTATGGATCAAGATGTTTACTTAGACATCTTGCAAAACCATATGCTTCCAAGTGTGACTTGTTTTATGCCGCCAAACTTTATCCATCAACAAGACAACGACCCAAAGCCTATTGCACATCGAGTTTCCCAATGGTTCACTCAACAAGGAATTCAATTAATGAAGTGGCCAAGTCAAAGTCCGGACTTGAATCCGATTGAACATTTATGGGACGTACTCGAAAGAAGCTGCAAAGGGTTTAAAACGAAAAATTCAAAGGAAAAATTTGATCTTCTTGTCAAGAAATGGAGCGAGATCCCCAAGTAACGATCGATAATCTCATCGCGTCAATGCAACGTCGCTGTAAAGCCGTAATTGATGCCAAAGGTTTTCCAACAAAGTATTAACGTTTTTACTCAATATTTATTGGTTATATGTTGTTAATTTTTTTTGCTTTATTTGTTGGAGCTTGTTTTTTCAAAATATCGTAAGTTAATGTCGTCGCGAGTTTTAATAAATTTGTTCCAAAAGAATTTTTTTTAATGCTATTAAGTTTTTGAACTCAGAATATCAAAATACAATTGTTCTTACACAATTAGTTTGATTTTTAGCTCATTTGCGTGTTTAGAAAAAAAATTATGATAAGAAGAAAAAATATCGTAAGTTAATGTCCGCTACTGTATAACGGAAAAGTAGCATTTTTTTAGGGGATCGGAGGTGCTACGAAACGGAAAGCCTACAGTGCAGCCTTTAAACTCGAGGCCATTCGTTTTTCAAAGAAAAACTCGAAAGAGGCGACTGCTCGATAGTTTAAGGTGACTCCAAAGATGATTCGAGACTGGACGGCAAAAGAGGAGTCGCTGCAAAAGGAATCGAAAGGAGCGAAGCGGTTAAAAGGAGGAGGGCGAATGCTTAAATTTCGCGCAGTCGAGGAGACCACTTATCGATGGATCAAAGAAAAACGAGAGGAAAAGCTAAAAGTTTCTCGACGTATGGTTCAGGACAAAGCCAAGGAGTTTTTTCGCGAATCAAACCTAGATTTCACAAAGTCTTTCTCTGCAAGCAATTAATGGCTTGCGAATTTTTTGTGACGGCAAAAAATGACAACAAGGAGTCCAACAGCGAGGATGATCAGATGGTTTGTTTCCGCAATGGGGAAGCTGTTGAGAGTGGTCGATTCAAGCTGGATATTGCAAGCTTGAAGGGAAGATTAGCAAAACTTTGTCAAGATATCGACTCCGATAGAAACAATAGAGATGAGAGTGAAAACGATTCAATTTCGAGCGCAGAGGGACTTGATGGAATTCGCAAGCTCCAGATTTAATAGAGGATGACATTGAATCAAGTGAGAATGTTGTTATTACTGCTTTTTTATGTTCTTATTAATTGTTGTTAATGTTGTTATTAAAGGTTGTTGTTGATAAATTTTGTTGTTAAATGTTACAATAAATTTCTATAAAAAGTTTTTTTTTAAACGCTGGTTACTTTCCCGAAAATTTTCATGAATGCAAATAATAAAACCGTCTTGAATAGAAGACCGGCCTCGAATAGAAGACGGAGTCTAGGGGGTGATTGAAAAAATAGAAGACCGGTCTTCTATTTAAAAATACCGACTGGGGCTACCAGTGGTGAATTTATCGCATACACGAAATATATCAATCACAATACAACGACACACACAATACTAGGCTATATCTTAACTTAACCCACGTCATGACAGACGGCTCCCTAACCCTAAGCTCAATGGGGAACTAAATAGCTTTTTTTGGTGGTGAAGGGAAGATGACGATGAAGGAGTGGCTTGTCACTTTAAAGAACTGGGGCCACAACCACCAGACTGCCCTCCAGAAAACCTCTCAACCCGAAGGGAAAGGAAATCCGAAGGGGGTGACCATGTCGCATGTGGGGTTCGAACCCTCGACCTTCCGATTAAGATAAAAGACACTTAACCAGTCAGCCACACGTGCTCTTATTCGAGTAAATACGGTAAATCT